TCCTTAGGCGGGTTGCCTCGAATCTCCAGCTCCAGGCTGAGGAGATGGAGGAGCCGTTGGACACTTTGTTCAATGTCTTGTCCTCCTCGGCACCGGGCCATGTGGCCCTTCCTCTCCACCAAGGGGTGGCCAATAGCTCGACTTCGCTTTGGCAAGCCCCGGCGTCCTTGGCACCTATTTCTAAAAAGGCGGAGAGAAAATACTTTGTGCCAGCAAGAGGGCAGGAATATTTGTACTTTCACCCTGCCCTGAACTCTCTGGTGGTGGAGTCGGTAAACCACCGAGAGAGGAATGGCCAACCCGCGCCCACTCCCAAGGATAAAGACGCCAAGAGATTGGATACCTTTGGCAGGAAGGTTTATTAATCGGCAAGGTTCAAGCTCAGGGTGGCAAATCACCAAGCCCTCCTGAGCAGATATGATTTTAACTTGTGGGGGTCTCTGCCAAAATTCGAACCTCTTCTTCGGGAAAAGGATAAGGAGGAGTTCAGAGCTTTGGTCGACGAAGGCGCGGCAGCGGCGAAAGCGACCCTCCAAGTGGCTTCGGACGCGGCAGATACAGCAGCCCGTTCAATGGCCTCCACTGTTGCCATGCGCAGGGTGTCGTGGCTCTCGCTGTCAGGGCTGTTTGCGGAGTCCCAGTCCTCATGCAGGACTTGCCTTTCGACGGGAAGGCCCTGTTTGGGGATCAGACACACACCCGTCTACACGGGATGAAGGACTCCCACACCACCCTGCATACCCTGGGCCTATATGTCCGACCGACTAAGGACAAACCCAGGCCACAGACTTCGGTTCCTCCGGCTAGAGGCAGATATGAGCCCCCGCCTAAAAGACCAAGGGAGCGGAGACGCAGGTCCCAGCGTCAATCCCGCTCAGCCCCTCGACCTGGGCCCACCAAGGGCAAGAGGCAGGGGAAGAGGCGCTTTTGACTCTTTTTGTGGGGGGCCACCGGGCCTGTTGCCAGGGAAGCCCCCCAGTTAATAAAGTTTGTGTTCTGTAACCGTTTATCTGCCTTCCGAGTGCAATGGTCCCGTATAACGTCGGACCAATGGGTCCTCAGCACCATTTCCACGGGCTACATGTTGCAGTTCGCTTCGCGCCCCCCCCCCCCACCTCCACCACCCCCTGCCCCCAGAGGTTCCTGGGGATCCGGAGCACGTACTCCTGCTAGACCAGGAGGTGACATGCCTTCTCACCCTGGGCGCGGTGGAGAAAGTACCTCGGGAATTCCGGGGTAGGGGCTTTTACTCCTGCTATTTCCTGATCCCGAAGGCAAAGGGCGGGCTCAGGCCCATCCTCGACCTGCAGAACCTCAACCAGTTTATGGTCCATTACAAATTCTGCATGGTGTCCCTGGCCTCTATTATTCCATCCCTAGACCTGGGGGATTGGTTCACAGCCCTGGACCTCCAGGATGCATATTTTCAAACCAGGACAAGTCCACGTTAGTGCCGGTTCAGCACATACACTTCATAGGAGCACTGTTAGACTCGGTGGTGGCCACGGCCTCTCTCCCCCAGGACAGGTTCGAGACGCTCACAAGTCTCATAGCCTCAGTCACGGCCTTCCCCATGATGACGGCAAGAGTGTGTCTTCAAATCTTAGGCCACATGGCAGCATGCACCTCTGTGGTGCGACATGCCAGGCTCAGAATGAGACCCCTCCAACTCTGGTTGGTCTCCCAATATTCCCAAGCCAGGGATGGCCTGGACAAGGTTGTCATGTTACCTCCCAATGTAGTGGCCGACCTGCAATGGTGGTCCCTCCCGGCCAACATGTTACAAGGGATCCCATTCCGAGAGACCCCTCCCTCACTAGATCTGGTGTCGGACGCCTCGGACCTGGGGTGGGGAGCCCATGTGGGGAGCTTCCAAACCCAGGGCAGATAGTCAACCTCGGAATTGTCCCTGCACATAAACGTCAGGGAGCTCAGGGCGGTGCGCCTGGCGTGCATAGCCTTCAGCCTACACCTGGGGGGAAGATGGTCAGAGTCCTTACGGACTACACGGCCGCGATGTATTACATCAACAGGCAAGGGGGCACGCGCTTCTCGGCCTTGTGCCAGGTAGCCCTGGACCTATGGGAATTCTGCATAGCCCACGATATCTCTGAGGGCTTTTTACCTACCCGGCACGCGCAATATGCGAGCCGATCGCCTCAGCAGGGTCTTCTCCCACCAGTACGAGTGATCACTCCACTGGGAGGTTGCCCGGCAACTCTTCCGAGAGTGGGGAGCTACCGCCCAGAATCGTATCTGCACCTAGTTCTGCTCCAGGGCAGGGGCGGAAAAGGGGGCGATCTCGGACGCATTCCTCCTCCGGTGGTCCAGCCAGCTGTTCTATGCCTTTCCACCGTTTCCACTGATAGGCAAGGTCCTGCAGAAGGTAAAGGCAGACAGGTCGAGGGTCATACTCATAGCCCCGGATTGGGCCCGCCAGTATTGGTACGGGACCCTCCTGCAACTGTTAGCGCCCCCCCTGTGGAGGCTGCCGCTTCGCCCGGATCTCCTCTCCCAGGAGAGGGGATGCCTTCTCCATCCCAGCCTAGCCGCGCTTTACTTGACATCGTGGCTGCTCCATGGAACGAGGAGGAGGGAAGGTGTTCGCAGGATGTCCGGCGAATTCTGCTGGAGAGCAGAAAGCCGTCTACTCGACGGACCTACCTGGCCAAATGGTTTAGGTTTTCTAGGTGGGCAGGGGAGCGGGGCGCTTCCCCGTCATCCGCATCCCTCCAACTTATTCTAGATTATCTCCTGTCCCTTCGGATCCAAGGCCTAGCTCCGGCCTCTGTCACGGTACATTTAGCGGCCATTTCAGCCTTTCACCCTCTGATGCAGGGTCACTCGTTTTTTTCCCCATGAGATGACCTCCCACTTTTTGAAGGGGCTGGACTGTACGTTCCCGTACACCAGGGCCCTGGTCCCGCAATGGGATCTGAACCTAGTGCTATCTCGCCTCATGGGCCCTCCCTTTGAGCCCCTGGCCACCTGTTCTTGGTCCCACCTGTCCTGGAAAGTGGCTTTCTTGGTGGCTATCACCTCAGCCCGTCGGGTCTCAGAGCTTAGGGCCTTGACCTCGGAACCCCCATATACGGTCTTCCATAAGGATAAGGTCCAGCTTCGCCCGCACCTGGCATTTCTCCCCAAGGTGGTCTCCGCCTTCCATATGGAACAGGACATTTTCCTACCGTTACTCTGTCCTAAGCCCCATTCATCCAATGAGGAATGTCGTCTACACACGCTAGATGCACGTAGGGCGCTGGCCTTTTACCTGGACCGGACCAGGCTGTTCAGGAAATTCTCGCAACTGTTCGTTGCATCGGCTGAGGGTATGAGAGGGCAACCGGTCTCCACCCAGCGCCTTTCCCTCTGGACCACCTTGTGCATACGCACGTGTTATGACTTGGCAGGGCTTCCCCCGCCACCTATCGTAAAGGCCCATTCCACGAGAGCGCAGGCCGCGTCGGCCACCTATGTAGCCCACGTCCCTATCCAGGACATATGTAGGGCTGCCACATGGTCCTCGGTCCACACCTTTTCCTCACACTATACAATTGTCTCCCAAGCATGGGATGACGCCGGGTTTGGTAGGGCGGTACTCCGTCCCGATAACCTTTAAACTCCTACCCACCTCCATCAGATATAGCTTGGAGTCACCTACTGTGGAATACACAGGAGCAATCACTAGAAGAAGAAAGGACAGTTACCTGTTCCGTAACTAGCGTTCTTTGAGAGGTGTTGCTCCTGTCTATTTCACACCCCGCCCTCCTTCCCCTCTGTCGGAGTTGTCTGGCAAGAAGGAACTGAGGGTGGGGGGAGTGTGCAGCTCCCCTTATAGCGCGATATAGAGGCGCCACTCCAGGGGTCGCAGCGGTGCTCCTCCACTACGGGTACTGCTAAGGGAAAAACTTCCGGCACCGGTGCACGTGGCGAGCACGCACACCTACTGTGGAATAGACAGGAACAACGCATCTCGAAGAATGCCAGTTACGGAACAGGTAACTGTCCTTTTCTCAAACTTTTGTACTGGTGACCCCTTTCACACAGCAAGCCTCTTGAGTGTGACCTCCCCCCCCCCAATAAATTAAAAACACTTTTTTATATATTTTACACCATTATAAACGCTGGAGGCAAAGCGGGGTTTGGGGTGGAGGCTGACAGCTCGCGACCCCCCCCCATGTAATAACCTCGTGACCTCTTGAGGGGTCCCGACCCCCAGTTTGAGAATCCCTGTATTCGATGTAGTGTAAGTGTCCTTCCTGAATGATTAGATTTGTACATGTTCAGGGAAATAGGCTGTAGAAAATACTGTGGAAGGACTGAGCCCATCTTCAAAATTATTACTACTACTAATTTATTTCTTACACAGTAATACCCAGAAGCCTAATTAGAATTGGGCCCTATTGTGTTAAGAACAGTACAAGCGTATTTTGACAATCACTGCTTTTAACAGTTTACCCTCTCTGTGGTCATGGGTCAGAGAAAAAATAATATGGGTCCATCCCATCACTCTTTGGTTTGTAGCATGAAAGCATATTTAAGAGTAGGTTAGATAAATGTCTATCAGGGATGGTCTAGACAGTATTTGGTCCTGCCATGAGGGCAGGGGACTGGACTTGATGACCTCTCGAGGTCCCTTCCAGTCCTAGAATCTACGAAAGAAGTGAATAATCAGTTTGAAGCCTTCTGTAAGAGTGACATGGAAATTCTTAGAATTGGACTACAAAATTACTCCAACAGTAACTTTTAATATAAAATATTCCAGGGGAGAATATAATTAGAATTCCAGTTAACTGTGATCAGCTCATGTTCATATAAAAAGCTGTTGTAAACTTGTGTGTGACTGATGAAAATGGTCACTGAATCTGTACTGGTGAAGAATGAAGCATTTTATGTTCAGTTATACTCTGATAATGCGCTTGAACAAATGCAAGGTTTTGACACAGTACCTTAGAAACATTTTGTTTTTTCTCCCACGTTTTTTTTTTCTTATGCTATAGGTATTTTCAGGGAGTTTGGTGGTGCAAGGTGTGTACACAATATAGTGAAGTATCCACAGTGCCGACAGCATGCACTGATGATTATCCAGCAATTGGTGTTATCACCTAGTGGGGATGATGATATGGGCACTTTATTAGGGCTGATGCACTCAGCTCCACCTACAGAACTACAACTGAAGACAGATATATTACGGGTAAGTGCAATAAAACTTAATACTTTCCACTCCTAAACTACTTATGAAATTCTAATTTAAAAAATTTAAAATATACACTGTAGAACTACTTTTATTTTATGTATGATGGTATTCAGATATTGAAAACAATTCAGTGACTTTAGAATTAAAATCATATACAAATCAGATCTCAAATTTTTAAACACAACTGGCAAAAAAGAGTACCAGTATATATTACATGTATTATTAGGTGTAATAATTACTGATGGAAGGGAAATGAAGTTCTAAAAGTAGTCTCTTTCCACCTGGCTTTACGAAATTATTTAGGTACAATTAAAAAAACAACATAACACACACACACAAACTGAAGCATATTTTTAGTGCCATTGTTGAATTTTTCCTTAGCAAAATCTCATTTTTTTGTAAACATCGCCAGAGTTATTAATAAATGAATAATTTATAACTAGATCTGGGCCAAAACCAGATCACGGAGAACAACCCCCCAGATTTTGAGCTGGAGGCTTGTTTCATTCCTCTAATTTTAGCCTGATTTGTGTTGGATTCTAAATTAGAAAGGGTTTAATTTCCAGTTCAAATGTAGCTGAAATCTCATAAGAATAGATGCACCTGTGAGGTTTCAGTTAGAGGGGGCCCTCATTTAATCCAAACAGTTCACAAGATTTCATTGCCAGTCCTGATACATCCCTGAGACTCAACTTCTAATTTAAACCTGATATGGATCTGAACACTGTTTACCACAAGCCCTGACCATGGTGAAAATGTGTCCAATAAGTATAAGAAAATATGGAGAATTCATCTTTCACTACTAGTTTTACATACAATACTCCTTAGATTTTTGCAAGCTCATTAGGTGAGGTGTATATTAATGTAGCCTTAAAAATGTTAAGGTCTCTTATATAGAGATTAGGTAATGTGTAGTCATCTTAGAGTTGTAGAAGACTAAACAGAGAAAAGTGGTGAAATTGTGTATAATGTTTATATCACTCAGTTAGACTTTCTACAGTCCAGGGTGATGATTTACATGTTTTGGTATGTAACACATGAAAACATGACCTTTGAAAACATGTTTCTTCGAGAGAGCTTGAATGGTGTCACATTAAGGCTTTGAGTTTCATTGATTTTTCACTTGAATACAAATACCATACTATCAAATTGCAAGTTTCAATGAATCAACTACAGAAGCAGTTATTTACCTATTAAGAAAATACTGATACATCAGGAACAGACTGATAATGAACTCTTACTGTTACTGGTAATAATTCAGATTATCTGAGAAGCAAAGGGATAGTCTCTCCCCTATAGTCTCTCTCTCAGAATCTGAAAATTACTTTGTTAAAGAGGCTGCTCAAAGGAGCCCTAAGTCAACAGTGTAATCCTGTTGCAAAAAAAGCGAATATCATTCTGGTATGTATTAGCAGGGAGTGTTGAAAGCAAGACACGAGATGTAATTCTTCCACTCCCTTCTGGGCTGATAAGGCCTCAACTGGAGTATTGTGTCCAGTTCTGGGCACCACATTTCAGGAAACGTGGATAAATTGGAGAAAGTCCAGAGGAGAGCAACAAAAACGATTTAAGGTCTATAAAGCAAGACCTATAAGGAAAGATTGGTGGGGGGGAAATGGTTTGTTTAGTCTGGAGAAGAGAAAACTGAGGTGGGACATAACAGTTTTCAAATACATAAAAGGTTGTTACAAGATGGAGGGTGAAAATTGTTGTTCTTAACCTTTGAAGATAGGACAAGAAGCAATGGGCTAAAATTGCAGCAACGGAGGTTTAGGTTGGACTACTGTCAGGGTAGTTAAGCAGTGGAACAAATTGCCTGTGTAGATTGTGGAATCTCCATCATTGGAAGTTATTAAGAACAGATTAAACCAGGGGTTCTCAAACTTCATTGTGCCGCGACCCCCTTCTGACAACAAAAATTACTACACGATCCCATGAGGGGAGAGCAAAGCTTGAGCCCAAGCCCCGCACCCCTGGAGGGGGAGGGGGGGCAAAGACCAAGGGCTTGAGCCCCAAGTGGGAGGCCTGTAACCTGAGCCCCGCCACCTGGATTGAAGCCCTCGGGGTTGGGCTTCGGCCCCAGGGCTCGGGCTGCAGGGCTCTGGTGCTTTGGGCCCCAGCAAGTCTAATGCTAGCCCTGGCGACCCCATTAAAACAGGTTCGTGACCCACTTTGGGGTCCCAACGCACAGTTTGAGAACCGCTGGATTAGACAAACGCCTGTCAGGAATGGTCTAGTTATTGCGTAGTCCTGCCTTGAGTGCAGGGGACTCGATTAGATGAGCTATTGAGATCCCTTCCAGTCCTACACTTCCGTGATTCATCTCGTAAAGTTCAACTCACCTGAATAGATTTTTTTCATGTTGTGCTAGAATTTGAGAAATTAACAATGTACAAGGATTTGATTAAAATTTTAACCATCTTTTTCTGAAGTCAGATGTTGAATATTAGCCTTGTAGAGAACAACTGAGAACTAGTACACTGAATTCAGACATTTCAATTTTAAAAGGAGCATGTAGAAATGAAAAACTCATAAATTTTCCTCTTGGAGTTAGTCTATTTGAAAGCTCTGACATTAAATGTGTCTTGCTCTGATAATACCAAGCTGGGACAGGTTGCAAGTGCTTTGGAGGATAGGATTAAAATTCAAAATGATCTAGACAAACTGGATAAATGGTCTGAAGTAAATAGGATGAAATTCAACAAGGACAAATGCAAAGTACTCCATTTAGGAAGGAACAATCAGTTGCAAACATACAAAATAGGAAATGACTGCCTAGGAAGGAGTACTGTGGAAAGGGATCTGGGGGTCATAGTGGACCACAAGCTAAATATGAGTCAACAGTGTAATGCTGTTGCAAAAAAAGCAAACCTCATTCTGGGGTGCATTAGCAGGAGTGTTGTAAGCAAGACTTGAGAAGTAATTCTTCAGCTCTACTCTGCACTGATTTCCAATTCTGGGCGCCACATTTCAGGAAAGATGTGGACAAATTGGAGAAAGTCCAGAGAACAGCAACAAAAATGATTAAAGGTCTAGAAAACATGACCTATGAGGGAAGATTGCAAAAATTTGGTTTGGTTAGTCTGGAAAAGAGAAGACTGAGAGGGGACATAACCTTTTTCAAATACAAAGTACATAAAAGGTTGTTACAAGGAGGAGGGAGAAAAATTGTTGTTCTTAACCTCTGAGGATAGGACAAGAAGCAATGGTCTTAAATTGCCGCAAGGGAGGTTTAGGTTGGACGTTAGGAAAAACTTCCTAACTGTCAGGATGGTTAAGCACTGGAATAAATTGTCTAGGGAGGTTGTGGAATCTCCATCATTGGAGATTTTTAAGAGCAGGTTAGACAAACACCTATCAGGAATGGTCTAGATAATATAGTCCTGCCATGAGTGCAGGGGACTGGATTAGATGACCTCTTGAGGTCCCATGATTCTAAGTTTCTATGACAATCAGTTAGCATGTCAAGTAAAAGAAATTCAGCGAAAGACAGAAAACTAGTTAAGTTAGTGAATTATGTTGCAGAACTTAGTTTTGATATTTGTAGGGGTTTTGTAAAGAACATTTTCAATAAGTAATTTATAGACTGACCACGCATAGTTTGCAGTCTTTGGCTCTTACATTAGAACTTGCTTGTGCTAACATTCAGTTTAGCCATCATCTTGTTTTAGCTGATAGGCTGTGGGAATTCTCATTCACAGTGAGAGGCATTAATTTACTGGGTAATTCTCACCCGTAATGATACAACAGAGGCAATTTAGTACTAGAATCCAAGGGCTGGTGTCAGAATCCTACAGTTAGGTTCGACTTTCCTTTTTTTCCTGTTAACTAGTGGGATTTTTTTCCCCTTTCTGTTCTAATTTTTGTCCTTACATACATAATAGCAGAAGTTAGTTTCAGATAGCCCAAGCCATCTGCCCCATTCAGTACTGGTGCTCCACAGGCAGGTCAGGACAGGCTACTATCTGCCATAACATCTTGGTCCAGCCCAGGTGTTGATAGCTTTGTTAGAGGTAGGTAAGCACTTGTCTAACTGTGGGAGTCTTGTACCACTTTGCTATTTCAAGGGGCCACTGTCAAAATGGTTGCCAGATTTCTGGTTCCTCTTGCCTTGGAAATCTCTTCAGCCCCCAGTGCTCCCACAAATTCTGCTCAATAGCTTGAGCCATTTCAATTTCCTTAAATCCACCTGTGGTTGTTCAATACCTCAACTTATTGTCTGATTGTTCTAGTCCACACTTTGCCTGCTGAGCTCTCTTTCTTTATTCGATTTACTCAGACTCACACGATTCCCTGCTATATGAATGCTTAGTCAGCACCGTTCCCAATGACTTTGAGGAGTCTGACCCACCTTCAGTGACTTGCAAGCACAAAGCGAAGGTTAAGGATGTGGAGTTGGGATTACAGTTTTGGTTAAAACTTTCATGTAGTCTCCTAAAGTTCTCATGTTTGGATGACATTGGCAGATTATTTAGTGAGAATAATGTGGTTCCCTTTATAGAAAGCCAAGCCTCCTGATATCCAGTAGGAAGATGAAAAATCTGCTACTTTTTTGTAGTTACTTTTAAAACAGAGGTTAAAAAGTGTATAGTTTTCCAACCTGTGAATCCTTAAATAAAATCTTACTCTGGTTTTTCTCTGACAAGGTCCATAAGTAGAGAATACCATAATCATTATAAAAGTCAAAAAGATTGAAGCTGAGAAGCTCATTTCTGTCCCCAGAGAATATGATTCCATTTCTAAGTGATTTCAACATAAACCATCCTGTCTGAGCATGTAACTGTTCTTAAAGGATCCTGTTGGCAAGCATGTTAGCAATGTTTCTAAAAGGGACCTTGAACCTGATTTTATGATCTGAACGGTGTCAGCGATGAATGAGTTCTCTGACCGGCACTGGGTCAGATTTCCTTCCACTCTTGAAACAAAGTCAAGGGACTAAATGAGTGAACAAAAACCTTAATGTGGCTGGACCCTAAAAGCTATCTATGTAAAAATTACACCACTTTAGTCAACCATCCTGCTTCCTGTGAGTATTCAGAATTATGTCTGCTCACTTAAGTTTCAGAAATAAGATTTTAAACACTTTTTACCTTTGTTTTTTAGCTTTGGGAGAAGGAGTTGGATTCTATGTTTAGAGGCTTCCAAAGTGTCCAGAAACCCTTTGACTGCTTCATTGTTTGGAGCATTGTACCTCTTCGTGTCATACAAATCTCTCTTTTAATTTCTGTACAATAGCTTAAACTGGGACCCAATCTGAAGCCATCTCAGAGTTTAGGTAGCTGCTTTGGAAGCTCTTGACTTCTTTATGAAGCAAGGCATCCTCATGACTTGCTATCATGTGTGTCATTTCAATTATACCAATTTATAAAGACTTAAACCTCAAATCAGAGTTTATTCCTGAATGGGGCATTCTGTAGTTCTGCAAACAATAATGCAAACTCCTTTTCAGCTCCAAGGTGACACTTATACTTTCTGTCAGTCGCATACTCTTTTCTAATTGCCACCACTTCGCCAGGTGGGAAAGTGAGTTGTAAGTTATTTCCGCGTAAAGCTTAACTTCCAGTTTCATCATGACAGAGTAATTCTTTGTTCATCCTCTCCTTTTAATTCCAAAAACTAATACTTGTTTTACTGTAGTCAAAATCTTCATACTCTCCACAATGTGCTCATAATTAAAAAATAAAATAAAATCATCCTTCACCACTTAAACCTCATAGTAGCCACAACGTACTACATTCATAGAGCAACATAGTTTTACAAAATGGTCTTTTCATCTTCTATGGTGGCCTTTTTAAAAGGGAAATAAAATCTTTAAAGACACTATTTGATGAAAAGTCACACTAGTAAGGAAGCTTAAATTTTCTTCAGCAAGCCTAATAGAATATCTCAGCACTTACTCAACCAAACTCACTGTTACCTCATAAGTAGAGAAAAATCAAGCCACCTTCTTCGAGTGATTGTCCACGTGGATTCCGCTCTTGGTGCACATGCGCCCTATGGATGTGAGATTGGATTTTTTTAGCCAGCAGTGTCCATTGCCTCTACACCTGTGCCCTAGATACTCTCACGGCCCCTATGTGAGGGCTCAAAGGGTTGGGTGGGCCCAACAGTCCCTCAATTCCTTTTTAACACCAGTTGCAATACAATGGGTAAGGGCAATGATATGGTTATACAGTTGACAGCACTCAGTCATCAACTTTATGCATAAGATTTCAATGGGAGCCACATGGGGAACTCTAAGGTAAAAATATCTAGATCTCACTGTTACGGACCATCACTTGACAAGTCATAGCCTGATCTTTTATTAAAGTACAAATGCAGAGTTTGGCAACCATTTAGTTTGTTTTTATTTGTAGATATATAAATTACAATGCTTTAAGATGAAAGGTTGTGTTTTGTCTTTCTGTCTCTACATACCAATGCCTTATTCTTTATATACCTAATCTTATGGTTAAGGCACTGGACTGGTATTCTTGGTTCAATTGCTGACTCTGTCTCAGGCTTCTGGTGTGATCTTGGCCCTTAGTTTCCCACCTGTAAAAGAGAGAGAATGCTTGATTTCTTTTATTCTTTGTCTACCTTGTCTATTTAGTTGGTAAACTCTTTGGAGCAGGGACTTTATATTGTATTTGTCTGTGTGGTGTGTAAAATGCCAATGTCTTTTGTGGCCTTTAGACAGTACCATAATACAAATAAATAATTGTGCTAGCATATCAGACAAGAAATTTTTATGCTGTGCTATAAGGTATTAATAAAATGCTTTTTTCTTTTTTCACTCTCCATAGGCCCTGCTCTCAGTACTAAGAGAGAGTCATCGCACAAGAACTGTTTTTAGAAAAGTTGGTGGATTTGTGTATGTCACATCTTTACTTGTTGCTATGGAAAGATCCTTGTGCTCTCCACCTAAGAATGGCTGGGAGAAAGTAAACCAGAATCAAGTGTTTGAACTGCTTCACACTGTGTTCTGCACATTGACTGCAGCAATGCGCTATGAGCCAGCCAACTCGCATTTCTTCAAAACAGAGATCCAGTATGAAAAGCTGGCAGATGCTGTTCGATTGCTTGGCTGCTTCTCAGACTCAAGAAAAATAAGCCCCTTGAATGTCTTCCCCTCAAATACACAACCATTTCAAAGACTACTGGAGGATGACCTAATCTCCATGGACTCTGTGGCACCCACACTAAGGCATTGCAGTAAACTCTTTATTTATCTCTACAAAGTAGCCACAGATTCTTTTGACAGGTATGATCTGTTTTCCCTAAAAAATGACTGGTTTTAGAAATGTGGTGTTTGCAGGATTTGATGTTTCCACCTTTTTCTTCATCCACAAAGTGGAGCAAGATATTTTCCTCTACTCAAATGTAAACCTCTCGTATTGCTATTTTCAAGAATGGGCAACATGACCTTTAATGTTGAATGTCTTAGGTCATGACACCAAGCAACAGAGACACATTTAGTTTAAGACCATTTGATGGGTTAAAACTGTCAACAAGTAGTCTGCTTCTCCAGTATTTTTATTATCCATAAGTACTTGATCTTTGTCCATAATATCATAAAATTAGAAATATGCTACTTTGCAGTACACACCAACTTCTGATTGCCATAAAAATGGGATACACTAAAAACAAGTTATTTGATCGTTCGTTATATGACAAATTTATTTTAGACAGTAGAGATGCCATCCTTGAAATTGCCATTTAGCTTTTTAAAATTTATTTAGCATTAGAGACAATGGAGGCTGCTAACTACTTGAGATTTTAAAATCATATATAGTAAATATACCTCTTAATGGTCCCCTACAAAATAACTCTTATTTTTGAAGGTAGTTCTCACTTGTAACTTTTTTTTAAAGAAACTAATAGTGCAGCGATGATTTAAGCTTCATTGCTTAAATCGCAAAGCGGCTGTTCCATGTCCACGTGCTATATATCGGGCAAGATTTTCAAAAATAGATGTCTTGCGTTAGGTTCCTAGTAATATTTAAGAAGCTAAATAAGAGACCTAATAAAAATGCTGAGCATTTGGCAGCTTCTGATGAAGTCAGTGAGGAGCTGCAGAGTGCTCAGGTTTTCTTAACTCAGAGCACTTCTTCAGGTGTCTAAATATGGATTTAAGAGCATAACTTCAAGCTCTCGTTTTTGAAAATTTTGCCTACTGCCTTTAATGTTGTAAGAGAGCAAATCTGTATCCCTTCATCTTGAAAGAAATTAGCATAAAAAATCCTAGTTACTTTGTATTAAAATCGCTTTGAAATATTTGATTGAAACATTTTTGAATTAACCAATTGGTGATGTATACAATACATGCTGTAACATTGGCTAGTTGTGGAATCTGATGAATTAAGGATGGGTAACTAAATCTCTAGTGTCATTGCAAATGCATTCCTTTCTAATTTCCTTTTATTTTCCATTCTTCTTTAATCAACACTTTTTCTTCCTTTCTTAAACCATCTGATGGTCATGTTTTTGCAGAGTTTATTCTCAGAATATTATTTTAATCCCATCTACTGCAAGTTAATCAAACTTTTTTATTTGCTCAGAAATGACCTATTGTCAATTCCTGCTCTACTTACCCTTGAAGGATGTTTTTATGTGCTGGTTTGATTGTGTAGATTACCATATCTGCTGAGTAATGAGCAAAAAAAATTGTTTGCCCTAATTATTGTGGAGTGGTGCACGTCTGTTTGTTTTACCTGATGCATGTTCCTCAGTAGCATTCTTTGTTGTCCTTGCTGATTCTGTAGGATGGATCCTATAAAGGTTTTTACTGGTTGGTGGTATTGTAAAACTAACAAGCTTCTGGCCTCTCCTTTTCTTTTCTAACTTCTCTATCCCACCCCTGTCTGTTTTGTCTGTAGTCGTGCAGAACAGATCCCTCCTTGCCTGACAAATGAGACTTCTCTCCCCTCTCCTTGGGGTACGCCAGCTTTGTCCAGGAAAAGGTACTGATCCTTTAAGAGAAGTTGATCTCTCTTCTGGTTTCTCTTGTCACTGTTCTTGTTGCTTTTTTTCTTAATCTGCTTTTTGTGGCGGGGTGTGTACTGTCTGTCTTTCTTTGTTCTTTGAGGAAAACAACTTGTCAACTTGTAAAAGAATTAGGTGGCTCGTGGGCTGAAAGGTACTTATTTGTGCATCATGTGACAAATTTACAGTTACGTTTAAAAATTGCTTCTAGTACATAACACTAAATTACGTGGAATCCGAGACAGAAATGGCTAAGTTCTGAAAGCAGTTAATTTGCACCTCTTCAAAACAAATCAAATATTTTTATAAGAAATCATCTAGGAGGTACAGACAGCTCCCAGGGATCAAGTCCAAGAATGCAGTGGTAGATAAATTCATTTAAAAAAAAAAATCCCGAATGAATTTCTCAGAAAAGATATTTTTTACTTTATCAGTAAACTGAGTACTATTATGATATGTCTATTGCCTACAATTACTGCCTAATGAAAATAATAAACCCTTCGGAACATATACTACTGACAACTGTGGAGGCATGTGAATGTTAAATGGCTTGGAAAGTGAGTCCAAAATCTCCCAAATTTCTGAGACTGTAAATTTCTGAAATCCTTTCTCACTGTTTTCTTTTTCTCAGCTAATTCTTTCTTAATACTTTTATTTAAAAAATGAAGTAGATCTGCATTTAAAACCTGTTTTGCAATATTTGCAGTAAAGGAGATTACCACAAAAATACCTTTTTTTCACCTTTCTATGTGAAGTAACAGTCACTCGTTGGTATTCTTCTGGGATTGGTTTGGAAGGGACTTCCTGTCTAATAATCTAGCACCTCTCAGACTGTCATTTCTTTTCTTTTCTGATACTAAGGCTTGGTCTACACTTACCCCCCAAGTCGAAGTAAGGTACGCAAATTCAGCTACGTGAATAACGTAGCTGAATTCGACATACCTTACTTGGAACTTACCGCGGTTCAGACGCGGTCCACACGCGGCAGGCAGGCTCCCCGTCGACTCCGCGGTACTCCTCTCGTTGAGCTGGAGTACCGCAGTCGACGGGGATCACTTCCTGGTTCGATTTATCGCGTCCAGACCAGACGCGATAAAATGAACTCGGAACTTCGCTGCCCAGCCGCCGAACTAGCGCGGCAGTGTAGACCAGCCCTAAGGCATTTAGGAGCAAACTGCGCTGTTATAGAAGAGAGACGTGTTTGCTGCCAAATTCATTTCTCTCTCGCACATGTTGAAAGAAAGAGATTTCCTGTGGAGACCTTCTAGTGTTTTGTCCATAAGATTGACCTATTCCACTACTGATTTGTATTCTCTTCATCTGCATCATTCTATTCTCTTAGGTGTAAATGGCATTACTTGCTCCTATAAGCTGAATTTTTGAAATACACAGATATGCAAAAAGCACAATCTTGCCAGTAGAATGCATTTAGTCTGCCAAACATAGGCTTTTAAGGGCAGCTGACGCCAGAGGATAATGACTAAGAAGGTGCCAGCTTTGTAGCTAGCCCAAAGTATTTAATTTAAAAAAAATATTTTAATCTTTTTAAGTCTTCCCAAACTGAAAATGTGGCAGTCCTTTGGATGTTTAAAAAATAGAAGCATCAAGATAGGATGTTCAACCTATCAGATCATTTAGTTTGGCTATTAACATTGAAGACACTTGTTAAGAGAACTGAATGCATTTTCTATAGATGTTTGATTTGTAAACAAATTGTTCCTTTCCATTGTCATGTATATTCTGTCAAACAAGTTCAAGAAAAGATTCACATAAAGTATTGATATCATCTTGGGTTAATTTACTGAATATACAAAACAATTTATATAAAAACATAGGTACAAATAATTAAACATAAAGGCCAAGTTTCTTAAAAAGTCTATTTTTCGGCATATATGTGCCCAATTTTTCCCAAGCACCTCCCTCCGGTTGACTAGTGGCAGATCACATTTTTTAAATTAAGTTACTTAATTAGGAGCCTAAGTTTAGACTTGTGTTTGTTGAAAATCTCAGCCAAAATGCTCTTCCAAAAGCAGTATTCTCTCTCCACTTTACATTTCCTTTTTCCTGCACTGATTTCCTACTTGCCATAGTCTGTTATTCTGCTATCTAGTTTATATAACTTGTTACATCCTAGGTTAGCAGACTAACAAGCACAGAGTATGGCGTTATATGAACAAAAGAAATTTATTTGCTATCTATTTACAAAAATGTCTAAAAGTTCTGTCTATATACAGTTTTTAAGCTCTCTTAATTATATACACAAACATTCAGTGCACTGATTTTCAGTCTTGTTTACCCAAAAGATGTTGCCACCTAAATATTATTGTTTGTATAAACAGAATACAGATAACTTGTCTAGTCAATGTTTAGTTACGGTACACAGTGGTTTTTATATAGCATAGAAGTACTGTGCTTTCAGCCATCTGTATGATTAGATCATGCATTATTGCTTTAGTGCTAGTTTGATTTCTGGGAATTTCAGAAGTAGGAGAGCTGACTGGACATTATCTGAACTGTCATCTCATTCAAGAGGATGCCAGATCTGTGCAAAGGAACACTTTTTGGCTTGACACCCTGATCAAAAGGCAAATAGAAAAGGGAGTGTACCTTTCATTACAAATATTTTTTATCCATTATCCAACTTAGAAAACGTTTGGATAACAGTCACTCTGAGACAGACTTCTACAGTGGTTATCCGCAACAAATGCTACTCAATTTTGGCTAAATCTGTTGGGAATAACTTTCTAACTATAAGATTGTTAAACACTGGAATAGGCTTCCAAGGGAGGTTGTGAAATCCTCTGTCCTTGGAGGTTTTAAGAACGGGTTAGACAAACACCTGTCAGAGATGGTCTAGGTGTACTTGGTCTGCCTCAGAGCAAGGGGCTGGGCTGGATTACCTCTTGAGGTCCCCGAGGCCTGCATTTTTATGATTCTGTGGTTATCTTTGTTGACACATAGTTATAATTAAACCCAATAGTTTAAGTTTGAGTTGGACTTTTTTCAGTCTTGTCTCTGTCTAGGAAGACCTGTAGATTTTCTTTGTTTACATTAACTTTTTTCCTATTGTCTTTTTCTTTTCTTCTCTCCTAGAGGGCCACTATAAAAAATATGTGCTAGGCACAGCTAGGTGTGATGTACCTAAGGTTATGGAGGTGAAATAGGAGAGGGAACAAGTAAATTTTGTGAATACCTTTGTAATATTTTTTTCTGAGCTGTAATTTATCTTTCCATTCTAATAAGTATTCTTGAACTGGTATTTGTGGCCTTCTGGAAATAGGAATCCATTGTAGAGAAAACTGAAAAGGAACATTTGAAAATTTTAAGCAGACCCAGACCTGGAAATCATCAAATTAATTATGGGTAGTTTGAGGGACAGATGGGGATAGTTCATGCTTTCTATAATGCAAAGAAGAAAATAGTATATGTTTGATTGCATCCCTTTCCCTACAACCTTGAATGTCATCTTAGACTGTAAGCAATTTGAGGCAGGGGTCATAACTTTGTGTTTATACATCAACCTAGCATGATGGGCCTGATCTTGACTGGGCCCTCTAGGCATTACTGTAATATAAATTACAACAACAGCAACAACAAAAGGATGGTGTTGGCAGCCACAGAATATGACAGTACTGTAAGGAATGATATCTAGGCAAGTTGAAACTCTGTGGAAATTATTTTTTGAAATTACTCTGATGGTGAAGTTCAGTTATGGATCCGTTCTGAAATACTGGTCAAAAAGTCTTAATATAACACTTAAATATATGTGGACTTGTAATCCTTAAGAAATTAAATGCCTGTGAACTCTGACACTTGAAACTTGCAAGTGTTTACTGTAAAGAAGCAGGACTTTTCCTATTAAGCAGAAAAAAGTTATCAGCTAAAGAATTACCCATATCTTTAACCTCAAAAAATCATCCAAGTATTGAGAAATCTATTAAACCAGGGAGAAAAGTACTAAATTAATAAACATTTACATGATAAAACTGCCAGCCATTTTAAATTTAGGGCTAGTGTACACTACTGCGCTACATCGGTGCAGCTGTGCTGCTGTAGCATGTCTGGTGAAGATGCACTATGCCAACAAGGGAGTGCTCTCCTGTTGGCATAATTACTCAACCTCAATGAAAGGCTGAAGCTGTGTTGGTGGGAGAGTGCCTCCCGCTGACATGACAGTGTAGACACGGCTTTAAGTTGATGTAACTTACGTTGCTCAGGGGGGCTGCTTTTTCACACCCTGAGCAATGTAAGTTACATCGACTTTAGTGGTAGTGTAGACAAGCCCTTAGTCTAATAAGAAAATACCCTAAAATAACTATGTGTTTTGGGCCTTGGCCATACTAGAGATCCATGTTTTTTTTTTTAAATGGAGGTTGGAGTCAAGCATAATTTGTGAAAATACTTTCAAAAGTGGTTTGGGCAGCATTCAAAACTTCTTGCAAGGGATATGTCTTTGAACTAATTTTTAACCTTACCATAGAATTACTTGATTTATCACATATAAAGAAATATATTGTAGTTTTTTAAATAGGGGTTGAGGAATCAAAGTATTAACAATTTCCTCCACTTTAAAGGCTCACATTCCAAGAAAGAAATGATAGCGCTCTTTTTGAAGACTGTTCTGAAGGCAAAAGTAGATATCTATAAAGTAGTAGGGAATATTGTGACCTGCAAAGAAATTGTTACCTAGTATTTATGCTTTGTGTCCACATTCTACGTGAAGATGCACATATACTATACATATGTTGCATATTTTTTGTAATGACTATTAGTCTTGTCAAGAAAAGGAGCCCCACATGAGCAATATTAGCATCTAAATCATTGCCTTCAAAGCATCTATTCTCTGAACTGCCCTACTGCCCAAGCTGCTGAATCTGCAATAGTCTTGGCGCCAGAAGTATGGCATGAAACTGTTACTGCTGAGAATCTCATTGGAATGCAAAACGGTTATGGGCTTATAGACCTAAGTGGTTGCTTATGCCTTCAAAGCATCTGTTCTCTAGTGTCGACATGCTGAACCTGCAGAAGTCCTCTTGGATCACAGAAGCTCCATGTAATGCTAATGTTGCTGAGAGGAACTCATTGGGAGAGTGAGAACGTATGGGCTGCTAGCCTTAGTATATAGTTGGCACAAGCTTCATAATCTTGGGAGTTAATTGTTTAAATTGCCTTCAATTCTGTAATAGTGAGTTTTCGAAGCAGCCGTTACAGAGGGGAAAAACTGGGTGACGGATGATGAAAATTGATTTTGTCCCAAACATTTGTCTAAACATTATTTATGGACGGTTTATACTATTGTGTGTAATGTATTCTACTCTATGTTGAAGTGAAAATTTTTATGAGGAAATATATTTTTCTTGGGAGATATTATCTCTTTTCTAACAGGAAGTGGCATTCCGGAGCTGGAACGTATTATGGAAGTGAAATTCTCCCCACTAGTCCTGGAAGAATATCTACTTGTGATTTCAAGAAGAGGAAATCATCTGGCATGTTTAATTGGGAATTTTTTATGTACAAGTTGAATGTTACAATAGTTAATAGAGAAGTGCAGAGCTAATAGTGAATGGGTATAATAAAAGCTGTCTTTCCTCTTGTCCTATAGGCATGCATATCATTCTGTTTCAACCCCACCTGTGTACCCTCCCAAAAACATAGCTGATGTGAAGCTCCACACAGGACCCACGCTGCTGCAAAGCTCTGATGCTGTCATCATTCACCCTGGAGCTATGCTCGCCATGTTGGATCTTCTAGCCTCAGTTGGATCAACTGCACAGCCAGAAGTAAGCAAATAAGCTGTAGTCCTTAATGTTGAATCTGACTAGGGGAATGGATAGTAAAAGGATACAGTGTCTCTTGTCTGTATGTTGCTAGTTGAAATTTAGTGTAGGAATTAGTGAATTGAACGAAGGTATTGATTAAATCAAAGTTAATAGCTGGAGGTGGTTTAGTGCCCCCCTAAGATGTGCTAGTTGTAGTCCAGATATCAAAGAGTAAGAGATTACATAATTAGACCATATGCATAACTGGCACTAATTGCCATTATTGCTGAAAGAACCAGCAGAGATTTCAAGGAAATGGGCACAGACTCTACAGTCTTTTACCCTGCTCCTCTCCAACCTACCCCTAGGTAAGGGTAAAAGACATTGGAAGGGTAGTGTGAGGAAGCTTGCACAGCTGCTGTCCTTCTACCAATGTTCTAGTGGTTATGTAAGAGGACTTCAGTCTCCAAAACTGTCAACCTAGCATTTATATACGCTCTTTATTTATAAAAAAAAAAAGGTGGAAAAAATCCTTAGTAGTAAAAGTAATATGGCTGTTGGTACAGAGATTATTTTACTCATGCTTTTTGGTGTAGTACGATTCAGATAATAGACCAAATACATGTCTTTTTGTCAATATAGCAAAGGTTTACGGTATATTATGAGTTTTATTTGTCCTTTTTATTATACTTGCATTTGTAAGATTAAGGTAATCAATACAGTTGAGTAGAAGGAGCATCATAAATAATTGCTTACATAAAAAATTATTTCACCAGTATAAATCATTTTGGTTCTTAGTCCTCTTTTACTTTTTGATTAAATCTCATAAAGTAAAAGTGTTAGCAAGTGTTATGAATGTTTTGCTTTCCTTTCTGAAGCATCAGATACTGTATTATGCTGGAGAATATGCTGGAGAGGCAGGACACTAAACTGGATAGACTAGTCATCTAATCCAGTATGGCAACTTTTTTTGTTATCTTCCATTAGAAACAGCTAAGGGTATCTTTAAGTTTAGCAGTGTAGAAAGTATTAAAACCCAATATTTTATAGTTGTATATATTCTTCATCTTACTAAACAGGATTTATGTGATATTTTTGCTAACTATTTTAAAGAGATTTCAGTTCAGATATTTACCCCACAGATCCTTGTTTATCAAAATGAAGCTCCAAAAACTGTCAGGCATGTATAGCTATGACAACATTTTGCTGTTTTTCTCTTTTGAGTTTGGAAGCCTTTTTGTGTTCACAGTTGTAGCGACAAATGTGCTGCATATGGCACAAAGTTTATTACAGTGGATGTTGTGGGAAAGACTGTTTTTGGCAACAGCTTAGAGCTGATAAGGATAAAACTTCTAAGCAAGTTGAACATATTTCTAAGTCTGCTCACTTCTGTTTAAAGCAGAAGTTATTTTCATCAGGTGCACCAGAGCAAATTTCCTTGGCAGAGTTCTAATCAATGCATTGTTTAATTTATTTGTCCTGTTTCAAAGAGAAGGGAAACAATACTTAAATTAGATTCTCTTTTCTCGTTTTTAAAATTGCATTACAGGACATCCTGTGCTAATTATTTCCCTTCTAGTATATGGGTATTTTTATTTATTATATTTTGCAGCATGCATTGGATCTTCAGCTTGCAGTGGCCAACATATTGCAATCCCTGGTGCATACAGAAAGAAACCAGCAAGTAATGTGTGAAGCTGGACTCCATGCACGTCTTCTACAGAGATGTAGTGCAGCTCTTGCTGATGAGGACCATTCATTGCATCCCCCACTCCAGAGGATGTTTGAAAGGCTGGCCTCTCAGGCACTGGAGCCAATGGTGTTGAGGTCAGAAAGATTTTTTTCAGGTCACTGATGTTCACATTGGGTGGGTCCAATCTGTCAAAAAGTTTGGTGTATAAATGATGTGGGCTGGTCAATTTCAGCAACTTCGATTTCTTAGTAAAATATTAGAAAAAATAGCTGATTGTTTGTGTTTGATAGTGACCCTATTGGATATTGCCTTGCTGTTGTTAATAAGAATGTTACCTTGTGAATATAGTATTTTTTCAATGTTCAGATTTAAGCTGCCTTTCTGATATTTTTAAATTATATTGTCGAAATACATGTCCTTACAGCTTCTAGTTTGGCTGGCAGGGAAGAGAAACTTGGTTAAAAATGTGAAAAGAACCAAAAAGAAGTAGCCACTGCTACAGAAGATTCTTTATAGACTTTCTAAACAGTATAAAGTAACTTAAACTAGATAAGACTTAAACCTTCCCTTTTCTTTGGCTCTTTATTTTAATTTATGTATGAGGGGGAAAGAGGTGCCTGAAAGGAGAAATGTCTAGGACAGACCTCTCTAGTCTGTGGGGTTTTATTACTGGCTTACTCTATAGTTTAGTGACAATTTCTGGTCTTTGTGAAAATAGATTTGCTATAGCGTAACGTACACGATTTCTGAGAGAAAAATAAAACACATTGAAAGGCTGATGACCAAGCTTTGGTCACTGACGTTTCTTGTTGGTAACAGAATGCACTGTGATTGCTACAGTTTAAAGTTAGTTTTTTTCCTCCTCCATTTTAATGCAGGTGCTCTAGTACACCTTTCTTAGGGCTTGTCTACACTTAACAGAGCTGTAGCACTTAGTGAAGACACTACCTATGCTGACAGGAGAGCTTCTCCTGTCGGTGTAGGTACTCCACCTCCTTGAGAAGTGGTAGCAGTGTTGATGGGAGAAGCCCTCCAATTGACATAGCACTGTCTGCACTTGGAATTGAGTTGGTATAACTGCATCATTCAGGGATGTGAATTTTCCACACCCCTCAGCGACATAGTTATACAGATATAAGTTTGTAGTGTAGACCAGGACTAAGCTAGCAATAGAAAAGAATTTGATATTGTTTGTTCCCTGCTTAATACTTCAGTGGTTTGAGCATTGGCCTGCTAAACCCAGGTTTGTGAGTTCAATCCTTGAGGAGGCCACTTAGGGATCTGGGGCAAAATCAGTACTTGGTCCTGCTAGTGAAGGCAGGGGGCTGGACTCGATGACCTTTCGGAGTCCCTTCCAGTTCTATGAGATAAATATATCTCCATAATAATAAAAGTATCTTGGATAGATTGAGTAGTGCCTGCAGTATTGAAAACAGTAAGTTACGCAATTAACTAGGTGGCTAGTAATGACGTATGGAACTTTTCCCTGCTGGATTGTCCATTCAGATCTAGCCCAGATTAACTGGTTTACAGTCTGATTGTTGATTGGTTGTAAGAAGCAGTATGTAGTGTCAGTCCAGTTTTTAGTGGTGTGTATCCACATCAGAAACTACAACTTCAGTTGGTATTCTCAGCTGAGGGATCGAGGATTTAAATCGGTCTGCAGACTGAACTACGCTCTTGTCTGCTTGAGGTGGTCCCTTTGTCAACATTGTGGCACACTGGTGATAAAATGTGCAGCCCATTTTGTACCTTTCTGGAAGAAAAACAAGTGACTTAAATCTTTAGGGTATAATGAGCTATAATTTCACCAAAGAAAAAAAAGAAATCTGAGAGAAAAGTCTACTTACTTTAAAGACTAGAATGTATGTTTTTACTACTATATTTTAGCAGTGTGGTTATCCAAAAATATGTAATGGTTTATTACAAAATATCGCATCACAAATAACTAGAAATCATAACATTTTGTGGTAATGAGTGAATTTACCACCACTCTGTGTGTGTGTGTGTGTGTGTGTGTGTGTGTGTGTGTGTGTGTGTGTGTGTATATATATATACACACATACACATTGTGTATGCAGTAGTTAATTAAAAATAGAAATAGTTTTGAATCAAAATATTTTTGCTTGCTGTCAGTATTTGTTTTTGGAATTCATATTTTATTTAAATAGTTTTAATGTTTTCTATTTTGTGTTTGGTTGCAGACTTTAAAAATGAAAACAAGTAAGCAACTTGCTTTGTATAATTTTTTTGTCTCTCTTACCCAGGGAATTTTTACGTTTGGCAAATCCTTTGAATTGTGGCGCTTGGGACAAAAAGCTGTTGAAACTGTACCGAGTGCACAAACCCAGCTCATTAAGCTATGAACCAGAGATGAGAAGTAAGTTGTTCAACATCAGAAATATATTTAATTGGTGTTCCTCGGCAAATCTGATTTATATCTAATAAAAATTTATAGGTAAACTTCCAGAGAGACATTGACACATAATGAAATAAATAATCTGAATGATTTGATGGGGGTTTTTTTAGTTACTAAGGGGAAAAGTAGCTATCCAATTATAATTAAAAAGCATTATTTTCACAAAAGGTCTTAACAACAGTATGGGATCTGTCACCACTTAAACTTACTTACTAAATAAATAAATCCTGTGAGGAGTATATAACTTTAAGGGACACAATCTACTTAACTATTACTCATCTCTGATTTTTAATCTTACCTTTACAAATAGCATCTAAGATTACAGTAATTCAAAGATACTTTGTGTATTTGTGACAGCCCTTTGTGTATCATCATCTTTCACTATTTCTGCTGCAATAATTGCTTAGGCTCCAGCCATGCAATTGGTGCACTAACTCAGATCCCTGAAACAATTCCCATTGCTTAAGTGGGACTCTGTGTGATTGTAAAGATGTGCACTAGCATAACTGCAGGATCAGGGCCATTTTCAGCTTTCCTCTGTCTTTCAAATGGCAAAAGGTGAGAGGGAGAGCATGAGGGGGTGTTGAAAAAACATTTTTTCAAAAATAAAAATTGTGATTTGAAAATCCATAGAAATTGGCAGGGTACATGAAATTAATTGCAATTCAGTTTTTAAAAACTGATTAGTTTTTAAATTGGTGGTATATCTTTTTAATAGTTAGGAAGTTCAGGAATATAATTGTTCACTATTCATTGTCTTTGACATACTAATATAGGACTGGAAGGGACATCCTGACTCACTGAGTCCACTTCTCCCTCCCACTCCCCGTCCGCCCCCACCCATCCCCACTTCAGGCCACTGCATCATATAATCCGTTCATAAATGTGTATCAAGCTCCATTTTAAATGTAGTTAGGTTGTCTGTCCGCGCTACTCCTCATGGGAAGCTGTTCCAAAACCTTACTCCTCTGATGGTTAGAGACGTTCTTCTATTTTCCATCTTAAATTTCTTCATGACCAATTTATAGCCATTTGTTCTTCTGCCAACGTTGTCCTTTCTCTGAAATAGCCCTTCTCCCTCCCTAATGTTTACCTCTTTGTTGTATTTATAGAAAGCAATCATATCCACTCCCAGCCTTCATTTTGGTAGGTGAAACAAACCAAACTCTTTTATCCTCCTCTCAAAAGAGAGGCTCTCCATTCCACTGATCATTCTAGTAGTCTTTCTCTGCACTGGTTCCAATTTCAAGTCATTTTTCTTGAAAGAGGGTGACGAGAATTATACACAGTGTTCCAGATGAAGTTTTACCAGTGCTTTTTAAAATGGCATTTATACTTCCCTAGCTCTGCTGAAAATTATTTATCTTCTGCATCCTAGATGATACATGAAAGATAATAGAGAATGTTATTCTGTATCAATTCATTCTCAACATAGTCTACATCATTGGCATACTTTAAATTTGTCTTTGGTAGCACGTGCTAGGCATTGTTGGATGACAGGCACATGCATAATCTACAAATTTTCAAGAGACTAACACAAGTAACTCTAGTAGTAGTAAGAACTTCAGTTTGTTATCTTGGTATAATTTGAAAAACTACTGGTCAGTAATATTGTACAATGTACAGTGAGAAAATGTATTTGACTTATTTTAGCAGTATGTTACTTATATATTCAGAAAAGACTTCAAGAATCTTTGAAAAATATTATCTTTTCATTCACTCAGTCTTAAAATAAAATTGCATTTTGTCTTCAGTACCCAAAAGAAACCTGAGTGTATTAGAACGGGAGCATCAGGAAGTCTGTTTCAACAGAAAATCTGAGAGGAAGGAAAGGGACACTTGTGGCTGAGGCTCTGGACAGGGACTTATGAGATCTGGGTTCAGTTCCCATCTCTGTCACAAACTTTCTGATGACCTTGAGCAAGATATTTAATCTCTTTGCTTTAGTTTAGCATCTTTAAAATGAGGGTAATGCTACTCACAGAGGAGCTGATGACTATTAAGCACTCATACTGCAGTTAAAGGGGCATGAAAAGTATATAAATAAATGAGGGCCTGAAAAAATGTTTTCTTCTGCCAATATATTTTTTTTTCTTGGCTTCTATTGTAGGTAGTATGGTCACATCAATGGAGGGTCTGGGTTCTGACAGCGTGTTCAGCTTGCATGAAGATAACCACTACCGCATAAGCAGGAGCCTGCTAAAGCCAGCAGAAGGAAGCACAGTACCCCTGACGAGGGTGAAGTGTTTGGTCTCCATGACAACCCCACATGATATCAGACTTCACGGATCGTCAGTTACTCCAGCATTTATTGAATTTGACACATCTCTTGAAGGATTTGGGTAAGGTCTTGCCACGCTTTCAAATAGTGTATTGTAAAGAATATCTTATTTCTTTTTTCTTTCAAAGAAATGTGTGCAATTTTTAATGAGCAGTTTAAAAAACAAAAACAATTAATCTACAGAAAGAACTACATACTCAATGCCTTCAGACAAAGGATGCTGAATTCAACTAATGAATTTGAAGCACTTTTTGTTACCTGTGGAAGTGTGGATGCCACTGATAATACTGCTTACTTAGATGATCATTTACATGTGCATGGTGGGATCTTTTCAAATAAAGAAGAAACACAAGCATATACTAGCACAAAGAAGCGAGCTGCCAGGATTCAAATGAAGCCTGTGTCCCTAAAATTATCCTAAACTACCCTGAAACCTGGAAGGATTTGGTTGAGAGTTATATACTAGAGAATTATAGGCAAAGTAGAAATAGAATTAAAATTGTTTTGAAGCAGCAACTTTTAAAAGGAAATTGAGCCAGTAAGTAAGTGCAAATCATTGTAGAACAATTTGATCACAGTAATTAGAGGTGTGATCCGTGTACAGGACTTAACTCCCTCTGTACCCTTTGTTAAATCACTTAACCTCCTTGATGCCATTTCCCCATCTAGTAAGTGGGACTGTTTGTGAGGATCAGCTAGTGTTTATATAAGTGCTTGGAAGCTTAAGATGTGGTGCTATAATACTCAGCAATTTTCTAATAAAAACATTTCTCCTAGGTTCCTTTTTAAAAGATAGAAGAAGTTAAAACATTTTTCATATTTGTCTTGTGAAGAGCCAGACCCTTTCAAAACCGCTATGAATGAATTCAAGTAATTTGTAAGGAAAATATCTCTTACTTCTGCATTTGTGGTGGACTCCACTTGGCTGGCAGTGAGATCCATGTCAGCTAACGCAGGCTTAAAAATACTGCCAGGCGGTCTCAAGTCAGACAACTCTGAATGAAACCCTGGATGGTGGATAATTATTCAAAGAAAATCCATTGTCTCTAATTTCTCAGATGGAATTCTATTTGGGCAGAAACTTGCCAAGAAGGGTTCTAGTTACATGGACAAGCTGCTCTCAGAAAGGACTACAGGCTTTCAGACAAGAGGAGTAGCTCCTTTACCTTTTATCTCTCCCTCTCCCCCCTCCCCCCAAAAAAAAAAGAAAAGAAAAAAGTTACCAAAGAAGGAGAACTTTCTTATTTCAGGGGTAATACTTGAATTCAGAAAGCCAGAGGGAAGCTCAGATTGGGGAATGGATTCAATCCCTCCTTCCAGCCCTAATAGTTTGTATCATTGACTGCAACCAGCTTTCCATCCTGAAATAGGCCTACAGGACAGACTATCCCAATTATCAAGTACCTGGTTCCAATTTATTTCAGACAGGTTGGATTGAGAGTATATCATGGATATTCTGGAGTTTGACTGCTCCACTTTCCTTTTTACATCCCCACTCCGACCTCACAAGGCACATATAATTAAACTATCCTGGATGCAATCTTGCAGTTTCTAGAGCTGGTAGAACCTGTCCCTCAAGATGAAGGGTGCGCATTGCCCTACTCTATGTTGTTCATAATAAGAAAAAAGCTCAACCGAGTTCCAGAATATGTTAGACCTAGAGAGGCTACAATAGTTGAAAGAAAATGACAAAATTCAGGATGATGACTCTAGCTTTTTACTATCACTGTGATTTCTTCAGGAGTCCTTTCAGGTTTCAGTGGCTCTGTCAAGAGTTGATGTGAATATTCCAGTCACATCTTGTCATCAATCTCTTTGGTTCACCTATGATATCACAATCAGTACAAAATATTATCGTTGGTCTGCTCTAAATAAATAAATTAATGGAGATATCCTATCTCCTAGAACTGGAAGGGACCTTGAAAGGTCATCGATTCCAGCCCCCTGCCTTCACTAGCAGGACCAAGTATTGATTTTGCCCCAGATCCCTAAGTGGCCCCCTCAAGGATTGAACTCACAACCCTGGGTTTAGCAGGCCAATGCTCAAACCACTGAGCCATCCCGCCCCCTTACTGAGCCATCCCGCCCCCGTCCCAGAATGCTTATAAAGTTATTAGTGATAAGAGCTAGGTTAAGTAGTTGAGACCCATTTATATATGTTAGACAATACACTGATTAGATCATCTTCCGCAGGGGCCTCGCCAGATCAAAGGGTTATTTTTAGTATGGGGAGCCCATCTGGAACACAATGCAAAGAGGATATTGAGGTTAAGACTCCAGAGTACCAGTGTTTTAGACATGAGTTGGTCAGGTTGCTTCTTCAGGATTTCCAGGATCACCTGAGAAGGAAGCACATCCTGATTCAATCAGTAAACACAACCATAACATATGTAAACCACTGGTGGGTCACCCGAAGTTCAAGTCTAAAGGTCAACATGATGCAGATTCTCTTGCAAGTAGAAGGTCACCTAACTTGCACCAAGGCAATCCATATAAAGGTAAACCAGAACACAAAAGCAGACTTGCTATGTCTTCAGCAGGTGGTTAACTTGAAAATGTTTCTGAACCAAGAATTATTCAGTTGATATCCAGAGAGCTACCTTAGCTAGACCTATTTGCGTCAAGTCAAAAACCCAAACGTGAAGCTACTTTTCCCCAGGTCAGGGAAGCAGAACTGTGATTATGGGAAACAGATGGCCTGAATCACAGATGTCCTAATCCAGTTTGTCTACACTTTCACTCTCCACCATTAAGAAGAGTGATTCAGAAGGTTAGAAAGGGACGGGTGTGTGTTGATCATTCTTCTTAACCAAGGATTTGCCAAAGAGACCATGCTACTCAAACCAAGTGGAGCTATTACAGAGGTCTTTGTTCACCTTCCCAGTAGGCAGGATCTCTTATCCCAGGTCTTGCTCCTGCCTCCAGACATAGATTACCTGAACTGAAAAGCTTGGCTACTGGGTGTCAAGTTCTGAACAAAATTAGATAACATCTTTCCTGGCCTCAACATATGCAACTGTTCTGGTACAATTCTCTTACTAATATCAAAATGATCACCACCACAAAAGAACAGATATTCCAGCTTTTCTGTATTCTTCACCAGACTGTTTAGACCTGGCTTAAGACTACCACCCACCTACCATCATATTGCTGGCCTTTAAGATAGGCAGTGTCATACATGCATGCTGGGCTTGTCTCTCTCCTAGGTGACCTCATTATATTGAAGGTTTCTTAGGGCAGCACGACCATCTCAACCAGCAAGGTAGTGCTATCTTCCCTTCTGTTTTACATGAGGACACAGTAGCTATTTGGACTCCAAAGTTATTTGTCACCAAAGTATAAACTCTTCCTTATTTCAGAGGTAATCAGTCTTCCCTCGGTTTGCCCAAGGCCTCAGCAATTGAAAGAAGAAACACAGCACATCCTAGATGTGGGAAGAGCAGTGGAAATACATCTTGTCAAAACTTGCCAGTCCAGGAAAACACTTTATTCCTTTCCTACCATCCTAAATACTTGGGCCTGAAGGAATATAAATCCTCCACAGCTCGTTAGCCAGATGCCTCTCTAAAGAATACTTATCTGTAGATAAACTGATTACTTTAAAGGATCAGGGAACACTCAACGCATTCCATAGTGGCATCCTGAGAAATGTCTTCAGCCACCACAGAGGAAATCTGTTCATCCATTAATACTTCTTTTTAAAGGATGATAGACTTGACTTTCACTTCCCTGCAGAAGTATACTTTGACACAAAGGAGCTCCAGGTATCTGACATATACAGTGTAAGTTGTTTAGGTGGATATGGTGGAATTTAACAAAATAAGGCTGTTGAAGTTGTTTGTATTAAATCTAATAAGAATTTAGGGTGAGACCCTGAATCCCTCTGATTCTTTAGCTGACACAGCTCCCAACACAAATTACACCAGTCCTAATGGCTGGGGTGAGTTATGACTGACTTCAGTATCAGTGTAAAGTGGCTTTGGACAGAGGCCCTAGAGCTTCATGGACAAGTGTCAACTGCCTCTGGTACCTACAGTAAGACAGGCACTGACAAAATGTCTTGAGGAGAGTTCAGTCTTGGAAAGAAAATTAAGGGGTAATACATTTTTTGTATTCTCTATGTAAGCAAGTGAATTCAAGTACAGTGTGGGCATGTTACAGCATCTTTTTCCAGGTTAGATTTTGTTTACTTATAAAGTAGAGATTGGAAAATTGCATTGATATTTGGCTATCACAAACACTAATATAGAGATATTTTATTTAACAGCTGTCTATTCTTGCCAAGTTTGGCTCCCCACAATGCACCTACAAATAATGCTGTCACAACAGGTCTTGTTGATGGTGCTGTAGTCAGTGGAATTGGAACTGGTAAGTACATACAGCTGTTTACAATATTATATATTAATGACTCTGTACTATTTATGACTGCTGTATTGCTCTGTTAACCACAAAGTGATAGCAGTATTATATGTGCTCCTCTCAAATAGTCTAGAGCTCTTCTTATATCTTATTTATATACCTTTCTATTGTTTTCCACTGCATCAGCAAAAAGAAATAGAAAATGTAGAAATGTTTTACAGTGAAAGATTTTTCAGCATAAGGTTGAACTGTGTAAAAGGAATGTATGTGATGCAAATGTACTTGTGTGTGTGTGTGTGTGTATGAATACAACATAGTCAAATTTATTCCTTCAGAACACATGTTAAGAGAACATTAAGATTGCAGTGTTAAACAGCCAAAACTCAGGAAGTGCTGTAATTTAGGTCACACATTCAAACTTAATTGTTTTATACAATAATCATTGTTGCATCGTCACAATACTGTTATTTATTCAGGATCCCAGCCTCATTCAGTGAATAGAATGAATGGTACAACATGTATTATTTTGATCTTCCTTTTTTAAGGAGTAGACCTCTGTCACATGTGAGCCCTGATCCAATTTTCATTGAAGTCAATGGAAAGATTCCTATTGACTTCTGTGGCAGTTAGTGGAGGCCTTCATTGTACATCATACCATTGGTACACTTACGGCTCAATTCTGCTGTGCTGCATTGCTTACATTGCGTTAGTTCATTTACTTCATTTCACTAGATGTACTACAATGTACATTTGTGTACATGTAATTACAGTATTGTAATTACAAACAGAATTAGCCCAGAATGGGAAACAGATTCATAGGACTCCAGTCTTAGTCATTAAGTACCCCTAACATTCGCTGACAGAATACTGTCCAACCTGAATGAATCAAGAATCCTGTGGAGATAACTGCATGTGCCAAAGTTAAGAATGCACATCTATAATATAGAACTGTTTAGCGGACAGCACTTAAATTCCCTTGTTTTCCCTGATTAAAGGACTTGCTTTAGAGAGCTGCCTCATGCAATGTGAACTTTAAGGGATCAAATGAAATGAGGTAAAGCTCATACAGATAGGCCCTTTGAGGCATGAGTCACCAAATTCCATACACATTCAAGCACACTACAGCCTTTTCCTTTTAGAATGCTGTTTTTTATACAGAAGTCTCATAATTAAAAGTTTCCCACATGTGGATGAATTGTGATTTTTTTTTTTTGGTAATAATTATAGCCCTGTCAAATCAAAACAAAGTTCACTGTGACACTGAAAGTGTCTAAGGACTATGACCCTGTCAAATTTTTTCCAAAGAACTGACACTGAGTGGTGGGGGAGAGGAGGGGGAGTATTTTTTTATAAACTGGAAAAGTGGGCTCTTTTCACTTTCCTTATTCTCAAAAATAGCTCTTGCTCTCTCTCCCGCTCTCCCTCTCTCTCCCTTGTGCTCTCTCTCTCTCTGTAAATATTATTACCCTCAGCCAGAGAGCAGACTTGTAAAATTTCAGCCCAGAAAGTGAAAGCTTATAAGCAACTGCCAAAAGGAACTTCAGAATGGAAATGCTTGTGCAACCTTAACTATTGCTGCTACAACTATAATAAAATTTTGTTTTTTTGTTTTAGGGGAAAGGTTTTTTCCTCCACCATCTGGTTTAAGCTATTCAACTTGGTTTTGCATTGAGCATTTTAGTACACCTCCTAATAACCATCCAGTCAGACTATTTACTGTTGTGCGACGAGCAAACTCTTCAGAGCAGCACTATGTATGCCTTACCATTATCCTCTCAGCAAAAGACCGATCACTAATTGTTTCAACTAAAGAAGAACTGCTTCAAAACTATGGTAAGAGGTGCTGTAGTCTCATATTTTTGATAGTATTATGGAGGCATAAGAATATCTTCATAGTTAAGTTGATGTCTAGGTATTGCAGTTGATGGAATTTTCACTGAAATATTTCTTCCTCTAAATGACTTTTGCAACAAATGAAATGCAAAGCACACTTCTGTTTCTCTGTGAATTATAAGGGTAGCTTTGAAAGTTGGTGTGTGAATGTAAATAAAATGACCCTCAACCTTAGTGCTACAGATTTCAAGGAGAAGACCCTCACCATTTTTCATAGTCTTTCTGCTCCTAAATTAACTAACATGTTTGCTTCAGACTTTGTGCTGTGGGTCAGAAACGCAAACTTTACTAGCATTACTCTAAAAAAGCTAACAAGACATACAAAGGTTACATACGTTCTTCACGTTAGCACATTTTGGCTATGCCAGTGCTTGCTGGCCATTTGGAAGAGATCAACCATTTACTTCCAGTCTTAATGTTACAATCATTCTGCAGAAGTGCCTGCAAGAGGGCATGTGGTCTCATGCACTGTCTGTGACTGGGGGTGTAAGGATAATGATAGGCGTCTGAATAATTAGAGTTAGCTGTCTGTATTGATACTCTTTAGAACAGGGGTCGGCAACCTTTCAGAAGCAGTGTGCCGAGTCTTCATTTATTCACTCTAATTTAAGGTTTCGCGTGCTGGTAATACATTTTAACATTTTTAGAAGGTCTCTTTCTATAAGTCTATAATATATAACTAAACTATTGTTGTATGTAAAGTAAATAAGGTTTTTAAAATGTTTAAGAAGCTTCATTTAAAATTAAATTAAATTAAAATGCAGAGCCCTCCGGACCGGTGGCCAGGACCCGGACAGTGTGAGTGCCACTGAAAATCAGCTCGCGTGCCGCAGGTTACCTACCCCTGCTTTAGAACTTTTTTAAAGTAGCATTATTAGATATGGAAGCTGCTATTATATTTTCCTCTAATTTTACCAATCTTGAAAAACCTATTCTAATTAAACCAAGCGTAAGGGAATAACAAAGGTCTAAAGATTCTGCAAGAAAGTTTTCAACCTAATTTCAAACTTAATTTACATGAAAATTAGAAATTACCTTGAGTAAGAAGATTAAATGAGTGTTAATGTAGAATTCTTTAGAACTTATATAAAGATTGAGTCAATAATGCTGGTAAATTCCTAGTCTTCTGGAAGAGATGATTAAACTTAAGGGGGGAGGGATAGCTCAGTGGTTTGAGCATTGGCCTGCTAAACCCAGGGTTGTGAGTTCAATCCTTGAGGGGGCCACTTAGGGATCTGGGGCAAAATCAGTACTTGGTCCTGCTAGTGAAGGCAGGGGGCTGGACTTGATGACCTTTCAAGGTCCCTTCCAGTTCTAGGAGATGGGATATCTCCATTAAATTTAAAAGGGACAACTTTCAAGGCTATAAACATGTAGTAGAGGTTAATGGTTCAAAAGTAGGTTAAAAGGTATCCTTTTAGCACTGAACTCAGATGCTATGAAAGGGTTGATTATTTTCAGGTAGGTCTAACAGTGTTATTGTCTTTTAAATGGGCTTGAAACAATATGAACAGGTAATCCAGACTCTGGACAAAAAGTAAATTCAGCTAGTTACTAAAAACGTATAGGTTTCAGAGTAGCAGCCGTGTTAGTCTGTATCAGCAAAGAGAACAGGAGTACTTGTGGCACCTTAGAGACGAACAAATTTATTTGAGCATAAGCTTTTGTGGGCTACAGCCCACTTCATCTGATGCATCAGATGAAGTGGGCTGTAGCCCACAAAAGCTTATGCTCAAATAAATGTGTTCGTCTCTAAGGTGCCACAAGTACTCCTGTCCTTTTTTAAAAAACCTTATATTATTCCCATTGGAGCTACATGCATTAAGAATTGTCATGATATGAATTACTTGTAGAAAGTTGAGCAGATCATACTTTTTAGTATTCCTCTTTTTTACATTAATTTCATATTCATATTGTTACAAATGTCAGAAGTTCAAGAAATAAAAATGAAAGACTTAATAGCCATAACACAGTGGGTTCTAAAATTCTTCAATCACACAATATGGTTATACCTCTGTTTTGTGAGACTATAGACTCTTCTTCTTGGGAGAGAAATAAATCTTGATAAGTTTGTATAATTTCTTTTGTCTGCATGTAAGCCAAACTTGAACATTTCAAGCTTCAATTGGTATGTCTCTCACTCTTCCAAGAAGTACTGGATTTGAAAAGGCATTGTCAGAAAAGACCTGAAGTTTTCTGACAGTTTACAAACACTGTTTTTTAATTGGCTTGGAAAATCTGCTCCGGTAAAGTGTCACCCTACTATTTTCTGATGACTGGCTAGTGTTGCTGTAAAGTATGAAGGAAATAAGTACCTAAGACCTGATATAACAAGCCTACCAGAGGTTCCAGTTTTGAAAGTGTTGGTGGTATTTTGTATCAAACTGTTTACTTGAGGATTCTTTTTGTAATCAAGAATTGTGTACCCCTAAAGTGTTTGGCTTGTGAGAAACAAGTCTGAAAAAGATGGTGTGTATTTATAAGTTAGTTCTGGGTCACCTGGTTTTGTCCTTCTTTTTCTTGAAATCTATAAGGAATTCAGAGTTTTCCCCAGATGCTGTCACTAAGGTGAGAAGTGAGTGGGTTCTTTTGCCTGAATAGACAAAGATGAAAAGAAGGCTGAGAGAACTCAGCTTCTATTAAGTTGTTCCCTGGTAGATGAATCTTCAAGGGTTTCCCCCCCCCCATCTAAAATAGAGCTTGGAGCAGTGAGTGTATAAGAAGCTAGTGTAATTGGGTCTTGGGAATTGTTCATGCCTTCCAAAATTAAATTAAAAATGCTTGTTACACAAAATGAGCAATGTTTCAGTTAAAATAAAGCACATTCAATGTTTTGAAAATGAAATCAGCAGTTCTTTTTGAAGAGTTAAGAACTAGGAAAGAGCACAGTATAGTTCTGATCCTGCTAAAACACTAAACTGCAGTGTAAATTTTGGCAAATTATTTTAAACTCACTGACTCCCCAGATATAAATTGGGGATAATAAGTCTCATCTATGTTACACACATATTTTGAAGATTGATTACATAATATTTGTATGGAATTTTAAAAGTCATTATTTAATAGTTTTTTAAATAAAATTGATGCAACTAACTGATTTTTTTCATATTTACTTGGTAAATTTGCTTTGAAAGAAGTCTCAGATTTTAAGACAATTTCCAGATTGAGGCAAAAACTATTTGAATTTTGGCAAAATTTCCTGTACTTTTCCAGTGGCCTTAGTCAATGTTCTGATTTATATTATATCTTTCTTAAGCTCATAAAAGATTATTGAACTGTTATTTCAAGGTATGTCAAAATTGAGAGTTTAAGTTGGCAGTTCCGTTTTCTCTGTACAGTAGTTGAAAAGGGAGAAAAAACCTCACCAAAACATTATCGACATATCTGAGAGAACCAATATCACAGGTCAAAGTTCCCTATGACCTTATGAAAACTCCTCATCTGTGTCCCACCTTTATATGACTTGGTCACTAGTTAATCCATCTCTTATAAAGTTTTTAATAATGGTCCTTTGTACTATATTTGTGTAAGATTATTTAGAGTGGGATTTTCAAAATTGTTGTCCTACATCTCTTCCCACTGAAGTCATTAGTAAAACTCCTGTTGACTTCAGTGGGATTTGAGTTGGGACAATGTTGAGCAATTTTGAAAACTCCACCCTTCATACTCATATAGAAAGTACTAGAGTCTTGATAGTACATCATTTTGTGTCACTTATGTACTTCCACGATGAAAATGAAGAAAAATATTGCCGTAGGAGATAGAGCTTCAAGTTACTGTTTCAAAGCAGGTAAGAACAATAAGAGAAATGAAGTAAAAAGAATTAATCAGTGCGCTTAGGATTTTCTTGGATAAAAAGTAAAGAAACATAAGTGTGGAAACTGTTAAAACTAATAATGCTATACCAGTTTCTCTTTCTGCAACTCTGTAAGGGAATTCATATTATCAGACTCTGAAAATACATGCTCAATAAAGTAAACTTGAAAAATTCTGTGTTCGCTCTTTCATTTTAATTGAAAGTAAAGCAATATTTGATGATTTACTCAGATCATGTAACTTTTTATTAGGTTTTTGGTTGCCTTCAAATGTATTTGCTTTCTGAAATGTCAACCTTAATTTATTGATGTATAGTATTTTAATGTAAAGCCTAAGGAAATAGAGGAGTAGACTGTTATGATAGCCACCATTTCCCATTAATATTCCTTTCTTTTTAGTTGATGACTTCAGTGAAGAATCATCCTTCTATGAGATTCTTCCTTGTTGTGCTCGATTTCGCTGTGGTGACCTCATAGTGGAAGGACAGTGGCATCATCTTGTTCTGGTGATGAGTAAAGGCATGCTGAAAAACAGTACAGCTGCACTTTACATTGATGGACTGCTTGTTAATACTGTGAAGGTGGAGTAAAAACTTTACATTTTAACTTTGTGTTTTTCCACTAGACTTGCTATATTTTCTTTCACATCGTACTGATGTATTTTACTTGTGCCCAGGGTGATGGAGCATCATTGCTTCCAAATAGAAAAGACTTTTTCTAAGTTCCTTGCATCATTCCTTACACGCACTATCAGTAACAAATGAAGCAGGGGGTTCTACAAACATCCTCCTTCATTACGCGATCGTGATTCAGTCCTACTACTATTAAAAGGAAAGAGGTAAAAAACAAAATCTATTATGTGCTTTGTAACAACAATGGGGGGGGACCATCATTCATTACTGATAGGATTTGAATCCTGAACCTTCAGAACTGCAGCATAGCTTAAACTATTGGACTAACTACATTAGACAGCAGAAGGCTGTTACCCCAGGGAAGGAGTGGGTTGTTGAGGCTACATCCTGAGTCTGAAGTTTAATAGGGGGGAGCTTGGTCCACTCTCTTGCCTTTCCCTCTGGGAGATTTTGCCCATGTGGTATCTTCAGTGGTCGGAATGGCCCAGTGTGGCCATATGTTGGGTTCAGGGTGTGGTGTATTCGGGAGGAGGCTGGAAAGCATTAGGCAATCTAAATAGAAGGATTGCAATAAGCACTCCTTATATTCTTTTTTTTATTGAGGGATGAGGCATGCTTAATAGTACAGGTCAGGAATTTGATACCCAAATGGCTAAACTATGAAGCCTAAGGCAGAGTAGCAAATATCAGTAAGGGTCTGATCCTGCAAAGTGTACTAAAAGTTCTTCACTTTGTACTGAAGTCATTGGGACTGACGGGAACTCAACACTGGGCAGGATTAGGCCTTAAGGGAACTGGATCAGTGTTGAGGAAAAGATGACATTCCTTTTAACAGACCTAAAACGTTACAGGTGAAACAATGTTTTAACTATAAACATATGTCTGGCACTCTGTATTAAGCCTGCAAAATGAGGAATATAATAGTTTTGATGAACTTCAGTATTTCATACAAATTACTACCCTTTTTTAATCTGATGACTAGTCTATGTTAGTGTAAGGGTAACCCACGTTTCTCATTTAGGATGTTTTTTTCCAGCTGTATGAATCTAGTTAATTTGTGTAAAATAAAAGATGGCAGTTTTGTTTTGTTTTAAGTAAAGGAGAGCTTAGTTGTATGGCACTAGAACAGATCTCTTGTTTGGATTCTTCCGTGAAGTGAGAGATCAACAGTTCAGCCTCTTTAAGCCTTTCAGATTTGATTTATGTGAATGCTATAATGGTGTGAAGCAAAATACTCCTGATATGAAATTTGAAAGAAGCAGAATTGAAAAAGCTCTCCCTACCATGTTACTGAAAAGAGAAAATGTTCAGCAAAGCTTTGGAAACACTGTAAAAGGGCAGTCTTCCAAAAATGTTTTTCTTTCCCAAAGCCTGGTGAAATTTCCAGTGTATAATTGTAGACGTATGTTTGTGTGCTACAGAATCTGTTTATCTTCTAAGCAGTTCTGTTTTCCTTAAATGTAAATGCCAGAGTTTTGCATGAAGCTACAATGATGAATTTGAGCAGGAAATTGGTTGATAATGGCAGTCCTTTCTTTAAATTTTATGTAAAGACCTCAAGTGTCTATACCAAATTGTAGCATTAAATTTCATTTAGTATACAAGTTTGTAGACCATTGTTTCAGACTTTGTTCCATATATTTTAAAAAAAAAAAACTTTGTACTACTGTATGTATTGGGAAGTATCTGTTTAGTCGTTGGACTTACTATATAAGGGGCAGTGTTTATTCCTTAGATCAGAAAGGCAAATTTGGTTCTGTTTCCCTGTCACTGGAATGAAATAACTTTGCTTATTTGTGCCTCAGCATGATCAGGGTGTGAACTACCCTTGCTGTTCTCTTTAATTTTCAAAGAATAAGTGGAGGGATCACTAGAGTATAAAATCATTTTATGGCTATCTCAGAAATATTGACTGTAGCTGTAATTTTGTGTTCTAGTGATGTAGTCTGGCGTGTTATGTTTTTGTTGTTTTTTGTTTCTGTTTTTTAGAATTTAGGTACAAAGATAAAATGGCGATGAGAGCTAGAAAAGAGCCAGTAAATAAAACAATGAATCTAGAGTAACTTCTGTATCAGTATGTAACAGCTCCTAACATTTGGCTTATTTTGAAGTTTTGTGTTCTTTAAAATTCTTTAAGAATGAGCTTGGTTTTGGGACACAGCGTGGCGATAGGCGCGGGAACGGTGCGGTGGGGTGCTGCAGCACCCTCAGGTTTTATGCGGGGCTCAGCCCTTGCCGACCCCAGGGCTCTGCTCCCACCAGCCCCGTGCCCGAGGCTCTACATCTGCCCCAGCTGTGGTCCCAGCCTTGGCCCCCTTACCTCTGTCTGCGTCCCCCTCTCCTGGAGCCATGGCCCTGCACCCAGCCCCAGTTCTAGAGGGCGGGGGGGTCGCGGACAGAGGTAAAGGCGGGCGCAAGGTAAACAGAGGGCTTTGCAGTTTCGCAAGCTTTCAGCACCCCCACTATAAAAAGTGTTCCAGTGCCACTGAGCATGGCTCTGCCACAAAGTCAGTAATCTTGTGCAAGTTACTTCACTTCTGTGTTTCAATTTCCCTTTAGCAGCATAGGCACAATTATCTCAAGAGAAATGTTGCCATAACTAGTTAATGTTTTACATATATATTTGAACACATGAAACGCTTTCTAAATTTCCAAGTTATTTACTTTCTTTTTGTGATAGCTTTGTACTCCTCCTAACAGTTTTGCCACTTGTTTCTCTTTTACAGCTTCACTATGTTCACAGTAGCCCAGGCGGGTCAGGTTCTGCTAATCCACCAGTAGTCAGCACAGTTTATGCCTATACTGGCACACCACCTGCCCAACGCCAGATCTCCTCCTTGGTTTGGCGTCTGGGACCAACACATTTCTTAGAGGAAGTCTTGCCTCTTTCAAGTGTTAGCACCATTTTTGAGCTGGGACCAAATTATGTTGGAAGCTTTCAAGCAGTGTACATCCCATGTAAGTACAAATAAATTTGTTGTAAATGATTTTAGAGAGGATTATCTTTTTGGATCTTTTTTAATTCCGAATCTACCCTGTGAACAATGGAAGCCCATTTACTTACTGTTTGAGAAAAGTGAGGGCAACTCATAGGAAAAGATGTTACTATGAACCAAACTCTTAAGAGCTTAGAATTATCTCATAATTATTGTTTTAACATATGGACTGTGAATAAATTCTTGGTCTCCAGCATCAATATATAATAGCATAATTCTTTTCATTGATCCACTGATTTAAACAAAGCTATATTGAAATATAATGGCTAAACATAGCTCTACAGAGAATAAAATTACACTGGACAAAATGTAGTGCATACAAAATTATTAAGGGTTTATTGCAAACAAAGGCGAGCAATGATTACATTGGTATTGTAACCATTTTCGAGAGTTCTTTTTGGAAATGGAATGTGGTGATGGTGTGGTGATTGGGAAACAGTGGGTTCCTCCTCATTTGCTCTGACAGGATGATGAACAGCCATCATCCAGGATTTTCCTGCGTTGTAGAACTCCCTCTTTTGCCTCTGCATTTAGATTCCTACCTCACTGAAAACAACATGCAGGAAGGAAATTTCCATGGCTACCTCTGATAGTCACAGAACGCTCAAGCACAAAAGGCTAAAGGGAAAAAAAGAAAAACCAACAAAGAAAAAAAAATCAACCGTACTGCTTCTTACAGTAGCTTTTTCCCACAGGGACTGTAACATTTTTCTGCTGTCACTGAGAAAAACCTCCATTATCTCAGAGGAGTGAGGCAGTGGGTGAAATGAGCTGTGACAGAAAAAAATAACCACAGAGCTTGCCTGAAGGACAAAAGAATCTCTCCCATGAGGCCAAAGGCTGTCCCAAAAGTTGCAGCAGAGAGACAGCATTTGAAGTGGTGTCTGGAGCTGAGAAGGACAAAATTGTCACTCTCAAAGAGGAAAGAAGCTCATCTTAGAGGCCTTCCAACCAGTTCGCAAGATTTGAGGAATCCCTGTTATAGACCTGTTCACAACAAAATTCAGTGTCAAGTGCTCCTTTTTCTGGCAGCAGGTATCCAGACCTAATAACTCTAGCTCTGGACCCATTTGCTATTCCATTAATTTTTTCTCTAGATTATAGTTCTCCTGCTTATGTGGTGAGTCCTAAAGAAAACTGCTCAGCACAAGACTTCTTAAAACCTAATTGCCAAAAGTGACCAAGGCATGGTTGGCACATGGACCTGCTGGTGCAAGAAGTAAAGAGCCCTATGTCCTTATGCAAATACTTTATTCAGTAGGGTCCAATGATGAAGCAGACCCAGGACTCCTGAGTCTTTTCTCCTGACTCACTGAAGCTGAGCTGCTTCATTGGGGGTGTTTTAGGGCACCCATGAAAAAGTGACCACTTTCACATTCTTACTGCATAAGCTGAGTTTTTCCATGTGATGGAAGGCAAAGATTTTTTTTCTTTCCAGCTAGGCAGGCTAGAATGTTTTTGTCAAAGCCTAGTCACTTGTTCCTTTACTGTGTGCTGTGCTAAGCACTGTAAGGGGTTTGGTAGATGGTACAACTGTGGGGCCTTCTTCCTTGGTATCAGATTTCCCTGAAGGGTAGGTGCCTTTTTATGCCCTCAATCTGGTTAACTTCCCAGTGTCTCTGCGTAGTCTGAACCTGTATGAAACTGCCTTCAAGCCCCCATGCTGGCAGATTTGCATTTTTCTCCCTGAAGGTAGTTGTTGGAGACCAAATCCCTTACTTAGGAGAATAGGAGAGCTCTCTGTTTTCCTGCAATCCTCTATGTTTGGTCTTACAGAGAGATAAACTGCTATCTCTAGGTCATTTGCCCCATCATATATTTTGCCAAAAGTCCTGTCCCTCTTTCAGCTAACCAGGATGCCTTCTTTCTAAGTTTTGGTCCCAGTCTTAAGCCATAAAGAGAAAAACTTGGCACAGTCTGGACCCCAGAAGAGTCCTCAAGGTATACCTAGATTAGAAATCTTCAAGGGAATATTTTTCCATTCATTGTCTTGATGGGTTAAAGGAAAGACCCCCCCCAGGCATCAAAATATGTCATGAACGAAGGATCAAATCTGGTATCCAGGAGGCTTAGGAGAACCACAGGAATTCCCTGTCAAGTGAGTTTTAGAGCCTACTCCACTGGAGCCCTAGACACTTGCTGAGCCAGAGAGAGGAGACATTAAGTGAACAAGATTTGCACTGCACCTTTTCACTAGTCACTGCAGATGCAGCTCTACCGCGCAGGGGTGGAGCAGAACTTTGTGAGAAGCATCCCCTTCCAGGGCAGTGGATTCTCTTTGCCTTTCTTACTTCCTCTGGGCCTTCAGATCCCTCTTCTAATTCAGCCTTGGATCTCATTCTCCTTTCCTAGAGTGTTACTCTTAGCAGAGGTTATTGTCAGGTTGTCACAAACCAAGCCACAGATAGGCAAATCAAATTAGCCAGTAAACAGCAATATTGTTTCCATGGCTTGATCACAGCAGTGCATATTCCCATCCTAGTGAATTTTCTAAGACCAGGCTTTGGTAACAGACTTGCCTTCTTAGCAAGGTAAGTGGGGTGGTCTTAACAGCTCTCTTTTGGGTCAGAAAGAAACGGGGGAAACAGCATGACTTAGTTGCCCATCTTGAATGAATGAGGAGGGGGAAGCCAGAATTTGTACTTTCAGTCACAGACAGTGAACTGGCCATTAAGGATGAATATAATTTACCTTTGAATAGGAAGGAAAATAAACTTGTTGCTGTTTTTAAAAATAGGGGGCATGTTACACAAGTTCTATGCCTTCTTGTATATAGGCTCAGACTGTACACAGTGCTGTTTGATGTTGATTCTATCTTTAGAAGGGTTATTCATAGCCACTGAATTTATTTTGGAGGCCTTTCTATAGCGTAAAATGTACTGCAATTTTACTTTTAAAATTTACTGTACAGAAAAACAGTTCTGGTTTTAAAATAAGTTTTTCTTATCTTAAAGGTAAAGATTCTAAATCGGAAGGAGTCAGCCCATCTCCAGTATCTTTGGTACCAGAGGAGAAAGTCTCTTTTGGTTTATATGCACTCTCAGTTTCTTCACTTACAGTGGCAAGAATAAGGAAAGTTTACAACAAATTGGATAGTAAAGCTATTGCCAAACAGGTATGTTAGAAAACCCATGGTATTAACTTCAGAAATTTGCTAGGTTAAAAATGGTCTCAGACTTATAATTCTACATATTTTCACTGTTAATTTTTGTTTTTAATTCTGTCTGACATTTGGGCTCTACGCTGCTGTGACAGCCATCACCTACGCCCAAATTCACAAAGGTATTTAGTCTCCTAATTTCCATTGAAATCTGTGGAAGTTAGGTGTCTATATACCTTTGTGGATCTGGGTCCTACTTACTAAAAATGTTCTCTGTGTTCGTTTTTTTTCTTAGGTAAGTTTTTTAAACTGCACTGCACCATTTTATGGGATGATGCTCTTAGATGATCCTCTCCATTAGAATTACTAGTGACAGTTTTATTCCTTTTTTCCCTTTATTGCAGATGCTCATTGTAATTCCCAATGAAAATATTTAAGGCCATAGTGTAGAACAAGAAAGTTGATTTCCTTTACTTGGAGCAATATTATGTCTCTAATTTTTACTCTGATTTGTGAAACTGATAATCAATCTAACAAATGATGTTCTTAGCTAATTTAATTTTTTTAACCTGTCACTGAATTGATTACTTATGGGATCACCATTTCTAAGTGTTTTAATTTGTTTAATAGAAATTAGGGTCAGTGGAAATCCTAGGGCTTGTCCAACTTCTGTGATAAGTTATCTTAGGGCCTCTTTGGGTTATTTGAAAGTTAATTTTATTTTTAAACCTTATCCATTCTTTACCATGAGAGAGAGAGAAAAATTGTCACATCTGTCACAGTTCAGGGCAGCTGCACCTGTACTGCCCCTCGGTAATCCAGGAAGGGCACCCACTCTTAGGGTCCAAGTCCCCAGCCGTTGCCTTTCTACCTGTGTGTGTGTCTCTTCTGACTGTAACATTTCCAGGCTGCACAGTTCCCTGGCTTCACAGCAAAAGACCATGTATGTAAACAGGCCTGCTTGCTTCTCCTTTCAGGGATGGTACACAGTGTAATTGACCACAGTTATAAAGTATCACTCCGCACTTCCTATGCAAACATATTTATTCTTAGGGTATAAACAGTACAAAGAAAATTTATTAAAAACAATAAATACTTACCTACATACTTGCTAATAAATTTACCAGAGATTCTTCCCTACCCCCCCCCCCCAGTGTCTCCAATGTGGGCTCTGGCAGGGGAGTCCTTCAGACCCCCTCAAAAGGGTCCGTTACGTTTCACAAGTTCAGAACAGTTTCAGCTGTGAACTAGCACACACGAAAAGTTAGTAGTCCAATCTTTATACAGTTCAGGAGTGGTTGATCTGGAGTTTCCAGGAGCAGGTAATCAGTAAACAATAGGGTTTTTTCCCCCTCAGGGCATGGCTTCAAAGGGGTGGATTTTGAAGTAGATCAGTTGCATTCCCCTCATTCCTAACTATTTCCTAGGAAATTCACACATGGTGTCCCCAAAAATCCTTTAAAATACCTAATATCTCCCAGAGATTGCATCCATCCTTCCTGCTCCTAAAGAAGTTCCATACAATCCCACAATAGTATACAAACATTTTCATTTTCAATACAATGGGCCCTCAAAGATATTAAACATAATTCAAAAAGGTTTAACTTAATTCCTTAAGGTTTGCCTGGAATGTTGCAGGATACTGTTGTAGAGAGACAACATCATTTTCAACAGCAAAAATCTTCTGACTCAATCACTGTCTTTCATGGTATTTTATTCAGCTGGCTGTTTCTTCTCATGAGAATGCCACACCAGTGAAGCTACTGCACAACTCAGCAGGACATCTGAATGGACCTGCACGCACCATTGGAGCAGCTCTGATAGGATATTTGGGTGAGATAATTTGATGTTAATGTGTGTTTACTGCATTAAATATTTTTGATTTACAGTATATAAGAACAAAGGTCTAGAAGGTGGATATGATTAAGTATCCATCAAATAAAGATTGTCTACATTATTTTATTGTATTAATCATGTCATTTATTTTATTAATGTGTTTTCTTTGTTTAATTTCTGCCATTTAAAAAATGTAAACATCACAATGACTTTCCACAATACCTATGCTTTCATTAAGCCAATTAAATAACTTAAACATAATTCTTCCTCTTCCTTTTTATGGGCTTAATAAAATTCATCAACTTTATTTTTGTTTTAATTAAACTGACAGTAAAATATGTCTGTCTTGTACTTTTTATGATTCGTGTACAAAAAGTGAGGTAGGTTTTAATAATTTTATTTTTACCACCTTAGGAGTAAGAACATTTGTCCCGAAGCCTGTTGCCACTACATTACAATACATTGGTGGAGCTGCTGCTATTCTGGGTTTGGTAGCCATGGCATCAGATGTAGAAGGACTATATGCAGCTGTGAAGGCCTTGGTGTGTGTCGTAAAGAGCAACCCATTAGCCAGCAAAGAAATGGAAAGAATCAAAGGTTATCAGGTATGTAAGAAGTTAGACATAGCAGACCAGGTAGATTGAATTTCTGTGTAACTTGGCACTCTTACATTTCAATGCACTTAAAAATTGCTTTTTATTTATTATATTTAGTATCAATTGCTGTTTTTAAGCTTGCCTTACTATCAGTTGAATAATATAAATAAGGTCTTGGACTTCATTGGGGCATCCTTAAATTCCATCATGCTAAGAGCTTACTTGCCAAGAGTTTGTAGCACTCCCCCTTCATTATCTACAAATGTGGCTTCAACCTGTGTACTTGCCAATGTGACAGTCCATGAGCACCATAGTGAAATCATAATGTGCTAGCAGACTCTTTCAGCAGACACTTTGCAGTTGATCATGAGTGGGAGCTTCACAACTCTGTGGTGAACAATATTTTTCAATCTATGGGGTTCCCCCACCAGGGATCTGTTCACCTCCCAAACAAAAAGTAAGTGCAACATACTCTGTTCCAGAAGAGCGCTGGGTCACCACTCACAGGATGATGCTCTACTTCTTCCATGGTCAGATCATCGGAACTATGCCTTTCCTCCATTTCCACTCCTGCTTCAAGTTGTGTGCGTGATTCAGCAGGACTGGACGGTTTTGGTACCCGAATCTCCTACACATGTCATCTCAGGCACCGATCATCATTTTTACGTTCCCCAATCTACTGACTCAGGAATAGCAAGATCAGGCATCCCAACCCATGGCTACTACATCTGAGCCTGTTTTTTGGATGGGGATTGTCCTTAGAGCAATCATGTTCTCAAGCTGTACAGAATATCCTTTCTAATGGAAGGATTCCACTAGGAATTGCTACCTAACCAAGTACAAGCATTTCTCTTTTTGGGTGCACTTTTCCAGAAACCACAGATATTCTTCTCATTCTGGACTATATTCTTTCCTTGAAGACATCAGGTTTATCTGTCAGTTCCTTATAGGTCCCCTTGGCAGCAATCAGTGTATACCATGTGCTTTCATGGGGCTATTAGATCTTCGCACACCCTCTGAATAGCAGATTCTGGAAAGGCCTAATCAGTAAATTTCTGCCTATAAAAAAGCGTACTTCTTAATGAGACTTGAACCTTGTTCTCTCAGTACTCACTAAGCCTCCTTTTGAACCATTAGCTTCTTGCTCCGTGTCTCTCCTATCCATGAAGGTCGCATTCCTCGTAGCCATCACCTCAGCCAAGAGGGTTGGTGAGCTTGGGGTGCTGATGATGGATTCTCCTTACAGTGTATTCCATAAGGACAAGGTTTCATTATGTTTACACCCTAAATTCACCCCCAGAGTAGTCTGAGTTTCACCTGAACCAGACTATCTCCTTACCTGTGTTCTTCCCAAAACCTCTCACATTGTCAGAAGAAAGGAGGCTCCATTCGTTCGACGTTGGGTGAGCCTTAGCCTTTTACCTGCAGAGAACAAAAACAATCAGAAAGTCCCATAGACTATTTGTTGACACAGTAGAAAGGGTCACGGGTCAAGCTGTATCCTCTTAAAGAATCTTGAAATAATCTTGGACTGGATTTTGCTCTGTCAGCTGTCTAGTTTTCCTCTCTCTTATGGGGTCAGAGCTCATTCCACAAGAAGGCAAGCAACATCTGTGGTGTTGCTTCACGAGGTGCCTTACTTGATATTTGTAAGGCAGCTATGTGGAGCTCAGTCCAAACGTTTGTGAAACACTATGCCTTTGTACAGGATTCCTCTACTAGTGCATCTTTTGGAACAGCAGTCCTTTGTTCAGCTCTGCTGTATACAATCTTGCTCCCCCTTCTTCCCCCCCCCCCCCCCCGTATTTGAGTACTGCTTGTCAATCACCCACAGTGGAATATGCATAGGGAACAGCACTTGAAGAAGAGATAGTTGCTTGCCTTATAGTAACTGCAAGTTCTGGAGCACAAGATGGCAGCTTGTGCTAGGGCGTCAGAGTACTGTGTATCAGCCCATTTCAAAGTCATCATTGAAGTCCTTGGGTGTTATTGAATTAGAAATAATTCCCAGATATTTTATTAAGGCATTCACCCCATCGTCAAATAATGGTGTCCTGTTGTTCCGATAGAATCTATTTGATCACATAAGACCCTGCCAATACTTAGCCTCAATTGCTGAGTTGAGGGCTGAGTGAGAGTCTTCATTCAAGCTATCTTCAGTTTTGATGGGTTTAAAAAAGACATTTAACATTATTTTAACGCTTTTTTAGGGTGGCCTTTTTCCAAAAGAATGCCCCAAGAGAAAAGACTGCTGTTTCAGTATTGTACTTTCTAGTTTGCTTTCAAATATTGTAATGGATCTTGCATATTTAATACAATCCAGCTCAATAGACCATTTCTGCTCACTGGGCACAACACCCAGAATATCAATGTTTTAGAGCCATTGATTACATAATAATCATCAAATCTGCCATTATGTTTTTAAAAACTTCTAGGATATAAATAGTGTCTACTGGTTTTCTGACCTAGTGTTTTGCTGGGGATTAATAAAGAACCATAATTCATGGATACTTTTTTTTAAAATGGCAATCCTAGGACCACAAAAAAAGCATATGATCAGTTTTATGGAATTACTAGATTAGGGTCACTAAAAGTTAGAATTCAGCACTGTTCAGATTTTGGATATAAAGCACTTCTGTAACTTGCCTTTGAATCCCCAGATATTCCCTTCCTAATTGTAAGACTTCAGATTAGAAAAGCCCTCCTTGCTTTGGCCATTAAACGGCCTTTCACTTGCCATATTGAATCAATGTTTTTGGATAATCCTTTTGTCTGATATGGTACTTGTTACAGCAGTGCAAATTCAGTGCAGCACTAGATGTGTGGCCCAGCCAGTGGCAAAGAATATTAGATCGTTTAGGAGCAGGGAAATATTCCTCCAGCTCCACATTCTTGCCTTTTTCCAGTTGATCCTAATTCCATCTTCCTGCTTTTGCATCACACCCTTCAAGCTTACAAGGTTAAAGGAAGTTTATTGGTCCTACGTTTTATAAAAGCTTCCTTTTGTTAAAGTGGATTTACTGTGTCCACATTTGCTGGTTCCATTGTGCTTTGATAAGATTCATATTTTCTTTGTCTGCAAAATATTTGTAATATGGATTATTGACTGGATCAATGGTGTAGAAAGAATGTTCATGTGCTGCTAATTTTTTCCCCCAGTTATTGGCAATGTTGCTAAAGAAGAAACGCTCCCTTTTGAACAGCCATATTCTACATTTGACCTTTTCCTTGGTGGGAACTGTGGATAGTGGGCATGAAACCTCCATTATTCCAAATTCAACTGCCTTCCAGGATCTGCTATGTGATTTTGAAGTACGTACAGCATCCCTAACAACTAGAAATGTTATTTGGATGGTTAATGATTCAGGTGCTAATATAATACCTTGGCAATAAATCACAACAGAGAAGGTGATTATTGTGAGAATATTATACTTTATACATAGTTCAGTACAGCGGACAAACTGGAGAGCCTCTGATCTACCATAGTGTAATTCTCATGGTAATCTTCCTGCTGCAATTGCTTCACTGCTAATAAAATTATTACTGGATACAAAAGATATACCTTTTCATTGTAGAAGAGGATGAGGATTGCAGTTAGCAGTTGAACAGCAGTTTCTGCTAACCTGTATGTTTTTATGTAGTAAATATATTGAGATACAAAAGATACATTGAAACTAACAATGGGGTAAAATTCCAGTACAGCATGTTCGAATCTGTGTATCAGATCCGCATTAAAGTTCCATATGCATGGCCTACAAAAAGAACCCTAAGCTTGCAGTTTTAAACCAATAAAAGTAATCCAAAATTATGTGCAGTTATTCTGTCCCTATCTTATGGTATTGTGTGAAGAATAGCAAAGCATTTTACATAAGATGTTACCCAAGGTGAATATAGCTGGACTTCTTGGTAATAGTGACCATAATATACTAGTAATTAAATTTAATATCCTTATGGCAGGAAAAACACCACAGCGGCCCAATACTGTAGCATTTAATTTCAGAAAGGGGAACTACACAAAAATGAGAGGGTTAGTTAAACAGAAATTAAAGGGTACAGCACCAAAAGTGAAATCTCTGCAAGCTGCGTGGAAACTTTTTAAAGACACTATAAGAGAGGCTCAACTTAAATGTATACCCCAAATTAAAAAACATAGTAAAAGAACCAAAAAAGAGCCACCATGGCTAAACAATAAAGTAAAAGAAGCAGTCAGAGGCAAAAAGGTATCCTTTAAAAAGTGGAAGTTAAATCCTAGAGAGGAAAATAGAAAGGAGCCATAGACATTGGCAAATGAAGTGTAAAAATACAATTAGGAAGGCAAAAAAAGAATTTGAGGAACAGTTAGCCAAAGACTCAAAAACTAATAGCAAATTTTTTTTTTTAAGTACATCAGAAGCAGAAAGCCTGCTAAACAACCAGTGGGGCCACTGGACGATCGAGGTGCTAAAGGAGCACTCAAGGACGATAAAGCCATTGCAGAGAAACTAAATGAATTCTTTGCATTGGTCTTCACGGCTGAGGATGTGAGGGAGATTCCCAGACCTGAGCCATTCTTTTTAGGTGACAGATCTGAGGAACTGTCCCAGATTGAGGTATCATTAGAGGAGGTTTTGGAATAAATTGATAAATTAAACAGCAGTAAGTCGCCAGGACCAGATGGTATTCACCCAAGAGTTCTGAAGGAATTCAAATGTGAAAATGCAGAACTACTAACTGTAGTCTGTAACCTATCATTTAAATCAGCTTCTGTACCAGATGACTGGAGGATAGCTAATGTGACACCCATTTTTTAAAAAGGGCTCCAGAGTTGATCCCAGCAATTACAGGCCTGTAAGGCTGACTTCAGCACCGGGCAAACTGGTTGAAACTATAATAAAGAACAATATTGTCAGACATATAGATAAACATAATTTGTTGAGGAAGAGTCAACATGGTTTTCGTAATGGGAAATCATGCCTCACCAATCTACTAGAATTCTTTGAGGGGGTCAACAAGCATGCGGACCAAGGGGATCCAGTGGATATAGTGAACTGAGATTTTCAGAAAGCCTTTGACAAGTTCCCTCACCAAAGACTCTTACACAAAACAAAGTAAGCTGCCACGGGATAAAAGGAAGGTGCTTTCATGGATTGGTAACTGGTTAAAAGATAGGAAACAAAGGGTAGGTATAAATGGTCAGTTTTCAGAATGGAGAGAGGTAAATAGTGGTGTCCCTCAGGGGTCTGTTCTGGGACCAGTCCTATTCAACATATTCAGAAATGATCTGGAAAAAGGGGTAAACAGTGAGGTGGCAAAATTTGCAGATGATACAAAATTACTAAAGATAGTTAAGACACAGGCAGACTGCAAAGAGCTACAAAAGGATCTCTCAAAACTGGGTGAGTGGGTAAAAAAATGGCAGATGAAATGTAATGTTGATAAATGCGAAGTAATGCACATTGGAAAGCGTAATCCCAACTATACATATAAAATGATGGGGTCTAAATTAGCTGTTACCACTCAAGAAAGAGATCTTGGAGTCATTGGTGGATAGTTCTCTGAAAACATCCACTCAATGTGCAGTGGCAGTCAAAAAAGAGACAGAATGCTGGGAATAATTAAGAAAGGGATAGATAATAGGACAGAAAATATCATGTTGCCTCTACATAAATCCATGGTACGCCCATATCTTGAATACTGTGTGCAGATGTGGTCACCCCATCTCAAAAAAGATATATTGGAATTGGAAAAGGTTCAGAAAAGGACAACAAAAATAATTAGGGGTATGGAACAGCTTCCATGAGAGGAGAGATTAATAAGACTGGGACTTTTCAGCTTGGAAAAGAGACTGCTAAGGGGAGATATGATTGAGGTCTATAAAATCATAACACAAGAACTAGGGGTCACCAAATGAAATTAATAGGCAGCAGGTTTAAAACAAATAAAAGGAAGTATTTCTTCACACAATTTATAGTCAACCTGTGGAACTCCTTTCCAGAGGATGTTGTGAAGGCCAAGACCATAACAGGGTTCAAAAAAGAACTAGATAAATTCATGGAGGCTATTAGCCAGGATGGGCAGGAATGGTGTCCCTAGCCTCTGTTTTCCAGAAGCTGGGAATGAGCGACGGGATGGATCACTTGCTGATTACCTGTTCTGTTCATTCCCTCTGGGACACCTGGCACTGGTCTCTGTCGGAAGACAGGATACTGGGCTAGATGGACCTTTGGTCTGGCCCAGCAGGGCCATTCTTATGTTCTTAAGATAATACACAGGACTCTGATCACGCATTGTTGAGTTCTCTCTGCTTTTTACCTATGCAAAACACGAGCTGAGTTAACAATCTTATTTCTGTAGTACTTTGCTATTTTTTTAATTGTGAATCCCTATTTTCAAATGTTAACTCCCTAATAGGATATTCTATTTTGCTCAAATCAGCTCTTAAGGCACGGAAGTGCCCAGTTTTCATCCCTATGTGTCAATTTAGGTGTCTAAATACACATTTGGGGACATTATATTAAGGAGAACATGTGTGAAAATTGAGCCTATTTGTTCCTGTAGCATTTCCTTTTAATTAACTTTCATGGAATTCTTACAGCTCTGTTATTAGTGCCAGTGACGTGCTTTGAAAATCCACCAAGGTGTATTATCATGCGTAAATATATTAAGGTTATGAATAAATAGCCAGGAAATGTAAAGTTGATCCTTTGACTTCAACCTTTCACAGGTGATCTACAGAAAAGAAAAATGAGTTTGTGCCCATTTTTGCTTGTTTAAAATATGCTAATACACACAAGTATTGTGTGCCTGTTAATATTGTTGTTTATATTATATCTAACCTAAATCCAAAAAAGCAAAGATGTGAACAGATCGAACTACCTATATTGCAGACCTCCACTTCTGAATCAGAGCAACAATAGAGTTGTTTGAGATTTGTCAAATTGCCTTTATTTTCCAGAAAACCAATTCGCTTTTTTCAACATTGTATTGTTTTTTGAAAAAAGTAATTTTTAACCAAAAAAAGTTTGTTCAAAATTTTTTCAACAAGCGTTATTCTGCTGATTCAGCATTAGATGTCTTGAGCCAGCTGAACAGATTAACATAGAGTAGGATCTTCAGCAGAGCAGTATCTCCTTTCACAAAGAATAAGATCATCAAAATAATAAGTATTTTGTTGAAGATCCTGCTGTACAGTGGTTTCACAGAGATAATATATTCAACAAAGTAACAGCTGTGGTGTCAAAGATCTTGTTCTCCATTAAACTGTTCAGTTTGGGTCATCTCTGCTATGTTTTTCATGAAAGACTCTGAGAGCAACTCGAAAACTAATAAGTTTGATATTAAACTCTGATGGTATTAAACTTAACTCCCATTTTACTATACACAGAGATAACTTTTGGTGCCCTGTGTTCTTCTATAGTCTTTTGTACATCTTTTTTTTATAAAACAGTAAGCTGGGGCTTGTCTATCTCTTGGTATATTAAATAGGATGTTAACTTTTTGTTTAACTTAACCAAGAATATAGATTTGTATACAGAATGTACCACTGTGTATTCTGTATTTCAGGTCTGGCTTCATGCACCATATGAGCTTCATCTTTCGTTATTTGAGCACTTCATTGAACTTCTCACAGAGTCCAGGTATTAGTTGAAACTGGCTTCATAATAAGGCCTATGGGATAACAAATTACACAAATACACAGATGTTCTCATTTTTATTAAATCTTTTCTCTCTTTCAGTGAAGCCTCAAAGAATGCTAAATTAATGAGGGAGTTCCAGCTAATCCCCAAACTGTTGCTGACTCTTCGAGATATGTCTTTGTCCCAGCCCACTATTGCTGCAATTAGTAATGTACTGAGCTTTTTGCTTCAGGGCTTCCCCAGCAGCAGTGACCTGCTCAGGTAGCACAAACATTTACTGATTTATTTTAAAGATACTGGTGCTTTTGCAAGAAACCTGCTGATAGTAATTCTTCTAGGGTGACTAAAGTAAAGAGTTTTTGTATGGAATAGTTCCAGTAGAAATGGCAGAACCAAACATTGAAAATAGTTTAAAGCCAACGCATCGACTTGTATCTTAAATCCAAGTCAAAACAGAAATGACTGAATACTGATACACCTTAAAATGTTTTCCAGAATGTAGGGCAGTAATGAAGGAACACAGTGTTTTAATTCCACAGCTACTATGAGAGATTATGAAACTTCCTTGGATATTGTTAAGTCTATGTCATTTCTACTTAAATTGAGGCATTGTTTCAGAACCCATAGAGTTGTCATACTGCTCACTGTTAAAATGCAGCATTTGCCAACGTTTATCACACTTATCTGAGAGACTTACTTCTAGCTAACAGGTAAAATTCTCTGATAAGATAAAGTTTGCCACTTGTATGTTATGATATTGCATATGGGTAAAAATTTGCAGTGTTTTGAGTATTTTGCAACAGGGAGGCTGGTTAGTTTTTTTGGCTTTTTTGCTTCTTGAGCAAAACCAGTAAAACCAAAGATTTGAATAGGATCAAACATCTTGCCTGGCTCCATTTTTACTATGCAGGACAGAATTTACACAGATACTATAGGGCAAAGCTTAAATTTTATTATTAAATGAATAAATTGTAACATTTGGTTCCTTGTTCCTACCACTCCTCATGGCCACTGGCTTTCCCTGTACAGCAGCCAGAACCTCGGTGGCATTTCCTAGAGTGAGGCCACAATTAAGAGCTCCAGGGTAGGTGGTGACTTTTCCCACAGTGACTTGTCAGCAAAACAAGAATAAAGAGAGACAAAATAAGATTAAAATAAAAGAAATAGTATATGTAACTCTGTAAGAGTTAAGATAGGTAGGTACATCTTGGATTAGTTACAGTGATATATGCAATATCTTACTTTGTCCCTTTCCTTAGGTGTCCTGTCACTAAGACAGTCTCTTCCCTCCAAGGAGCTGTCATTCTTCGCCCTTTCTGAGATCACATTTGTGTTTGGCTATTTTTTATGCCTGTGGGGGTGAGATCATTCATTATCATATCACCCATGCCAGTTAAGATTTCATTATCATTTTAAAGGGTAATGTTTGATAAAGTATACCATCTTGGGGAACATATTATAGTCTCTGAGCAATGATTGTCCCCTATACCTTTTAACATTCCTTTGGTCTGGATCTGGAGGTATTTCCAAATTTCCTCTCTTAAAACCTAGCATTTTCAGTGTATTTTACCTAGTAAGTACATTAGCTATCTGAATGGGTCAAAGTGACTGCATTCTGGTTTGCATATCAGTTGACCAACAATGTTAGATTGAGGCAAACTTTGTCTTTACAAGTGATGGGATTAACATTTTTGGTATACTTTTATCTTTCTAGTATTTTTATTCTATTAGATGTGAATTATTGACAGATTAAAGTCCATCTGTCACAGAAATACACAATGTAATTCTCTATCCATAAAGGTTTGGACAGGTCATATCTTCCACTTTGCCTACATTTGCAGTCTGTGAGAAGTTTGTAGTCATGGAGATAAACAATGAAGAAAAGCTTGAAACTGGTAAGTAGCTTCCAGTGCTTGAGAAATAATCATCTGAGACACACTCTGTGTGCTTAAATGCTCTTAAATTGTTATTGATGATGATCTCTACATTTTAATTCTAGTATACTGGCTCCAGCTTAGTTTTAAATGTTGTGTGCAAAGCAAGCAGTGCAAAAATAAAACCTGTTTGTATCTGCTCTCATTTTGTTTTCCTTCACTTAACACTATATTTTCTTTCTACTTCCTCCCACTCACTTCTTCAAAAACAGTTGGGCATCTCTACCTCTTAAATGAGAGAGAGATGACTGGTGCCATCTGTCCTCCAAATGTGGCATCTCTTTCACTCAGTAAAAGGAAGTGAAAGCATCAATTAGTATGGTCTGTTGTTTCTTTCACGCAGAAAAAATAATTGCCTATGTCTCCTCTGCAATTGAACACTTTGTTAGGTACTTTTAAAACATTTTTTATTTAAAGCTACAGACATAAGAAATTCCAGTGAAACTCCTGTCACAAGGTTGAAGCAGGAAAATGAAGCCACTGTATAGTCCCGGCATCTTAAACTTCCTCCTGTCCTGAAAGTTCCAAGATCTTATTGATCCATCATTAGTAACTATAATTAAAAGCTGCAATTAAAAACAGTACAATTGTAGTAGTGATTGTTCAATTGAGGAGATATTAAAGAATATGTATTGTACTTCTATCTCTGAATTTTGTTTTTCTTTCCCCTTATTTAAAGGAATTTGCCTTTAGTATCTATGGAGATCCTTTGTTTAGCATTACAGGAATCCTTTATGTATTGTGTGAGATGTTACTGGGCATGTTTCTCTTCCTTGTTTCCAGCTACTAAATTGTATTAAAAGAGAAGTAAATATGGAAATATCTTCCTTTAGCATTATTTTTCAAGTAAGTATTTGCTGTAGCTGTCACAGGGATATTACACAATTCAATGAGTGGGGAAGTGATTTGGTATATCATGAATCGGTAGACAAGTGGATTCTAAGGTCGATTACTAAGGTTTGGTCCATTCAAACAAAATGTCTGAGAAACACCTGTTTGCAGTAGATCACTCCCACTCTTCTTTTTTCTGCAAACACCTATCTCTGGACCTCTATGCACCCACCCTCTTTTTTTTTTAAACTTCCCTCAAAACATGCTTTTCCTGCAGAAGGTAAAAACCTGATTTTCGTCTGTGTGCACACATAGGTTCACAAGTTGAAGTGAAGGAAGGTACTGTAGAAAGAAAGACTAAGAGGGGACATAACAGTTTCAAATGCATAAAAGGTTGTTACACGGAGGAGGGAGAAAAATTATTCTCCTTAACTTCTGAGGATAGGACAAGAAGCAATGGACTTAAATTGCAGCAAGGGCAGTTTAGGTTGAACTTTAGGAAAAACTTCCCAATTGTCAGGGTGGTTAAACACTGGAATAAATCGCCTAGGGAGTTTGTGGAATCTCCATCATTGGAGATTTTTGGTTAGACAAACACCTATCAGGGATGGTCTAGATAATACTTAGTCCTGCCATGAGTGCAAAGGACTGAATAGATGAGCTCTCAAGGTCCCTTCCAGTCCTATGATTCTATATATCCAAACTGACTGTATTTTGTTTTTTTCTATTGTTCACCCTGCTTTTAATGTCTGGTTTTATTATTTTCAACTGCGCTTGTTTAAAGCTATCTGCTTCATATTTCACTTAATTCCTGTATTTTATGTTTAGGAACAGAGGATGATTTTGGAGGCCTTGCTTCTGCTAATCTTATTCTTCTGCGGAACAGACTTTTAGATATCCTTCTCAAACTTGTATACACGTCTAAAGAAAAGACAAGTGTTAACTTGCAGTAAGTACAAATAACTCATCTGATGAAAAAGGAGGTGACTGTAACAGTGGGTTTGATTTATGATAACAGGTAAAGGGGGAGAAAGTCTGCTGAGCCACGCTCTGGTCACTAGTTATACTGGTATAAATCCAAAGGAACTCCATGAAATTAAGTGAAATTATTCATAATATACACTGGTGTCACTGAAAGCAGGATTTGGCTTTGGCTACACTAGAAAAAATCAGATATGTAATTCTTCAACCATGTATTCCCACGTATGGTAGCAACAGTGGACAGTGTTTTTTACTACTGACTCATCTAACTTTGCTCTGCATCCTCCAAATCATCCTCTAATTGTGTTTAGACAGTATGATGGTAAAAACACCTGCACCCTGTCTGAGCGACAAAGCCCGCTGTTATTGCTACCACAGGATGGAGCTGCGCCAGAGAAGAATTATGTGGACTCTCCCTAAGAGAAACAAAAGTTTTTTGCATTTTATTTCATGAAATAACAATTGCAGTGATTCCATCCGTTCATTTTTAAAGGTGGGGGTGGGGAGGGAGGTGGTGTTCAGTTGTGTGACTTCGCTGTTGTTGGGTGGTTGTTGTTTTTTTACCCTTAATCTACACAAAACCAGGTTTGGGATTTCCTAATGCTCTCCTTAATTCTTTATTTATAACTTTTATATAACAAATTCGTATACAGTGATCAAGGAAATACAAAATATAAAAAAAACAAGCCATCCACAGTCACAGCGAGAAGGGCAATCAAATTCCAGAAAACTTAAAATTTAATTATCAAATAATCCCAGTATAAAAAGATTCTCAGTAACTTCATTAATCCTAAAACATTAAAATATATTTAAAATTTCAGGTGAAGCCTGATCGATTTACAGTTCATGAAACAACAGATCCATAAAGGAGAGCGAAAAGGGTCTTGTACCCTTTGTGTCGAGTTTGGATCTTCTGTTTTAAAGGATTCTAACAATCACTGCATCGAGTAGCTGCACCAAGCCAGCTTGATGTATTTTTGTGGATTACTTAGCATATTCAAATTCTGCCATAGCTTTTAGGCAATAAATCTTAAAGCTCAACCATAATCTGGGAATTCAACAATTTAGTACATCCCAAATTTGTAAATGATATATTCTACATTTTTTCTAAAGTTTCTGCTTAACGCTTTCCTTCTGACTGTGCATGGCACAAAGATTTAATGTTTTCCAGTTTTTTGAATAACATCTGTGTAACTTTATAACCTGTAAATGACTCACATAAGAAACAGTTATATTATCTAGAAGTTGTAATTTGTAGACATAAATTTCCTGTTTTAGCCCCCAGTTTCACATCAGTTTTTAGAGTAATCTCAAAGCCAATTGTAATAGTCCCGATGACTATGACTATATTCTCAATCCTCCCATTCCATTGAACCAAATACTGACAACTCTGTAGTAGTTGCTACTAAAGAAATCTGATTGACTGTTCCTTCTTCTGTAACAGGTAGCACTCACCTGAGAAACCAGTCCATGCTTTGACTGATTTTAATTTTCTCTGATGTTCTTCTCTGTGTCTGATATTGAAGCTTTGATTCTTGCCAGGCTGTCCATTATAGGAAATCTTTTACCTTTTTTCATTAGGGCATCTGAAGAACTGGTCAGGACCCTGGGTTTTGATTGGATTATGATGTTTATGGAAGAACATCTGCACTCTACCACAGTTACTGCAGCCATGAGAATTCTTGTGGTCCTGCTAAGTAATCAGCCTATACTCATCAAGTTTAAAGAAGGCCTCAGCGGTGGAGGCTGGCTTGATCAGACAGATTCTGTGTTGACAAATAAGATTGGCACTGTGCTAGGTATGAGCTTTCAGTTATGATGATTTAAGGATGTGTCTTTTGATATTTTTATCGTCTAAGAATTGTATGTTACTATTACAAAATTAATCTTATAATACGGAGTGTTATCAAATAGTTTCAGTATTAAAAGGTTTGTTGTGTTGGTTGTCTTGGTTGCTCCTTCCCATTATTTGTTTAGGCTACTGAATTTTGGTTTTCTTAAGTGAAAGCGTGATATTTTTACTACTCTTAAAAGTGGTATGGCCACATCATAATGCAAGTTTCAATACAATTTTCTCTTAGAGTGAAATTGCCCCCTCACCTCCCTGCACAATGCCTAAATAACTAGATTTTGTACGGTTTGTGGGCCACTGGATCAATTTTGAACACCTCCAGCTTGCCCACAATGGCCAACACCAACTCTCTCTAGGTGGATGCTGTATATAGCAGAAGATGTCCTATTTGATTATTGCCCTCCCCGTAGTGCTACTGCACTGTTTGTGTTGTTTTGCTGGCCTTCTGCTTTTGGGGGAATTTCAGCTTGAATGCCAGCATATAGCATTTCCTTTCACTACAAATGTGATTCTTTACAGGTAAACAGTGCTAGCTGTACAGTGTAAATCATCTCAGCTGAGGACGACGACAAAGGCCAGCTTTAGGCTTGTGTGGATGAGAAAATTGCACTGGTTTAACTTAAGGTGTGTTTTGAAACGGATTTAGTAGAACTAGAGTGAAAGGCTGTATGGACAATCATATTTTGGTTCAAATGAGGCTTGTTTTGGTTTAGCTTAAATTAATTAAGAACAGGTTTAATTCTTAGCTCATTCTTCAACCAGACTATGTGTGTCCACACGGGTTTGCATTACTTCATTAAATCTGTTTGAAAACTTATTTAAGTATAAACAAGTGCAACTTTTGCATGTGGACAAGCTTAACGCTTTTAACTTATAAAAGTGGTTTTGAATCAAGATGAAAAGAAAAAGCTACATGCCTATGTTCTGCTTATGATTTCTTCAGGGGAAAAGAGTAATGTTGTCTTAAATTAAATTGTAAGAGTGGGATTTTCAAAAGCACTTAGTGTTGGTCTAACTCTGCTCCCTTTGAAGTCAATGGCAGTTGAACTGATTTTGCAATGTGGCATCCCTTCAGGGGATAGCATGTTCAACTTGTGAAGCTGGGAATCACACAACTGAAATTGAATTTCAAACTTTGTAACTAAATCACTGTGTGACCTTGAGTAAGTCATTGAAACTTGTCTGTTACTTCATGCATAAAATACAGTTGATAAAGTTCACCTGACTTGTGCAAAGCACTTGGCAATCAACAAATGAAAAGCAATATGCCTTTGTCTGATGTAATTATATCAAAAACACAAGATAATTCTTCAATCATTTCATTGAGCAGATTAAAAACTTTCATTCTGTTTTTCTCAAGCAACTGTTATATAACCCTTCTAAAAGTGTCTGATTATTATATAGTATGCTAGTAAATACATAACAATGTTTAACTAATCTGCCTGGTTTTCAAGTTACTAGAAATGGTGACTTCCTCAGAGAGAAGTTTTAGTAATAAGTTTGTGACTAATTCTCAGACAGTTCAAAATATTCAAATCAGTACAACTGACGACTATTTAGTGCCATCCTCTGACTCAGTCACAGTTTTTCCATTGTGAAGTCAGTGGGGTTACTAATGGTGTAAGTTATTTTAGGATTTGGCCCACTGGGTGAGAGAGAGTTTTCATAAAGCACAGTCTAGAACAGATGTACAAAATTACAATTGACAGTCATATAGAAGTATGCATACCATTTGTCCAGTCCAGCAATATGGAATTTTACATGGGAAGCTTTGGCGTTAACAAGTCTTATGAAGTATTGACACACACTCTTGTGGCAATGGTAAGGAAAAATTCCTGCAGTTCTGAATTATGCCCTGTAGTTATCTGTTTTTTTTTTCTATAGTGAAGAGGCTAGTGTTCTTTCTTCTTTCCTTCCTTCCTGGGTACTCAGACAGGAGGTTTGCCCCTTTCTCCTTCCTGTCAAAGAGGGAGATTGTGACAAAACTCTCTTCTCATTAGGGAAGTATTCAGCATCAACTTGCTGGAGATGCCTTTTTCTGCTCTTCCTTCGGCACATAAGCATACTTCATGAAGTGTTATGTATATTTATATATGTAAGTAAGAGGAAGAGCACAAGATGACTGGGTAGATATACAAGATGACTTGCCTGCTCATCAAGGTGACTCATCCCTAGTGGACAGACGCATACATTTTCAGACTGGTTGTATGGTCTGTAGTAACATAGAGAACATTGCACAGCTGGTCCATTTGTGCAAAATCTGGGCTAAAACTTAAATCTCATGAGTTTAAGTACTGCCCTTAAAAACTAATGCTATGGCTACACTGTATAGTGCGCCACTGTAGGCTCTGTAGTGTAGCCACTTTAAGCTGATGGGAGAGACCTCTCCTGTTGACGTAATTAATCCACCCCCCAACGAGCGGCGGAAGCTATGTTGGCGGAAGCTCTCCCGCCAATATAGCGCTGTCCACCACTTAGGTCGGTGTAACTTATGTTGCTCTGGGGGTGGCTTATTCACACCTCTAAGTGACATAAATTATACTGACATAAGTGGTAGTGTAGACACATTTGATTTAAAGGTGGTTGACATGGAAGCATAGGTGCTGGAACTAGGGGTGCTGGGGGTGCTGCTGCACCCCCTGGCTTGAAGTGGTTTTTATCATATACAGGGTTTACAGTTTTGTTCAGTGGCTCTCAGCACCCCCACTATACAGATTGTTTCAGCACCCCTGCATAGAAGACTGGTTACCAGCAGATCCCCTATAACATAACTAAGTGAAGGTTACAGTCTTTATCTGTGAGCCTCTGTTCAGCAATGATGGCAGGTAAAAAGCACAAAGAAAAAATTAATCAGTGAAAATAAGACCTATTAAAAGAATAACTTGGAGAATGAGTTAAAATTTAGATGGAATACACAGTGTGGCTTTCAAGTAATGAGAGTACATTAGGTTTACTGCATCTGGTATGCGAACGTTGCAAGTTTTAAGCCCTAGTTCATTGTTGTGTACAAGTCTCACAAGGGCAGTCGTGCAAACAGAATATGAACACAAGCTTTTTGTTTTAAATGGTTTTTTTTCTTTTAGTATGTAGATGGCATATTCTTTATATATGTTGAGAGTAAGAATGACTTGTGCAAGTTCACCTTTGACAGACCAGTTAAACTCTTTAGAGTTTGAATTTTATGAAAGAGGATATGAATCACTCCTCTTTTATTCTGGGCTGAACTGTACTCAGCCTAATAATACTAATGTGAACTTGTAGGTCATATGCAAATTCAAAATTCTTCTATTGAATGAGGAATGACACAAACTCCATCTGTGAATTTTAGGTAGCCTCAGATTGGAACTTTGCATTTGAGCACCTCCATACTTGGGGAAAGCTTGCCTCTGGATCTGAATTTCATGCCTCAGAGCCATTTCTACATTAAGTATCAACCAAAAATAGAAAATAAGGTCTATTACACAGATGAAAAACAATTTTTGGCCCAAATCTTCCTGGCTCTGATCTTCCTGCCTTTGATCCATATTCTCTTTCTGGAAATATGGCTGCCTCTTGCTTTAATATTATTTGTTTAATGCTGGCAATGTGTTAGGAATTGTACAATACACAGAGATGATAAAAATCTGTCCTAAAGAGCTTAAAATCTTAGACACACAGAGAAGACAGGATACCCAGGGAAATGCAGGAAAGAGAAAAGCTGTTTTTATAATTTTAACTATTTATTATGAACTCACTTATGAGCATTGTGGAAAGACGGGTTTTAGGAGAGATTTGAATGAGAGGGGGGAAGTGCTTTTGAGAGTTTGGATTGGGAGATCACTGTTTCATTTATTTTTTTTATATACCAGGCATTAAAAATAAATAGTTACTAGTAATTTTGGGTCCAGTCTTGCAGAGGAAATCTGTTAGGGCATAGATCTTTTGTGTCCTCATGGAATCCCATTGAAGATAATAGGATTCCATGAGGCTGTAAAGGTTCACCTGCACAGATCCCTTTGTAGGACTGAACACTAGCTAGTTTTGTAGTAGTTCTAATGATTGGGAACTACTTAATATTTCACTGCAGTTTTCCTTTAAAGTTATCATGATACAATTGTCTGAATGCTGTACTATAAACATGTACATAGGACTATAGGACTTTTCCCATCATATTTTGAATTACAGTGGCAGTCAGAAATTGAATAAAGGCAAGTTATAGATCATCTTTTTATTGCAATAACTGACGGGGGTTAATAAACAAGGCAAGCATTAAAGAATCAATCTTGGTATCAGGCCATGAGTGACCAGAGTCATATGGGATAAAAGAGACACTGAGAAGTGGCGTGGTTCCAATTCCATAGCTGTCTTGCTGTCATCTTTTGTTTTGTTTTGTTTTCAACATATGGAATGTCTTCTCGTAATCTGGGCAGTGTTCTGAAGAGGTGACTTGGAAGGGATTTTCAAATAATTGGGGTTTTGCCCCTGTTGCTGCTTCATTAAAGAGGTGGGGATGTTGAATCTTTAACAAAAACACAAAAAGCTCGTTAGACATTAAGTTAAGTAGGAGTTAAGGAAACAAACAGTTTTTTAAACAGGCTGATGAAAAAATCCCTTTCCCTCTGTTGCTCATCGTTCAGTCTCTTGACTAATGATGTCTTTATTCACTAGTTCTTTAGTTATAGAATTTTCCAGGTTAGACAAGACCTGAATTTCTAATGTAAAAATCAATATTGTATGCGGTTAACAAAAATCTTTCAGACCTTTTATAATGAAGCAAAAAGGACAAAAACTATTTTCCCCCCACTCTGCTCCTCCTCCTCCCCAAAGAAGGCAAGTCTATAGGTATGTCTCTACATTGAGCAGGAGTTGCGAATCACAGCTCAAGGAGAAATATTCGTGGTATATCTGGTTGAGCTAGCACATTAAAAATGGAGTGTAACCACACCAGCACAAGCGGCTGTAGGGGCTAGTCGCCTCAAATACGTACCTAGGGTCTTGGTCAGGTGAATACTCAGGGCGGCTAGACCATCCCACTGCTTGCGCTGCTGCTGCTGCTACACTCAGTATTTACCCCGGTAGCTCAATCAGAGCTACCACAAGTATTTCTCCTTAAGCTGGGAATCACACCTGCAGCTTGAAGTAGAGACATACTCTGTATCTCTACCAAAAGATGTATATCTGTCTTATCTGATGTGCGTCTGCACGTAATTATGAAGTCTGAATTGGTACCCTGCCAAGTTTATATTCTATCCAATATGGCTCTTTCTCCCAACCTGATGAAGAGTGAATTTCTCAAATGACTTCCCAGTTTAGGGTCTGATCCAAAGCACGTTGAATTGAAATTGGAATCTTTCCACTAGCTTTAATGGGTTTGGGATCAGGCCCTTACTTTGTCAGTCCTAACAGAGTTGTAGGCAATACCTTTTATGTTTGTCTGCTAAAGTAACCACATCTACATCTGAAGTCATTTCACTATACAGTAAAATGTCTCATTCTGCACTAAAGAACTTATCCTCATTTTTTGAATAAAGAAAGGTATAAACTTTTATTGAAAGCATACTTTGTTTTTTTTTAAATTTTTCTTTATAGTGCTTTTTCTTCTAGCTACAAGATGGAATATATATTTTGTACTTCTCCGCGAAATTTAAAACCCAGGTCATTCCTCTCTGTAAAACCATTTTATGCTACATTGCTATTCCTATTAAGGAACTATTAAGTCTTTGTTTACAGTTATTTCCCATAACATTTCCCTCAGGGTAGTAAACTGGAAAAATATAATTAAACTTTCAGTTATTAATAAAAGATTAATTAAGTAGGAGAAAATTATGAAAAATAGAATTTATCTGAAACTGTGTTGTGAGAGTGAGCATTTTTGTTAGCATTCATGTCATACCATTTGTTTGGGTAATCTTTAATCATAATTCATTGTATTTCTAATATATGAATGTTAGACATAATTTGTATTTGCATTTCTTTTTTTAGGGTTTCAGAACTGTTGATGCTTTAGAGTGCTGACAGTTGTTGTTCATTTAGTATTCACTGTAAATACAGTAGAAAGCCAACTATATAGTAAAAAGGTTTCATTCAGTCAGAAGTTCTGGGGACATCCCAAATAGAGACTAAACTTAAAAAGAAATTGAGGGGCTTTTTTTTGTTTCGTTTTGTTTTAAATTATATCAAAGTTGGTACCTGGCCAGACCCCAGGTATAGAGATATTTAAAATTGTTGCTGGTCCAAAACTTTTAAAACTAGTGGTAGTGATGTATCTGATTATCTTGTCTGAATATGTCTACAATTTTTTTTAATAAAAAAAAATTCAAAGATTCCTAATGAAATAAGATATGAAACTATTCACTTAAAGGGTCACGTTTGTGAATTTCACATGACTTAGTAGTGAGCATTTCATTACCATTTGATGGCTCTTTGATAGACTATGTAAAATGAGTTTGTTTCTAGTGAACAAAAGTTTACATCGCAAATTATATTTGTAGCTAACTGGCCTTGCTGATGATAATGTCAGCAGAAAGGCCAAGTATCTGAGTAGTCATGAAAACTGAACTAGCATCTCACTGTTGTTTGTTATACTTGTACCCTTCTTCAGAGTACATTATTTACCAGTGCTGTCCATTCAGTACTTTTCCCAATCACTGAACGTTTTTTGGAGCTGGGAGGAAATGGTATTAAAGGTGCAATATAAATTGGCTCTCGTGGCTTCCGGTAGCTTTTACTTAACTCTGGCTCCATTTTCTGGTAGGAAATAAAGGTAAATTAAGAGTATTTTAATCCTTCGTGCCAAGTTGATTTAATTAGTAAAAATTAAAACTAGTCTTATATGAAATATCTGGAAAAATGCTTTAAATTCCATTCACTCACACTGGCAGTCAGACTCACGCTTTGCAACATAAGCCAACTACTTGGGGTTACGGTGAAACTCTCGCCACTGGAATGTAATTATATGGTGACCTTTATAGGAGTTTTAAACCTTCCTCTGAAGAGTCATTACTGGCTGTTCTCAGAGTCTAGGTGGACCATTTATTTGAAGTAGCGTTACAATTCCTGTGTTTACTGAGAAACTTGTACTGGAACATCCATCTGATACTGTGAGGATTTTACAACTAAGTTTTTGACATTGATTTAATAATTGAAAAATGTAGCAAGTTGGTGTTAATATGAATGTGGTGTATATGTATAAATTCATTGTTACTATTGTTCACTTCTAAAGTGCTCCCTTCTGTACTTGAATAATTTACTAAAAAGTGATGTTATAAACCGGTAATTTGCATGTTAACACTTTTGGCTTTTTTATTTCCCTTTTTCTTAGGGTTCAATGTTGGCAGGAGTGCTGGCGGCAGATCAACTGTCAGGGAAATTAACCGGGATGCTTGTCATTTTCCGGGCTTTCCGGTTCTTCAGTCATTTCTCCCTAAGCATACTAATGTACCTGCACTCTATTTCCTCCTCATGGCACTTTTCCTGCAGCAGCCAGTCACTGAGCTGCCTGAAAACCTGCAGGTCAGTGCACCTGTCAGCAGCAGCCGATGTAATCAGGGTTGCCAGGTAGGGATTATCTAGAAAGATATCAATATAATTCTGTGTAACACCAAAGAGAATAATGGATTAATTGCACCCAAATTGATTCTGTAGTTAATTTATCAGCTTTATATTTAGACGTTTGGGATTCAAATTGTGATGAATTGCACTGACATATGACAAAAACTTGTCATAGCTGCTGCTATTATGTACTGAATAGATTTCTTGTAAAAAATATATATATATATATTGGGGGGGAATTTTATAAGAAATAGCAACTTGAGTCCCAGATTCTGTGTTCAGATCAATATGAACTGACCCTGGTGCCTGTATGACGACGTGGGCTCTATCTTGGCACTAAGGGCCTGCCTGCAAAGACAGTTGTGGGAACGGGGTCAAAGGGATGATGTCATTGACTATGGCTTTGGAAACTGTTCAGAAAACATTGCTTTATTTCTAGAAGTGTTTTCCTGGGGTTACATACTATGTTTTTAGTAGGAAAAGGTTAAAAAAAATTAAAATCCTTTTTTCTAAAAAGGCATCTAACTTTATGTAGAAAACCCAGTTACACTTTTGGCCTTCACAACATCCCCTGGCAATGAATTGCACAGGTTGACTGTGTGTGTGAAGTACTTTTTTTGTTTGTTTTAAACCTGCTGCCTGTTCATTTCATTGTGTGATCCCTGGTTCTTATGTTATGTGAAGGGATAAATAATGCTTCCTTATTCACTTTCTCCACACCATTCATAGTTTTATAGACCTCTATCTTATCTCCCCTTACTCATCTCTTTTCCAAGCTGAACAGTCCTACTCTTTAATCTCTCCTCAAATGGAAGCTGTTCCATACCCCTAATCATTTTTGTTGCCTCTGTCTGTACTTTTTCCAGTTGTATATCCTTTTAGAGATTGGGGAACCAGAACTGCACATAGTATTCAATGTGTGGGTATACCATGGATTTATATAGTGGGATTTTGATATTTTCTGTTTTATTACCTGTCCCTTTCCTAGTGGTTCCTAACATTCGGTTAACTTTTTTGACTGATGCTGCACATTGAGCAGGTTGTTTTCAGAGAACGATCCATGATGACTCCAAGGTCTTTTTTTTGAGTGGTAACAGCTAATTTAGATCCCATCATTTTGTATATAGTTGGAATTATGTTTTCCAATATGCATTAGTTTGCATTTATCAACGTTGAATTTCATCTGCCATTTTGTTATCCCGTCACCAGTTTTGTGAGATCCCTTTGTAATTCTTCACAGTCCGCTTTGGACTTAGCTATCTTTAGTGATTTTTGTATCGTTGGCAAACTTTGTCACCTCACTGTTCACCCCTTTTTGAAGATCATTTATGAATATGTCAAACAGCTCTGGTCTCAGTACAGAGTCTTGAGGCACCCTGCTACTTACCTATCACCATTGTGAAAACTAACCAATCATTTCTCCTTTGGTTTCTATCTTTTAAGCTATTACTGATCCATGAGAGGACCTTCCCTCCTATCCCATGACTGCTTACTTTGCTTAAGAGCCTTTGGTGAGGGATCTTGTCAAGGCTTTCTGAAATTTCAAATACCCCCTTCAAAGAACTCTAATAAATTGGGGAGCCATGACTTCCCTTTACAAAAGCCATGTTGACTCTTCCCCAAAATATTGTGCTCACCTATGTTTCTGATTATTCTCTTCTTTACTATACTTTCAGCCAATTTGCCTGCTACTGAAGTTAGGCTTACCAGCCTCTGATTGCCTCTGGAGCCTTTTTTAAAAATTGGCGTTGCATTAGCTATCTGCCAGTCATCTGGTACAGAGGCTAATTTAAGCAATAGGTTACATGCCACAGTTAGTAGTTGGACAGTTTCATATTTGAATTCCTTCAGCACTCTTGGGTGAATACCACCTGGTCCTGGTGACTTATTACTGTTTAATTTCTCAATTTGTTCCAAAACCTCCTCGATTGATGCCTCGATCTGGGATAGTCCCTCAGATTTGTCACCTAAAAAGAATGACTCAGGTGTGGGAATCTCCCTCTCATCCTCGGCAGTGAAGACTGATGCAGAAAATTCATTTAGCTTCTCCTTTTCTTTCTTGAGCGTTCCTTTAGCACCTTGATTGTCCAGTGGCCCCACTGATGGTTTGGTAGGCTTCCTGCTTCTGATGTACTTAGAAAAAAAATTATTTTTTGTGTCTTTTGCTAGTTGCTCTTCAAATTCTTTGGTACAATATATGCGTGTCAGGGATTCGTGTATTTTAAAAAAACCTAGGATGACTAGGTTTCTGTGGTCCTCAGGGAAAATTCCTACTCTAAACTGACAAATTGCACTTTAGAATGGACTTGGTTAGCACTTACATCCCTTTACAAGCAGGAAATAGAAGACAAAAATTTGAGCAGTATCTGTAGATAAAGAAGTTCTTTTGAACATCTGGATTTGCATAAACATTAATGCATGATAGCCCTGGTCAGTAAGGCTTATGTCTGTCCTATATTGACATAATCAAATTGCATAGGAACAAAGGTTAATTTTGGCTTTTCTCTTTTTCTTCCCTCACTCCTCCAATAGTTTGATTTAGATTCTATCTGGACATTTATATTTGGAGTTCCTGCCTCCAGTGGCACTGTGGTGTCTTCAATCAACAATGTTTGCACAGAAGCTGCCTTTTTATTATTGGGAATGCTCAGGAGCATGCTGAATTCAGTAAGTATAGAGTCCCCTTGGGGCCCATTTATACGCACCTCCTCGTCTCTACTGAACTCCTTAATGCAAAAGACAGATTAGAAAGGCTAGTTTTTCGTTGAACAATGATGCAAACCAGAATTATAAATCTGTCTCATAATTTGGGTTGGCAGAGGGTTTTTTTGTTTTTTTAATCTGACAATATCAATTTTTATTTTTAAGCATCTTTTAAAATTTTTAACTATTTTAAAAGTTGTGGTAAATTAAGGGTGTTTGGGTTGGTGTTAGGGCTAGGGCAGAGCTGACAGGGGTTGCAGTGGGCTCCCAGCACTGACAGAAGGGCTCCAGGGACCTGAAACATCCAGGCACAAGGTGCGGGGAGGGCCTGTGGTCATGGCCCGGTGGAGCAATGACCCCCCAGGACTCCAAGGAAGAGGACGAGCTCCAAGGTGCAAGGGAAACCACCCTGCTGCTGAATGGCTCCCGTCCAGGGATGGCTACACTCCAAGCCGATGAGTGAATGAGCATGGTCATGACACTGGAGCTGCAGGGTGCAAGGTATGGGGAAGGCTGCGGACCTGGTGGGGCAGAACAGAGAACTTCAGCCAGGGTCTCAAGTAGGAGAATGGATCCCTGGCCACAGGGGAGGCCACGCTGCTACTGAACATTTCCTCCCCGATGATGGCCCCCATACTCCTGGCTGTGAGTGAGTGAGTGGGGCCATGACAGCAGCGCTTCAGAGGGCTCCCTGCGCAGCCGTCAATTTGTGTGACATGAGAAATCAACGTTTACCGATGACTAATGATTATATTGAATCCTACCAAGCCTGCTCATAGTTGGCCTTTTGTTACTCATCTAAAATTGTCCTTGGCCTACAGTTCATTCATTTGTGCCAGTGGCTGTAAGATTAATAGTACTTTCACTCACACACGTTAAAAATTGGATTTTTTTTTTGTACTTTACAAAAAGGCGGAGATGATAAAATGCCCTTGGCAGAGATTAGGAAATTTCTTTTCTGATTTACATCATTGGGGAATATTTAAGACTTCAATGCCCATCTGTTGGGAGCTATGTGAGTTAAAAATTTGTGCATGAAGAAGCATCCACATACAGACAAGTCTACTGACTATTAATAGCTTCATGCTGGTGGAAATCCACTGGGTGCCAGGAAATGTGGGTTGTATTTTTTTTTAAATGCTGATTCTAAACTCATCAAAAGAGAGAGTTTGACATTCCCGTATTTACTTAGGCTTGGTGTGTGTATCTGTTCAAACGATCTCCCATGCAATAGTTCTTTCACTTTTGCAGAAATTATCCAATCTGCGTTTTAGAGAGAATTGTTTTAATGGATACACATCACTCTGCTACTCCACCAGGGATTATGGTCACAAGAGCTGCAAGAAGAGACTCCCAGACTGGCGCATTTGGCTCTGTGAATACTGGTGCCCCTATGCCGGCGCAACTAGTGCCCCTACACCAGCACATTCGGCTCTGTGAATACGGCACCTGCCTTCTGCCTAGTAAGAAGACTGCAGCATGCGCTGGGAGTATGGGAGCCGACGCGCTGTTACCTGCTGCCCCAGTCATAGGCGTGGACTCTGTGGGTGGGTGCTCCGGGGCTGGAGCGCCCTCGGGGAAAGTTTAGTGGGTGCAGAGCACCCACTGGCACCAAGCCACCATCTGCCCCTCTCCTCTCGCGCAGGTGGCCCCGCGTTTGCCAACTCTTCCCTCTCCCTCCCAGTGATTTCAGAGTGCCGTGAACAGCTGATTCACGGTGTTCAAGCTCCGGGAGGGAGGGGAGGAGCAGGGAAGAGGCAGGGCGGGGGTGGAGCAGGGGCAGGAAGGGGTAGAGTGGGGGCGGGGCCTGGAGCAGAGTGGGGCAGTCGAGCACCACCGGCAAGATGAGAATTCGGCACTTATGGTCCCGGTGGTGCCCCAAATTTTCAGGTGCCCTACACAGCCGCGTATGCCTAAGGACGGCCCTGGATGGTGGTATTCTTCCATCTGTATTGCCACTTTCCCTCCCCCTTAGAAAGCATCTCCCAGCAAACTTCTTGGACCGAGTCTCTGGTTTCTTCATCAGTAAGATATGTATTTTTTCCCACCACCCAAGAGACTGAGTTTCATCTTGAATTGCCTTAAGAAATGTAATATTATTTGGGAGGGTTATGTTAAGACTTCTGCTCTATCTCGTGTTTGATAGCCTATGTTCATGTTACTCCCCTTGTATTGGTATTCTTTTCAGTGTGGTGCAACAGCACCAAGAGATAGCAATTCTGAGACTGCAGTTGCATGCTAAAGGCACTATGAATAATTGTGTGCGTAGGCAGCATAGATTTAGATATAATATCCTAATATTACATTTAAAAAATCATATGATATTCTTTGCATGCCGATAGGCATTAAATTTTAACTTAGCTAGAAATTTGTTACATTTATATGGGGAAAGTTATTTCCTTTCTTTCATAACATGAAATAGGTTAGACATACCAGTAGTTGTCAAGTGGCGTTTGTGCTTGCACTGTGACACAGCTATTGCTCTTTAAGAAAATACAATAACTCCTCATTTAACGTTGTCCCGCTTAACGTTGTTTCAATGTTACGTCCCTGTTCAGTTAGGGAACATGCTCATTTAAAGTTGTGCAATGCTCCCTTATAACGTCGTTTGGCTGCCTGCTTGTAAGATTCTGTGGAAGAAAGCAACTTTACAAGGGAGCATTGCACACGTTCTGCTTCTCCGCCTCCCCCCACTCCCTCCCAGCGCTTAGGACTTTCTGGGAGGGAGGGGCAGGAGTGGGAAAGCGCCATGTCTCTGCTCCTCTCCCTCCCTCCCAGAAAGTCCTAAGCGCTGCCAAACAGCTGTTTAGCGGCTCTTAGGATTTTCGGGGTGGGGGAGGGAGTGGAGACGCGGAGCTTCTCCGCTCCTCCTCCTCCCTCCCAGCACTTCATGCTTAGGACTTTCTGGGAGGGAGGGGCAGGAGTGGGGAAGCGCTGCATCTCCGCTCCTCCCCCTCCCTCCCAAAAAGTCCTAAGCGCCACCAAACAGCTGTTTGGCGGCGCTTAGGACTTTGGGTGGGGGGAGGGAGAGGGATGTGGCATGCTCTGGAGAGGAGGTGGAGTGGGGGTGTGAAGAGGTGGGCCTGGAACATTCCTGGCAAAGTCCGAGCCTGTTCTTCTCTGGGGAAGCTGCTGCTGCAAAGGTGCTTCCTAGCGTCCTTGCCTGCAGCGGGCTGTGCCTGTGTGGGGTAAGCCAGGGGCACTTCCCAACCACAGTATAGTACTGTACAGTATATAATGCCTTTTGTCTGCCCCAAAAAAATTTCCTTGGAACCTAACCCCCCACATTTACGTTAAATCTTATGGGAAAATTGGATTCGTTTAACACTTCACTTTCACTTAAAGCTGCATTTTTCAGGAACATAACTACAACGTTAAGTGAGGAGCTACTGTACTTTAGAAAGAGAGTTCTTTTTTAACTATTGCCATCTACAATAATTTTTGCAATTTCTTTTCAACATAGCCTTGGCAGTCAGAGGAAGAAGGCTCTTGGCTTCGAGAATATCCGGTGACCTTGATGCAGTTCTTTCGATATTTGTATCACAATGTTCCAGACCTGACTTCAATGTGGATGAGTCCAGAGTTCCTGTGTGCATTGGCAGCAACCGTGTTTCCTTTCAACATCCGACCTTACTCTGAGATGGTAGGTAACTGAAAAATAGAATACACTCCAGCTAGGCTATTGAGTTTTCACTTGCCTGTCAGTTCCCTCAAATGTTAGCCAGTTGACAGCATAGCCACGGTGAATAGGCTACAAGTTAAAGACTTCTTCATAAGATAGAAGTAGGTATGTAGTGGTTGTTACGGCAAGGTCACATTATGCTTCTCTGAGGTCCTGTTGGCATTTCTTTTATGAACTCCATTTTTTAAAGGGATTGTTACTGATCTGAGATGGACTTTTATACCTAGATTCTTAGACCAAGAGCATGTTATTTTTCACCATTTAAAGAAAATATTTTATGTCTAATTAGATGATGAAATTAATCAGGCCTTGATCTATAATATGAACAAATGACTAAAAAAAACTTAACGCTAAATTGGAGGTCAGTTGCTGCACTATCTACTATGAAATTTCAATCCATTGCTCTGGGGGAGATGTATGCATTTTATAGAATATTTTTCTTTGGTGCATTATCTGACCACCTCAGAGATTTTAATGAATTTACCCTTTTCAGCACCCCTGGTAAGATGGGGAAATATTGGCCCCATTTCACAGGTAGGGAAACTGACACAAATAGCTTCATTTACTTGCCCAGGGTCAGAGAAGAAGCATGTGGTAAAGCCTTGAAACTACAACCATAGTTCTCTCAAATCCCTCTCCACTGCCTTAACCACAAGACCATCCTTCCTCTGTTATCCGAGGCTATCTCTACACTGCAAACCACTGGTGGTGGCAGGCGGTAGGTACATATAGCCACATGCCATAGTGAAAAGCAGGCTGCATCCACACTGCAGTGTGTTGCTACGCATGTCCGTGAAAGGCTCTGGCAGTCGGGAGGCAATGGGAAAAGACTCCAGCACGAGGGAGCTGCTGGAGATTTTCCCTGTTGCCTCCTCGCTGCCAAAGCCTTTCCCTGTAATGGAAAGCCACCCAGCAGTGTGACGCTACATTGCTAAAAATAGCAATGTGGACAGCTGAGGCACTGCTTGGGTGTGTAGAGAGCTATGTGGGGTACAGACCCTAAGGGTTGAGGCATGTCTTTACTCACCTAACAGTGCCTCGTCATCTACACTGCTGTTTATACCCATACAAAGAAGATACGCAGTGTATATACTCTACGTGCTGCTGTAAGGAGTGTGCAGTGTAGACGTACCCATAGATGTTACATTCCAACCTGAAGAGGAGATAGGAGTTCCATTGTTTGTGTTGCCGCCTTTATATGCCGCTTGCTGGAATTTCCTCCTTGTTGGCTGCTTCACTCTGAATGTCACATTACAGATCACACCATCATACTTACAGAGCAAATAAGGGAAAGGAAAAGAGTGATTATCCATGGCTGATGTTGTAGCACAGTTGTATTGATTGAAATGTTGACAAAAATATAACCAGAGATGTGAAGAAGTTTAATGGAGAATAATATCCCTTCACAAACTACTTCTAGTAGATGTAGCTATTGACATAATGTCGCCATACCCAGGTATAGGCACAGAGTTGGAAATGTACAGACTAGTGTGTCTTTTTGAAATAGGTGCACTCATAATTCATTCACTTCAACTGATTTGTTCAGTTAACATGAACTGAAAATATATTGCATATAGCAGCGTGCTAATTATGAAATTATAAATGTCTTGTAAATTACTTTACAGAAAACAGATTGCTAATTGTGAAATTACAACTCTCTCTTACCTTTTTCCCACCGAAGGCATGATGGAAATGAAATATCTGTAAGGCTGTGTAGAATGAGAGGAATGACTTGGTGTATAATGTGGGAAAATGTTGGAATAGTAGGAAAATATCTCTGCCCAACTCCTTTGTGATCTTAAGATAACTTGTAAAACCTGAATACTGTCTATAGATAGTAGTGAAAACAGTGCCTGGGTCAGTCTTTCAAAACTTATATTCCCCTTAATTAACAAATATGTATTATACTTTCCATATGTGCATGATACTTAGCTAGAGTTAGAAATTTGTTCACTTTTGGTAAATCTCAACTGTTGTCAAAAGACTACGGTTTGTACCCATTAGTGAATTTAAGGTGGGGGTGGGGAAATCCTCCTAAACTGGAATGCCTCTCTTAGATTGTATTTAAAGTTCATTATTAGGAATCTTGCTATGCTGCTCATATAGTTTTGGTGTAATAGTACATTACAAGGAACTCTTTCACAATTGCCATGATACCCTTCATTATCACAAAAGAATGTATGTATGTATGTATGTATATGTATATATTTAAAAAAAAGAGAGAGAGCTGGGGAGTTCATCCTGTTTCACACTGGGGAGCTGAGGCCTGGGAATGACCATCTTGCAAAAAAGGTATCTTCAGAGAAACAGAATTATGGGGTAAATAAATAACTCGAACATAAAATAATATGGAAAAAAAAAACAGTAGCAGTTAAGGAAATGAGAAAGTTGTAGAGTTTTAACATGTTGATTTTTTCACAGGTTACTGATCTTGATGATGAAGTTGGATCCCCAGCTGAAGAGTTCAGAGCATTTGCAGCCGACACTGGCATGAACAGGAGCCAATCAGAGTACTGCAATGTGGGCTCCAAGACCTACCTAACCAACCATCCTGCCAAGAAGTTTGTGTTTGACTTCATGCGTGTGCTCATAATAGATAACCTCTGCCTCACACCTGCTAGCAAGCAGACTCCACTAATAGACCTCCTGCTAGAGGTAGGACTGCTATTTCCTGCTCTTTTTACAGAGTAAACTTCATATGAAACTTTTTTCGTATGCAATTGCTTTTTGAGGTTGTACTAAATGTTGAATATCAGGACTACTGTTGATTTATATAATGGTTTTAAATTGTCATTTAACATCCACCAATGGAGTTTAGAGACACTTTATGTGCTCATGTTTTTTAATGTTTTGTTTTTTTTGCTCTCCGTTGTTTAATACCTTGAAGCTTAAAAATAACTTAAAAGAGATACGATCCCAGTCAAGCATGGAGAGATTATTTAAAAGACATCTGTATGTAGGTGGTAATTGATTATTTAAGCTGATGAGCTGGCTCAGACAGTGTGGCATGGGGGGGAAGGGTACTGATATTACAGTCCTGGGGTACGCCAGCAGAGAGAGAAGGCAGAGAACATTCAGCTAGGTAGGATTAGCAATATACTGTAATAAAACTGTTGCCTCTTAAAGAGCAGGTAGAAAAAGAGGCCTTGTATGTAGTGTGGCTTTCCATAACCTTCATGGTTTCTCTGTGTGAGCTTCAGAAGTGTGTTTGTGTCGCTATCCTAAAGCTAATATTGAAATTTTAAAAAAAAGTCTTTTGGGTTTATATATTCATTCAAATAGTTAATTTAAGTGTGACATACACTAGTGGGTGCCAGTGTGAGCTAAAGAAATAAGTCTATTTTTCCCATTACAAATATCGTAACAAATTATTTGTTAATATTTTAGTAGTTTCTGTTACAGAGAAAATAGGCTGGCAAAACAGAAATCTGCCTTATGGAAATGAAAATAACACTCACTCTATTCAGTATAAAATGATACAGTGCAACCCATGTATTGAACTCCATCCTTAAACTTAAATTAAAGCCTCTGCTATAAAAGTAAGTCAGGGTTATAATTGGATAAATGTAGTCCAAGAGGCTTAGAAGTCAGAAATGGGAGAAAGATCATCCAGTCCCTCTCTTGCCAAAGCTGGATGGGTCCCAGTCATATGTGTTCCAGAAAATTAGATGTTTTTATTTATAACAAATAAATAATTGATAACCTCCTTAGATTTTAGGTACCTAACAAGGTGAAAATTTCCATGGAATAACCATAGTTGTCAGCATATGGTATCTCTTTCTGTTCTGCGGCTCTTTCCTTAAAGCAGCTTTCTCTACCCATTGATTATGTGTTGTAGGCTTCCCCTGAAAGATCAACAAGGACACAGCAGAAAGAGTTTCAGACTTACATTTTGGACAGTGTGATGGACCACTTACTTGCAGCTGATGTTTTATTGGGTAATTTCTTATTTCCTTTTCATTTATTGATGCACATGTCATCCATTCTCCATTACCAAAGCCAACATCAGTCTTCGGTGGTTTTGTTTTTGTTTTTAATCTCTTCTTCCCCCTTTCCTTAAGATTTGTTTCTCCTTATCTTCTGTATCTTTTTGTCCCTTGATATGTAAGGGGATATATTACTTTTCTTACACTCATGACAGCAAATCTCCATCATGCCCAATCTGTGAACCATTAGGAGTTCAAAAAGTGTTATACAGGTGAAGCATGTTTTACAATTATGAACCAAAAAAAATTTGGCTGAGAAAGGAGGCAAGAGGAAATGGGACTGAATTTTATCATCCCTACCCTGCACTATCAATTATGCTCTCTTCCCCTCAACAGAGGGTTTGCCCTTCCCCCAGTTTTAGTTGTGTCTGGGGCTTAGATTGCTAAAAGTTGGCCTTTTTTCCTTTCCCATCTTTTATTATTTTATTTGTTACTGCAACAGCCAAGAGAACTCTGTGGGATTAGAGCCTCATTGTGAAGGAGCTGAGCAAACACAACAGGACACTGTCCTTTTCCCTGAAAAGCTTGTTATCTAGATGGCAGTATGAAGGACTGACAGAGGAGAGGCAGATGATCATTGAGATGGCTCTGAGACTAGTGCCCAATTTGACTTCATACTCATCAGCTGAACTCCCCAGGAATTCTCACTTTGCCCTATTCCCCAATGCCTCCTCCGTGGCCAAACTTGGATCTCTGAGGCCGTTGTGGGTTTTCTGCTCAACTCCTCTATCTCCTCTCATCTCTTTAGGGTGAGACTGAAGTTCTCCCCTGTCCTTCCCTTTCCTCCTAGTCTGGTGTTAGGAGTGTCAGAAAAGAACAAATTTGTCACTGTCCCCTGCTCGCCAATTGCAGATTTTGTGGAGGCTGTTATTAAAAATGGCAGCAGCCTATTTTCAGTCAAGTGTTGCTTCCCTTTTCCATGGTTATTGTTTATGAAGTCATCTGTAGGAGATAGTATCTTCTTTTGGAACCAGAGAGAATGGAGAAGCATGCAGGGATGGGACTTTATCTCTTTTTAAACAAAACTAAATATTTGCAGGATCCAAAAAGTTATACCTCCTAGGGTCCAATTTATTAACAGTAATTCCAAAATAATAGTACATGAAACCCCATATCAAACCTTCTCCTCAGATTTGCCTTCCCTTTTAGTTACATCAGTTCAACTGAAGCCTTCTCCCCAGGCTTGGTTGCCCCAGGATTTCTTTCTTCAAGACTTGTCTGTTCTAAATTCTAGCTGTCTGCATGAGGAATGTTCTCACTTCCCTTGTATATGGAGAGGGGGAGGGGTAACAAGTCAACTGCACCAGTGAGTGAACGCAACCCACTTAATGGTTCCCAGCAAGATCAACACCTGCTAATGGTGGGGAGTTTGAGGCAAACACTGTCAGCTTGTTACAGTGCCTCAGAATAAGCTCTCTGTTAAAAAATAAAATACAGTTGGCGTAGAACTCCTATTGATCCTCAGTTTTTACCAGGTGAGGGCCAGTGGGGAGCAAGATACCAACTGTTTTAAAAATCACTGTATGTATTGACAGAGGACTAGATTGTGCTATGTGCACGAAGCCCATGGTAAGGGGCTGTGCATAAACCTACTGTTGTGAGTGAGCACTGGAAGGCATTGCGACTCAGAGCGACACCATCCCTTGAGGGCTGGTGGTTGCTTTTGAGAGGGAAGTGATTTACCAAACCCATTTAAAGGGAGTAGCATGCTCTTGTCCCCATCCAGGGTGCCCGACCATCTCCTTTGGGGTGGAGGGCAGAGCCATGGCTTCATCTGGTTCTCACCCAATTGCTCCTGGGCGGAAACAGTTTGAGGCACTGCCCCTATATTCCCCAAGTGTCGGGACTGCTGTTATGGCCAGCCTCATGCGGTTGCAGAAGCAGGAAGAGGAATCCTTATTTCCTTCTACTCCATTCATCAGCAGTATAAGAGCTAGCTACTAGCTAGTCGTAAGGAAACAGGAAAGTAGCAGAGCTTATGGCAAGGGCTGTGCTTAGCATATGAATGCATGAGACACCGTGGGGACTTTGACTGTTGTTGTAAACTAAGATCTGTTATTTGTTAGGAAATGGTTTTGTTTAGCACTAGTTTAATATGAACAATATCAACATGACAGTCTACAGAACAATTTCTAGTAAATAGTACTCTCCATCTGAAAGTCCCCAGCTCCCTACGTGCATTCATCTCCGAATTCTTATTCCTTCTCGGAATCTCTGTCAGCAGATGTACATCCTGCTGAGAACACTAATTCACTTTAACTTTTTGTTGCTGGTGAACTCAGATGTGGAATTGTTGTTCCTGTCATGAGGAAGAAACCCACACAAGCATATATTTTGGCCGTAGGTGTTCTTTGTTTTTTAACAGTGTGTTAGTTCATGTGCAAATGAAGTATAGGTGTTCATGTTAGCAGGTGAATACACACACCATTGGGCATTAGACAAAATACAGATATACCTTCCTATTATAAACTTGATGTATCAAATTAACTTGGTGGTTAGTATTACAGTAGCAATTTTGGGTCCCCGGTGCTAGGTGCTGTGTATGCGTAAGAGAGAAATATAGAGGTGCATCATTCATGGAGATTTAGTGTCTTCCTTTGGGAGACCAATATGCAGGAATCCTCAAATGATGGATAGGAGGTCTCCATGCTTAAGGAACCATCTCTTGATGGGAACAGTCTCACCAACTATTCTCCTATCTGAATTTCCTTCTTTGGAAAAATGTTATTGGGGAGGTTGTGGTGAGGCAACTGTGTGGAGGCCTCCAATTTCCTTGAATCCTTTCAGTAGCTTTAGACTTGGGTATGGCATGGATGTTGTGCTGATCTTGTTAGCCATCACGCTCCAGAAGGTGAACAAAATCAGGTGTCCATGATGCTTCTCTTATATCAGACCAATAACGGATACAAAAGATCATCTTATTGACTTTATGAACTCAGTCATGAGCACAAGGAGTTGTACTTGTGTGCCTCTGCTCTGTCCTCTTAGAGAGAGATGAGTTGGTGGAGTAAAGCCTTACCCAACAAATATTAACACATCCTTTAATATGCACATATGGCATTGTTTTTCTTCCTTCCTTGTTTTGGTCTGTGATTAAAAATATGCCTTCAGTGCCCACTTCACATTGCCACTATTACAGTTCAATAAATATATTGCATACAACATTAAGCTCCTATTGTTTGACTAACAGTTCCAGGTAGCATTTCATTCAGATGACTGTAGCACTTTCTCCAGGTTGCAGAATAAAGAAATTAGTCTTTAGAAAGCTATTGGGCATGCTGAACACACATAGGTGGTTGGAGAGTGGGTTTTTTTGCTGTTGTTTAAATCATTTTGTTTTCTTTTGTAATTTAGGTGAAGATGCATCTCTGCCTATTACAAGTGGTGGTAGTTACCAGGTGCTGGTGAACAATGTGTTTTATTTCACACAGCGTGTGGTGGATAAGCTTTGGCAGGGCATGTTCAACAAGGAATCCAAACTTCTTGTAGACTTCATCATTCAGCTAATTGCACAGGTAACAGTTCTTCATAGTAGTAGTAGTAGTATTACTATATGCCTAGGAGCCCAAGTCATGGTCCAGGACCTCCCAGTGCTCTACAAACACAGAACAAAAGGATGGTCCCAGCCCCATAGAAAGCATATTTGTTTAATTAGTTTTAAAAGATTGTCCAGAGCATTAGATGCACACTCACGCTCTTTTGTAGCTTGTAAATATCTAAATAAATAAATTAGGCTTTTTTGCATAATTTCATCTACTGGTGCTGATTCCAAGGTGTGGTGTCTTTTGTAAGAGAATATTTTTAAAATAGCGTGCGCATTTTAAAATGGCGTTTAGCTTAATACAGGCAGTCCTCGGACTTACGACACAGTTGGTTCCTGAAAATTGCGTTGTAAGTCGAAACTTTGTAACTCGGAACCGCAAGACAGTCCATTGCAGGACTGAGCGTCATAAAGTCGAAACCAATTGTCATAAGTCAAATCAGGGTGTCAATTCAGAAACGTTGAAAGTGCTGTTTGTCGTAAATCAAACGTCGTAAAGTTGAGGACTGCCTGTATTTTGAAGGAAACTAGAACTTCCTTAGCCTGCAAAGCTTTTTAAGTTAATATAACATAAGCAAGAAAGTCAAATTTTTAGTTTTCTCCCTTTGTGAGCCCTGTGCGGTCTTGCCTTGCAACTTGGACTGGCATAGTTTACCCCTTAACAGCAAGCGTGGTGAAAGAGACGGTTGTCCACCTTATCTTTCTCTTTGGCAGTGTGATGATGATAAACATGATATAAATGCCTAGATGAATGGAAACAACTCAGGACAAGATTTCCCCCTTCATCCCCAACATCTTGGGCCCTCCACAAATTATTTGGCAGTTATATTATTGAAGATATGAACAATCTTAGGTGTCATTTTGCAAGCCCTTAGTGCATGAAGATTCCAGAGAAATGTATTAGGCTGCTACATACCAAAGGATTTGCAGGTTTGCATACATAGTGTTTAGACATTCTCATGCCAAACTGGGAGAGGAGACTAAAAGAGCAATGAAAGTTTTCTTGTTAGTGCTCTGTCTTTGGAAATATATGGGCTTTTCTCCTCAGCCTTTTTCTTTTTTTCCCCTTTTTGAGTCTGCACCATCATAGCATGACCTGTTGGTGTTTATATGTAGTAGGTCAGTGTTCTGATATGATACAATATTTTGATAGTAGGGTTGACTCATATACCTGTCTGAGTATGCTGTATTCATCTCTCTGGTGTCTGAGTGCCTGATGAAGAGAGAGGTCTTGTCTATTCTAGGGATATTTTCCTGATTATTCAGGCTTAAAACCATTGCTGCAGCATAGATAAGACTCTGATGCTGGGAACCATTTTTATAAGTGGATTAGTTAACTTGCTTTCAGATTAATTAGATTTAAAACTGTTATGAATTTGTGGTAGTATTTCTGTAGTAAGATGAGTCCAAAGATTCCTCCTCCTCCTCTTCCACTGAATCTCATTGAGAAGCTTTGTTGTGGAAATTAGAACACAGCATTTCAATAAGTTACCATAGAAGTTGCCATAAAACAAAATTCTTATCAGTCCATTTATCAGCATGACTTCAGTTCTCATTTCCAGGCAGGCAAATCATTAATACATATTGGGATTGAGCGGGGGAATTAATCAGTACAAAGATCTTTTAGTAAAATGAAAGTTTTTTGAAAAAAATCAGTGTAGGATTTGAAGAAATAAGTTTTTGTGGAGATTTCACTATCTGACATTATATTAATTGTTTTGTACTTTCCATCAGTCAAAAAGAAGATCTCAGGGGTTATCACTGGATGCTGTTTATCACTGCCTGAATAGGACCATCTTGTATCAGTTTTCAAGGCCACACAAAACTGTCCCTCAGCAAGTTGCTCTCCTTGATTCTCTAAGGGTCCTTACGGTGAACAGAAACCTAATTCTGGGACCCGGGAACCATGATCAGGAGTTCATCTGCTGTCTAGCTCATTGCCTGATTAATCTGCATATGGGAAGGTAAGTGCCTCAGACTTAAATTCATCATACTAGAGTCAGTCTTGTACAGTGTTTCTTCTTCCTCTCTAAGCTATGGCTGCTTACTGATGAATCACAAACAGTTGGCAAAATTGTGGATATCTGTTTATAATGTTTGATGCCAGGAAAGTGCAAGATAACTGAAATGGTTCATCTTGAACAAAATTACAATTGGGTAATAGTCTTAGGGGTATAATCCTATCTCCTTTTCCACAACTATGTTAAGATATTGGTACATGAATATACCTTGTTCATCAGCCTTATTAAGCTTTAATAGTGTAAAATATCTGAATTTTCTGAATATTCATATTCTTCCAGTGAATTTTTTTTCCTGGTTTGTTCTTTGTATTTTATCCAAAGTCTCTTGAGTATTAATACCAGCAGGAATCTAATGCTTCCCGTTTGACACTTGTCATTAATTTGAATTGTACAAGTTCCACCCTATCTTTCCCCAGTGACTTTAGTAGAAAACCATGCCCTTCTTCATAAAACTGCAGCTCAGAGTGAGGCTGCATATCCCCAAAACAAGAGGGACCAGAAACATGTCTCTGCCCCGTAGCAGTACACGTTGCTTCAGTTTGATGATACCACAGAAAGATTAACCACTTCAGTTCTTAAACCCTATCTGCTTCTGTTCATTCTAAATTTATTGTAGCGGTGTTGATGGGTTTGGACTGGAAGCGGAAGCCAGGATGACCACTTGGCACATTATGATCCCCTCTGACATAGAACCAGATGGAGTCTACAATCAAGATATTAGCGAAGGTAATAAAAAAAGCAGCTAAACCTCAGATATCTATTAACACTAGATTCTTAAAATGTTCTTATTCTTCTTCCTTCCTTCCCTTCCTCACCACCAGTCTTTTTCCCATTTTTTGGTGGGGGGTGTGGCAGAAGGAGAGGGTGGTTATCTGAGATGGTAAACATATCAAAAATGTAGAACACTTCACAGAAATACTGAGAAGCATCCAGTGTCAGCTGTCTATTTATCGAAACAATAAGAACATTTCCGTCCCTTCCTGATATGGCTATAAAGGCCATTAAAAAATACTAATTAGAAGCAAAATTTGTTTAGAGAGCGAGAGAGAGATAGAGAGAGAGGCGCACAGAGGCTAGTCCAATATGAATCGATAGTTTTGTGTATGTCAGCACAAAAGTAAACAGAGGTAAGAAATAACTAGGGTTAGGCATGAGGTATATAATTCAGTGAAAACAGCAGGATCTGTCAGTCACTGGAAATTAGCTAACAACTTGGTCCAGAGTAGGAAACTGGGATTATCACAGATGGGTGTTGAAAAGCACTAAAGAGAGTAGGTAGGATGCATGAGAAGCAGGTAGGAGAGAAGAACCAAAGAGCCCCTAATCATACATGAAGAAAAGAAACAGGAGAAATAGGAAGATATGAAAGAAGCAGTTTTAGGAATAAGGGACATCAGTGTAAAAGTTAAGTTCACAGTCAATCCTTATCCCAGAGAGAGAGTGGCCACCCCATTCCTGTTGTGTACCTTCTCAGTATTCACCAGGATCAGTTTGACAGAACTAACCCTTAGAGGAGAAGATTCAGTGAGGTGAGCATTTCTAGTTTCATGAAGGTTATATATATAATTACATACACAAACTATGCTAAAAGAACATTAGTAAGGTTGCAAAGTCAAAGACTCAAAAGTTAAGAAATGTCAGAGTTTAAAGTTGTACGTGCAACCTTAATTCCACCCCCTTTTGCATATACATTATGATAATTTTTGATTACATGATCCCACAGGACTCCTGCCTCATTCAGTGAACAGAATGGACAGTGCTCAGTGAATGAGCAGCTATTCAGTATTTTGTTTTTCCTCATTGTTCAGTGTGTGACCCTAGGCCTTATTTACTGCATATTATTCAAACCTTCCTCTGAAGACAGCATTACTGATTTCCTCATGGTTTTTTTTTTCCCTCTAAGTTACTCAATGCATAGCATCTGAGTGTTTCACAAACATTAATTCTTCTATGAGTGCTGGTCCCTATGGGTATTCAGTACCAAGCAGAAGCATGAGGAATATAAGAGCGAATGCAAGAAGAGGGATAAATCTATTGATAGACTCTTTTTCGAGGATCCATCTTGCCCCTTTCTCTGACACTGCCCGAGACTCCATGCCCTGGAATGGGTGTGCCCGGAGTTTGTAGAGAAAAGGCAGTACCCTGAAACCACATAGTGAGGGACCGTTAAGAACTCCAGTAAGGTCAGAAGGGATCATTTTCCCCCTGCTCCGACAGTACTTCCCCCACACAGATATGCCACCTCCAAGAAGGCATATACTGTCCAGACAAAGCCCAAGACTATGGGCAGTTCACCCAAAGAGGACTCCCTATGCTCTCCTGGAGGACTTATTTATGTATGTGGACCCAAAGTCTCTGATTCTCTTTGAATCAATCCTGCTGCAGAAGGTCCCCTCCCCTTCAATGCTGGTACCAGGAACAGGAGGATCGGCCTCATCCACTTCACTTTCCATCTGTGTGTAGTCCCAGTCAGCTGGAACTAGATCCCGCAGCCCCAACATTGGAACGTGAGGAGTCCTATTCATCGGTTGCAAATGAGCCAGTACTGATGGTCTCTCCAGATACCCAACAGAGAGCCATCAGCCCAGACAGGGCTTTGAGAGCCACTCTCCTTCCCTTGCATCCCCACCATCAGTAATTCTGACCCAGGGACCAATGGTATCCATTGTGAGGTCCATCTCCATATCCCTGTGACCCATCCCATCATTCCTGTTGGGGCCCCGGGGACCCTTACTTCTTTCACCAGAATATGGGACCCAACATTCTGTGCCCAGAAGTGTTTGACACCAGGTAAACAATGGTGGCCCCCACAGAAGCAGCTGATGGAGGAGGATCAGCCAGAACCGCCAATACCACCAGAGCTACCAGATTGATTTTCTTCATCCTCTGCATATAAGATAGTATCACCAGCCTCCCCCTTACACCCAGATGATTTTAAACAGTACCAGGATCATTTCAGGAGAATTGCAGATGCTCTCCAGTTTCCACTAGAGGAGATCCAGGATCTGGCACACAAGCTCCTGGATATCCTCCAGGCTACAATGCCCTCCAAAGTGACATTCCTGATAAAAGAGGCCATCATGGAACCTACCAGAGTGATCGGGCACACTCCTGCCACCTGTGCCCAGACCCCAAAGATGGCTGAAAAACACTACTTTGTTGCCACCCAAGGAGTGGAATTCCTGTTTTCCCACCCTAATCCCAATTCCCTAGTAGTCCAGGCAGTTACAAAAGAAGCCTGCGACACCAACCCAAATCCACTCCACCAGATAAAGATGCCAAATGACATAACCGATTCCTTTGGAATCTATTTTCTTCAGTTAGCTTAGCATTCTGAACAGCAAACTTCCAAGCTTTGATGTTGAAGTATGGTTTCTTGAATTATAACAAGATTTTAGAGTTCATGAGCAAACTTCCTCAGGAATGCAGACCTAACTTTCAGGCCATTCTGGATGAGGAAAAGCTAGTAGTAAGTTCTTCCCTTCAGGCATCCCTTGACACAGTAATAGGCTCCATGGTTATCTCAATAATCATGATACAAGCTTCATGGCTGCAAGCCTCTGGGTTCCCCAAAGAGGTCCAAACCACCATTGAGGACTTTCCCTTTGATGGCAGCAACCTCTTTAGTAACCAAACCAATGAGTTGCTGCATACTCTCAAAGATTCACAAGCTACCCTCCTCTCTCTGGCTATTTGTACTCTGGTACCCTGTAGAAAATACTCCAAGCCTCCTCTGCCTCAGCATTGACCACTGCCTTCTTCCTAAAAATAATGTATGAACCTCCAAGAAATGTCAGAGTAGGCACCTGAACCCCTGTCCTCTACTTTGCAGCCATGTCTTAGAAAGTTGTTTAGATAAGACATCTATGGGTTGACAGCCAGTCTCCCTTGCCCACTGTCACACCCTTTCTCCTGGTGTGACATGCTATTATAATGGACAAGTGGGTCCTGGACGTTCTATCAAATAGCTAAATGCTAGAATGGCTCCCTCCCCCCTCCAAAAAAAAAAGACAAAAACCTTCCTTGTCCCTTTTCAGGGACCCCCTCTCATGAGAGGATTCTGAAACAGGAGTCAGACTGCCTTTTTCAATTGGGGGCAATAGACACTATACCACCCTCTCACACAGGGAAGACTTTTACTCTAGGTACTTCCTCGTCCCCAGAAAGAAAGGCGTCTGGAGGCCCATTCTGGACTTCAGACAATCGAATTTCTTCATACAACCCTCAAAGTTCAGAATAACTGACCACTCTGGCCTCTCTAATACTCTCCATCAATTCAGGCAACTGGTATATAGCCCTCAATTGGAAAGACATATTTTCATGTGGATGTTCACCCCGCTCACAGATGATTTCTGTGCTTCATAGTGAGCCAAGAACACTTTGACTACAGCATGCTCCCTTTCAGCCTCTCGGCTGCCCCAGGGGTATTTACAAAAGTTGTTGCAGAGGTGGCCACTTACCTTCGCAGACAAGGAAGACCAGTACTTTCTTTCCTGGATGACCGGGCTGTTTGCTGGTCAGTTATACCAGGAGGTACATGCAACACCCACTATCTCATTTTAACTCTTTCATTCACTTGCAGTGCAAGCCAATTTAGACAAGTCCATGTTCACACCAGACAAACCATAGAATTCATTGGGGTGAACTTGAACTCAGACATAGTGAGAGCCTACTTACCTCAGGAACAATTCCTTGCTATGAGGGATCTCATTGACCAGCTTCACCTCAGACTGCAGCCCTATTCTACCTGTTCCTGTTGGGCCACATGGTGGTGTGTGCTTATGTCACTGTACTTACAATGCCTTCAATCTGGTTATTGTCAGTCTGCCTCAAAAAGGGACTCCCTTGGACAAGAAAGTCTCTCTTCCTTGGGACATGTTGACATCGCTCACCTGCTGGGAGAACAAGGACAAAGTATGCATGGGGTTCCCTTTCATTTCTGTACCACCTACAAATGCAGTCATCTTGGGTGCCTCCATACTAGGATGGGGAACACATCTTGACAACCAAACAGGCCAAGGCTTCTCTCCTCAGGAATCCAGGCTACATATCGACCTACTCAAGCTTTGAGCAGTTCACAAGGTATGTAAGATATTTTTACCCATCATTCAGTCCACCCACTTAGAGGTCAGATCAGACAGTATGAACCTCTTCTACCATATAAACAAGCAGAGAGGAGCAAGGTCCACCCTGCTTTGCAGAGAAGTGGTCCACCTCTGGAACCAATGCATCAGTCAAGGAATCACCCTTTGAGCAGTACACATCTGAGGGGTGATGAATTCACTGGTGGACAGTCTCAGCAGTCTTTACAAACAGAACATGACTGGGAACATCACCCGTCAATAGCACAACACATCTTCCAACAATGAATATTTCCATCTTGGGATCTCTTCGCATCCCAAGACAACAAAAAGCACCTGGCATACTGCACCCAGGCATCCCAAGGCCTCATTATCAGAAGGGCTGTCTTCCTGGTGCAGTGGTCAGAACCACTGATGTATGCCTTCCCGCCCATACCTTCACTTTCTCGTGTACTCAGGAAGATCAAACTCGATAGTGATCCTTATGGTGCCTTGTTGGCTGAGGCAAATCTGGTTTATCGCCGTACTACACCTAGCCTCTCACCCATGTATCTACCTGCCACCATTCTGGAGCCTGCTTTCCCAGAATGAGGGAGCACTGAAGCCCAACATCTCAACAGCTGACAGCATCATTGTTGATGAAGTACATGCATAGGGAGAGTATGCTATGAGGGAATTCAGTCCATCCTCAATAACAGCAGGAGACCCTCTACCTGGAAATGCTACTCTGCAAAGTGGATGCAATTCTCCCTTTGGTGCCAGCAGCATCACTTACATGCAGTGGCACTGGGCATTCCTGTCATTCTGGAGTATCTTCTCTCACTCAAGATGACCGGCTTATCAGTCAGCTCCCCCCAGGTACATTTGGCAGCCGTCAGCACTTCCCACCCCCAGATGGAGGGCTACTCAGTCTTTATTCACCGTATTACTGCAGAGCAACTGATGGCATCATAAGGACATTCTCTCCCATTGCAAAACAAGTCCCTGTCTGGGATCTGAACCTCTTCCTCTCTGCACTCGTGAAACCACCATTTGAACCCTCCAAGTTCCCTCCTTCACCTTTCTATGAAAATCACCTTCTTGATGGCAGTTACCTCAGCTAGAAGGGTTGGAGAGCTTGGGATCCTTATGCTGGACCTGCCTTTTGCAGTTTTTCACAAGGTTTCTTTCTAACTACATCCAAAGTTCCTACCTAAAGTTCCTTCTGAGTTTCACCTTAACCAGACTGTTTGCATTCTAGTGTTTTACCCCAAGCCTCACCACAACATAGGAGAGACAAGGCTTCATTCTTTGGATGTGTGCAGGGCTGTAGCCTTCTAACAGCATGGAACGGCTCCCTTTCAGAAGTCCCCAAGCTTGTCTGTCACATTAGAAAGCTATCTCTTCCCAAAGGGTCTCTAAGTGGACTTCTTCCTGCATCATCCTTTGCTATGATCTCATGAAACCCCATCCTGCTCAAATTGTCAAGGACCACTCTGTGAGAGCCAAAGCAGCATCGATAGCCTCCTTACAGGAAATCCCCTGTTCAGAGATATGTCCAAGCTATGGCTGGGAGGGGCTGTCCTTCGCCTCCGTGATCCCCCACTTTATGGTACAGCATACTTCCTTGCACCCTGATCCTCAACAAGTATGCTTGGGAGTTACCCACAGTGAATACCTATAGGGCCAGCAATCAAAGAAGAAAGAAAATTTACTTGCCTTACAGTAACTCTTCAAGCTGTATGATCCCTATGGGTATTCATGACCTGCCTTCCTTCCCCTCTGCTCGCGTCATCATGTGATTCATGGCAGAGACAGTACTGGAGTGGTGGTCAGTTCACACTGCCTTTTATGTCCTTGGCTGAAAGCACGAGGAGGCACTATGTGAACCAATAGACGCTAATATTGAAGAATTTCCTATTCTGGGTGCAGGAGCATATGCGTTCCCACAGTGAATACCCAGAGGGACCACACAACTTGAAGAATTCCAGTTACTATAAGGTAAGTAACCTTTCTTTTTCCCAACATCTCTGTGAGACTAAAGGGTACTATCCCCATTTTACAAGATGGGGAGCTGAGGCATGAAGAGACTAAGGTCAGAAGTACACCTGTACCCCGAAATAATGCCGTTCTCAGGAGCCAAAAAATCTTACCACGTTATAGGTGAAACCGCATTATATCGAACTTGCTTTGATCCGCCGGAGCGCGCAGGCCCTCCTCCCCCCCACCCCACCCCACCCCCGAGCCACTGCTTTATTGCGTTATATCCAAATTTGTGTTATATCGGGTCGCGTTATATTGGGATAGAGGTATATCCATTAATTTTTGGTGGCCCTTTTGAGACACCTAGAACCTGATTTCCGTATGTTCAAAGCACAGCTTCCATTGCTGTTCTGAATGCTCAGCACATCAGACCCCTGGATCTCAAATCAGGCACTGAGAAAATAAGAAACACATAATCCGTGATTTTTTTGTGGAAAAGTTTGGTGCAAGTTACTTGCGCAGTGTCGCACTGGAACTCAGTGTCAAAGGCAGGCATAGAATCCAGTTGTCCAGGGCAGCATTCAACTGCTTTCACCATGAGATTATCCTTTTTCTTCCTGTAATCCCTTGCCTCCTTCTCTACACACCTTTCAACTTGTACAACAAATGAGGCAGGGAACTTATAGACAACAGCCTCCTTTACTAACACAGCTCTGATTCCTCTCCAGAGCAGGTCCGTACTATGCATTGAATGAAGCAGGAGTCCTATGGAAATAAAAGTATGTGATCATGTTATCAAAGTGCTTATGCACAAAGGGGCTGAATTAAGGTTGCACAGGCACTCTTAATTGTGGCATTTCCTAATTTTTGAGTGCTTGATGTTGCAAGCTTAGTAACGTTCTTTTAACTTAAGGATTTTTTGATGTAATTTGCTAACTTTTTAAAAAAGGAAGCTGAAAATACAAATTCAGTTATGTGGCATCACACTGACATCCCCATGCTTCATCAGCAAGGTTGGAACCTTTATATCCACCACACAGACCTGTGCCACTTGAGCTATTGGAGTAATTGACAGAGGATGACAACCCATTACTGTTATGTGAACCAGCACTAGAAGTAGATGGAGACACACACTTTGCCCAGTGGGTTTCACAGTTCTTTGCTGACAGTGGAGGAATGGCGAAACTCTGGAATCTTGAGTTCCATTCTCGGTTCCGAAGGGGAGTGACCACTTCTGCCGTGTCTCTTCCCAGTTGACCAAACCCTTTCCAAATATGCTTGGGTCCATATCACCAAAAGCATTATTTTAAAATGGGAGGCGTTTAAGTCCTTAATGATTCTTTTTTGTCATTTTTCTTATTCCCGGGAATATCTCAAGGGCACAAAACACTCAATCACACAGACTAATGGTGGTGAGCTGTAATACTAGTGAAGAAAGTCTGGTTGGGAGCTCAATTAATCCCGGTCACGCTACTGTTGATACACCAGTTCAGTATTCTTCATTGGTAGCTTTCATAGGCAGAATATAGACAACAGCCTTCAACTAGAACATTGTATCACTACTAATAAAACCAGAAATATACTGACACAGTCTCAAAATATTAGCTACCTCACTTACTTGGGTGCCAGTTTGAGGAGGAGATAAAAGTATGAAATTAAGATAATAGTTAATGTGGAAAGGAAGACATGATTCAGAAAACAAGACTGAGTCCCAAATTAATTATAGGTATTGAATGCTCTGAACAAAAATTGTAAATTTTTTTTTTTTGAGTTGTCACATGAATGTTCTTTGGCTGTGTTTGTCCCTATTTGTGTTTGCTTCCCACAAACATTTGTGAGTTCAAGGTTAGTAGAATGAATGTGAATTTAAAAGTTACATGTGTAAGAATTTCTGGAAACCAAATTTTTAATACGCATGTCAGTATATTTGTAGTGGACTTGTTGGCTCACTCATCCAATCAGGAAACAGAAGCAATGCTGTATGACTTATCTGAAAAAAACACAACTAAATCAACACAGCTGGAATGATGACGGCTCAGAGAGGTATTTGTGATCATCAATCCATGGAAGGAGAAAAAAAATTGGTCAAATGCTCTCAAAGAATTTGAGGAAAAAGCAATCTGGTCACAGACATTCTGCATGTGGGGAATACAAAGCTTTCTTTGTTAGATATATATTTTTGTATGAATTCTTCACTCAGCTCATTAATACTTACTGTAAAACTGCAAAAATGTAGTGGGAAATTATTTATGATCTTTTTACCTGTTTAGGTCGCCAGCTTCTTTTAAAAGCCATAAACAGAGTATGGACAGAGCTGATTCACAGTAAGAAACAAGTTTTAGAAGAGGTATTCAAAGTCACCCTACCTGTCAATGACCGTGGCCATGTGGATATAGTTGTAGCAAGGCCTTTTATTGAAGAAGCAAGTTTAAAATGCTGGCAAAATCACTTGGGTAAGAATAAATGTGAAGATATATTATTCCAAAATATATCAAATTGGTCTGTTATCTTCTACACCAGATATTCAGTCTCATTTGTTTCATACCCTTAATAATGAACTTAGGATGTGTGTTTTCTGCATATACACTTATAGCACTTATTGGTAGATATAACTACAGTCACACCAACACCTCTGCCTAACAAACTGGCATATGTTTCTCAAACCATGGTACAAATTGCAGACCATTACACAAACAGATATTTAGCAATAAAAGACAGACAAAATACGATGCATTTGTAGAATAAAAAAAACGTGATGGCATGGGTTAAAAAAAAAAAAAGTCTCTTGTTTGGAAAGACCTGTACAACTCATTTGTCATACGTCCACGTCTTGTGAATAATGCACTTATCCTGTACTTGTGGCAGCAAAAACATGTGTAACATCTAAATTCCTAGACTTGTAGAGTTTACAGTCAGAAGGGACCATTAGATTATCTAATATGATCACAGGCCATTAAGTTTCACCCAGTTACCCCTGTACTGAGCCCAAGAACTTTTGTTTGACCAAAGCATAACTTGTGTTCGGTTAAAGCATATCTTTCATAAAGCATCCAATCTTGATCTGAAAACATCAAGAGATGGAGAATCCACCGTTTCTCTTGGTAGTTTGTTCCAATGATTAATCACCCTCATTGCTAAAACGTGGTGCATTATTTCCCATTTGAATTTGTCCTAGTGCAGCTTTCAGCCACTGGTTCTTGTGATGTTTCAAAGTAGCAGCCGTGTTAGTCTGTATCCGCAAAATTCTTGTTATGCCTTTCTCTGCTAGATTAGAGCCCTTTAGTATCAGGTATTTTCTTCCATTGACAAAATTTTCTTCTCTTTTAATGAAATCACCTCTCAAGCTTTCTTTTGATAAACTAACCCTTTGAGCTCTTTATCTCACAGTAAGGCATTTTCTCCAGCCCCTGAATCATTTTTGTGGCTCTTTTATGCACCCTCTCCAATTTTTCAACATCCTTCTTAAAATGTGAACACCAGAACTATATGTAATATTCCATTATCAGTCTCACCAATACCAGAGACAGAGGTGAAATCACCTCCCCTTTCCTACTCATTACTCCCCTGTTTATACATCCAAGGATTGCATTAGCCCTTTTTGCCACAGCATCATACTGAGAGCTCATGTTGATCTGCTTGTCCAGTATGACTCCTAAATCCTGTTCAGAGTCACTGCTTTCCATGATGCAGATCTCTATTCTGTAGCTATGGCCTGCATTCCTTGTTCCTTGATGTATAAACTGCATTTGTCTTTATTAAAACACATTTTGTTTGAATGGGCCTAGTTTACCAGGTGATTCAGATCTCTTTGTATGAGTAATCTGTCCTCGTGGTTATTTTCTGCAAACCTTTGTCATCCTCAAATTTTATCAGCAGTGATTTTCTGTTTCCAAATCATTGGTGAAAACATTAAAAAATGTAAGCCTAATATTAATCCTGGCAGAACTCCACTAGAAACACTCCCATTGGATGATGATTGCCATTGAAGACTACTTTGAGATCTGGCAGTTTTCAAGTTCTTAATCCACTTTGCTTTAAATCCCTATAGAAGTGCAAGTATATTACATTTACTTGTATACTTCTCGAAGACTGAAATCAAGTCTGTTTGAGAAGACCTGTTTTCCATAAAACCATGTTGACTGGCATTAATTTTATTCCTATCTTTTATCACTGTTTATCTTATAAGGTCATTTATATTATAGAACTAGAGCAATGGTTATTATTCTGTGCATGCCAGTCTGATTAGGTATAACTCTTACCTTCAGAATTGTTTTCATAAAATTTATCCCAGTATAATTTTTGCAAAAATACTATTGGAGGCAAGTCTGGGGCCTGAACATCAGTAAGTCATATTGTCAGCAACTCTGACGCTACTGTTCCTGTGTTAGCTGTTCACTAAACAAGGATGGGGAATTAAAATATTTTCAGCATTGTATCACGGTGCTATAACTGCAGACTGAAAGAGTCATCTGAGGTCCATAGCACTGAACTATTTGCTGGTTTCGCATTTGTTTTATTGGCCAAGGTTAGTCTCTATAGGTTATTGTTTATTCACATTTGAAAAGAAATAAGTGACCAGTGGAATTTCAGGACAACAATCCAGATTAGCAGTAGGGTTCCTGTTAGCATCCCAGAAAGGATAGTGTGAATCCAAGCTCCCACTCATTCATTTCAGTTCTAAGTTTTCCCAATTTAGTTAGGTCTTTTCGATACAGAGAATATTAAATATGGTTGTGAAACCAGTTAAGATGAGGAAAAATGGACAAATATTCCTCGTGTAGCAAGATGGTATAGTGTAACCTGGCCTTGATGACGGGCATGGTGTAAAACGCTTTGCATAGTTCTTTTCCTCACACTTTTTCCATCACACCTTGCCATTCCAAATACTTTGTAACCCAGCCAAAACTTTCATTAACATTTTGTCTTGATTAGTCCATGTTATCATTTTAATTTTTAAAACGATAAATGGCAGGCATTAAAAACTAATTATGCAGAGGCTGGTTGTTAAGGTGGCTTTCTGAAATAATCTTATAATTCTTGGTTTTCTACATCTGGCTGGGCTTTCGTTGTGGAAATTGAGTGTTTACACAAAAGTTGTCAGAGAAGTGAATCTTCAGTAGATCTGTCACAATAGGTAGTTTTTGAAAAGAAAACAGGGTAGACAGGAGGCTCTATGTAGAAGCCTTGGTGGAAGAATGGGACATACAAAGAAAAGGCAGGGAGGATTAGGAGGGAGGCAGGCTGGTGGAGAGGGGATGAAGAGGGATAAAATGGCAGCTCCCCCAAGCTTGGTGTCAGGAGAGGGTAAGTGGAGTCCCCTTAAAGAAACTAACAGGCAGGGTCACATATTTGTTTGTGAATTTAAGGTTGAATATTGAACCTGAAACGATCACGTATGGTAGTTGCTTCCCCCAATGGCTCAAAAATTAGACAGCAAACAAAAAAAGTGGAGTAGTATTGGTGGTAGTAGTAGTACTTCTAAAGCTGCTGATCTATTTTTTTTTTTTATTTTTATTTTTTTTGTCAGTTTCTTGATCTCAGGGGACCTAATACATGATTTCTAGATGTTTAGATTTGGCAATACTGCTTCTTTCACCCTTCTTTGTTTCCCTGCCACAACCCCCAGTTCTCTCTCTCCCACCATATCCCACTTCCTAAAGTCTACAGCAGTAAGAAGAAGGGGGCAGGCAAGCTCCCCTGGTAATCAGAGCTCCATTACTGAGACAGCCCTGGGTAGGACAGACTTTCCGTGATTAAGGTAGCAATGCACATAACATATGATGCAAAACCATAAAATCAAGGAAAATAAAAAATAAGCTACTTACCAGTATGCGTCATCTATTCCTCCACGTGTAGACACAGGACTCGTTGCTATTACAATTACCATACACCAGAGTCTGAACTCAACCTTCATAGCACGACTGAGTTAAGGCATAGACACTATAGGCCTGTGCCTAGGCTCCAGCTCCTGCAGATACGTGATTGTCAGAATCTAGGCTTCCATTTATTTAAAATTAAAAATAAGTTTCTAGTTTCAGGAAAAGCTTGAAAACACAAGCCAAGCATAACTGAAACAGTGTTCTGCCGGAGTCTGCAGACAACCTAAAACAATGGTTCTAAGAGGTGTGCTCTCAAGGAGATTGAGGGGTGCATCTCAAGCGCATCCACAGCGCTGGGGAACTCTACCAATGCCACCTCAACAGAGAACTCCCCGTGTGGCCCTCACCCCACCCATGCAAATGTGTCTTGGCTGCTGGGGGGGGAGGCAGCCTACTGCTACCCCTCCCTCTTCAGGGGAGATGAAGGGGAACCCTGCTGCTACTCTCAAGGGGAGATGGTTCCTGTTGCCCCTTTTGGGGGAAGGGAAAGCTGGCCTCATGCTGGCCCTTGACTCCCAGAGGCATCTGTCATCTCCACTTCAGGTGGGAGGTGGCAGTACCATGGTACAGTTTGGGGGCTTCAGAAGGGACAGTGTCATGGTATGTCTCAGCACCAGATTTCCTTAGTCCAGCCCTGGCCTCTATGGATACCAATCTCAGCATCAGACTACTCCCTCAGCATCCCTTCTGCACACATGCCCTCCATCATGCTACCCCATTGTAACACTAGTTGTTGTTAATTGGTGTGTTTTGATGGAAGTTTGGTAAAAGGCATGTTGGATGGCTGGCACCCTTTGGGGGCATGGTTAAGGGTGTGTAGACTGTGTTGTACAGTAGTTATAAGGTCTGTGCCTGTGGGTAGAGTACAAGAAGCTGTGCACTGTTAAGTGGCTTCACTTCTCATTTCCTTGCTTTCCTGGTTTTGTGTCGGGTATCTTAAGTGTGTAACAATCATACCTGTTCTACACACATTGAAAATATTTGTGAATTGATGTAGGTTCCATATAAGTAAAAACAACATAAATATGAGGAAAGTGTTTGAGAACTGCAGCTGAGCTGTAAGTTTCTATTTTGAAAATCTTCAGGGCAGGGGGGTGGGTATTTTCATCTGTGTTTAGAAAGCAGCTTATTGGGGATTGCCACAATATAAATGTGCTACTGTTTATATTTTGGTAGTCCCAACCTATCCAAAATCTGTTAGAAGCATTCCTTATTACTTATTTCCATTGTTTATAACGTGAAAGAGAGAATGCAACTTGTCCGCTCTGTAACTGTCCTTTGGTTACTGTCTCCCAAAACAAGCCGCCTTGGAAATGCCCTCTGCTCCTTCAAGAGGGGGCAAATAAGCGTAAGGAAAATGAGATGGAAAAATATTTGGTCATACCTCCATTATTTTTACTTGGGAGTCTTCAAATTAATACTGAATACACAATTGATTATTCTACTTTTGCTGTCTCCCAAATGATACATTTCTGAAAGAAGAGAAAAAAATAGCTGCATCTGTTCCACAAATTTAATTTCTAAATGCACCATTTCTATTTTACAACCAATTTCATCTAGAAATCTTTCTCTCTTCATGCTAGAGAGACTCTTGATTGTTTCTTCATAATTTGCCTTGAACATGTGTTATAGTAAAGTTTGAGAAAACTTTTTAGTTTAGCAGTACCTTTCTGTGCCATATTTCCACACTTGGATGGAATTAGGTATGATAAGTAGAAATAGGTATGTGGGGAACTCGTATCATGTTTCAGGACAGAATGGAATGCAACGGGAGAGCAAGATTTTCAAATTTTTGCGGGGGACAGGAGGGTAATGGAAAGAGCAGCGTAATAGGAATTTCTCTGCTATGGGATAAATGTTTATCAAGAACAAACTGGGAAAGTTCCATTGGTACAGTGAACATAAATGCATAGAACAAAACCTACCCCAGAGTTCAGCATTCTGTCTGGACCCATCATGCTTTAAAGCAGTTGTTCCACTCCTTAAGAACCTCATTGACTTATGGTTAACACTATCTAATTGTATATGAAAATTGGTCATTTCTTTAATTTAAAAAGGGGGGGGAAATAGTGCTTAGCTACGTAAAGTGATAATTCTTTCAGAAAAGTAACATCAGCACTCTCTTTAATATTATAGCTCATGAGAAGAAATGCATCAGTAGAGGGGAATCTTTAGTTCCAACCACACAATCGAAGCTTTCACGGGTCAGCAGTGGGTTTGGCCTTTCCAAGTTAACTGGATCAAGAAGAAACCGAAAGGAGAGTGGGCTCAACAAACATAATCTCTCTACGCAGGTAATTTGTATTGTTTTATTAAAGGTCACCTGCAAATACTTGGGAGAAAAATCCAGCAATTTCACACTTTACTGTATGTGGTGAATGCCCCAAGTAGCAAGGGATAGAGGAGAAAAAAGTACCCTTCCCACCCCCCTTCCTGAATATTCAGACTTGTTCACTCCTGCTCCATAAGGAACGCTAGTAAGCACTTCAGGCAGCAAGTTATTCCATTGTAGTCAATGGAACTGCTTACATGCTTTAAGTTATGCCTGTGCTTGAGGGCTTGAATAGATTGGGCCCTAAACTGGTAATGTTACGTCATCCCAATTTTCAAAATCCAACTGTAGTAAACTGGAGCCAACCCACGGAAGCAAGATAGGTGCTTGGGTTTTTAACAGTGTTGTATGGTTTAGTAAAGTTTGACGGTAGGTTTCGTTTAAAAAGCCTCACACTGTTCAGCAGTGTTTTCTTTACTGCAGAATAGAACTCAATAAAAGATTATATCCCCCTGTATACGTCACAATAAAATTGTTGACTTCTGAAGCACCTCAACCATAGAATATATTTAAGATATTAACTTTACAAAACAGCACAGCGTTGTTGTTGTTGTTTTTTAATAAAATAAATTTTAAAAACCCATTCAGCCCTACAATAACCAGCAGTGCCATTGTTGTTTGCTGTCACCAGTGTAGTGTGCGCTATGGTATCTCTTCAATGATCATGAATGAGTCTGGATATTAGAAGAAAAAAAGTGGATCTGGATGTTTCAGCAGGTTGCTAATGGATTCTTTCTTCCTCTGGGATACAAGTAACCCCATCTGACTTCCTTAGGAGCTACTCATGGTGTGGAAGAGTAGAACCCTAGGTTGCCTAGTAGGTATTCAGTGGCCTGTGTGAAATGAATTGGTCTAGTCCATTTCCTGGTGAACAGGTGTTCATACCTGAAAAAACATCACAGGTGTTCTAACTGGAACCATAGATGGCCAGATTGGAAGAGGGTCCAAGAACTGAATGGGGTGAAGAGTCATGCATTGGCAGGAAGCCACAGAACACAGAGGTCTTCAGTCTCCATAGTCTGCAAACCAGGCACCCTTCATAAGAGTTAACTTTTTTCTTTTTAAATTAACTGAAGTTTTAAATCACTTATTTATTGAATGCCCCCTGCCCTTTGGTATTTGGTGTATTTCTGGGATGTTTTCAAAGTATTTGCAGATCACCATTAAATAATACCAACATGTGTTTCCTTACAATCCATTTTCTGAGCTAAACTAAACTAAAGAATATGGTTGCATTAAATGGTTTGAAATCAATCTAATATATTTTTAAGAAGAAATTGTTCTGTGTGAGAGTTAAGGTGTTTTATCCATATATTTTGCAATAAAAATGTACCTTTGTAAAATTGCTTTCTATATGTTCTGTCTCGTTTATGATTAGGAAATTTCCCAGTGGATGTTCACTCACATTGCAGTGGTTCGGGACTTGGTAGACATGCAGTACAAAGAGTATCAAGAGGTAAGGGAGTATCCAGGGAATTAACTAGAATTAAGATGAGCCTATTAAACTGCATATACTATCTCCCTAAGACACTGTACAAACACTTAGTAAAAGAGTCCCTGTCCTAAAGAGCTTAACTTTGAAACAGATAAGACAGGCAACGTCAGAGAGAGAGAGAGAATGGAGGCACAGAGAGCTGAAGCAACTTGCCCGATGTCACCCAGCAGAGCTGAGACTAGACCCCAGGCCTCCTGATTCCCAATCTGGTGTTCTGTCCTCTGAACCACTGCCCGTTACTAGCATGGTTTTATACATCAAATTAAAAAAAGATGCATGAGTCTTTCAGTACATTAATGAGGAAAACCTTTTTGGTGTAGCAGTCATTGCCCCTGTCATGTAATTTAATAAAAGGCATACTTTGAAAATAGTTTTCTACACATTGACTGATTTATATAAACCATGCATGGCAATGGTGGTACTTGTGGAAACATGTAAAGAGTAGTCAGATGGACATGGGACCACTTCTGAGATTGTACCGAGGGGGAAATATTTCTCTGTCATGGACAATGAGTTTATTACATATTGATTATTTTAATGTTTACAGTTTTTGCTTTAATATTTATAATAATACTCAAAGCATGAGATGGGAAGTTGAAATTATAAATTACATGTAGATGCTTTAAAAAATGAAATAATCTCTAGTAAGGATGTCTGCAGTACTTAAACATCCATTAACCAGCCAAGCAATTCCTTCACTGGTAAAAGCAACATCCCATCACACTCCAGCTGAAAGGTTGTTCATCTTTGAAGTAAGGTTTGGGGTTTCCAGTGTGGCAGTCCCACAAGAAAAGTAATGTGAGCCACAGGAAATTATACATGATTTAGAGCAGATTTCAAAATATTTTTTCTCCAATATTAGAAGTATTCTTACGACAGTTGGGACAGAGTATCTTGTCCTAACGTTTCTGCAGTCTTGTAGCAGCGGTAGTAGTACATACATACATACATACATACATACATACATACATTCCATACATACAGTACTCCATTTTATAACAGAAACAAGATTTTAGAGCAGTTGTTTCTAATCATGGAATCTATAGAAAGTAGCAGCTCTACCAGATCTGTTCCTCCTGAAATGAAATCACAGAACCTAGCATTTTCTTCCAGGCAGCCAGCAAATCACATTTATGGTTAGGATCACTTGCTGAGCAGCATTCTGTAAATCTGAGAAAACAGCTTCCCAGAGGAACAGCCACTTGGAACCAACTATTAATATAGTGCTAGTAGTTAATGTAATATCTGTATTATGTTTAAGTATGGACAGTCAGAGAAGGGATCCAAAATAAAATTAATTTCTTCATTCAACAAAGCCCTTTCCAGAATACTTGCATTAATGTTATGCATCTTATATGTTTATCATTTACAAGTAGCTTTAATTAAAAAAAAGAAAGAAAGAGAAGCAGGCCCATTTGTCACTGACAAAAAATGCACTATAAACCTTGGCCATAATAAATTGTTGCTGGAAATGTAATTAAAATAGCATTGAGGTGCTACTATAACTTCAAATCAAACTCTGTATTAACTATATAGTGTTGTGCACTTTAACCACAGTCATTTCTTTGAAACCAGAAGCTCTTTTGAAATGTTATTTTGCCTTGGTTGTTAACCTGTAAACCTTTGTATTTACAGCGTCAGCAGAATGCATTAAAATATGTGACAGAAGAGTGGTCTCAAATTGAGTATGAACTATTAAGGGAGCGAGGTTTGTGGGGTCCTCCCATTGGCTCCCATCTGGATAAATGTATGTTGGAGATGACAGAGGGACCCTGCAGAATGAGGAAGAAGATGGTACGAAATGACATGTTTTATATTCAGTATCCTTACATGCCAGAAACTGAACAAGAGACAAATCTACTGGTAAGTGTACAGTATTTGAGTGTTTGTAATAGTTTTTAAGCCTTATTATTCTGAAGTGCAATGTTTGTTGTTTAAAAAAATATGCTCATCACAATGCATGAATTCAGTCTAGTTGGTATTACTGAAACTGGTGGGAAGATTAGCATGATTGGAATGCTAAAAATCCTGCCCATAACCTATGTGGGAGGGATCAAGTGGGCAGAAAGAGAGTGAAACGGCACAGTGTCAAAAATATTACATTTTTCCTAGTCATTAACATCTCAGAAGCAAATTACCTTGAATCCTTATCGATTGATGTTTGAACAGATAAAGCACAAGAGGGGGTACTATTAGGTACCTGCTACAGACCGCCAGTGATGCTAGAGAACAGGATGACCGACTCCTTAAGCATCTGTCTATATTGTGTAGCAGAAAAAACTGTTGTCATGGGGACTTCAATATAGAATCATAGAATATCAGGGTTGGAAGGGACCTCAGGAGGTCATCTAGTCCAACCCCCTGCTCAAAGCAGGACCAATACCCAACTAAATCATCCCAACCAGGGCTTTGTCAAGCCTGACCTTAAAAACCTCTAAGGAAGGAGATTCCACCATCTCACTAGGTAACCCATTCCAGTGCTTCACCACCCTCCTAGTGAAAAAGTTTTTCCTAATATCCAACCAAAACCTCCCCCACTGCAACTTGAGACCATTACTCCTTGTTCTATCATCTGGTACCACTGAGAACAGTCTAGATCCATCCTCTTTGGAACCCCCTTTCAGGTAGTTGAAAGCAGCTATCCAATCCCCTATCCAATCCCCCCTCATTCTTCTCTTCTGCAGACTAAACAATCCCAGTTCCCTCAGCCTCGCCTCATAAGTCATGTGTTCCAGGCCCCTAATCATTTTTGTTGCCCTCCGCTGGACTCTTTCCAATTTTTCCACATCCTTCTTGTAGTGTGGGGCCCAAAACTGGACACCGTACTCCAGATGAGGCTTCACCAATGTCAAATAGAGGGGAATGATCACGTCCCTCGATCTGCTGGCAATGCCCCTACTTATACAGCCCAAAATGCCATTAGCCGCCTTGGCAACAAGGGCACACTGTCGACTCATATCCAGCTTCTCGTCCACTGTAACCCCTAGGTCCTTTTCTGCAGAACTGCTACCTAGCCATTCGGTCCCTAGTCTGTAGCAGTGCATGGGATTCTTCCGTCCTAAGTGCAGGACTCTGCACTTGTCCTTGTTGAACCTCATCGGGTTTCTTTTGGCCCAATCCTCTAATTTGTCTAGGTCCCTCTGTATCCGATCCCTACCCTCCAGCGTATCTACCACTCCTCCCAATTTAGTGTCATCTGCAAACTTGCGAGAGTGCAGTCCACGCCATCCTCCAGATCATTAATGAAGATATTGAACAAAACTGGCCCCAGGACCGACCCTTGGGGCACTCCTCTTGATACCGGCTGCCAACTAGACATGGAACCATTGATCACTACCCGTTGAGCCCGATGATCTAGCCAGCTTTCTATCCACCTTATAGTCCATTCATCCAGTCCATACTACTTTAACTTGCCGGCAAAAATACTGTGGGAGACCCTATCAAATGCTTTGCTAAAGTCAAGGAATAACACATTCACTGCTTTCCCCTCATCCACAGAGCCAGTTATCTCCTCATAGAAGGCAATTAGGTTAGTCAGGCATGATTTGCCCTTGGTGAATCCATGCTGACTGTTCCTGATCACTTTCCTCTCCACCAAGTGCTTCAGAATTGATTCCTTGAGGACCTGCTCCATGATTTTTCCAGGGACTGAGGTGAGGCTGACTGGCCTGTAGTTCCCCGGATCCTCCTCCTTCCCTTTTTTAAAGATGGGCACTACATTAGCCTTTTTCCAGTCATGCGGGACCTCCCCCTATCACCATCAGTTTTCAAAGATAATGGCCAATGGATCTGCAATCACATCTGCCAACTCCTTAGCACCCTTGGATGCACCACATCCGGCCCCATGGATTTGTGCTCATCCAGCTTTCCTAAATAGTCCCGAACCACTTCTTTCTCCACAGAGGGCTGGTCACTTCCTCCCCACGCTGTGCTGCCCACTGCAGCAGTCTAGGAGCTGACCTTGTTCGTGAAGACAGAGGCAAAAAAAGCATTGAGTACATTAGCTTTTTCCACATCCTCTGTCACTAGGTTGCCTCCCTCATTCAGTAAGGGGCCCACACTTTCCTTGACTTTCTTCTTGTTGCTAATATACCTGAAGAAATCCTTCTTGTTACTCTTAACATCTCTTGCTAGCTGCAACTCCAAATGTGATTTGGCCTTCCTGATTTCGCTCCTGCATGCCTGAGCAATATTTTTATACTCCTCCCTGGTCATTTGTCCAATCTTCCACTTCTTGTAAGCTTCTTTTTTGTGTTCAAGGATTTCACTGTTAAGCCAAGGATTTCATCAGCAAGGATTTCACTGTTAAGCCAAGCTGGTCGCCTGCCATATTTACTATTCTTTCGACACATCGGGATGGTTTGTTCCTGCAACCTCAAAGGATTCTTTAAAATACAGCCAACTCTCCTGGACTCCTTTGCCCCTCATGTTATTCTCCCAGGGGATCCTGCCCATCAGTTCCCTGAGGGAGGTGAAGTCTGCTTTTCTGAAGTCCAGGGTCTGTATTCTGCTGCTCTCCTTTCTTCCTTGTGTCAGGATCCTGAACTTGACCATCTCATGGTCACTGCCTCCCAGGTTCCCATCCACTTTTGCTTCCCCTACTATTTCTTCCCGGTTTGTGAGCAGCAGGTCAAGAAGAGCTCTGCCCCTAGTTGGTTCCTCCAGCACTTGCACCAGGAAATTGTCCCCTACATTTTCCAAAAACTTCCTGGATTGTCTGTGCACTGCTGTATTGCTCTCCCAGCAGATATCAGGGTGATTAAAGTCTCCCATGAGAACCAGGGCCTGCAATCTAGCAACTTCTTTTAGTTGCCGGAAGAAAGCCTCGTCCACCTCATCCCCCTGGTCTGGTGGTGTGTAGCAGACTCCCACCGTGACATCACTCTTGTTGCTCACGCTTCTAAACTTAATCCAGAGACTCTCCAGTTTTTCTGCAGTCATACTGCTCTCTTACATACAATGCAACTCCCCCACCTTTTCTGCCCTGCCTGTCCTTCCTGAACAGTTTATATCCATCCATGACAGTACTCCAGTCATGTGAGTTATCCCACCAAGTCTCTGTTATTCCAATCACATCATAGTTCCTTGACTGTGCCAGGACTTCCAGTTCTCCCTGCTTGTTTCCCAAGCTTCTTGCATTTGTGTATAGGCACTTAAGATAACTCGCTGATCGTCCCGTTTTCTCAGTATGAGACAGGAGTCCTCCCCTCTTGCGCTCTCCTGCTCGTGCTTCCTCCCAGTATCCCATTTCCCCACTTACCTCAGGGCTTTGGTCTCCTTCCCCTGGTGAACCTAGTTTAAAGCCCTCCTCACTAGGTTAGCCAGCCTGCTTGCAAAGATGCTCTTCCTTCTCTTTGTTAGGTGGAGCCCGTCTCTGCCTAGCACTCCTCCTTCCTGGAACACCATCCCATGGTCAAAGAATCCAAAGCCTTCTGTCCGACACCACCTGCGTAGCCATTCGTTGACTTCCACAATTCGACGGTCTCTACCCAGGCCTTTTCCTTGCACAGGGAGGATGGATGAGAACACCACTTGCACCTCAAACTCCTTTATCCTTCTGCCCAGAGCCACATAGTCTGCAGTGATCCGCTCAAGGTCATTCTTGGCAGTATCATTGGTGCCCACATGGAGAAGCAGGAAGGGGTAGCGATCCGAGGGCTTGATGAGTTTCGGCAGTCTCTGTCACATCGTGAATCCTAGCTCCTGGCAAGCAGCAGACCTCTCGGTTTTCCCGGTCGGGGCGGCAGATAGATGATTCAGTCCCCCTGAGGAGGGAGTCCCCCGACCACCACCACCCTCCTCCTCCTCTTGGGAGCGGTGGTCGGGGAACCCCTATCCCTAGGACAGTGCATCTCATGTCTTCCAATCGGTGGAGTGTCCTCCTGCTCCTTTCCCTCAGATGTATCATCAGATGTATCACCATCTAGTCCACTCTCCGCATTAGTACCTGTGGAGAGAACATGAAAACGGTTGCTCACCTGTATCTCCATTGCTGGTACATGGACGCTTCTCTTTCTTCTTCTGGAGGTCACATGCTGCCAAATTTCTTCACCGTCTCTCTGTCCCCGCTGCGCAGCCTGTTCTGATTCTTCAGAACATTGTGCCCGTAGAAGCAAATCCTGATGTCTGTCCAGGAAATCTTCATTTTCTCTTATGCAACGCAGGGTCGATACTTGTTTCTCCAGACCTCCAACTTTCTCTTCCAATATGGAGACAAGCTTGCACTTTGTACAGACAAAATCGCTTCTGTCCTGTGGAAGAAAGACAAACATGGCACAACCTGTGCAGGTTACAACAGCTGAATGCTCACCTTCCATATTACCTTCCTTCTAAGAGCTTCCTCAGCTGTTGCAGTAACTACTCATAGAAGCCTGCAAGATGAAAACCTCAGTGGGCTCTCCCCAGGCGAACTCCCTCTGTTAGCCTCCGCTGTTCGCCGTTCAGCTGGTTTGCTGCTGACTGCCTTTTTATAACCATAAGGCCCACCTGGAACAAAACACTCCCAATTCACACTTTTCAAACAAACAATCAAGCACACGGTCAAACTGACAAACCGTCCCCGCAACAGACACTCAGATACGCACCAATACAGCCCCCCTAATGCAACACTTAGCGTACCTCCTCTCGGACAGATCCCAGGCAAACTCCCATAAATGATGTATGCTGGAGATCTCATGCTACCAATACTAAGACACCCTTTGAATTTCTAAAAATTGTAGATGACAAATTCCTAACTCAAAAAATGTTGCACCCACCTTGGGAAAATTCTATATAAGACCTCTTGACAGATAAAGAGGAATTGATAACAGAAATAAAAATTAGTGATTACTTAGGTGCAAGTGATCATAACCTAATTATTCTGTTTACACATCATAAATGTGAAGTCCAAACCAGCAATATATATACACATTTGGTGCTTTAAAAGGCCAGTTTCACAAAGCTGAATACAATTTAACCAAATTGGTTGAGACTATAAACAAAAAATGTCAATTATAATTGGAAACTGTTTAGGACCATTTTACTAGATGCTTAAAAAGCCACAATTTCACAATTGAAAAAGAAGGCTATGCTGGTTAAAAATCCACTAAGTCTTGGAGGGAAAGTGAAAGAACCAATTTAAAATAATAATTGGGAAAAGGGAGAAGTCGATAGCAATGAAGAGGAATTAGAAGCTAAGAATTGTGGAAAATTGATAAGAGAAGGGAAAGGACACAAGGAGAAATCTGGCTTGCAGAATTAAGGACAATAAAAAATTGTTTAAGTATATTAGGAACAAAAGGTATAGGCCTGTTAGTTGTATTAATTTCGTAGAGTGGTACATTTTCAAAACATTGCATGAGGAATTAGTTCTTAAAGTTTTCATGCATATTAAATTACCAGTGGCATCGCTAAAAAAAGGTGCAAGTGGTGCAGTCACGCTGGGCCCAGCAAGATGGAGCAGCGCTCCAGCACTTCACCTGCTGCATGGGCTCGCCGTGCCACTCAGTCAAATTTGGCCTTGCCACACTCCTTACAACAGAGGGGCACCCAGACCAAATTTGAGTGGTATGCGACAGGGTGCGCAGGGGTTGAAGCGCCATTCAGGTTTGGCCCAGTCACCCCTCCATCATCACAGGGACAGCTGAGCCAAATTTTGAGTGGTGTTGGAACCTGGCCAGGCCAAATTTGAGTGGCGCTGCAACCACATGCGCCAGTTTGCAACGCCACTCATCACTCAAATTTGGCTCTCACCGTGGGAGAGTGATGAGAGCAAGCGGAGCTGCTGGGCAGCCAGGAGTGGGGGAGGGCCATCCCAGCCCAGGATGGGAGCAAAACGCTGTGCTTTGCGGGGCAGGGTGCCAGTGAGTGGCAATGAAGTACTCAGGATGGTGGGTGAGAGTCTGGGAACTGAGTTGTTGGTGGGCTGTGGGGAGTGCTGGGGGTGGGGGGTTGTGGGGCAGGTGGGGGATGCTGGGAATCATGATGTTGGATGTAATCAAAATTTTAGATTTTGGAGTTGGGAAGGATTTCCCTAATCTGTTATTGCACATGGCCCTCTAGGGCCTTGTTACACCACTGTAAATTACTGAGAGATTTTGATGAAAAGTAATTTATCTCATCCACTTCAGTAATTCTGAGCAAAATGGATACCATATTCCATTAATATAGATCAAACTCTAGGCCTACTGACCTAGATTAGTGTGCACACCTGACTTGCACACATAAAAATACTAATACACATGCATCAGTGTATTTGTATGCACATGTGCCCTTTTGTAACACGGATAATTCGTTCTCAAAGAAGGTATGTGTTCCCCATATTCATTTTGGAAGTCTCTATTTTATTGAGAAAATCCCAATCACATAGAAATGAGTATTCAAGGTTTTTTTAAAGAATTATGAATGAAACCAACTAATAATGCAAAGTTCTGACCACACTAGGCTAGTTTAGATAGTGAGTATATTTCACTCTTAGTTGGAGTTACACGTACACGCAAAGAGGAGAACATACCATCAGGCATTCTTCCCAAAAGTGATTTTTTTCTGATATGTTTATACTTAATGCCCTGTTTTCAGTCTGACTTCTCAAGTAAACCTCCTGAGACACCTGATGATACCATTCCTCAAAAGGTAAAGAAACAAAATTACCCACTGAAAGAATGTCAAACAAATACAAATGTTTTTCTGCATGCTAGGCAAACTTAACAAGGCTTCTACGATTGGCTTTCAACATTGTTCCTTCAGTAAATATTTTCAGGATTAAAGATTTCCAATATTCACACCTAGAAGATGTTGCTGTGTTTTCTTCAGTCTTCACTTCTTATAACGTTCTGTGGCTCTTGCCTTCTTTGCTGCACACTAACAAGCTGTGTTGGGCTGTACTCTCACTGTTCTCACTGTAAATGTATATTGGCTTGGGATCTGAATTAATGGACTATGAAACATGTTTAGTAATGGGCAACGTGGTAATTTTGTGTCACTTCGGAAAACTAACACCACTATTAAAATATATTTTTTATTTGCTCGTTGATCATTTTTGACATTTGGAGCATGCCTTTCTCAACTGTATTGCATTAGTGTCTTGTGCTAGTAGAGGGTTTAGAAAGTGTTCCTCATAAAAAAGAAATAATATTTTTGGAATAGTGAGGCTGTATCCATTTTGTTGTTGGAACCAAAATCAAAATTTTTATTTCCCCTTTTCCCCCAAATCCTTTCCTCCTTCTACAACTTTGTCATTAGAAAATAAGGTGCATAATGTAATGAACTGGTATTATGTTTCAAAATATCAAACATACCTAAAAAGAAATTGGAACTTACACATTACTGGCCATTCTGTATACAAGTGTAAATGTAATTTTGCTTTCATATGCAACTGTGTTCAGTCGTGCCCATCACTAAGTATGGTATGTGGGATTCATTCACTTCTTTTGAATTAGACATGTTGTTAAGCTCAAATATATGAAATAAAAGTGGTTATTATTTAAGATGTTAAATGTAATGGGTTATATAGTTACAATTATCATTTCTATCATTTTAAATGTTTGGTGGTTTTGGGGCGTGGGGGTATTGTTTGGATCCCCCTCCCCCAGTAGCTTGTTCAATGATTATTTCCAGAAAAATACTATGGCAATAAACACTGTCATTGTAACAGCCATAATCCAGTTATCTGTTGCTAAAGCACCATGACACACTGTTTGTCACTCTTCTCCTACATGAGTCAGCGACTCTAAACAGATAACTTACATCTTTACGTTTTCGAGTAGATAGTATTAACTGGGAAATCTCCATATCAGTAACCTGCATCTTTTAATATTTTAGCACATCTGTTCATAGCTGTGCTATTTTATCTACATGAGTTGTTGTATTGCCCAGTATCAATAGGCGAATTACATGAAGACTAATGGAAATACAAAAAAATGTGGTTTTCAAATAATTATTACAGGAGCACATGAAGGAAAACCTACACTCATTAGATTGGCAGATGGTAGCGTATGGAACCACTCTGGGTTTATGCTAATAGTTCTAGAATGGACAGGAACAATTATTTGTTTTCATGGGAAAAGTGTTATCAAATAAAGATTTTTTTAAAGTTCCAGAACTTAACTTGTATAAGAGCTGGGGTTTTTAGCTTTTTTTTTTTTCTTCCAGCAATAGCCAGAGAAGAAAACCTTCACTACAGGTTCCAAATCTAACTTTTCCACATCCACATAAATTAGTTCATTTTTTCACTTCGGAAAGAGGCACATTGCTCATTTCATCCTTACCTTTTTTTATCCCCAACTTTACTTCTGTGATCACCCGAGCATGTTTACTGTCCTGATTTTGTTATCTGTCCTTTTAATTATAATAAAGTCATTGTAATCAGATGTTTAACACAAGAATTAACCTCCAAAAGAAACACGTGTAACGTACATTTATAGCCAGAATCTCCGGGTAGAAGCTGGAGTTACTGAGATAATTTGCAATAGTTCTCCCAAGGAGACAGGCTGCAAATTAGTTACATTAGTTAAAGATGACCATTTTAGGGCCACTCTCCTGCCACCACAGGTTTGTAGAATATTAGTTAAACCTTAGTTAAATGTTTCTGAGTCTTAAATCCAACTCCCTGGCTATTGTGTGATTTAATGCACATCAGTATCTACACATCTTTACCTTTCTTTGTTGTAGAATATTATTTAAACTAATGCATATATTGTAGGGAACGACAAAATAGATAAATAAATCTTAAATGCAAGTTTGTCTTTTTGTGGCAATTCATAACACACTGGCCACATTTAAAAGCTCTATATTTCAAGTTTGGTCATCATTTCCCAGTTTGACCACCATTTCTGTGACTGAATAGCTTCCTTGCAAATCCATTTAGGAATTAAATCTTACATTTTATACATAAGTTTTAACTGGCTTATGATTGACCACAGATAAATACATTATATTGTTGAGCATTTACTGTGCACACAGTAGTCTTGGAAAAATTTCATTTCAGTTATTAGAGTTGACTTACTAAATATTTCATTCATTTACTTCTAAGAAACCTACTCGTTACCGAAGAGCTATAAGCTATGACAGCAAGGAATACTACATGCGCCTGGCTTCTGGAAATGCTGCTGTTTTCCAAGATACTATAGAAGAGAGTTCAGAAGGTGAAGCCACTCAGCAGGAGCCAGAACACGGCGAAGACACTATTGCAAGAGTTAAAGGTAAGTTCATCGTTCTGTCTGTATTTTGAAATAACCTATTTGATGTTAAAAGTTTAACTTTTTTAAACTTGCTTCTCCATGAATGAGTCTGGATTTCTTCAAATTACCAGTGCCGTATAAATTAAACATAAGCGTCCTGTAGGTCCCCATTTTACTGCCACAACTTTAGGAGGTTAATTTTGAGATCCACATGTTTTTGCAAGGTGACTTCAGCTACTACTATCATCAGCCAGACAACAAGAACCTTTTAAAAATGTATGTACGCACACATGTACAAGACAGTTGAGTTTAAAATAACTGGGAAAGAATTAGATAAACAGTTGTTCTTGGGGGGGGGAAGACCCTTTCCTTTACATTCATAGAACTTGTTAGAGTTGGGGGAGACTTTAGTTTTAAGTCACTGTCATGTCCCTTCTTGATCTAAAAGTCCTGACTAATCTGCTTGAAATCACAGAAAATTACAGAGATGTTAAGAGAACACACAACCACAACACGCTTCACGGAACAGAAAAAAACAAAAAATAGTGTGTCAGCTCAATAGTCTGGATTTTAAGGTTTAACAGCTCTTCTCTTATCTGGTGATAGGCTTTCAAATTCTCTGTCTCAGCTGCCAGAATCTCACCTCATCCGCTCACCATGCGTGCACATGGCTCTGGTCATTTGGGACAGCAGGGATGCCAAGATGTTCAGGCTCGAATATGTAAAATTAAAAGTTAAGAGCTAGAACAGGGCGGGTAAAAAGGGGAAAAGTGTAAGTTCAGGACATGCTCCCGCAGTGGAAAGGCAGTAGTATTGGTGATCAAGATTGAGGTGTAGTGGGCAAACTGTGAGGGGAAACGGGCACTGTATTGACTAGCACTGCTATTGGCTTATGCCCGTTTGATTACATTCCCACTTATTGGACTCCAGATCTGTATCCCCCAAAACCCTGCAGTGTTTGTCAATACATTGATTGTCTCTCTGATTACTATGCAGGTCTGGTAAAGCCTCCTCTGAAGAGATCTCGCTCTGCACCTGATGGAGGAGATGAGGAAAACCAGGAGCAACTGCAGGATCAAATAGCTGAGGGTAGTTCTATAGATGAAGAAGAAAAGACTGATAATACAACTTTGCTGCGACTGCTTGAGGAAGGAGAGAAGGTACAGTACTTCAGAAATACTGATCATTTACTTTATCTGGATTTCTACTTTGTCCCTTTCTCTGATTTCTCCAGGTGTGAATATTTAAAACATGAACATTGATCATACATGTCAAAAGGAGAATTAAAAAAAAAAGTCCTAAAAAGACCTCCCTAACTCCACCTTTTCATCCACCACACATCTCCAATAAACCCCTCCTCCCAATGTCAATCCTGGAGAACAAGCAGATCTTACACTATGCCAGATGGTCACCAAATATAAGCTCTGGTGGGCAGTGGGCAAGTGCATTCATAGCCAAGGATGGGTCATTCTACCTCCAGACTCCTTTCTATTAAACCAAAGAGTTGTTAGATTAAGCGTCCCAGGTGTCTGTACCTACCGTGATATTACACAAGGAGAGAGGTATCCGTCTCAGAACCAAAAATGCAAACCATCTCATGTCTAGGATATTTAAATATCAATTAATGTGCCAAATAAGCATTACTTACAGAGAACTACATACAACAGATATGAAAATATTAATATAACAATCTTGATTTATATTCAAATTCATCTTCCTTCACCTTATGCCAGCCTAAAATGTTAAATCATTAAAAATATGTATTTTATTCTTGAGAACATTAAAAGGCTGCTCTGTGATTGCTTTGGGTTCCATGTTTTGTTGGTCTGATGAGAACCTCTGAACAAGCATGCACTCAAGGATGAGTGACACATTGATGGACTACAGTTTGAAAATGATGCCCCGGAAACATGAGTAATGATTAGCTCACTGTGAACATGTGTAATATTCTAAAAACAAAAATATGTTTAGCTTGCATTTTGTGATCACAGCATAGCTAGTTATTTTGTTTAAATCTGTTTTATTGCAGTAATTCAGTTATGGTACTGAAAATGGGAAAGTACAGGTTTATCTTTTTTGATAGCATAGAAATATATTTTCCTGTAAACACCTTACAACTTCATGAGTGTATTTTTTTTCACAGTGACTAATTTGTTTTAATATTGAAATAATATATTCAAGCCCAGACATTGCACTGGTTTCACTTTGATTGTATTCTGTTGTATTTTTCTTGTCTGTTATTGAACGTTGCTTAAAACATGAGATGCTTTTATGCTGTCCAGTTGCAGACCTTTGCAAGAAAATAGCACTAGTACAATATGTTTGATTCAGACCTGTGTACCAGCAGGGCAACAAAACGTAAACCACATTATGCCTCTTCACCGGTGTGCATTGGGGATTATATGAGGTGGTGTCTAAAGAAAAGGGTAAAAAGGCCATCAGCGACCTTCCTCCCATACTTTTGCTGAGCTTGCTGAGATGAGTTGAATCTTTGCAGTGGCCCCCAGCATATGAGAGAGTATACATGAATACATACACTGTCGCTGCTGCTCCTACCTTCAAAATGTGAAAAACTGACCACTAATGACTTCTCCTCAACTGTCTGTCTGCTACAGCAGTCTGGTAGCATGTATCACCTTATAAATCTTGTTTAGTTTTTTGACATATCCAAGTGATTGTTATAAATATGAATGAACATACCATCAGGAGTGCCATAAAGTAGGGACAATTTGTTCTTATTCCCTATGGAAGGAGTATACTTATTGCGGTAATTTTCCTAAAAGAGATTTCAGCACCCTGACTAGCAAGCATCTCTCTCCTAATTTCATACACCACTTCGAATTTTTTCCCTTTAAGTCTACAGTAGATTGTTGACTCCTGCATGATTCATGTATTGAATGCTGCATGATTTTGCTTTGCTGAACAGGGTGATGGTGCTGAATGTGAAATATGTTGCTGCTTCTTCGCATAATGTCCGTATGGGTGTCCGACTTCAGGTGCGCACCCGCCTCTCAAGCCCTTGATCAGAGATTTTCAGTCACCAGTGTTTGTTCAGCGCACACATGTGCCCTACGCCGCCTCATGCTGGGTACCGAGGCTATATAAGGGCGCATGGGCAAACTGCCCTCAGTTCCTTCTCAACTGCCTGGGCCTGAGATGCAGCCCTAGCATGTCTACTTTGAGTGTGCCTCGGCTATCCTAATATTTCTATAGTGGTTGAGGTAATTTTTATAATTAGTTGTTAGTATATTTATAGTAAGTTTGTTAGATAAGTAGTGGGAGGATTGTTTTACCCCCTCTTTCCTCTCGGGAGACTTTTTTCCTAGCAGAGTGTGCCTGGCTCACTTGGTGTCAAACGTTGCCTCTCCTGCTGAGAGGCTATTCCTGTGAGTGATGGCCTCTCTAAGTGTGTCTGTTGCTTGGGGGAGTCCCATGGCTCCCAGGAGTGCAACTTCTGCCTGGCCCTCATGTCCAAGACAAGGAAAGACAGGGAGATTAAACTCAGATACCACCTGAGTCTGGTCAGGAGACTCCTCTTCCCTTCAGTACATCTGTCTCCAGCTACATCCAGTGCCCCTTCTACCTTGGTGCAGGCTGCCCTTGAGAAAAGGAAAACTTAGGAAGCTTCAGGGAAGGCTTCCAGAAAAAGGAGCCAGCTCCGAAAAAGTCAAGGTCTCCGGTGAGATCTATGGTCTCCAAAGCCCCGACCTCTCGAGTCAATACCATTGAGTCAAAAGACAACTCCTCTGGTACCAGCAGGGCCATAAAGTCCTGGAACACAAAGGAGAGAGACAGCACCAGTAGGGCCTTGGTACCTTCTACTAGCAAAGAGGGTAAACTTAGATGCTTGGGACTGGCACCATCGAGTTCCACCCAGCCATCTTTACCTACAAATTCAGCCCAGCTCTCAGTACCCATGCATGCAGTGTCCTCGGCACTGAGCAAGTGATGACATCAGACACCCAGGTGTCTACTTTGGTACTCTCACCATTGGTGGTACCATTGGCTTCAGCTACCGCGTCAGTATTGATCCTCTACTGGGTACCACAGGAGTTCAGATATACTAAGGACCTCTCAATAACGGATGAGCCAGAGTCCCTGCTCTTCATGGGTACTGAGCACCTCTTGGTACCGATACCCCGATCTCCAGACCACTGTTACCTTTATCATCCAAACTTGTAATCTCATCAAAAGAAATCAAGTTAGTTGGACAGGATCTGTTTTCTTTAAACCCATGTTGAATGGCATTAATTACATTACCCTCCCTTAATTCTAAATTAATCAAATCCCATATCAGCTGCTCCATTATCTTGCCTGGGATTGATGTCAGGTTTACAGGCCTATATTTACATAAGTCATCCCATTTACCCTTTTTGAAAATAAGCACATTATCTTCGTTCAGTCTTCTGGAACTTGTTCCATGCTCCAAGACTTACTGAAAATGAACATGAACAGTCCAGCGAGCTCCTCAGCCAACTCTTTTAAAAATCTTGGATGCAAGTTATCTGGACCTTCTGATTTTAAAATGTCTAATTTTAGTAGCTTCTGTTTAACATCCCCCAGAGATACTAATGGAATGGAAAAGAGGGTTGTCATCCCCATAGGATGAGACTATACCATGTTTTTTGCCAAATATAGAACAGAAATATTTATTGAACACTTCCACTTTTTCTGCATTATTATTGATAATTCTCCATTGCCATCTAGGACCAATACCATTGTCAGGATATTTTGTTCTAAATATATTTTAAAAACTCCTCCTCCTATGTCAAAGGTTCATTTGTAAAGAAAATTAAAGCAAAATCTATTTATCCAATTCTGAGTTAGATTAAATTTAAAAAAAAAAACTTTCTGCTCGGTAAAGACAGTTGCATATACACATAATAATTTAGTGCAAAAATGGCTGAACTTTACAAGCTGGAACTTTCCAGGTTGCTTATTTCTCACTGTAATGGTGGTTCAATATAATTAAGTTAAAAAAAATTGTAACTAATTGGAGCAGGAGGTTCCATTAGCACATGAGCATTGTGTCCAGTCCTCATTGGGTAGTTATGAGAATGCTGCGCTCACCGTTGAAGTGGACTGGCTCACTATGTGACTGAACAACTTTCTTAAAAGAGAGAGAAAAAAACTCTATTAAGATAATTATCCTGAAGTATTGCAGAAAACCAATCTACACTATTTCAGTACACCTGCTATCCAGTCTATGTTGTTCATCTTAAGGTATATGGGAAACAAACAGAAAATAATTGAAGTTCTTCAGCAATCATATGTAACCTACTATTGCTATTATTGTAGTTAGAATACCTCTTAACTGAAGATCATTGTCCAGTACTACTTGGCTTGTAGACAAGGTAGAATTAAAATTAATTTGTATATCGAACTAAGCTTGGAAAAGTCTTCAGTTTTCATATACACTGCCTGAATCTCAGATTAAAACATGTTTTAAGGTCTGTTGTAGTGCCTTGTTGTGTTTCCATTAACCCTTTGTCAGTGTCTGTATCGTTTCATTCCTGCTGGTTCTTCTGACAGATGACCACAATTTGGTTTGGTGTTTATTCTGTGGGATAATGGAGAAAAATAGTCTCCCATTTTAATCTACATTTTGTTGGTTATCTTTTAAACAAATAGAACACAACTGTTTTAGGTAATATTCGTAACAGACTCTTATGTCCTAGTAAATTCTCCTCCTTTTATTGAATCCCTGCTTTTATTCTTTTATGGATACAGAATACAATAGAAAGAAAAGAGTATATGATTGCATGTATATTGATGGGTATATATAATTTGTTCTGAATTGTACACAGTTTTATTATAGCCCATTTTTAGTTCATTTGTCTGATGCGTCTTTGTCATATATTTTAACTAATAAAACAAGTAGCACAGAATTGCTGTACTTAAAATAAGAAAATATTGTCTGGGAGAACAAGCCATAACTTCCAACAAGTCAACAGACTGAACTTGAGCTAAATTAAGCTGCTTTTGCTAATCCTATGGGTTTCATTACAGATTCAGCACATGTACCGCTGTGCTCGAGTTCAAGGTCTAGACACCAGTGAGGGACTCCTTCTCTTTGGTAAAGAACACTTCTATGTGATCGATGGGTTTACGATGACAGCCACCAGGGAAATACGGGATATTGAGACACTGCCTCCAAAGTGAGTGAATTAAGAGAGTCAGTTTAGCTTGTTTAGTAAATAGACAAGAAATATTGTGTGAAAGATTGAAGAACAAAACTCTATAATATCAAACTTAGAATGGTCATGCACCTGCACCTGCTTCCACAATTGTAGATTGATATGCACAGAATTACGTATAAATCATGTGTTGTTTAGCCGTGAACTCTAATTTCTTTTTCAGAGCATAGATGTCATGATTTTGGCTCTGTTATTCTTGGTTTTATTACTTATACTAATAAAATATCATAGAAAATTGTAGTTCAGCATAAAGATAATTAAGTTAAGCTTTGGAGAATCATTTTAAACTTTTGTTCACTGAGTTACAATAGTAGTTTTTCCTCTGTGGTGACTTTAAAAATAATAAGATTTATAGTTGCGGTCTGCCTGGCTTAACAAACTCCATACAGTTGAAAAATAGTTTTTGATATACATTGGTGGTCATTTTTAACTTTCCTTCCTCTGGTTACCTACAGTATGCATGAGCCAATTATACCTAGAGGAGCAAGGCAAGGTCCAAGTCAGCTCAAAAGAACATGCAGTATATTTGCATATGAAGATATCAAGGAAGTACATAAAAGGAGATACCTATTACAGGTGACTCTTGTTTTGTTTCGATTGGATGGGGATGGAGAGAATTTAGCCAGCATTGTTGTTTATTGAAAGTGTCACTTTAAAAATAATAATAATAATAATTCCTGAGGGTGATCAGCAGCTTGAAAGTGAGGCCATTTGGAGTCCCAAAATATGGATTGAGTTGCCTAAAATTAGCATCCAAGTTTGAAAATGTTGGCATATATACTTTTTACTTGAGGACAGAGTGTATTTTAATATTCTGGACATAGACTGACAGCACTAATTCGGACAGTTTTTAAGTTAGTTGGTGTCATCATTGTCAACTTTTCACTATGGCTAAACTGAGATCACCAAACTTATTTCACTTGTGAGCTACAACAGCTGATTCTAAGAGGTGACACACTAATTCATTAGTCCTATTGTTTGTAACATCCTTTGATATCCATATTTTTCCTCTGTCCTTTCTTTCCAGCCAATTGCTGTTGAAGTTTTCTCAGGAGATGGACGGAACTATCTTCTAGCTTTCCAGAAAGGAGTTAGAAATAAAGTCTATCAAAGGTATTCCAAAATGAGTTAAATTAGTGATTTAAACTGAGCATGATTAGTAGTGTTACTGTTTTTTAAAAAAAAGTTTCAAACATATTTGAAATTATTTTTGATAGCTATATTAGAATGGGCATAAGCCCCAGAAAAAGGGAGAGCACACCACATTACAGATTTAATCAATTTCATTGCAGGATATATCCGGCTCTGAAAACACCATACTATAGGCACCACAGAGAAACTGTACCAGTTAGTTAATCCATGGTCTGTAGATACTGTATTGTATATGACGCCCACATAGCACAGGGAAGGGCACAATAGAAATACTTAGGAACATTTGATGAGTTTTCTGCATTGTTTATATGTAATGCACATAGTATAGATATACTTGTAATGACTGACATTCCTTGTCCCTGAGTGTTGGCTGAACATACTGTCTTTGTTTGGATTATTCTCTGGTGACCCGGATATGTTGTATAAAATAAATAATTTTGGGATGGGAAAAGGAGATTTTACAGTTCCAGGCACATGGAGAAGAGGGCTGTGTGTACAGATAAAATAAGTTTGCTTGTGGATTTCAGACAAAAAGTGAGATCTGAAGAACAAAGGAAAGCCACTGGACATCTAGACATCTTATATTTGTTTCTGAGGGAATGCAGCTCAAGGTTGGATGAGAAAATGAGAGCCCACCGTTTCATGCCTATAACATCTTGCTGTCTGAAAAAGAAAAGAGTGTTGGTTTGTCTACACTAGAAAAGAGGTTGACGTAAGGTCCTTCTCAGACAGAGAGTAAACCTGTAGACCTCAACCAGATGAGTCAAAGTTAAAAGTGTTAGCCCACATCTATGCTGGAGATAAGGTTTGTGGTTAGCTAAAACACTCTGATCTTACCTCAACCTCTGTTCTAGTGCAGACAATAGAGATGGTTAGAAAAACTTGACAAAACACTTTTTCATCAGAATTTTCCATTTCATCAAAATTGAAACTTTCCACCAGAACGGTTTGATTTTGATGAAGGTCCAGTGGAACCCTGCCTACCTATCTGCCACCTCCGCTGAGTCAGACTTGGGGACCCCAGGGCTTCCAGGCTCCTCAGCAGCCCGCCAGATGCATTGCTTCAGAGTTTGAGTCAAGGACTGCAGGCCTCCAGGGTCCAGGGCTTCTCAGCAGCCCAAGCTTCCAGAGTCTACCACTGTGCAGCAGCCCAGCTGACCAGAGACCCCAAGGCTTCCAGAGTACATAGCTCTTTAGCTGGGGCTTCCAGGGTCTGCAGCACCGGACCAGTGTGCCATATGGATTGGCACAGAGTCAGGAACCTCACCGCTTCTGGGGTCCATGGCTCTGGGGCAGCCTGTCAGGCGGACTGCCTCAGTGTCAGGGCTCCATTCCCTTTCACGGGGAATTTTTGAAATTTGTGTGGGGGGGGGGGTTGTTCAGAATCAGAATGAAACCAAATTTTGAAATATCTGAATTCTCCACGAAATGGAATTACCTTTCTCCACACAGACACACCCACAGCTTTTTGCAGTACTAACAGATATTCAACTAAGGTATAACATTTTTATTAGTTTGACGTTGTGTTGCAGTTGCCAGAGCAGTTGGGCAGCATGGCTCTCCCACACTAGTGGACTACTAGTTTTTCCTGGGTTATGACCTCTCACCTAATCAATGCATTTGAACTGTGCCTCTTTAATGCAAATACAGGAGGCAGTTCAGATTTATGCATTGGGCCCTGTGGCTTGTCCATACTGCATCACCCTTGTGTCATATTCTTCACCTGTTGATGCACAAACAGAGCAACAGTTCAGCAGTCCCTTTTTTAGAGCATATTTTGGAGCAGCAGCAAGCAGAATCCTTCAAAATGTTCCGCTAGCTATCTGCTGACCAGGACCCCCTACAGAACTCCTTCTCTGTCTTCTGATTGTTGTGGGGCTGCCACATGGGGCATGTGGAAGGGCAAGTCTGTGTGGAAGCCATCTTAGGAGCCACAAAAGGAGAGTTCTGGCACAATTGCTCCCAGCCGACAAACCTGTGGCCTGCCAGAGAAAGGAGCACAGAGTCTGGGTGGCATCCCTCCCACAACAGCCGGATGCCTCTGGAGACACATCCACAAGGGCCGAGTTAGCTTGTTTCACCACCTGGAGGTCAGAGAGCCAGAATCTCCTCACCAATCAAGAATTCTTCGAGATTAAATTCAAAAAATCCCTCACCTCTCCCATCCCAGTCCAATCCAAAGGTTAAAGCTTCAGAGTCCTGTCCATATTTAAGTGGATGACTAACTTGGTACCTTGCTTGTTGGTGTAGGAGGAGGATGATCCCTTGTATCATCTCTTCATAGAATATCAGGGTTGGAAGGGACCTCAGGAGGTCATCTAGTCCAACCCCCTGCTCAAAGCAGGACCAATCCCCAGACAGATTTTTGTCCCAGATCCCTAAATGGCCCCCTCAAGGATTGAACTCACAACCCTGGGTTTAGCAGGCCAATGCTCAAACCTCTGAGCTATCCCTCCCCCCAAGTTACATATTAGAGGCTAAAGAGCATAGGGGAACACACTCACACATGAGCCCCAAATAAGAAATAGACTGGTGCATCACCAAGGGTGAGAATCCTTCTCAGAATGCCTGAAAACAAGAAAAAAGCGAAAAAACTCCCCACCTGGTCATCTTTCCTGAGCTCCAGATCCTCTCTTGAAGAAGGGAAATTCTGTGTTTTGGATCATGTTCACCCCAATCAGAAGCAGAGAGAGACAATTCCTCTTGACATAATTGAGACCAGGGGGAGGAAGTTAGTGTCTTCTATTGATATCCAGAAATGCTAAACTTGCTACATGTGTTAAATATGAGATTTAAATGTCTAACTTTGTTTGCAAATAGGAGATTGGGAGAGCGAGAGCGAGTAGTTAATTTTTTTTTAAAGAATTTACATGGCTGCTTGGAATCAAGTTGCCACTTGAACTGAGTTTTGGTGGTTGGATTCTCTTAAATAAAAGGTACACATGGAACATAAATGTAATTAATTTTATTCTTTTAACTAATGTAGGTTTTTGGCTGTGGTTCCATCTTTAACTGACAGTTCAGAGTCTGTGTCTGGACAGAGACCTAACACCAGTGTAGAACAAGGGTATGTGGTTCTTTTCCTAAAAATCTATTGCTCAGAATGTCAAGTGAAGAGACTGTTGTTTTCAGTGTTTGCTGTAGTCGTGTTGGTCCCAGGGTATTAGATAGGCAAGGTGGGTGAAGTAATATCTCACCAAGCTCCTCATCAGAAGCAAGCTCCCTACAGACCAGGACCCACCAACTCAAAGCAGCACCAGACCCTGCTGTAACAACAGATGCAAAGTCTGCAGACATATCTCCACCGCTACAATGATCTCTCTCTCTCTCTCTCTCTCTCACACACACACACACACACACACACACACACTCACACACTCACACACACACTCACACAGACACACCCCTCATCCAGTGCACTAAGTGCCCCAATAACAACTGTCGGTGAAACCAGACAATCGCTACACTCTCGAATGAACTCTTACAGAAAAATGATAAGACAAAAACACCCTATCACCTGAGGATGAGCACTTTTCACAGAGTGATCGCTTTATATCTGACCTATCAGCTCTTGTCCTCAGAGGAAACCTGCGCAAACCTTCAAAAGACAAGCCTGGGAACTTAAATTCATAATTTTGCTAGACACTGAAAATCGTGGTCTTAAAGACACGGGATTTATGGCTTATTACAACCATCTGTAACCCACTAACCCCCTTCTTTTGTCCTATGACTACAGAGGTGTTAACTGGCCACTTCACTTTGAATGGTCTCTTACATGTTAACGCCTTGTGCTAAACAATCTGTTCCAGCTTGTATTTAGCTGTGACTCTCTGAGTGCCTTTCCCAGACCTGAAGAAGAGCTCTGTGGAAGCTCAAAAGCATGCCTCTCTCACCAACAGAAGTTGGTCCAATAAAAGGTATTCCCTCACCCACCTTGTCTTTTTAAATAGAGACTTATGTTGTTTAAAGTTCTGGATCTTCTGGAGAACTATGTATCTTCCGTGCTGAACTGCACTGCCTTGAGCCAGACCAACAAGAGTGATTGGAGATGCTAGGTCTAAAAATGCTGATCATCAGGAAGTTATTAGTGAGAAAAAGAAAAGGGAAATTCACATAAAACTTTTGATTTTACAAATTGCCTTTAACTGCAATTGCCTTTAACTTACAAATCCTGTTGGCACCACTGTTTTCCAACAAAAGTTATGTATATTATGTGAATTAACATTATTAATAAATTAATTTGGTTACTGTGAAATAGATTTCAGCATGAAAAGAACTTGATCCAACGTATTAAATAACTGTTCATAATGTGGGTCTTATAAGGTTAATTTGTCCTTGCACTGAAATGCATAGTTAAATGTTTTAATTACCTTTGTTCAGAAGTCAGCTAACATTTGTGCACTGATTTATGTGGGTGTCAGTTTGATAGGCATTGTACAACATTGCTAAGGTATAGTAGTGGTAATCATTGGTACTCTACTAGAGAGTAAAATGTAGATATTCAAATTCTAATGCTTTAAGTTTTGTACCATGTTATAAAGATGCAGCCACAATATTGTGCTAAATAGAAAAATACTGACACATCCTTATTCCTATTAGGTCTGGCTTGCTTAGCACTCTAGTGGGAGAGAAATCTGTGACACAAAGATGGGAGGTAAGTATGAGAGTTCTACTGTGCTTATATTGTAGGAAAAGCCAAAATTTATAGTCATATGCAATGAAATATTTGAATAAAATGTGCTCATGTTCAGCAGGTTGAAAAATATAGTACCCTGGAACACTCCTCTCCACAGCAAATTGCTTTGCAGTATTTTGAAAGAAACAAGATTGTTTGCACCATTAGACGTGTGAGACAAAACAATGCAGTAAATCTCAGAGAGTATTTCCACAAATCTTTTATGCTGTAGTTTGTACCTTGTTAGAGAGCAGACCACAGTGAAGATCTGTCAATTTAAGTGTTTGGTTATTCTAAAATGAACTAAAATGCTAATATTTATCCTTTTTAAGAGAGGAGAAATCAGTAATTTCCAGTACCTGATGCACTTGAACACTCTGGCTGGCAGATCCTATAATGATCTCATGCAGTACCCTGTCTTCCCCTGGATCCTTGCAGACTATGATTCGGCGGTAAATATGAAAACTTATCTATGTCATATTAATATTTTTACATGTTTATTTTTAAGGTGCACCAACACTATAGTTGGTTCACCTCAATGGAGCTGGGACGTATTCAGTTTTCCAAATCTTTAATTTCAGTTACTTTCTTACTACACAGATTCCTACAATGAGCTCCACGCAGACCTGTGACCCTGAACTGTGCAGAGTCCCATTGAAGTTAATGCGACTCTGCACAGACAAGGAGGACTGTCTACAAAGAGCTTGTTGCAGGACCAAGGCCGAAGTTTTTTTGCATGGTGGCCTGGTGATTGACATGGACACACATGCGCAGTGATGCTTTGTGTCATAAATTTGTTCCTTGTAAATCTCTGCTGTAGTTCTCTAGACTGTTTCCCAGTGGCTTTTGTGACATAGCGCAGCGGTTCTCAACCAGGGGTCTGCGAAGCCCTGCAGCTCAAACCCAGACCCTGAGCTCCAGCACCCCCCGTGCAGCTGAAGCCCCAATCACCAGCTCCCCCCACAGGGCTGAAGCATACAGCCCCTAGCTACCTCCTCCCTGTACCACGAGCTACCCCCGTCTGTGCACAGCACCTAGTTACCCATCTCCCTGCACCCTGAGCTACCCCCCTGCCTGCACACAGCCCCTAGCTACCCCCATGTCCGGGCACAGCCCCTGGCTACCCCCTCCCTGCACCATGAGCTACCCCCCTGCCCACACGCAGCCCCTAGTTACCCCCTGTCTGCACCCTGTACTACCCCCCTACCTGCACACAGCCCCTAGCTACCCCCTCCCTGCACCCTGAGCTGCCCCCTTCCCACGCACAGCCCCTAGCTACCCCCCCTGCACCATGAGCTACCCCCCTACCCTCACGCAGCCCCTAGCTACCGCTTGCCTGCACCCTGAGTTGTTTTCAGACTTTTTGAACTGAGCGCCCCCGCCCCTTGTAATAATTTTTGGTTCCGCTGCCCTCCCCCTCCCGACAGCCCAGATAGGCTGGGTGGCCTGCTGAGGTGAGTCGGGGTAGAGGAGGAGCTCCCTCCCCAGACCCTGCTGTGCAGAGCTGGCCCCTGCCTTCTGCCCCCCCCCCCCAAAATAGAAGTCAAATTACACCTATGTCTGAGGGGCCTGCCCCCGCCCAACCCAGAGTCCCTCCTCCCCCGCTGGGCCCTGGAGTTTTTATATCATTTGCGGGGGAGGGGCTCAGAAAGAAAAAAGTTGAGAACCCCTGACATAGCGGAAGCATTCCTGTTTGGGAGACATTGCAGTCTCTCAAGAAATTTAGCCCCAACCTTATGAAAGTGACAAACCTAGTTTTGGAAAAGCGGAAAATGATATTAATGTTAGTTTGGGCAGTCAGTTTGTACCTAAGGGTGGGCATAAGGTGCTGTGATGAAGACCTGCTGCTGAGGGTAGCTTTTGCAGGGATGTGGGGGAGACATAAAGCACCCCCACCACTAGAATGTAGTAAAGATATCTTCTTGAATTAGGCTAAACAATTCTTTAGAAAAGCATAACTAAGTAGATGAGATAAATCATTGCTGCTGCTTACGATATGCGGCTCTACAAGGAAGAGATAAATACTATATAGCTCATACGGCTGCTCGCCTTGATCAGCCAGTGCAGAGTGCTTTTAAGAATCTGTATTTGTTTATTTTAAAAGGAACTGGATCTTACTAATCCCAAGACATTCAGAAACCTGGCCAAACCGATGGGAGCACAGACAGAGGAAAGATTAGCACAGTACAAAAAGCGATACAAAGATTGGGAAGATCCTAATGGTAAGTGATTGTACAAAATGCAGATCTTGAAGAGCAGAGATGGGCACATTTTAAATTAGTCAGTGTGCCTGTCGTCTTCCTCCAAGAATATCCTAAACATCTTTTGCGTATGTGCATACCAGATCCTGTGGGAGGGCACAAAGGGTTGTGGTGTGGCCACTTTATGCCAGTGTCCTTTTTAAACGTGGCCACAAAGCAACTCCAAGGCCCCCACTGGGGAATACCCCGGCTTAGAGATCTACTCTTCCCACACAGGTGTCACTGGTGTGGGAGGCTGCTAAAGCCTTGGTTATTTCTATGCCCATCTTCCCTGGTAGTTACAATGACCCAAGTGAAGGCAGCCCTCAGAGCTGTTCTTACCTGCTCTTGGGAATGTACACACCCTCCCCCTTTGGTGCCTACACCAAGCGCGGCACCAGCACAGAGATGAATGCCCTACTTGGTTTGTATGGCATTTCTGCCTGTGCCAGTGCAAAAATGGGAGACATAATTCAGTCCATCAAGCAGATGCAGAATACTACATTAAGAAATCCTAATTGCTGCCCAAAAAACAAATAAATAAATAAATAAATTCAGCAGGAGTTTTCAAACTCTTCCATACTACAGACTGCATGTTAATAGAGAGAGTATCTCATGGACCACGTACCCTCCTGATTGTGATCGCATAGCATCCCTGTGGAACTAGTTGTTTACATGAAAAAGTAATATTAGGAAAGCAATATATTTTGAACAGTTTTTAATGTAGTCTAGCGGCTAGAAATAAATAAAAACTACTATCATATGACCAGGCAGCTCTTCACAGACCACAGCTTGAGAACTGCTGAAATAAAATAAACAAGGCAAAGAAATAGGAATCTTTTTGCATAGATAGATCTTATACAGCTTATTCATTCTGTTCTCAGTGCATGTATTTACTAGGTAATCATTCATCTGAAGAAGACAATAAATGCAATCAGTCTCCTTATATTACTCCTTTAAAGTACGCAAAATACTAGAACTGAGTTAGATTTGATATTTTTTCTCAATTTTAGAATAATTCCCTTAAATATTAAAAATACGATCTGTGCATGTGTCCAAACTATTATTGTTATACTGCACTCCCTTCCTATTATGCCCTTTTTTCAGATGATAAGAATTTGATGATTCAAGAACATAAGAACAGTCATATTGGGTCAGACCAATGGTCCATCTAGCCCCGTATATTGTCTTCCAGCAGTGGACGGAGCCAGGTGCTTCAGAAGGAATTCACAAAACAGGGCAATTTTTTCAGTGATCGATCTGTCATCCAGTCCTAGCTTCTGGCAATCAGAGGCTTAGAGACACTCAGAGCATGGGGTTGCATCTCTGACCATATTGGCTAATAGCAATTGATAGATCTATCCTCTGTGAACTTATCTAATACTTTTTTGCGTCTTTTGGCCTTCACAACAGCCCCTGGCAATGAGTTCCACAGGCTGACTGTGCATTGCGTGAAGAAGTACTTCCCTTTATGTGTTTTAAACGGACTACCTATGTGAAAGGATAAATAATATTTCCTTATTCGCTTTCTCCACACCAGTCATGCTTTTTATAGACCTCTATCATATCCTCCCTTAGTCGTCTCTTTTCCCAGCTGAACGGTCCCAGACTTCTTAATCTCTCCTCAAATGGAAGCTGTTCCATACTCCTAACCATTTTTGTTGCCCTTTTCTGTACTTTTTCCAATTCTAAAATATATATTTTTGAAGTGGGGCAACCAGAACTGCATGGAATATTCAAGGTTTAGGCGTGCCATGGGTTTATATAGTGACATTATGATATTTACTGTTTTATTATCCTGTCCTTTTCCTAATAGTTCCTAACATTTGGTTAACTTTTTTGAACGGTGCTGCACATTGACCAGGTGTTTTCAGAGAACTATCTGTGATGAGGCCAACATCTTTCTTCAGTGGTGGTAACTAATTTAGACCCCCATCATTTTGTACATAGAGTTGGAATTACGTTTTCCAATATGCATTATTTTGCATTTATTAGCATTGAATTTCATCTGCCATTTTATTGTCCAGTCACCTAGTTTCGTGAGATCCCTTTGTAAAACTCTTCACAGTCAGCTTTGGACTTAACTGTCTTGAGTGATTTTGCATTGTCTGCAAACTATGCCACCTCACTGTTTATCCCTGTTTCCAGATCATTTATGAATATGTTGAACAGCACTGGTCCCAGAACAGATCCTCTTTCCATTGTGATTCTTTATTCCTACCCTAGTTCCTCAGATTTGTCACCTGAAAAGAACGGTTTAGGTGTGGGAATCTTCCTCACATCCTCTGCAGTGAATACCAGTGCAAAGAATTCATTTAGCTTCTCCACAATGGCCTTGTCTTTCTTGAGTGCTCCTTTAGCACCTTATTCGTCCAGTGGTGGCCCCATTGATGATTTGGCAGACTTCTTGCTTCTGATGTAGGTACAAAAATTAACAGCAAATTTTTTTTTTTTATCTTTTGCTAGTTGCTCTTCAAATTCTTTTTTGGCCTGCCTAATTATACTTTTACACTAGACTTGCCAGAGTTTATGTTCCTTTCTGTTTTCCTCAGTAGGATTTGACTTTCCATTTTTAAAGGATGCCTTTTTGCCTCTAACTGCCTCTTTTACTCTGTTGTTTAGCCATAGTGGCATTTTTTTTTTATTTGGGGTATAAATTTAATTTGAGCTTCTATTATGGTGTTTTTAAAAAGTTTCCATGTAGCTTGCAGGCATTTCACTCTTGTGACAGTTCCTATAAATTTCCATTTCACTTGCTTCCTCATTTTTGTGTAGTTCCCCTTTTTGAAGTTCAGTGCAACTGTGGTGGATTTCTTTGGTATCCCCCTCTCCCACCCACCAGGATGTTAAATTTAATTACATTATGGCCTCTATTGCCGAGTGGCTCCGCTATATTCATCTCTTGGGCCAGATCCAATGAACCACTTTAGGACTAAATCAAAAATTGCCTCTCTCCTTGTGGGTTCCATGACTAGCTGCTACAACAAGCTGTCATTAATGGTGTCTACAAATTTTATTTTATTTTATTTCTTCCTGAGATGACGTGTCCAGTCAATGGGGGGATAGTTGAAATCCCCCATTATTATTGAATTTTCTATTTTTGTAACCTCTGTAATCTCCTGGAGCATTTCACTATCACCATCCTGGTTGGGTGGTCAGTAGCATATTCCTACCGCTATAGTCTTATTGAAGCCTGGAATTTCTAACAATCGAAATTCTATGGTACAGCTTGATTCATTTAAGACTTTTACTATATTTGACTGTGTTCATATAGTCATTCCAATATATTTTGTACCCTGGTATTACCTTCTCCATTGATTATCATTGTTCTGCCAAGTTTCTGTGATTCCTATTATATTGACATTCTCATTTAATACCAAGGACTCGGGTTCACCCATCTTCGTACTTAGACATCTAGCATTTATATACAAGCACTTATAAAATTTGTCAATATTTAGCTGTCTGCTTTCCTGTAATATAATTGAGTGGGACTTTGATTTGACTGTTTCTCTTCAGCTCCTACCTGTACTTTATCAACTTCTATCCTCTCCTCTTTACTAGGATATAGAGAATCCCCATTAATAAATCCTCCTCTCAGAGATGCCTCCATCCAAACCTTGTGCTCTTTCACAGCTGTTGGCTTTCCCAAGCCCTTGGTTTAACTGCAACTTTAATAGGTCACTACCAGTAATTTGAGGACTGTTGTTCTAAAGTTACTGTACTGTCCAATACCAGCAGGTGGCAGAGTTCCATTTATGAACATCCAGCAGAATTGTGTGAAGACATTTGTACAGATGGCTTGTTGTTGCCAGCAAATGAATAAAATAAAATCTTTACAAAATCTGTAGTCAGCAATTCTGAGAAATATTAGAGCACTAAGCCTTTAATTCCACATCACAGAACAGGCTAAAAGTAAAAATTCTCCTTTAGAAGAAGTAATTGTAGCTGTCTTGGAATGTTTCAATTATTCAAAGTACAAAACTGCTAAATGTGCAGTGTTGCTGGGCAAAAGACTGTTGAATTATGACTAGTGGATTACTGCCAAAGTTTAAGTAAGTGGTTTCAATGTCAAATCATAAAGTTTAAATAGTCTTAGTTCCGCAAATATGAAAGCTGCAAATACCAATTTTTAATGTGTTCAGGGTCATACTGTTCTCACAGTCTAGCACTTCTTAAACCTATTAATTTCTTAATTTACTGCAGATTTTATCATGAACATTTCCTCTTTATTTCCTCTTCATTTGTAACTTTTAATTTTTCTTTATCAGGGGAAACTCCAGCTTATCATTATGGTACTCACTATTCATCTGCCATGATAGTGGCCTCGTATCTTGTCCGAATGGAGCCCTTTACACAGATATTCTTACGGTTACAGGTAAATTGTGTGAGATTTCATTTTTCTCTCTTTCTGACTTGTTTAAATTTGAAAATGGGTAAAAATGTGAATCATCTTGTAACTCGATTCTCACTGAGCATGGTAAAAGAAAGGAAGTGCTGTGATCGTTATTCTCTTTAGAATAGCAAAGAGATTTTATGGGCAGATGTATATGATCCTTCAGATGGAAGTCTGAACATTTTGAAAAATGTACGCAGCACGAAAATTCAACAGAGAGAAAACAGATTTTATTTAATAAAGTAATAAAATAATAAAGTAATCCAACTTTGTTCATCTATTTTTAAAAGAACTCATGCATCAGTTTCCCTCATTTGGTTCTCAAGTGTTTAAAGACTAATTTGTTAAACTAGTTTGTCAGTCTAGTATTGAGAGTCAAATTAACCAAACATTAGCACAGCCTGGAATTTTCTGACAGCTTGAAAATTAATTGGGTTCACAGTGCTACATTTTAAATATTTTCTTAGCTGGAAACCATCAGGCAAGAACATTTATTTTCTTTGGGCCAGCATTTCAACCAAAAAGACTAATATTTGGAATAGGGCTAGATTTTTTTTTTTTTTTAAACAAAAAATCCTGTAGATGTATATTTTTATGCTTCATATTTAGCATTATTGCAAAGAAAGATTATAGCAACCAGTAGAAGAAAACATAGTTTTAGACCCTTTTGTTGCAGGAGAGGTTTTTTCCTTTTTTATTATTGTATTTATTTGACTGAGATAAAACGTTACCAAATGGTTTTACTTTACAGTTTTATAGACCTTGGCTGAGTCTGCTGTGCTGAGAAATGTTCTGGTATAAAGATGCTTCTCATTTCATTCTACAGGGTGGCCACTTTGACCTGGCTGACAGAATGTTTCACAGTGTGCGTGAAGCCTGGTATTCAGCATCAAAGCACAACATGGCAGATGTAAAGGAACTCATCCCAGAATTCTTTTACCTCCCGGAGTTTCTGCTCAACTCCAATAACTTTGATCTAGGTAGGCAAAAGCTGCTGATCGCATCGTGTTATGAATGTGAAAACTGGTCCAGACATAAAACAAGTTCAGTAAAATGTATGTAACAAAGATTTATGTAACAGGGTAAGAAAATGGCAGATGGCTTACTGGAACTGAGCCTTAATTATCTTTTGATTATGGGAATATGTATTTCCCAATGCTGTGTGTTTATGAGCAATTATATAGGGAAATCTGGACAGTTCGTTTGTAACTCTTGACTTTTTCTTTTAGATGAATTAAGATATTTTCTCAAACACCAAATGCTCATTTTAACAACTCATATAAAACTGCATTTTAGAAATTAAATTGAACAATAAATTTATATTTCCAAGGGAAGCATTTTTATTAGAACTCATACGTTCAGCAAATCCTGCTTTGGTAGGAGAATTTCTGATGACTGTTTTTCTGCCATATAATCTACCAGTCTTAAAGTAGTGTTTCAGTATTCAGGCCAAATGTGTTTAAAGGACAGACATAACCTCGGGTTTGTATAATGTGTTTGTCCATTTTGATATTTAGACTTCTAGGAGTGAAGTTCTTTAAGGAAAAGTAGCTGAAAGTTTGATAGATCATTTCCACTGTTACTTATTTATTTAACTGCAGTGAAATTTCACTGAACTGTTGGCAGATCACACCACTGAAAGATAAAATAACTGATGTGAGATAAATATTAGTGTTGCCATAGCATCATATTTTTTGTTATGAGAGTAACTCTTTAGTTTTTCCAAGTTCTATGCTGCAAATTCAATAACAGGGATTACTAACCATCCGCATCTTTTAAAAATCAAAATCATTGGTGCAGAATATTTCCTAAGAGTTTAGAAGCTTGAACCAAGGATCTCTGACACTTTCAGACACAAGAACATAGCAATTACTGTACCTGTTTAGACATATGATTTTAGGGAAAGTTTCCTCTTAACCTTTATCGCAGGCTAGCTTATATTCTGAAACTCCCATTTCTATCCCTTTTCTATTTGTTTTTTCAACAAAATTGAAACTTCAGTGAGTAAAAGATTCAGGGTCCAGTTCTGCAAGCCTTATTTATATTGAGTGGTATTTACAAGCATAATCCCATGAACTCAAGAGTGGGATTTTGTAGCACTTCTCAATGTGAATAAAGGTTGAAGAAACAGTCCTTCAAGGTTTACAACAGAGGACACAGTATATGAATATATTCTGGTAGTTTAAAAAGTCTTCCTTATATGGAGAAAATGAATCATGGTGTGATTCTACCAGTGGGATGCCTTTTTACTGTTTGCTCTTATACCATTTCGTCTCAGGATTATTTTCCTCCATTATACAGCCTGTTGGCATATAAATCACTGAAAATGCACTGAATTCAGTAATTAGTAATTTGACACCTGCTAGTCCTCCCTTACTTAAAATCAGACAGGTTTAAACTTTCAAAAAGTGTAAAACTTTCAAAAAAGTGACCTGAAAGAAAGTCTACTAAAATGAACATCCAAAATGTCACTCCATCTGAGGAATTTATCTTCATATTCTGATATTTCTCATTTTGTATTTTTAAAACTTGTGCGTGTGTGTGTTTGAAAGGATGGAGTAGAGCTTTCTGAAGTTGTTTTTCAAAAAAAAAAACCAGTCATCATTCAGTACAAGCCAAATATGCAGAAAGGATCCTGATTGTGGTATGGCTGCAAGAGGCTGTTGCGTGGGCTGTTTCCATTATTCTACAAAGACATAATTCCTTACAAAGTATCTACCATGTGGCACAGAACCGTTTAAATAGAAAATATAGCTATAGCAAGATGAAATTAAAGTTCTAAAAACCTCTTTATTAGGAAGGGCTAAAGACTTTGGCTTCTCTGTAGTGAAAACTATTAAGGTAACTGGACCATTATTCAAAATTCTCAGAAGGTTAGATAACCATCAAATAAATCCTCATAGCTAAAAACCTATTAAACTTACTTTTAAAGGCGCATTGTTAAGGATGGGAAACTGAAATGATCTATTTTTATATATATATATGCGCAAGGAACATATAATTCTGTCTCTCTACCCTGTTCCCTGAAATAACTTTAAGTGCCTTTATTTTAAAAAATTACAAATAGTTCAAGCACTCTCACAAAACAACCCTATATAAAAAAATATATACATGATGGAGAAACATGTTTCTAGTAAGGTGACAACTTTCGGGCTTCTAAGGGGCTATAGAAACAACAGTAAAAAAAATGCTGAGAAATTTCTTGAAGCACTAACTATATAAAGCATGTGCCATTGTAACTGTAATATGATTTTTGTTTCTTCTCGTATTGAGATGCATCACTGTCTTTTTTGCTTTTAAAACTTCAATTTATTTTGTAGGTTGCAAACAGAATGGTACTAAGCTTGGAGATGTGATACTTCCCCCATGGGCAAAGGGAGATCCTCGTGAATTTATTAGAGTTCATCGGGAGGTAATAAACATTTTAATAATGTAAAAAGCACAGAAAGTTTATTTGGACTTAAATACCAGTCTAGGGAGCTCAATGCATCCTTTGTCATCACTTTTCTATTCGATGTGCATCTTGGGGAGGTACCCTGTTATGCTGATGGACTAAAGAACCAATGGTCCTCCATTTGCTCTTGGTATCCGTATTGGCTGAGGCAGCTAATAAGGTGCTATTATACTGCTTTTTCTTTAAACATATCAAAAACTTTGTGTAATTTCATCCATCACAGTCAGATAATAGACTCAGTCAGTGACTATCTGCTCAGTTTAATGCATACATTTTGAATTACAGGCTTTGGAATGTGATTTTGTGAGCGCACATCTGCATGAATGGATTGACTTAATCTTTGGTTATAAACAGCAAGGCCCTGCTGCAGTAGAAGCTGTAAATGTCTTCCATCATCTCTTTTATGAGGGGCAAGTGGATATCTACAACATAAATGACCCATTAAAAGAGACAGCTACCATAGGATTCATTAATAACTTTGGCCAGATACCCAAACAGGTAAGGATGTTCTTTAACCTATTGTAACTATATGCCAGAAAATATTCAACTCCAAGCATTTCCAAACGCTTTCATATAAAAAGGCAATTCCAATAAAAACATATATGGTATTTAAGTTTCTAATATGCATTTCTGTTCTTTGTCTGGAACTTAAGTTCAAGTTTTGTGGTTGTAAATACATTTGCAGAAATACAGACTCATTTACAGGTGAATCCATTCTCAAGCCGTTACATGCATCTAACATAAACTTTGGGTTTTGTCAGTAAGACTTGAGATTTCTCCCTTTTTCCTCATGCTCCAAAAGTAGAGGCAAGAGCTTATGGAGGAGCTTAAAAAAACAACAAATCATCAGAGAGCCAGTGTGTTACTGCAAAAGGGTAGTGCAGTATAAATTCTTCCCTGGCTTTTTGCTATGTGATAGAATACAGTTGCAACGTAGTGCACAGGAAGTTTAATTGTACAAGTTGTCTTGTAGCAAAATTAGGTAGGGATACATCACGTCCCTTTTTCTTTTTAACGTGGTTGCTTAGTTTTCTTTGGCATCTTCTCAGTCCCAGAAGCTGGGAATGGGCAACGGGATGGATCACTTGATGATTACCTGTTCTGTTCATTCCCTCTGGGGCACCTGGTATTGGCCACTGTCGAAGACAGGATACTGGGCTAGATGGACCTTTAGTCTGACCCAGGATGGCCGTTCTTATGTTCTTCTTCTTTGTACTGTAGCTGTTGAAAATAAATTATTAAATAATTGCTTTAAGAACATTGGTTCTGGCAGGGCTGGCATAAGTCACTAGCTAGAATTGAACTGGCAGAATTTAGAGGCAACCTTTAAAAACAAAAAGGATTGAAGCTTTGAAGGGTGGTGAAATTCTCTTTGAAAGGTCATTGTAAATTATTAAATACTTAAAAGCAAAGTTTATTGTATTTCCCTTGGATAAAGGAGTTTGGGTTTACCAATAGGTACAATAAGTACCCCCTGAAAAGTTTCCTTTTGCTTTGTTACCATTAGGTGAGTTATTATTGATATCCGCAGGTATTTCCCATGCTTGGACTGGGGAATATACAAGTACTTTTAATACCCTTCCCAAAGGTGGCAGAGGAATAGTGTAGGTTGCATCAGTCTGTTATATTTCAAAATCAGAAGTGCAGCAAACCCAACTGTCAGTATAGCAAAAATATATAGAAAACCAGTGAGGGGAAATTCCTCAATATTTAGAGTTTGGATAAGCATCCTAAAATGTGGATGCTAGTCTGGAACTTTGGATGGTCCCCACTAGACCAGGGGTGGGCAAATTTTTTGGCCTGAGGGCCATATCTGGGTATGGAAATTGTATGGCGGGCCATGAATGCTCATGGTTCTTGGCCAATGGGAGCTGCGGGGGTGGCGCTTGGAGCAGGGGCAGCGTGCGGAGCCCCTTGGCTCCCCCTACGCATAGGAGCTAGAGGGGGAACATGTCACGGCTTCCGGGAGCCGCGCGGAGTCATGGCATGTGCCGAGCAGGGCAAGCCCCTGACCCCACTCCCCCCCAGGAGCTCGAGGGCCGGATTAAAATGTCTGAAGGGCCGGATGCGGCCCTCGTGCCATAGTTTGCCCAACCCTTCACTAGACCCCGTGCCTATTCCTCATATAATTGCCCCACTCCAGATAGGTCCTAATTGCCCTATTTTTTTCTTCTTGAAAAAATGGCTAATGAACTGCTAACCCAGTCTTTGTTCTTGAATCTTCCTCCAACATCTCTCCCTCACCTAGCTCTCATTGTTGGTTTTATATGTATTTTTGCTGTACTGATAGTGGGGCTTTTTCCTCTTATGTTTACCATCATCATGCTAGTGCTATATGTGGGACCAAAGAAGTAAGATTTAATAGATTTAGTTTAAGTCTGGTAGGAGAGAGATTTTTAAGAAGAGTCTTAAAATTTTATTGGATTTGAGGCCCTGATGTTAAGATGTCTATAATTAACAATTTATTAAATTTACAAGAAAGTACACACCGATGTGCTGCAGGGGCTGGCAGCCTCAAAAGCCCCCCAACTTTCTTGGTAAATTATCCTGGAAAGAATTACTGAACAGGTGGTGGCTGTGTAGTGACTGAAATGAAACAAAGCCAATATGAAAATAGTTTGCTCTCTCCTTTTCAGTATAATTTTAAAAGAAATTATGGCCATAAGGGAGGTTACAAGACATTTCTAAATAAAATGTTTATTATGTGAAAGTACATACATACGTAGCATATATATAGTACCCACTATCAGAGAAATGGAGTATTTATATTGACTTTATATTTTGGTGAACATGGAGCATTTATGTCTTCACCTCTGATGGGCCATTTCCAACCACAGTCCAATTGCTTAATGTTGCTCAAGAGATCAGTGTTGACACGGAAGGTGGTAAACTTTGGAAAATTACTGACTCATCATCACACGATTGGCTGAGAACAATCATGAGGCAGAATCTGATTCTTCTGTGTCATCTGTAATCAACTCCTCCCTGCCCACTCAGACTTTTTTCTACCCTTTGATTGTCTGTGTTATTCCAACAACGTGGCCTGGTCTTTGTGGGATATATTTATGTAGTTTAACTTTGAAAAAGTACCAGTTTGTAGTTCAGATTATAATAAATGTAGTAATATTCATAGATCTAAATTCATTTATCTAGCTTCCCTTCACAAAATTGCCCTCTGCTATTAGCTAGCAGTTTAGAGGTGGTCCTTAATCCAATGATACGTTGTTCCTACCCATTGAAACATGCACTTTTAAACTGGATATACCTTGGCCGACAGGGTTCAAAAGCTCAATCTTTATAGTAAGATATAGCTGTCTTACATACAAAGAACATACGTTCCAGAACACAGACCGCACTATAGAGGGAGCTGATTTTAATAACCTCAACAACAGAGAATTTTGCTCATTCATTCTGCATACTTTAAATGTAAAAATCCAACAATAGCAGTAAGTGAAAGGATGGAGAATAACTTATTTTTGCCCTGGATTTTTCAGCAGAGACTTCTGAAAACTAGATGCATTCTTCAATATCTGTTACTTGTATATTTATCATACTGATAGCAATATTATGATACTGCTGCATCAGCAGTTTGTTACAAAGCCAAAAGGAAGTTCTCTTTTTGTCTGAAATAAGAATGTAAAATCACTTTAAACAGCAACGTGGCTATTTTAATTGTTTTCTAAAAAGGAAAATCGCTCATTGCATTCTAGTTTGGGTCTGTATTTTTCTTGAATATTTAACAAAAACATTTATATAACATAAGAGGAACTTTATGTACATTTGCTAATTTATAGAATTTTTTTACAGTAAATCTGATACTGTTGGTAAACTTAAAGTCTTCACTGATGAGAATCTATAATCTTGTCACTAACTCGTGTTTTATTTCCTAACCCACATATTGCAGCTATTTAAAAAACCACACCCACCAAAGCGAGTTAGAAGCCGAATCAATGGAGAGGCAGTTGGAATGTCTGTCCCCCCAGGTTTCACAAGTGACAAGATCTTTTTTCATCATTTAGACAACCTGAGGCCTTCCCTTGCACCTGTAAAAGGTAAAACTCACCACAGTACTTACTCTTGGTCTCTTGCTAGAGTGTTCATAGTTCTTGCTAAATAAATGTTCCTTTTTCTGATTTTTCTTACCATTTGGGTTTCATACTCCACTAGAGCTCCAGATTTAACACTTCAATCCTCTAAGATTCCGAGAGGCCCCAATTCCACTTGCCTTAGGCCTTGTCTATGCAAGAAAGTTGTACCAATTTTAACTAAATTTAACTGTTTCATGGACAAGGCCTGAAGGGAAAAGAATGAGCCTTAAGCCACATCCTAAAAGTTAACACCTTGTGTTTAATTTCAACAAACTGTCTGAAACCATCAAGGGAAGCAAATTCCAGAGCTGAGAACCTGCTACTGAGGTGCCCCGCCTACAACCTAAAATGTTTAAATCTAGCGAGTGCCCCACGTAATCTCAGTTTTTGTGTGTTACCATGGGAGAAAAGTACTTTCTCAAGACTTCCAAGGAACATTTTGGGTACTAGCAATAGCACACAGAAGCAATAGTGTCATGTCCAGCTCATGTCTGGCTTTAATTTTTTCAACCACGAGAAGATAGTAAAATTATCAAAATAGTTAATAACTCATTTTTAAATTTAATTGGGTTCGTACTGATGTGTTCTAAAATATTCATTAATAAATTATATTTAGCACGTATATCATGTTTTCCAGCTGAAGATATTAAACACTTTACAAACATTAACTCGCTGTGAGTTAGGTAAGGGATATTATAGTGATCACTTCATTCACGATTGAAAAGCTCCACCTCTGGGGTAGAAAAGGAACAGCTGTTTAACAGAGCACAGCAACATTATACTGTCACCTAAGAGAGCAAGTGAAGATTAGCCATCTCTATTTGAAAATGCTAGGCAGGCAGACTATAATTATCAAATTTGAAATGTGGCATATGAAATTATTTGGCTGGGATTTTAGAATCAATCTTTTTGATGTACAAAAAATATCATGTCCTCTTTAATGACCAGAAGTGTTCAGGCTCTTACTTCTATGTTTTGTCTGAAAGACCACATGTCCAGCAACCCAGTGTCCCTTACTGATTCAGAGGGAAGAGTGCCACCTATGGAAGTGCCAGTACCTAGGCATCCCTAGGAGATCTGTCCAAATACTGATAGTGTCTAGCTGTGCGAGTTGATAGGATTACAGCACAAGTGACATCATTACTGTTTAAACTGATATAAGATAAGCAGTGTGCGATTTCAGTTTCCTATGGTGCATCATGGTATTTGTACTGTGATCAGAGGGGGCTGTCACATAATTACAAACAATATTATACAGTGAGGCTTATGTAATGGTTGTGCTTTTGTGTGTTTGCAGTAACATAAAACACATTGTTGTTTGTTATTCAGAACTCAAGGAGCCTGTGGGACAGATAGTTTGCACAGATAAAGGAATTCTGGCAGTAGAGCAAAATAAGGTTCTCATTCCACCTACCTGGAATAAAACTTTTGCTTGGGGCTACGCGGACCTCAGCTGTAGACTGGGAACGTATGAGTCGGACAAGGTTTGTGATCTGAATTTTAAGTTTTCCTGATGTTCTAGTATGTGTTCTTTACTAAAATCTAACTCTGAAAATATATTGTACATACAAGGGAAAGAATTTTGTCTGTGCTGTATTTATGCTGAAGTCTTCACCTGAAGAATGATAGGAAAATCAAGTTTACCTATTGCTACTAAAAAGTTAATTTCCATAATACAATGATCAAGAACAAACTGCAGGGTTTCTACAGTAAATCTACAGTATCCGGTGTGGCACCATCTTGTGGCAGAAATTGGTGCTGAAGGTAGTAGAATGAAAACCCAAAGAAGAGAGAGACTTTCTCCTGAGTAAACTAGGGGCCAAAAATTGAAGATCAGACTCGCTTTTTATTGAATTCTTACTCAGGCAAATTCCCATTTACGGCAAGAAGAGTAATGTAACACTCTCTTGAGAAAACTGCAACCTGCTAAGGTTAGGCAGGTGGTGAGATGCAACTGATGCTCCTGATTGGCTTAAGAATTGTACACATCCTATTTTTTTGTTTCACTTGTTTCTTTCATACTCCTATTTTGTCTTGTCTTCTAGATTGTTAGCTCACTGGGGCAGCGACGGTTATTTCTTGTACATTAATGAGTACCTAGCATAATAGGCTTGATCTGGTAGCCTTGCCTGTTAAATGATATAGATGCAGGATTTGGCCCTGGCAAGGAACCTGATCCCTAAAATCCAGGTCAGGATCCAGATTTCTTAACGTTCAGGCGCATCTGATTGGCTCTTGTTCAGGCCTGTTTCGGCCAAAAACAACCCTTTTGTGTGCTGCTGGAGAAGTGGTTAGTATTGCCTGATAATGGCTACTAGTCTGGGAACTGCAGCAGGATGGGTGGGGAGTTGAGAGAAGGAAAACAACTGTTTTAACTGCAAGCGCCAGTGCTCATCGGGACCAAATATGTAATGTTCTCACTATATGCTTTGGCATTGTTTCCAATTTAATTGCATGATAAACATTTAGTATAGATTAATCTTAAATCCTAAACAGTTGTAAATTGTGTTTTGTTTGTTTCTTGGCATTCAAACTATGTAAAAAAAATTTTTTTAACTGAAGTTACTTTCATAAATTTCTTCTGACCCAACTTTTGAGTTCAGTTATCGGTGGAAAAAGATCAGTTAAATGACAGTGACTGTGCTGAAGTTTCCTTGAAAAGACTAATGCTAACAACAACAAACTTGCAAGACTAGATGTATGCCTTCTTCACTTTGTCTTTATTTTTTATTTTGTAGGCAGTGATTGTTTATGAATGTTTGTCAGAATGGGGACAGATACTGTGTGCAATCTGTCCAAACCCCAAACTGGTCATCACTGGAGGAATAAGCACGGTGGTTTGTGTGTGGGAGATGGGCACCTCCAAAGAAAAAGCTAAAACACTCACTCTGAAACAGGTAAAAAATAAATAAATAAAATCATGTTCCAAGGTCAGAGGAAGAAGGGAGGGGACTCAGTGGCTCCACATTGCAGTAGAACTTCCAACTGAACAGATTACCATTCTAGAGTCACTGATTAAAACCACTCTGGAGCTGAAACAGTAGCTTGCTTTAAAAAGAACCCCAAGCAAAAAGTGTTTTTTGGGGGGGGGTGAAAATATGAAGGTATTTTGTCACTGGAAAGTGTTCCTGTGGGCGGGGAGAGAACACTTTTCTGAACTACTGCATGGTGTGTAAGCACCAATTTTTTAACCTATTTGCACAAATAGCATCCAGCAACTTGCAAAATTCACAGATAGACTCTCCAATACCATTTGAATTGTCAGACCCCTTTTACTGAAATCTTTTACTCCTTCTCTTCAAAATTTGACATTTTCTACTTAACTGAAAATAATGGTTTTAGGGCAAAAACCTGGTAGTGCTGTGTTGGGGGAGCAGGGTGTATTTGCTTAGAAAAGTTTTATGATGTTTCTTGCTTTGTTGCCTCAGTACATTGCTTTTTGGATAACATACTTAGACTAAGCCAACTATCTCTAAGTTAGCATAAAATCTCCTGCACCACTGAATCAACTCCCAAGTGTTGTACAAATGGTATTTCATAGTTCTAGGTAACTCATCTTTATAACCAGGAGTGTTTCATGAGTTAGTACAATTTAACTAACTTGTGAGAACAAATACACAAGTTAGTTAAAATAACTTTCATTTGCTACTAGAGTATGGTGTGTTACACTCATTATCCAAAGCCATAGCCTGAGTGGCCATTTTACTACTTTGGTGATGACTGTGGTACACCAACTCCTAGCAGTGCACAGCTGGGATCCCTACAGGAAAAGATATTTCCTCTAGTCTCTGCTGCTTCAGGCTGGGCAATCTAGAGCACTAGAAAAGCTACCTTTTAAGTTAACTAAAAACCTGAATCAAGAGCTGTTCTAGGGCTCTTGTTTGGATAACAGTAAGATGTAAAGGCAGGAGTGTTTTCAGAGGAGAAAATTACTCTTCTGATCTTCCCCTGCTTCCATTTTGCCAGCTGCTTTTTCAGTCACAGTTTATGGCCCAAAGTTCCTTTTTAACTAATTTTCTATTATAATAATTAAATAGGGAGCTATCTAATATTCACAGTTGAGCTATATTATAGGAAATTTTAAATGGCCACTGGAACATACACTGATACTGAAAATAGACAGCTGAGATCCTGGTATGGGCTTGGAGGAAGCAGAAGGGGTCAAACTTCTTTAAAATAATAAAACGAGGGGAGAGAAATGTGTTTAACTTTCCCTGGAGTTTTCTTGTGTGTGTCTGTTAGGAACTGTGTTTCAATTGTGGAAGGCTATTTCACAAAACCTCTATAAACTGAATAGGGTGTGCGTTCGTTTTTTAAATGAATGAGCTCATACTGTGTACATGTCATATATGTATGTGCAATCAACTGCGCCCTGTTGAGTATTACTAGATTATTGGTGCAGTTCTCAGGTGAACCACACCCTCAAGGTGTGTGCTAGTAGCCTAATAATGTGTCTTGTTATGAGTCTGTACTAAAGGCAGTTATGCAAGAAACTGAATAAAATAGTCAGAATGTTATAGTTGACAATTTGCAGTATACTGTAAAACCCTTCTTTTTTAAATACTCCTATTATCTGAAATCCATTTATATCTTAAACATGTATCATTTGCTTTTTGAAAGTCCCAGTTTATCTAAATAAATTCTCCATTCCATTTGCATGAATTGATGTACTGTAGTGAATTTCTGTCCTGTGCCTCATAGATTCCAAAGCCAGAAGGGACCATGGTGATCATCTAGTCTGACCTCCTGTTTAACACAGGCCATAGAAATTCCCCAAAATAATCCCTAGAGCAGATCTTTTAGAAAAACATCCAATCTTGATTTTTAAATTGTCAGTGATTTTTGTTTGGTTTTGTTCTTAGGCATTGCTTGGTCATACTGATACTGTCACATGCTCAACAGCATCACTAGCTTATCACATAATTGTGAGTGGATCACGTGACCGTACCTGCATCATATGGGATTTGAACAAATTATCATTTCTAACACAGCTCCGAGGTCACAGGGCTCCAGTTTCAGCACTTTGTATAAATGAATTAACGGTAAGAACCAATACACTGCATGATGTATGTTCAGAAACTTAAACATTCGTATCATAACTAAGGGTATGTCTACACTACGAGAGTAGTTCGATTTTAGTTAAATCGAATATGTGCAATCGATATTAGAAAGTCGAACGTGTGTGTCCACACTAAGGACAGTAATTCGACTTTGTCAGTCCACACTACCAGGGAAAGCGTCGACATTGGAAGCAGTGCACTGTGGGCAGCTATCCCACAGTTCCCGCAGTCCCCGCTGCCCATTGGAATTCTGGGTCGAGCCCCCAATGCCTTCTGGGTAAAAAAATGTGGCGAGGGTGCTTTTGGGTAACTGTCGTCATCCGTCAGTCACTACCGCCCTCCCTCCCTCCCTGAAAGCGCCGGCGGGAAATCAGTTCGCGCACTTTTAGATCAGTGACAGCGCGGACGCCACAGCACTGCGATCATGGATCCCGCTGCGACCATCGCTGCAGTTGTGGCCGTTCTCAACGCCTCGCAGCTTATCATACACCTTTCCCAGAGGCAGATGCAGAGAAATCAGGCGAGGAGGCTACGGCACCGCCGTGAGGGCCTGAAGTCGGAGAGTAGCACAGAGCTGTCATAAACCACGAGCCCCAGCGCCCAGGACATCACGGTGGCAATGGGGCATGTGGATTTTGTTGAACGGCGATTCTGGGCCCGGGAAACAAGCACGGACTGGTGGGACCGCATAGTGCTTCAGGTCTGGGATGAATCCCAGTGGCTGCGAAACTTTCGCATGCGGAAGGGGACTTTCCTTGAACTTTGTGACTTGCTGTCCCCTGCCCTGAAGCGCAAGGACACCCGCATGCGAGCAGCCCTGACTGTCCAGAAGCGAGTGGCCATAGCCCTCTGGAAGCTTGCAACGCCGGACAGCTACCGGTCAGTCGCGAACCACTTTGGCGTGGGCAAATCTACCGTGGGGGTTGTTGTCCTGCAAGTAGCCAAGGCAATCGTCAAGGTACTGCTGTCAAAGGTAGTGACCCTGGGAAACGCGCAGGCCATCATAGATGGCTTCGCCGCGATGGGATTCCCAAACTGCGGTGGGGCTATAGATGGGACTCAAATCCCTATCCTGGGACCGGGCCACCACGCCAGCCAGTACATCAACCGAAAGGGCTACTTTTCAATGGTGCTGCAAGCACTGGTGGACCATCGGGGACGGTTTACAAACATCTACGTCGGATGGCCGGGCAAGGTTCATGACGCTCGCGTGTTCAGGAACTCTGGTCTGTTTAGACGGCTGCAGGAAGGTATTTACTTCCCGGACCACAAGATAACTGTTGGGGATGTGGAGATGCCTACAGTGATCCTCGGGGACCCAGCCTACCCGCTAATGCCCTGGCTCATGAAGCCCTATACTGGCGCCCTGGACACTGAAAAAGAACTCTTCAACTACCGGCTGAGCAAGTGCAGAATGGTGGTGGAGTGTGCTTTTGGCCGTCTCAAGGGGAGATGGAGAAGCTTACTGACTCGCTGTGATCTCAGCGAAACCAATATCCCCATCGTTATTGCAGCTTGCTGTGTGCTCCACAGTCTGTGTGAGAGCAAGGGGGAGACCTTTATGGCGGGGTGGGAGGTTGAGGCAAATAGCCTGGCTGCTGATTACGCCCAGCCAGACAGCCGGGCGATTAGAAGAGCCCAGCGGGACGCGCTGTGCATCCGGGAGGCTTTGAAAGCCAGTTTCAAGGCTGAGCAGGGTACCCAGTGACTTTTAAGTTTGTGGACACAGAAGCAGAACTTGCCCCCGTTTCTTTACCCAGTTGCCGTCGACTATCCTCTCCAATCACATACCCCCTTCACCCCCTTCCCAAAAAATAAAATCTGTTCTGTTTTGTTAATGGACACCATTGTCTTTATTACTGTTTTCGCGGGAATGTTTTAAACCTGGGACGCAGACTGTGGCGGGGGGCGGGTTTAGTGTTGTGATGCAAATGATGCTTCTAAACTCCAGGAATGACAGGCTCCGCGGTGGTGGACTGGTTGTTTCAACGGAGCCTGCCAGCCCTCCTGGCCGGGACTGCGTGTATGTGTCGGCTATGTGACTGTCTTGCAGGGGGAGGAGGGTTACAGATCCCCTGCTGCGCGGCTCTGTGATCCAGGGTAAGGACCGCTGCATAAGATCTGTAACTGCCCTCCCACGCCACCAAGTCACAGAGCAACACCACCCCCCCCACCACACAGAACATGAAAACCACCTCCCAGACTGACCAGGATAACTAGTCACTGCACTGTATATGTGCCCTGCTGCTGCACCTGCCCCCTGCTAAAGGTGACTGTCCTGTCCAATGACCAAGCCCCTTCCCCCTCCTTCAGACAGACTCCCCTCCAAAAGAAGAGGATGGAAACAGAAATGAACAGAAACGTATTCTTTATTAACAACCGCACATGGAACGGGGGGGTGAAACTTGGACGGGGTCTTGTGTGAGGCGGGTAGGAAAGGACTTTTCAAATTTTGGGGAATGAGAGCCTTCTAGTGGTAGAGCAGTCCGCAGGGGTGGAGTGAAATTTTTCACGGCCCCTTCCACCCCTCCGTGTTTGGACTTTGGGTGAGGGGGGTATGGGACTTGGTGGCGGGGCAGGGCAGTTACAGAGAGACTGCAGCGGGGCTCTCTCCTCCTGCCTCCGGTCCTGCAGAACATCCACAAGGCGGCGGAGCGTGTCCGTTTGCTCCTTCATTAGTCCAAGCAGCGTTTGAGTAGCCTGCCTGTCCTCCTGTCGCCACCTCTCCTCCCGTTCAATGTTTGCCCGGTGCATTTGGGACAAGTTCTCCCTCCACTGTGTCTGCTGGGCTGCCTGTGCTCGGGAGCATGCCATTAGTTCAGCAAACATGTCTTCCCGTGTCCTCTTCTTCCTCCTCCTAATGTGCGCTAGCCTCTGGGCAGATGTGGCTGTGGGAATTGGAAAAAGGGAGTGAATTCCTGAGACAGATCAATGTATCTGTGAACAGAGAACATAGTCTTTCTCTGTGAACAAGACCATGCAGAGCACCTATCACACGCGCACTGAGGACAAGGTCGAATTTTCGGCCCTCGCCTACCGTACCTGCGGTCTTGCTGTGGCGAGCTGAGGAGCAGGGCAGGACACCGGACTTTGTCTAGATGGCAAACATGGTAAGCCGTAGACTTGTGGCTGCTTAAAACTTTAAGAGTGGCACTGGCCTCCTTTCGCATAGAAAGCAATGCGAGTCTCTGCTGGCAGCAATCCTGCAAGCATGAACTCTGCCCCTGTCCCAGCCCCTCGCGGCTGTAAACCGCGTGGCTGTAAACCGGCGGTTGCAGTTCTGTAAAGGGACGGGCAAGCTGTCCCAATACTAACTTTCCCCTACCTAATTCACAGCAGGGAGTCATGCCAGACATCACCCTCCTGAAGGTCTCTGCGAGCCAGAAGGAGCGGATGCTTCGTGACAGCTTGCAGAAACCGGGGCCATTTGCTGCGCTGCTCTGCAAGGCCATGATCCCGGAGTACCTGCTGGCGTTGTGGCAGGGAAACGTGTTCTACCACGGGGGGCCTAATAAGCTCTCCCTGCCCAGGAACCTGCTGATGAGGCTGGAAAAACACCTGCAGGAGGTGTATGAGGAGTTCTCCCCGGAGGATGTCGCCTCTATCCCCGGTTACATTGACCAGTTCTTGGCTTAGGTGCCCTTGGAGGGACAAATGACTGCAGGGTTTTGGGCACTATAATCATGAAGCGGACATTGTGCAATTTTTTGAAAATGGTTCGGACTATATATTGAGGCGCCCAAAGACAGACTAATCATGACACACTTTGCACTGATTCCCCTTTTGTTTGACTTTCCTGTTTACATGTTTTGAAGCACTTTACCCACTGTTAATATTTTCAATCTTCCTGTTTTGTTGCAAATAAATGTTTACATGTTTTAAAGCACTTTAGCTACTGTTAATATTTTAAATATGCCAGTTATGTTGTAAATAAATGTTTGGATATTTAAAACACTTACTGCTTGATCCTTCCCCTGAATCTGTGTCTGGGGTAACGGCTGGGGAGGGTTGGTAGGGGATCTCTGTGAGGGTGATGAAGAGCTCCTGGCTGTCGGGCAAATCAGCGTTGTAAGCGCTGTCTACTGCTTCGTCCTCCTCATCTCCTTCCTCCTCTTCCCCGTCCGCTGAGGAACCGGCCGCGGACAATATCCCATCCTCAGAGTCCACGGTCAGGGGTGGGGTAGTGGTGGCGGCCGCACCTAGGATGGAATGCAGTGCCTCGTAGAAACGGGATGTGTGGGGCTGGGATCCGGAGCGTCCGTTTGCCTCTTTGGTCTTCTGGTAGCCTTGTCTCAGCTCCTTGATTTTCACGCGGCACTGCGTTGCATCCCGGCTGTAGCCTCTCTCTGCCATGGCTTTAGAGATCTTCTCATAGGTCTTTGCATTCCGTCTTTTGGAGCGCAGCTCGGAAAGCACGGACTCATCTCCCCACACAGCGATGAGATCCAAGACTTCCCGATCCGTCCATGCTGGGGCCCTCTTTCTATTGGATTGCACGGCCATCTCTGCTGGAGAGCTCTGCATCGTTGCCACTGCTGCCACTGCTGCTGAGCTCGCCACGGTGTCCAAACAGAAACTGCGCTTCAAACTGCCCAGACAGGAAAAGGAATTCAAATTTTCCCGGGGTGTGGCTGGTCAGAGCATCCGAGCTCGGACTGCTGTCCAGAGCGTCAACAGAGTGGTGCACTGTGGGATAGCTCCCGGAGCTATTAGCGTCGATTTCCATCCACACCTAGCCTAATTCGATATGGCCATTTCGAATTTAGCGCTACTCCTCTCGTTGGGGAGGATTACAGAAATCGATTTAAAGAGAGCTCTATGTCGAACTAAATGGCTTCCTGGTGTGGACGGGTGCAGGGTTAATTCGATATAACGGCGCTAAATTCGACATAAAAGCCTAGTGTAGACCAGGCCTAAGACTTTCCTAAACTGTTTTTCTGACAAGATAACAAAAGGCTTTTTCATGCAGGTCAATCCAATTTCTTTTTTAATTGATTTTATTTGAATGTGTGCACACAAGAGTTCGAAAACATGTACATATCTACAGCATTGTTGATTTAAGTCCTTTTTATACTGTTACATATTTTAAGCAGAACCATATATTGTTCAAACAAAAGGAAAGCATAAAACTCTTCAGCGGCTTTGGGGATATTTGTACAACTTACTCCCAAAAGCCATGTAACTGGCTGCTTCCAAACCACCTAATGAAATTTGGACCCTAGTGAAAATGTGAAATGCTTGTTGAGCAGTGTAGTCCAAAAGAGGAATACTCATGCAGTGAAGGGAGTCCATTCAATCATAAAGAAAGGGCAACATATCATAAAATCCTATAGTATTGAAATAGCAACTACCATGACCTATCCCTCTGCATGATGTAGTAGTGAAGATTGCTCTGTTACAAGCATCAACCCTGAGATACTAAGGGCCTGTCTTCACTGCAGTGTTAGCTTGGGGTATAACTCGAGTGTTGCTCCTAACCTGATTCCTGTCCCCACACACATATCTTTATTTGGAGTTTAGTGCTAGGGTAACGCAAGGTAATTTAGAGGGAAACAAGCCTGAACTCCTTTTTAAGCAAGATAACAAGTGAGGGTTAATGTAGTATAAAGCTGCAAGCCAGAAAAGGAAGCCCCATAGGTTGGGACATGTAAAACTAGACTGGACAAGGTACTGAACATGTATTGATGTGAATAGTCCTGTCATGAAAGATGTTGGGCTCAAGATCAAATCAACTTACATTACCTACATACCATAGGTCTCCGTGAGGTTTGTATTTCTCTGACATAGGGAGCCGAACTTTAGGCATCCATTTTTGAAAACCTAAGCCTGTATTTAAGTACCTAAATAAGAGGCCTGCTAGGTGCTCAACATTTCAGAAAATCAGGATACCTCTTCAAATGTCTAAATATGGATTAGGAGTCTAAACTTTAAGCACCCATTAAAAAAAAATCTTATCCTATGTTTCTGCTCAAATGAAGTATCTTTGTAAATGCCCAAAATCCCGAGTGAAATTTAAAGGATTTGGGTTTTGTTCCCTTTGTCAGGGTGATATTGTGTCATGTGCTGGCACTTACATCCACGTGTGGAGTATTAATGGAAACCCTGTTGTGAGCGTGAACACTTTCACTGGGCGGAGCCAGCAAATCCTATGCTGCTGCGTGTCTGAGATGAACGAGTGGGATACACAGAACGTCATAGTGACAGGACATTCAGACGGAGTGGTCCGAGTAAGTAGCAGGAGTCTCTGCTTAGGTACTCGCACTAGGGGTCATCCAGGGATTTAAAATAACATTGAAGTTGCAGAGAAAGTATAGATGTAAACTGCAGAGAGACACAGCCCTTTCTGGACCGACAGGCTGTAGCACGCTGTTTTTTTTTCCTTCTGCTTTTTGATGCGTGTGTGGTGATGTGATAATTGACAGCTATCAGTGTCTGTGTTTTTAAATTTTAACTCCTTTCCAGTCTGTTTTGGTTACTGCTGAACTACTTTTCTGCCTGAAGACTAAGGAGCTCATTCCCTAATTTTTTTTTGCAAGACTTCAGTGGGCCAGTTTTTCTTGCAGAAGGAGAGAGCTAGTAGCAGCTCTGTATCTCCACTTGCAACACTCCTGTTCTGTTGCAATCCCTAAGCAGAGACTTGCTCATGTCAAATTGCCATAGGTGGTGACTTTTTCATGAAAACTGGGCTGATGCTGCAGAGTTCATTCATTTGTGATCCAGGTTTGATTTCCAAAGGTGGGAACCCATTGTGGTACCTACCCCCTAAAAAGTGGATTTATAGTGTAAATGGTGATGGGCAATGTGGATATTCTGCTCTTATACTGTGACTTAGTTCATAAAGTATTTTATAGGCAGCCTATAAAGATATAAATGTTTTATCTTATGCTTCTCTTCCTCTGTCTCCCCCTCCCACACCAAAGTTCTGGCGGATGGAATTTTTGCAAGTACCTGAAACACCAGCTCCGGAGCCTGTGGAGATCCTGGAAATGCAAGAGGATTGTCCAGAAGCACAAATAGGTGTTTTGCTTTTGTTTTGTTTAATTGTCTCAGTACTTCGGTAAAATACTATAGCTGTAAAACACAGGAATGGTGATACACATTTTAGACCATGGTACAGCACACATTTTGTGTCTACTAACAGAGAGAGGACTTGATTCTCCTTTCACACCTGTGTAATTCCACTGACTTCAACGGTTACTCCTGTTTTATACATGGGATAATACAGGGGTGGCCAACCTGAACCTGAGAAGGAGCCATAACTTACCAATGTACATTTCCAAAGAGCCACAGTAATAGGTCAGCAGCCCCCCCATCCCTCCCCACACCGCCCGATCAGCTGTTTTGTGGCATGCAGGAGGCTCTGGGGGGGGGGAGGGGGAGGAGCAAGGGCACAGCAGGCTCAGGGGAGGGGGCAGGAAGAGGTGGAGTGGGGGCAGAGCCAGGGGTTGAATAGTGAGCACCCCCCGGCACATTGGAAAGTTGGCGCCTGTAGCTCCAGCCCCAGAGTCGGTGCCTATACAAGGAACCGCATATTAACCTCTGAAGAGCCGCATGTGGCCATCCTGGGTTAATATAAAAAATCCAGCTCATATTATCTGATCCCTTTGTGCAGTTTCCACTGTTAACGGTGGATGTATTAAAAAAACCCAATAACAGTTAATCATTTCCTTCCCTATAAACAGGAACATAAGATACCTGAGCCAAAACCTATTCATAGAGCATACTTTTTTTTTTTTAAGAAAGCAGAGTTACACTACTGGGAGCAGATACTATTCTTGTCTTCACAAATAATTCAGTGCACACTAACTAGGGCCATTTTCTTGATGGCTATCTTTTCATCTTCATATTCAAAATAAATGTTAGATTAAGATGTCTTGTGAGATCAAATGTAAGTACCCCCTGCGTAAAAGTAACTAAAGTCTCTAACTGGAGGTACTCTAAGGGACATTTGAATAAATCTGAATTTAAAGTAATTGTCAGAGTTGTTTAATAAACTGAACTTTTCACCTGCCAGGACTTTATCATATCCACATGCATTTTCCATTAACCCCTCACCCTAATTATACAACAGTTCCTAGCATTCACTGTAAAAAATGCTACAAACATAGCCCATTGAAATAAGAGTAGGCAGCTGGGAGCTTAGACATGGGGTTTTTTTTAATACTGATTTTAAAACTTTAGTTCACCTTTAATAGTCATTCTAATCTCGGTAGTTCTGGATCATGCCAGCTGTAAACTACTGAAATTATCGCTCCTGTTTCTTTTTCCATCAAGCATTATGTGGTATGTACATGTAAAATAATGAATTTTTTAAATACAGGATTTAGAACTGTAAAATTCAGGGTTGGGGTGGTGCATGTTCCGGTAAGTGGTTCCTGCTTTTATGCTACAATGATAGGATGGGAAAATAAATTCTTATCACACACAAGAGACTCACAAAAGAGTTATAAAGGATGATGATGATACTGAAAGAGCAATGTCTTCCCTGACACAGCTTGCAACCCTGCAGCCTCAGTTTGGCTGAATTAGATTTGGAAGAGCGTAACTAAGTTTTAGATCTTGGGGTAGAAATCCAGGGAAAGAGATGAGTGGAATTTTCAAAATCACTTCAGTGATTTAGGAGCACAAATACCATTGGAAGTCAATTAAGCATTTTTGAAAATCCGATCCAGTATCTCTCGAGAAGTGGTATTTCCAGGCAATTAGCAGAGTGTAGGTAATCTTGTAGTTTTATGGGGTGAATATTCAGTGGGACACAGATTAGCTGTGTGATAGCCACTGATATGGGTCACATATAGCTAGAACCCTGCACTGCTTTGATGATATACCTGTCTGTGATTACAGGAATGACTCCAGTTACACCCACTAGGTTCTTCTGTAGATGTTGCAGCAATGCAACTTTATAAAAGAATGAGATCTAAATACTTCTGTTGTGCTAACTTTTTCTATTCTCTTGTGCCATATAAAATAGGGCAGGAAGCCCAGGATGAGGACAGCAGTGACTCTGAAGCAGATGATCAGTGTATCAGTCAGGACACTAAACCACGGGAGAGCCAGAGTCAACCAAACAGCACCAGCCACAGGCCTGTACCATCATCATCCAGGGCGACAGCAGCATGGTCAGCAGACAGTGGCTCCGATGACTCTAGACGTTGGTCAGACCAGCTCAGCTTGGATGAGAAAGATGGCTTTATCTTTGTGAACTATTCTGAGGGGCAAACTAAAGTGCATCCCCATGCTCAGGTTAACCACCCAAACCCAAACCATGTAGAAGTACGGCACTACAGCAAACTTAAACCAGGTACATGAAATGAGAATCCCATTCTCCCTTATTTAACTCTGTGTTGTAAACAATGCGCCTTAAGGCTGTATGCTTCTGTTCCTGCTGCATTAGGCACTCTGAGTTAAAGCATGAAAGTTTTGCAGACAGAAGCCCTGAATTTTCTTTTCTGGTTAGTTAGTCATAACTCAAAAATTGACAGTAAAGGGTGTCACTTGTGCATTAAGGTGCATGTTATTTCAGCTCTTCATGCAAAGCAGTGTTTCCCAAATTTTTGAAGACTTGAGTCCATCTTACAGAAAAAGTGAAATCAGTCATGGCTCTGCCCTGTGGTGCTAAAAGCCTACCTGGGTATTTTAATTCATACCTCCTCTGTGTCAGTGTCCTTTCTTTGGCTAGACCTTTGCATCTCCTCCTCTCCCTTTGGGAAACACTGGTGTAGAGCTTCATAATAGGATAAGTCCTCTCCTTTCTTATGTGCAGTGAAACAGATTAAAATGTTGACAAAGTATCATCAGTCAGGCACAGACCTGTATTGGAGACATGCTGCCCGGGGGGGCCACTGCAGGAAGATTGTTCCTTCTCCCTACCCACATACTCTCATGGGGATAGGATACAATCTGGTGTGTGATGACAAAGCAATAGCGAGAGGACTTTAGCTGTTCTTTTTTCCTGCCCACTTCTAGGATACAGATGGGAGCGTCAGTTAGTATTTAGAAGCAAACTAACTATGCACACAGCATTTGATCGCAAAGACAACGCACATCCAGCAGAGATCACAGCACTAGGCATCTCAAAGTGAGTAACCCAAACACTGTTGCCTAAGATGGTTTTTCAAAATGGATGAGTTTGGGTGGGTGGATTGGGGGTAGGGGGGCTACATTCTGTTACTCTTTAAGATACAGTGAAAACCTGACAGAAGAGCACCATTTAGAACTGGTTTATTCCAGTACTGGAATAAAAAGCACATCGCTGAAAACCAGATTCATTATAACTAATACAGCTTGTAGTTATGCCCTCTCATAATTGTATTCCCCAGTAAGACCAGGCTAATTTGTGTTTGCCATCTCTGTTGGTCTCAGTTTAATATTTGGTATGAACAAGTCATTGACATGTACAGCACATAGGTGATGAGATTGTAACGGTGAACAAACCTGGTATGTTGTGGCTGGAACGTCCATTCCTGTTCTTGCAGGGACCATAGCAGGATTCTAGTGGGCGATGGTCGAGGAAGAGTGTTCAGCTGGTCTGTGAGTGACCAACCTGGCCGGTCTGCAGCTGACCATTGGGTGAAAGATGAGGGAGGAGACAGCTGTTCGGGCTGTTCAGTCCGATTTTCTCTCACGGAAAGACGTCACCATTGCAGAAACTGTGGACAACTCTTCTGTCAGAAGTAAGCAGTCATTCGTTTTCCTTGTACAAAGCACCCTAGCAGGAGAGTGTTAAAAAGTGAAAATGTAGGTTTCTTAAAAAAAAAAAAAAATTATGAAAACACTACCTGTGTCACAATTTTAATGGAAATAGTTGGAAAAAACAGGGCCCATCCTCCGTCTTTTTAAAATCGTTAATGCAGCAGCAGCTTGATTAAAAATTGAACTAGCAACTTTAAATCCCACTTGTTTTATGGAAAAGCACACAAGCTGTATTTTCTTCAATTAGAATTACTATCTTAACTCCATATATGGAGCACTTAAGCCATGCATTGGAATATGATTAAAAATACGTTTCTAAAACAGTCACAAATTGATGCAACCCTTGGAAATGGACACAGCTTATATCTATACAAAGACTGTTTGGACTAGTCCTTATTAAAACTATTCTTGTAGTGGTTTTGTACAGTCACTGCACAAACAAAGGTCCAGGTGTTCTATTCCCAATGCAATTGTGCTATATTTTTTAAGCTAGTTTCCTCTCCTTCTCCCGCCCCCCAGCTTGTCTTTGGTCCCTCCTGTGACTAACTAAGATATTTTAGGACTATAAATAAGAGGGTGTGGTTAGGGGAAGAACACTATTACAATTTTATTTTCCTCTTTCAGGTGCAGTCGATTTCAATCTGAAATCAAGCGTTTGAAAATCTCATCACCAGTGAGAGTCTGTCAGACCTGTTACTACAACCTGCAACATGAGAGGGGTTTTGAGGAGGGGCCTAGAAATTAATGAGGCTTTGACACAAACTAAAGACCAAGCTCTGCAGGATCCCAATTCAGCCCCACAGTAACTCACTGAATTAATTACAGAATCGTGCAGTGAATTTCGAAGGGATTAGAATATTGTCCGTTTACACTTATCTTTGTACTGTGTTAAGTACTGAAAGAAAAAGGGATCATTGATTTCATTTATGTTGATTGAAATTATAAAGCTAACAAATAAATATTCAAATGGGCAGCAAGCACCAGAAAGACAGGATTGGTAGTCACACATACAGTAAAACTTTCAGTACCCAAATCTCCCTATTTACATGGCTATCAAGAGAAAAATCCTCATTTACTAACCATCTGTTCTTGTGGAGGTAGACATCCTTATTTGGGGGTGGGGAGAGGCTTTTTAGAAGATAGTTGTAAATCTGCCTTCTTCACAAGCAACTGTGTATAATGTAAATAGGTATAATGGCCTTTTTATCTAAATATGAACTTAACTGCCTGTTACATGGGACTTCAGCCTAACCACTATACTTTGTGTGGCATCTTTATTCATCTATCAACTTAAATATGAATGTTTAAAAAAACTCAAATGGCATTATTTGTATTTTTGTTTAAAATTCAGTCTCTGCATGTTTGTTCTTTCAGTTGTCCACAATATCCTAATTTAAACAAGGCTATTCGTAGAAATGACATGGATTTTTTTTTTTTTTAAAGGAAAACTTTTTGGGGGAATAGGACTTGCAATATTTTATTCCAATTGTAAAATAACTAGGAACTAAGTTATACACTCTGTAGTTGCATTTTATACCTATCTATTTACCACCTCATTGTTCATATTTAATAAGGCCTCTTTTATACATACATTACAGCTGCTGTTTTGTTCAGTACTTATTATAGTTAAGCAGCTGAATTATGCAATGCAAGAACCAGCTTTTACCTTCTTAAATAGAAATTGGCTTGCATGTAACTCAAAATTAACTTCTCTTGCATAAAATTTAGTCTCTCTTTCTTTGGCACCTTTGTTCTACTGAACATAATCCTTGCTCAATAACTGGATAATATTAATATCAGAACTGCTTTTAAGTCTTCACCATTCAGTGACAAGACAGTGATTGATAGTTTTCCATTAAGTTTTAATATGAATTTAATTACAGTATTTTTAATCAGTAATTTATTTTGCACCACATATGGGACAGACACTGGCATCCACAGTGAGTAGAACAGTTGCAGAAGACAGGCCCACAGTCATACTTTGTTTTTGTTTTTTTAAATGTATGTATATATTTTGTAAATGGGTGATAAAACTGGTCTAGATTTAGGTATATTCACAAACAGAGAATACTTTTAAATAATGGTGAGAATACGACCCAAGTCAACAAGAAACGGGCCAAACTTGCATCAGTGGATATGCCATGAGCGATGTAATTGGAACAATGGAATTACCTTAAATTTATGTGGGAGTGACAGCATAATCTGGCCTACACTCTATATAGCTAAATCAAACACAAACCTTACATTGCACCATTGAAAATATTAGAACCTCTATGATGGTATGAGATTTCCCAAAAGATAGTCACGTGTTAACTGAAGCACCTGGCTTTTGTTGATTTGTGTTATTTTACTATTTACCCTGGAACACATTTATGCACTGAAAGTTAAATAGGTATTTTGATACATGTTTGTTAAGTATGTGATGGACTGTAACAATTAGATAAAATTCCTGTTTTGGTATGTATACTAGGTCCCCAAGAGAACAAAAAGGCTTTTTGTAGAGCTCTTCCACACTATTGAGTGAGTAAATGCAGGTAAGTTGAGCCAGTAGCTGCCTTGCATGGCCAGCTTGACAAATTTATCTTTAAGAAAAAAAAAATGCTTTTGGTACAGAGAGCCTACATTTCTGTATTAATACTACTTTGATGCTATAATCCAGATTATGGGTTAATAACCTGTACATTGTCTGCTTTAAAACCCTTAAATGCACCTGAGTCCACTGAAATCTTTTCCCCTTGTTTCCAACTTGTTTTTGTATGGGCTGAGACCTCACTATCTTAGTTCCAAATTAATTTTTACAGCTAACACAATAAACCCTTGGAAACACTGAGCTTTTCTCACAGAAAGGGTGATTGAAGTAAACTAAATATTAAATGCCACTAAAATAAAAGCTGCCTATAGAACTCGTGCTGGGTTAAGACTGCAGGACTTTCACTGAAACCATTAATTGTGTTTAACTATAGATGCTTTGTACCAGTGTTGTTCTACTTTTTACAGTTGGCACTGCACTAAAAAGCTACCCTCCTCCCCCACCCCCCCGCATCCTGTAGTATTAATCTTAATTTACATTTAGTAAATCAATAAAACCCACTCTGCAGGCTTAATTCCTGTCCTGCACTGTATAGCAAACTCTTCCAAAACAACTTAGGAGGTGCAGTACAAACACCAGCTCATCATATTTCCTCTGGTGCTCTGGGTAACTGTTTTGTTCAACTGGGGATAGTCTTTTCTTTTTAGCTTCTAATGCACATACCTACTTTGTTTCTCCAAACAGCTTTGTTTTCCCTATAAAAGTTTGTTGGAGCAAAAACACATAAGTACACTAACATTAGCAGTCTATATTCTCTTCGAGTACCTCACCTGTCTTCTCGGGCCTTGTTCTTTGTAGTATACTTATTAATTCATGTACTCTAACACTTGTATGTAGTGTGCAACTGTAATGTCATGCTTATGAAGATGAGTTTGGCTGCCTCCAGCCCACATTCAATAGCAAAACACTTTAGATAAGTTATTTTGCACTTTCTTATGTATAAAATTGGTAGAAAATTATTTTTGCTTTGTATCATTTAAAGACTCCTTTTGTTTCAGTAAATGAACTGTGTACAAAATATTTATGCAGTTAAAACTGTTTTTAGAAAGTATTTTTAATTTCAGCAAGTTTGGTTACTTGTTGCATGACTATTAACACAGCTGACTTTTTGTGTCAGTGCAATGTATATTTTTTTGTCCTGTTATTAACTTGTAAGCCCTAGTAAATGGCAACTTATTTGTACAGCAACAGGAGTAAATTGAAGATAACTGGCTAAGACTGGAGTGTGGAATTTTGTACTATATTGCAGAATCCAATATCTGTTTTTTTTTGGTGGTTATGTAAAAGGCCTGAAGAATTACTATCTAGTGTGCAATCTGTGATATCTGAATGTTCATTGTATATTTGTCTCCAATGCAAAAAGGTAGAGTAACACAATTACAATACATGATTAAATGCAATAGTTCAGGTACTTAAGTATTTTTTTCATTTCAAATAAATACCTGCTATTTACCACCAAAAGGCTGTTTTGCATTTATCTTGAAAGAATTTGAATAAGGAAGCAATGGTTGCAGTTGAACTGACCACATATTAGGAGTACCAGTCCTATTTGAACTTTTTTCCAAATATAAGTACGGTAATTCATAAATGTTAAAATAGAAAACCCTTGTATTTTGTTTTACAAGTGTCATCATAAGCCTTGAAACCTAGAGGATTGGCCATGATGGGAACAATAGTATCTCACCCTAATGAAAAACTGAGAAGGGAATGACTATGCTTGGTTCCTTAAGGAATATCAAATTTGAATTTAACCTCCTTCCCCAAGCAACATTCAACCTTAGCTTGTGAGAGATTGCTGAAATTCTAAGACAACTTTGGGAATTTCCCCCCTCCCCCAACAATTATATCAGTAACAGTTTGCTGGAGAGTGAGCCCATGTTTCACCAACCTTGATATTGTTTTTACAAATAAGTTTGTTTTTTTTCCCCTTAATTAGTCACATGCTAGCCCTTAAAACTTGTTTGCAGGATTAAGTGTGCCAAATAGCTGGCTGACTCCAACACACATGTACTGATGCCAGAACTGGTACAGTGAATGATTGATCTTGAGGAGAGGAATAGAAAGTTTCTTACCGGTAATGGTATCTCCCCCAGTTCTGCACTTCTGGCTGCTCGCCTTGAGCTGCAGCTTTGGCCATATCCCTTCTGCTCCTGCTTGCCACCAGACAAGTTATTCCAAAGCTATAAAACTTGCATATCATGAACAACAAATATAGAGATAATTCTGTACATTAGACCAAGACAGATGGTAACAATCCCACTTCATTATCTGATCTTTGACTCATGAGCTACTTAGAATGGGTAGAACTGTGGGAGATGCTGCTAGCAGAAAGGAAGTTACCAGTAGAAATGTTCCGTTCTGCATCCCAGCATCTCCCACAATTCTGGACCTCTGGAAAGCAGCAGCCACTGAACAGATGTACGGAGAATTATGAAGAAAAAGAATGTTTGTAGGAAGTTAAAGTATCCCCACTCTATCTGCTTGCTCATTTCTGGGCCAGTGTTTTATGAAGATGATGGCAGCTTTGCAAATTTCCATCCATGAGGTTGTTACAAAATCCAGATACACACTCCCTTCTCCACTAAGTGCCATCAGGAGACAACAGACTGGCCTTCAGACAGAGGAGCTGCTTTTGCCCTTTGTGAATGGTGTAAGTAACATGCAGTCAATTAGTGGCATAAGCAACTTTTAATAGCTTTGCCAGGGATTCTGTTTTTACATTACACTTGTCCAAAATTGGACGTACTCCCACATACTTCCAAGTAGTCATTCACTTACATTAAAATCTTCTGGTCTGGCCAGGTTGAATTTATTTGATCACTACCTCCTTCTGTCAATCAAATTCCACAGCCAAGTCACCTTTCCAGTGTCAAGGGGCTGAGACAATGTAAACTTGACTGTATTCCCAGACCGGAGGAAGAGCTCTGTGTAAGCTTATTTCTCTCACCAACAGAAGTTGGTCCAATAAAATGTATTATCTCACCCAACTTTTTCTATAGTCAGTTGCCCTTTTTAAGTGGGTCAGAAAACTGCAGTTAAAGAAAATTTGATTAACATCCATCCTTGAGCACTCATGGTTTTATAATCTAAAATTCTTTTAGCTTGAACTGACTACCTTTTAAGTTGGTGCGCCTTTAAAACATTCCTTTTATCTTATCTTAACGAGATTGCTCCCCTTTTATGAAGGTTTTTAGAATCCAGTCAAAATCAGTCAAGCTTCACCAGCTATTGGAACATTTTTTTAATTGATGTTTGTGCTGTGTTAACATCTATAAAAATGAAAAAACAATGTGCACTGGTTTGCTAGCTATACACTTAACACATAAGCTTAGCAATGCAGCATCCATGGGTCTCATCTGAAATTGCAACAAAGTTAACACTCAGAAAGGAGGACGCATTTGATATAGAAGGGAGATTAAACTGAAATGCTTGAGAGTATCTAATATCAATTTTACATAGAGGAGATGGGATTTGAAAATAACCTCACCCCCATCTTTTGCAAAAACTAAATCTTAGTAAAAGCTGGACAAAAGATTTGTCCATCACAAGGTTTTGTTTAATCCTAATTCAATCGACTGGTAAATATCACCCTATTTCACCTAAGAAACGCACACAAAATATGCTATTGACAGCAGGACAACTTGTTACTAAACTAGTATTTTTGAAAGTAACTCCTCTTGTCAATCACTAAGAATGCACACAACTTCCATGTGTTCAGTAGTGAGCCAAACAGTTGGCTCAAGAGCATTCAGAGATAACACTATTTAGGGAAACACATTCCTTGTTACTCAACCAAGAGAAGTTAGTTACATACCCAATTTCATAAGCTACAGCGAGTGACTGACCAAACACAATTTTGAATCCCTTCAGCTTGCTACATTGCTACAGAAATCCACTTAGAATGTATTTTTAAAAGAAAAAAAGTAAACAGTGTCTGTAATAAGTTACAGCCTAAATCATCACTCCTCCATACACAGAAAAATGACTCAGTGGTAGTTTCTTCTGTCTTCTCCCACTCCACCAGAAGACAATAGGGACAACTGGCATCCTGGATTCCCTCTTTTTTGAAAGCAAGGAGGCAAAGAATTTGAGAATACGCTCCCTATATAAGGCCCAGTCATTCCCTTCCCTTTCCAGTTGAATATTTCCAAAGCAGAGGGAGGCCAAGACAGTGGTATAGGAAGGAAGACTATAACAAAGAATTACTGGTAAGTTATTCTGCACTTGTCATATACATCCCTTTTCTCCTATAGTGTGAAAACACAGTAGGAAGAACTGGCAGTTGCAGCAAATAATGCCATAGATGAAGGCTTACCTTAATATGCATCCTGTAGTGCCCTGCAAGCAAGAGATGTCCTGTGAAGATAGACTGTTCAGCTGATAGTGCTTGAGTGTATGTGAGGAAGACCACATGGCAGCCCAGCCTTAACTACTTCAGCAGATGCTTCCATCCTCACTGGCCCGGAAATAGTTGCCACTGTAAGAATGCCCTCCCCAGCCCCGCCACCAAAAAAAAAAAATAAATAAAAATTCAAGGGACCAGGTTAATTGGCCTGAACACAAGTTAGACAGATACATAGGTTAGTTCATCCAATTACAGAAGCCTAAGAAGCTGTTTTTCCCGTGTGATGACCATCAGAACAGAAAGAGCTGCTTAATTTGAACTCCTGACAAGACCGACTTTGTGACTCACTGAAAGAATGCAGCCTTCAAAGAATGCAGTTGCCATGCCAGCCCTCTGTAGATGGGCTACAGAGCAACAGGCTGGCTGAGGTAAAACACACTGCAGAGGACTCTGAGTACCTTTCCCAGACCTGAGGGAGAGCTCTGTGTAGCTTGAAAGCTTGTCTCTCTCACCAACAGAAGTTGGTCCAATAAAAGATATTACCTCACCCATCTTGTGCCTCCCATCCTGGGACCAACATGGCTCCAACACTGCATACAATTGTTCCTACTCTCTCTACACAGGCTAGGAGAAAAGGGAGATATGGGCTTTGCACTGCAACGTTCAGCCAGTAGCATATTCCTCCCTCCCAGTGCATAGGAGCAGCACTTGGAATTTGTTTGGGCCACACTTGTTTTTGCCTTATAGCTGAGCAGTTCAGAGAGACTTTGTGCCCAGCTGGCAGTGCCAATTCTGAGAGTAGAGATTGTTAGAAGTGGGGAGAATCAGGAACACTGGAAGCAGAGCACAAAGGATGTTCTCATCAAGTGGGCCATGTTGCCAACAGAAATCTCCTCCAAATGTCTTACTATAGTGCGGTAGAGCCCAAAAGGGAAACATTTTTACTGCAAGGAGTCAAGTAACTGCAGTGCAAATAAGTCCATTGTCTATCGTTTTCATCAGCCATGAATGGCTGCAATAGCATTATAGGACCATTTATCATCTGCAAGAATATATCAGAAACATCTTATTTTCAAAAACAAGTGTAGAAGTTACACTGCATATTACATTCTTACACCACTTTTTCTTAACGGTACAAATTGCTCAGGATCACAAGACACCCATCAGCAAGAAATCATCCCACTCTTAGCAAACTTTATGTCCCTCAAGAGAGGGGCTGGACAGGGGCAATGAGGGAGGCTTTGGAGGGGTGGAAGGGATGGTTGGTCCCAGAGCGAGGGGCCATCCGGGGCAATCGGGCATGGCATGGGGGTGGTCAGTCTCCAGAGTGAGGGGCCAGGCAGGGGGAATGAAGCCCGGCAGGGTCAGGATTCCTACCTCTGCTGGAGCTGGGATAGGAGCCACTTCCTCTTTCCTTTGCTCTTCTCTTCCCGCCCTCTGATGGCAGCTTGGGTTACTACGCCTGACCCGACACTGTCAGGTCCCTCCACAGCGGATGCCTCCCTCCCCCACCCAGAGGTATGCAATTAACATGTTAATTTTGTTTTCAGTTAATCGCAGGCATTAATTAAGATTAATTGACAGCCCTACTTTTAACAATAGAAAGGTGCATTTTTAAGAGATTGTCAGCCAAAATGTGTTTGCTATAGAGGAAAAAATGGCAAAAGTCAGATCATAGAAGATTTCTGTCCCAGCTTTATTTTCCCAATTCTAGCTTTAATAAGAGATTCAAACAATTAAAACATACATAATATGATACCATTTACAGTATATACATTGTTTCTATATTTGTAATTATCTTGTTCAGAAAAACAACAGCCTTGCCCAACAGAACTGCAAAGTGAAGAGAAATCACTGGTGTAAAATTTAGAGACTTTCCAATTCAAGCTGTATGCCTATATTAATAGAACTAATACATAAGAAACGTGAGGGTGGGCAGAGGGGGCACATTGAACAGCGAGAGGAAATATTTATGGCATTTCACAAGTTAAAAATTAAGGACCTAATCCTGCAAAGATTTACATCAGAGCCTATCAGAGTAAACGATAACAAATCTACAACAGTAGATTAAGTGGTTAACCATTAATGCTTCTGAAAATTATTTGGTTGTAACTTTGTCCTTTTTACAGTGAAAATAAAGATTCATCGACTTCAAGTGATTCACTGTATTCAATGCTACAATATATTCTACTTACTTAATATACATCCTATAAAAATTACACTAAAAAGAGTTCAAACATTTTATTTATGTTAAAATTAAATATTATAATCTCGTATCTATAGTATAAATTTATACCCAACTCTAGTAAGGCTGTGTTTCTTATTGGAAGAATCTACCAAGATACCGTTACCTAACTAAAGCCTTATTTCAATGTTTATGGATGATTTTTGTCACCCTTTCCTGCTTCAACAAACGCTACTTCCTTTCAATATTTTTTTAGAACTGCTTACTAGCATCTTTCCATAGCTCATAATTTTGGCTGTGCTATGTTTTAACCTTCAGGTTGCGTTGTGTTTTGTTTTCAAGTTAAAGAGTCCTACATGTGCTTAGTTTCAGTATTATTATTATTATTTATTATTGTTAAAAAACAAACAAAAAATTGGGAGTCGGGAAGGACAGCTAATCACTACTGGAAGACAATTTGCTAGCATTGTGATTTTAAAGCTGATTTCTTGCTCTAGAAGATTTTTTTTGACAGAAGTACTGTACTTTTACAGTAGAATATAAAAATGTAATACTAATTTGTTCCCTCAGCTATTTAGTGTTGACATTACCACTGAATGGAAACTTTATTTTGGAATTAGAACGAACATCTCTCTTTTATAACAGTATATAAGACTATTTTACTATTTACAGATTATATACAGATTACCCTGGCCTAAATGCAATTAGTATATAATCCTGAAACAGAATGTACGGTGGTCTCAGATTCTATTCTAATGTAAACAGAAACTTTGAATTCTACAAGGCTTGTTAACATCTCTATTTGCTTTCTCTATTGTTTTTTCAAGTAGCACCAAGCAATTTTAAGATTTTCATCTTTAACCCCTCACAAAAATAATATAGTCAGAGTGCAGAAGCTTATTTACATTAGGATTGGGGAAATTAAATTTCATCAAGTTAGAGTCTCTAGTATACCAAAAGAAACTTTCTGGCATTCATGTGCTTTTGTACATTATGGGAAGAAAATAGTTTCCATTTGTTCCCCCAAAAAAGTATTTTTATTTCTACTAAGATTTTACTACATGATAAAAAGGATATTATGTAAAATGAAAATAGCTAACATTAACCATTTTACAGTGTCAACTGTTTTCACACACACATAATTAAGTCTACTGAAAGAGCAGCTATCTATAAAGTATATATTTCTCAACTGAATCCTTACATTGTTACCCAAACTTACTTGAGAAGCTAGAGTTACTCAACTGTTGATAACAGATGGCAGAAGAACCATTCACCATCTCCACCTGGAACTTTGTGCATCTGGTCAGTCAGATAACAGTGACTGCTTTCAGGGGAATAATAATAATAAAAATATTAATAAGTAAGCACTTATAGTGCACTTTTCATCCAAGGATCTCGAAGTGCTTTATAAAGGAGGGAAATATCCCCATTTTACAGATGAAAAAAAATTGAGGCACAAGAAATAAGGCTAGAATGAGCTCACTTCAGACAGTGACCGATCAACAATCCTAGATTCACATCCCAATGATGTCCATTTGCTGGACTGGAGGACCCTATCGATAGTTAATCTCCACTCTAGTTCTGGATGCATTAATTGGTTTTTGTAATCCAGAAGGATTCTTCCAAAAGAGGAGACTACTGCTCAGGCACCTCAACAGTAAAGGTGCCTTTAATCTTGCAAGGATCCACTGACTTCGTTAGAGAATTTTTTTCAAAGCCATTAACTAGAAACTTGGCTAACCTTAGCCATTTTCAGTAAAACAGTAATGGTACAAATCCAGCAGTAACCCTGATATATTCTATTGTAAATTCCAGCCTCAACTTTCTGAGCAACTCTCAAGGCATACTATTTTCTGGCAAGTGATGTAATCAATTGCACAGTACATAAAACATCACTGCAGTTTGGTTATTCTTCAATAACCATTTGAGACTAAGTATGACAGAATTATTGCTAAGATATATAGTACTATAAAACTTGCATTAAAAGCAACAACTGTACTGATAAGCTACATTAAAAGTTGCACAGTGCCAGTACAGTCTTAACATTTCCTCAGTTTAGTTATTGTGATATAAAACTGCTGAAAACGAATAGTTATTTTAAAAACTATTTAACCTGTCAGGCTGGATACCGAAGGAGCGCTCACACCATCAACTTCAGAAACTAAAACACATGTTAAATAAACAGTTATTTTACAAGCAAACTTAAATTTTATGTCTTATTAAATATTCACAGTAGTTTCAGGAAACATTCGTGTCTTCAAAACTACTATCTACTTCTTGTTCAACCACGATTACTATGCAAAGTTGTAACTTGTTTTTTTCAGTGCTTTTCTGGCAGGTTGGTTTTTTTTGTTTGTTTTTGTTTTTGTTTAAGTCCACCATTCAGTCCAACTTTCCCCTCAGTGATGGCTGAAGGATTCCTTTTTCAATTAGATGAGATTTCAGGGTTTGGTATACATTTAATTGCTGTTCTGGCTGAAGTACCAACAGTTGTTGCAGTAATTTGCTGGGATTTGGACCCCTGCCAATGAAATTTAAGGGAAAAAAAATTTAATTCAATAAAAGCTCTAAACCTACCATACAGAAGTGACATCTTTTGTTTTTCTCCCTACGGTATAAATGCAGTGTCTGCTTTTTGAGAGGTTTTTCTAGTGTAATGATCTCTCCAGAACGTGTGTTATCTGGTGAGCATAATTGAAACCTGCTTTCTCCGACTGTATCTGTTGAATAAAATGTAATAAGATGTCTTAACTGGGTAAGCCACAAATGTAATATGCATAAAGGCTGCTGCTGGTCGTGGCGAGAATGTGACCGATTCCAAAATTGCTTGCTTTGACTTTCTCACCCTATGTACCTTCCAGGATATTCATGCTAACAAGCTACATGCCGAAGAATGAGCCAAGTGATGTAAGATGAGTGTCGGAGTGATGCCTGTTGCATGTCTTTTGACCACTGGGAAAGGATCTTGAAACAAGAAATCCAAGAGCAGAGAGAACCTTTCTGCTGCAAGTCTCAGCCTAAACATGTTACAAAAACCTCGAATGGTGTTTTGTACATCAATTATAGGAAAACAGACATTTCTGATTATGGCCCTCCGATAGGTGTTTGGTAGGGCATGTCTCTTGTGACTTTTTCCTAAACATAGTTAGATCATGTTTCAGTGACCAAGAAACAAATCACAAGTATACTTGACTATGCTTGCTGATTGTTGACATGATTACAAGATGTTCCTTTTTCACAAGCATAATTCTCAGCAGTTAAAAATAGGCAGAAAACAGCATTTTTCATGGTGTAATGCCTGATCCTTTGTAACAAAACCTGAAGCCTCCTTTCTCATTACTTGCCACTGAGATTAAGTTCTTGCTAGCGAGGGGTCACTTTCTGCAGACCATTTTGACAAAGCCGTTTTCTGCTCTGTACCTGTTGTTGGATAAGCTGTATACTACCCAAATAAATGGGCACTAGGCTAGGCATGGTAGAGGACAATACATTCATAAAGTTTCTTTAATAGGACACTTTCCAATTCTAGAATTGGAAAGAATCAATCCATAACTCTATTTTCAGGAAATTTCAAGTGTAATTTAAAATATTTTAAATGTATTTATGACAAAGGGTGACAGACATGCATCAGCCACCTATAGTTACATCCACGCATTTGCGTATTCTTAACTTATGAACAAATACCCAATGTACACATGCATACTGGATATTGTGAGCATAAGTGAGATGCATACAACTACACACCCCTAAATTTGAAAGTCTATCCCCAACCATCTTAAGAACTACAGTGAAAGAAGCTGCCCTGTAATACAGTTGTTATTCTAAAAGCATCCCCTTCAAAGTTGCTGTGGCTGAGAGATAAGTTGGCAATGTTTCTAATAAGTGAGATGTCCTAATTAACAATATTTAAAAAAAAATAATAATCTGAACCAGGAAGTTAGAAGTCAGATAACTGAAAATGAAGAAGTTTGATAGTTTCTTCTATTTACCTGAAGCCTACAGATTCTCCCCAAGCCACAGAAACTATAAAGGGAATGACAGCAGAACTGCCACTGCTCCAATTACCACAAATAAAAATCAGATTTTATAGGGGTTATTTCAGATTCATTTTCTTTATATTCAGTTGGGTACATACTCTTACTTTTTCGTTAACTAGTAGTAAAAAAGGAGGATAACATAGCCTGTTGCAAGACCTCTAGAAGTTTCATGAGATTTAACAATGGCTCCAATATTCAAGAGATCCCTCTGATCAAACGTAACTGCATAAATCATGCTTAAAGCTAACCTTCACTGTACCAACAGAACAGAACTACATGTAATGGAAGAAAGTTTGCTAGATCTCTATATTGACTATATGTATTTATATATGCAAAAAAAATACCTTATGAAACTGGTGATATACACATGAACAAAAGTAGCCATCAAGTACTGACAATCAAAGCGATCCATTATTCCGCCGTGGCCAGGAATAGTGTCTGCAAAATCCTTTAAGGAAAAAAATGCAGTAGTATAAATGTTCACATACAATACCTCACTAATCTATTGTTTGTATTACATCAGTGCCTAATTGAGATATAGGCCCCATCATGCTGTACCAACTGAACCGACATGTTACCAACACATAGTGACAGTCTCTGTCCTAAAGAATTTACCATCCAAACAGGCAAGACAGACAAAGAGAAGGACGAAGAGGAGGGAAACAAAGAGGTGAAGTGACTTGCCCAAGTTCACACAAGAGGTCTGTGGCAGAACTGGGAACAAATTAGGCACTGAACTGCTAGACCAGGACCATCTACCTCTACACATCGTCCTATTTTGTGCCAAGCCTTCTAATCTTTAAGTATCATCTTCTAGCATCTTGTCTGTATAGGTTCTAATACCTCCCACAGTTGAATACTTTTATCTCCTTTTTCTACCGGAGTGGCAGCTGCTGAAGCATTTATTTCGCATAAAAACATCTTTCCACAAGATGCTCCTTGAATATTAAAATGGAAAAGGCATCCTGTGATCCAAGGGTTCATATTACTGTTTATTTTACTTCAGCTTTGCAAATCCCCCATATGTTTCATTGATTTCCAAATGTCCTTAATTAAAAAGAATGTTGTGTCTTTATAAATTCATGTGGTATAAGCAATCACTCTCTGTATAAGCATTGTATTCAAACACTATTTTTAATTTTACAAAAGAAAATCTGAAATGGAAGCAGTGCTCAAAAGGACATGCAAACTTTACTGGAGATATAATCAATGATACATTCTAGCAAATTGTCAGCACGTATTCATGTATATTACCATCCATATAAATATTTATGTATAACACAATTTCTTACCTCATTATATAAACAAATATAATGAGGTAACTCGCAAAAGGTAAACAGATACCAAAATGTGTGCACAATGAATCCAGAAAGTGCTAAGATTTGCCAGCATGGAAATCATAGTGCATCTTGAAAACATATGAAGTTTAAGAACATTATTTGCCAATGCATACTCTGCAACATATCTCTGATTAAGAAGAATACTGTTTCAGAGGCTAATGGTAGCTTGTTATCACATCATGCTGGTTTAGTAGAAAACAAGTGTGTCTAGATCATTATACTCTGAAGTCATTTAATTAAAATTCTAGGAAGTGGCTCCATCAAAGTCTTCATAGGTTTTTTAAAAATCTACAAAAATCTGTACACACCTTGATTTTGAAAGCTCTTTTGAATCCACTAGCAAAAAAGCCTCCAAATGGCCCAATTAAAGATGCAAATGTTGACAAAGCAATGCTGTGCATCTGGAATGGGTACATATTCACTGTTTCCTGCAAGAAGACAACTATTAGCAATAGTATACATTAATTTACAATTATTCCAGATACTCAAGGCCAAAACAATATAACATTCAACATAAAGACCTTAACATTATTTTACTAACAGAGAAAATACATTTTGTTGCAAAGCCAACGTGATTCACAGAAAATTTCCAACTTTTCTGTTATAAAAGGTACTTGCCTTCATTGCATGGGGGAAATAGACAGGTTATAGAACACACCAATACATATTTTATCTAATGTGAAAAGAATTCCCTGCTCAATATTACTGAAGTATTTTAATATTTATCTTAGATATAACAAGGGATTTGTCAAATATAACACTTCCCCTTCCCTACCCAATTCTACAGATTCTTTAAACTGATTTGTATCTCCATTTATCAGAAAGAAAGAAATCTATGGTTAATCATCCTAGTATATAAGATGCAGCTCCAATACCTTCTCAATCTCAGCTCTTTCCAGTTTCCTTCTTTCCTAATGTCTCTTCCTCTTACTGGAATGGAAAAAAAGATCTTGCCTACTAGCCTTCAAACTTCTGGAAAGAATAACTCTTGCCAGTGGTTTGAAAGCCCTCTAGTAACCCAGTGTCTCCCTTCCAGGTAACTCACTATCATATTTATGCCTCTCAAATGCTTTGCTGGTGACAGTATGGCAGACTCATGCAACGATCATTCCAGCAGGAGGGGAATGATTACCTCCTTAACCTCCAGGTCCCAGAAGCAGCCATGTACTTTATGCCTTTTGATAGCTCTAGAAAATTACAAAGTAGCTACTGCAAGAACTCTCCTAGCTGGTGAGATTTCCATTCTCACCAGCCATGAATTCTATAGAGAAAGGAAATGTATTCTTCCCTCTTATATTTTGCACTCAAACTTATTATATTATACTCATTTCGTTGACTGATTTCATGCGTACTTTTTTTAATTGAGCTTCTGGTCTGTTAGATACGTCAGACAGGAAAGTTGTTCTATTATCAGCAGAGATTCCTAGTCTACAGACTTCCATTCTTACCTCAAGATTAAGAGACTGCTGGGATATTCTGTAGCAACTTAATATTCTAAATGTGCCTCTCTCCTGCAGTCCTCTATGATCACAGTCATGGCACCAAGTCCTTCAGAGAAGAGAGCTCGTGATGACCTATTTAAATACCAGAGAATTCCTGACCTCCTAATCTGTGTCTATACGGATTATGGCCTAGCATTCCTAAATTGTATATTCCCAGTTAGTATCACAGCCACCAGTCTCCTGGTTTGGGGGCTCACAGGAGACTGCTTCAACGCAGAGGTTTTTGGTCGGGACAAAACAATATCTAAAACATCAACCTGATTGAATGACAGGAAGTCCTTTAGATTTTGACTCTTTTGGAAGTCCATTCTGTTGCAGAAGTATGCAATTAACAACTGTGATTGGGTTTGTGTTGAATATTAATAATCAGGAAAACACCAACAGTGGTGAGAGATCATCCAGTTTGGTTTCTGAGCAAAACCCCTCTTGCTTTGGCAGTGGGCAGCATGATGCCTGCAGGGAAGGACAATTGGGCACAAAATTTTAAAACCAGATAAATGGAGTTCATGCCTTTATGACTGTGTTCAACAGGACATGTGAGACATTAAAGCCCTCTCCATCAACTGACTTGCAAGAGCTTTGACAAAACTGACTTAGTACCGTGTTTGGAGCTACAGCCGCTTGTCAATGCAAACATATAGTTTCCTATTGGACCACTGCAGGATTGGGTTACATTCCCTCTTTCTTTACTGAAAGGTCAAATGAACTGGGCAGAAACCATTCTGGCTTCCTTCCATGAATGTACAGAATCTGGCAGCAAGGGTACATCTAAGACCACATCCCTTCATAGAGGGCAGATTCCCCTTGATGAATCTGGGCCAATTCTATAACTCTTTAGACAGAGTAACATACATAAGTGGGGTTCTCTTGAGGTGGACTGTTGAACGAACTGCTTCTGTGACACATGCCAGATTATTCCCATGGGTGGCACTGTGCAGAAGCTAGGTGTCCTCCTCTAGGGAATTCTCAAGAAACTGAAAACAAATTCCCTTAGCCATCTCTCTAGTCAGGGGCCTCAGCTTGCACACTAAGGTTAGATTTCACCCTTATATTGCTCTTCAGGGCCAAGCTTTTATTTTATGAAGGTTTGCAATTCATTAAGTAGTCGTTCAAGGAGATTTATTTTAAGCCTCAAAGCGATGATATATTCCCCCACTTTGAGTTTATTGGAATGAGTCCTTTTATCCCCTTAAATTTTGTTTTTTAAAAGCCATAATCATGGTTTAAGTGATATGAGAACTACTGTGGCAGCTTTAGCTATAATTCCTGTGTCGTCCATTTTTGGAAGATGATTGGACATTCATCCAAAAGTTAATACTCTCAACTGAAACAATCTGTGGTTTGTAGTTAGATCAGGGGTGGGCAAACTTTTTGACCTGAGGGCCACATCTGGTTTCCGAAATTGTATGGAGGGCCGGTTAGTGGAGGCTGTGCCTCCCCAAACAGCCAGGCGTGGCGTGGCGTGGCGTGACCCAGCCCCGCCCCCTATCCGATCCCCCCGCTTCTTGCCCCGATGGCCCCTGGACCCCCCCGCCCCTGACTGTCCCCCAGCCACCCCAGCCAACCGCCCCTCTCCTTCCAGACTGCCCCCCGGAACCCCTGCCCCCATTCAACTGCCCTGTTCCCCGCCCTCTGACCGCCCCAACCCTTAGCCACACCCCCGCCCCCTGACTACCCCCCGAACTCCTCTGCCCTCTATCCAACCACCCCGTTCCCTGCCCCCTTACCGCGCTGCCTGGAGCACCGGTGGCTGGCGGTGTTACAGCCGCGCCGCCCAGAGCACCAGGACAGGCAGCCGCGCCGCCCGGCTGGAGCCAGCCACACCGCCCAGAGCATTGCGCTAGTGGCGCAGTGAGCTGAGGCTGCAGGGAGGGGGAACAGCAGGGGATGGGACAGGAGCTAGCCTCCCGGGCCAGGAGCTCAGGGGCCGGGCAGGAGGGTCCCACAGGCCGGATGTGGCCCATAGTTTGCCCACCTCTGAGTTAGATTCTTCCCATCTTGTTTCCACGGTGTTTTAATTTATTAGATGTTAAGGAACTTTCAAATTTTTACAATGCCAGGACAAAAGATTACCGAAGTGCAATTTACATCACGAAAACCAGATGCCATGAAGAGTATGGTTTATGTTCCAAGGACTATACTGAAGAAGAAAACATCAAGGTGGGCGATTTTTGCTACCAATAAAAGGATATTCCACAAAAAGAACTGCAGCTTTCCTGGCAGAAATGTGTATTAAAGGCAGAGACTTGGCTATTCTTCACACATTCTATCTTGTAGCATACACTGAACCTGCTCTCTGTTTAAAATGCTCCATTTGACAGGTAAGGGTTGATATGACAACGTATAGGTAAGCTCAGTGCTTCGTTAGCGCTTCCTTTACCAGTTCAGCATAAGGAATTTGAGGATGGGGAAGAGGAGGTGACGTACAACAAGAGAAAATTACTTACCAGTAATTCTGTTTTTGTCATAGTCTTCTCCTCTTCCCCTCGAAGGAGGGGAGTGATGGACTGTTCTATTTTGTTTCTGTTTGGTTGCTTTGGAATTTTCTGATTGAAGGAAAGGGAATGGAGCTGCGCTTTTTATACTGGATTGACTGACAATCTGCTGTTTCCTTATAGGTGGAGGTACAACAGCTCACTCCAAAGAATCTGTAGGATGGGTGTGAGGAGGGAAGGAGATCACTAAGTCACACAGAGTTACCAGTCAGTAATTTTCCCTTATTCTACATAGCATTAAGGATTTCAAACATCTTGTGTGTGCTTGACTTGGACAGGAGGGTGATGTCCAGCCTAACACATGTTGTGCACATGTTGGATAAATGCCGTAACTGTTTCCTTTTCAATCTCTTTCCCAAACAAAATGTGCCAAACTTTTTGGAGTTTTAACTCAAGTTCTAATGGGCCTAAGAATCAGGCCTTAATTCTTAAAGTAAAACTTTGTGTACAATTCATCACAAGACAGAACGGCTGACTTGCAGAAATAAACTTTGTTAATGACACCAGATTGCCCTCTCACATTATATTTTGGTTATAAAATCAAAGTCTTCCATTTCCATGAGAGGTACAGCATGAGTTGCGAGAGTGCAAGATTCCCCACATAACTCCTCCAAATATGCCTCAATTACGTTCTGGAGTGACACCCTCCACCGACCCATGGGTGACACTACCTCCTTTTACGTATTCATTCAATCCCTGGCTTTTGAGACAAACTAGGTCACCTTTAACAATAATATTTAATGTACAAAAGTAGGCAAATAAAAATTCAATTTTAACGGAAGTTTTATTTTTCCTTACCCTTCCCAATACATCCTGCAGAAATGGGGGTACAGAGTAGTTCTGTATCTGGAAGAGCTCTGACGGTGCACACTCTGTAACAAATCTGTTTGTTTCACTATTGTATTCCACTGGACATACAAAATACTGATACTGAGCCAAAAGGTAGGCAAACTGAAAAGCAAATCAAGAGAGTTATGATGTATTTATTTCTTGCTGAAGTCACACTTGATAGTATTGCTTTCATATGGTTGATGTATGGTTGACAGTAGTTAAAAAGTATTTTGTTACAAAATGGTTCCAAAGTAGATAGAACATCCCTTCTGAGATTGGGGACTCCTCACTAAGCCGGCTAAGATGGACATTCAGCACATTACTAAAATATCACTAACTTTTGTTATTTTTTTTAGATCCCCTGAGGTCATGCCAGCTGATTGTTTCCTTACTACAACCAACAATACATCAGGAGACGCTGATAATGACTATGTGTTGTTTCTTACACTTCACCTTTAAATGAAATCTTGATTTTAAGAAACAAAGCACATCTACAATTTTTTTGATTTTGTGATTTTCACAAGCCCCTGTTATAAGTTATATACGTTAACTACAATCTATAGTTATTTTATTTCATGCATACCATAAATTTAAGCTAGCTGTCTAAACGCATGGATACTGTATCAAGAAAGATGGCATTTTTAAATCAAACAAATGTAAATCACTGTCATTTTACTGAGTGTGAAGAAGGCCATTAATAGATTTCAGTTACAAAATAAGTGTATATTTATTCTCACCAGAACTATAACATTTATCACGGATACAAACTCTTACCAAGAATAGGAAACAATATGTAATCTGGCAGATATGGTTAGTACAAAAAAGTTTAGCGTTTCCGCAACCATTTACTGTAGTTAGAAAATGATATATGCTTTGCAATTACTTATCAGTGGTGGAATGAATTCTCTAGATAACAAGCGATCACCACTTCTATACACCATAATAGCAGATTGACAATTGAAACAATGCTGCTGTCAAATTTAAGAATCACAAGTTAAAGATTGAAACTAGAAAAGGAAAATCCTGCAGCTACTTACAATAAATCCAAATGCAACAGTGGAAAAGAAACCTCCAATGAACCCTTCCCAGGTCTTTTTAGGAGACAGCTAATCACAAAAAGAGAAGGAGTTGATATAATTAACAATTTATATCATGATACTTTTGTTGCACAACCACCAGAATTAAACGCTTAGGGCTTGGCTTTCGAAGTATATATGCACTACTGAGTGCAGACATTTCCATGCAAATAACTGTCTATGTGGGCATACGTGTAGGTAAGTGAACAAGCACATCACAGAGTGACTTCTACAGTTAAGGTTGCCCAGCACTGACCCTGTTTTCAGTCGCTTACAATTTTGACAAAAATTAAACCTTTTGGGCTGAAATTTTCCATGCCAGAATTTTGCCTCAGGCTGAATTTTTTTTCTTTTTTGGTAAGCTTCAGCTAAAACAGTTCAGCCATTTCCAAGAACAAGATAGGCAGTACATGCCCTTTCAAGCAAAGAAAGATCAGCTGGGAAGACAAAAGAAGGCTTCTCATAAGAACATAAGAATGGCCATATTGGGTCAGACCATAGGTCCATCCAGCCCAGTATCCTGTCTACCGACAGTGGCCAATGCCAGGTGCCCCAGAGGGAGTGAACCTAACAGATAATGATCAAGTGATCTCTCTCCTGCTGTCCATCACCACCCTCTGACAAACAGAGGCTAGGGACACTATTCCTTACCCATCCTGGCTAATAGCCATTAACGGACTTAACCTCCATGAATTTATCCAGTTCTCTTTTAAACCCTGTTATAGTCCTAGCCTTCACAACCTCCTCAGGCAAGGAGTTCCACAGGTTGACTGTGCGCTGTGTGAAGAAGAACTTCCTCTATTTGTTTTAAACCTGCTGCCCATTAATTTCATTTGGTGGCTCCTAGTTCTTATATTATGGGAACAAGTAAATAACTTTTCCTTATTCACTTTCTCCACACCACTCATGATTTTATATACCTCTATCATATCCCCCCTTAGTCTCCTCTATTCCAAGCTGAAAAGTCCTAGCCTCTTTAATCTCTCCTCATATGGGACCCGTTCCAAACCCCTAATCATTTTAGTTGCCCTTCTCTGAACCTTTTCTAATGCCAGTATATCTTTTTTGAGATGAGGAGACCACATCTGTACGCAGTGTTCAAGATGTGGGCGTACCATGGATTTATATAAGGGCAATAAGATCTTCTCAGTGTTATTCTCTATCCCTTTTTGAATGATTCCAAACATCCTTTTTGCTTTTTTGACTGACGCTGCACACTGAATGGACATCTTCAGAGAACTATCCACGATGACCACAAGATCTCTTTTCCGATTAGTTGTACCTCAGGGCAGGTAATCATACATGCTACACTGAGCGCAATAAACAAGATAGCCCCCACTCTGCTGCTGGGCTTCTGCCTGCATTCTCTCCTACAGCTACCTAGGTTAATGATAGGGGTTTGTTTAAATCAAACAGTTTTGATTACAGTTTAGTCTAAAGGTTTTAAAGAATGGCAAGTGTACCTTGCCCCCTTCCCATTCCCCTTCCAAACTCCCTCTCGAAACTCCCTATTATAAGCTTTATAAAGCCCTGGCCTTCCTGATAGCCCCGCCCCCTGACTAAGGCTCAGCCAATGAACAGAGGCTTCTAGATTTCAGCTCTTGTTTAGAAGCTCACAGCTTCCAACTACTGGCCACAGCATACGGTCCTTCAAACAAACACACATAGACAGACAAACACAAGTTCAGCACACAGCAAGTAAACCCCAAACACAAACACACAGACAGCCACTTACCCCAAATGACTGCTATCCTAGCTAACTGGACTATGAAGAACTACCTTATCTTCCCTGCACCAGTAGAACAATCACCTAAAATTACACATTTGGTCATGTGATTCAAGTACACAACTCCTCAAGTAGATTGTATCAAGACAGTTACATAAAGCTCTATAGAGATCTAACAGCTCAGCTCCTTAACACAAGGAGAAACCTTTAGGAAGACCGACTAATAAGGTCTGTCATTTTCTAACTATCAGTTCCTTTCCATAAGCCCTAACTGTACAGGTTTAATTATAAAAACCCAAGCTCATGAGAGGGTAGAGCTAAGATTGCTATATGCAAAATATTATATTCAAAAAGCAATGGTTTCATCTAATTAAATCACCACTCCCCTAAAGAAGAGAGTTCCTGTTAACTTAGTTCCATAAGAATGTCACCAAGCACAATTTGGGGAATCTGACTATCGACTAAAAAACAAAACAAAACAAAAACACTGAAGAATAAAGAACTAGATAACAGCAAAATCTTTTTTTGCAAACGAGTAAAACACCAAAGATTTATTACCAAGAGAAAAAAATGTGTTTATGTTTGTGAAGATCTTGAACAAATCATGCTTGACCCCTTGATTACACTGCTAAGGAGATATACAGTCTAGGTGTTTTCCTAATTGCTTTTGTTCTCTGCAAATAGAACGCCATCACCTGTCAGACTTCAAGACAGTGGAGCCTTTTCTACTCACCAGAAGCATGATGTTTTGGAAAAAATACCAGTAAGTGGATGATTTGATTTATGTGAAACTCATAAATTACTTAAGGGATGAATTTTGGGTAGCGGCGAAGAGAGACCTTCTCTTTATTAAAAAGTGGTATGCGGCGGATCTGCCATGAGCGCTCCCAACTTGCTCACCCTTCTGGCTGATGTGACAGGGACTAGGAAGGCAACTTTCATTGAGAGGTGGGACATGAAACAGGTGGCTATTCGTTCAAAAGGAAATCTAGTAAGGACTGAAAGGACAACATTAAGATCCAATTGTGGTCTTGGTTTTCTGTTGTTGGATGAGTGAAGGTAGTATGGCCCTCAACCTGAGAATGTAAGGCAGTGATTGCTGCGAGATGGACCCTACCTGATGGATAGGCCCAATGTCTTGAGGGTGAATAGATGTCTAAAACGACAGGAAACCCAATGGCTTTTGGAGATAACTGATGCTGTTGTGACCAAGAGGAGAAACATTTCCATTTGGCCAAATAGTATCTCCTGATACAATCCTTCCTGCTTTGGAAGAGAATGTATTAGACCGCCACCAACATGAGCACTCTACATCTGATGCCCATCCAAATACCAGGCCATGAATAGCAGAGGGCCCAGGTTGGGGTTACTGGTTTCACCACTGTGTTGCATCAGTAGATCTGGAAATGGCTTGATGCTGATGGGAGGAAGGGTTGAGATCTTCAGGAGGTTCAAAAAGCAATACAGTCTCGGCCAGTTGGGCACAATGAAAAGAATCCAAGCCTGCAAATTTTTCACAGAACTCGTGGTATTAGTGGGATGAGAGGAAAGGCAAATCTGAGGTGGCCCATCCAAGGTAGCAGAAAAGTGTAGCTTTTTGAGCCTGGCCCAGAGCTGCTCTGGAGCAGTACGGGGTATTTTTCTTGTTTACCTGTGCGGCAATGAGGTCCCAAGATGGCACTCCTCACAGGGTGGAGAGCTCATTCCGCACAAAATATCTCCCATTTGTGATCTATGGAAAAAAAGCCTACATCTGGCCACAATATGGACTACGTTTTAAAAAAGCATAACGTCTATAAATTAAAATGAGTATTCAGTCTGGCAAAATACTAGAGAAATTTTATTCCATAAGTTTTGAATGAACCTTGGAATGTCTGTGTGAAAACCAAGGTTAGATTGTTGCAAGTCTGCTATACTAATAATTCCAGGACAGTTGTATCTACTTATTACAATAAATTAAAAAAAGAGTAGAAAATTGTTATGATAATACCTTAATTAAGGGAGTTCTCCCAAAGAAGAATCCAAAAATGTAAGCAGTAATATCATTGCAGATAACACTTGAGATTGGAACCAGAAACCTAAGGAATAAAATAGAAAGATTTCAGGGGGGAAAAACTGACCTAAAACTGAAAGACCACATAGAATATTCATTGTTTAAACCCAAAAATGGTACTATTCTCTTGCTTTATTCAGCAAGCACTGACAACATGTAGTAAGTTTCTAGTTAAGCCAACCTACTTGGTTTTGCAAATTCCAGAAGTTTAGCTACACCTATTTTAGCTTCTATTCAACAAAGCAAGCAAGACCTACCAAAGTATTTAGATATAGCACCTTTGACTTGAGTACTGAATTTGCACATCAGCTGGAAGACTTTTGTATCATAACAGATTTGAATATCAGTACTACACATAACAAAAACAGAAACAAACAGGAACAGAGTCACAAGATAATGACACAATCACATCAAGCCAAGCAACTTCCTTATTAAAAAAAAAAAAAAAAAAAAAAAAAAATAAAACAACTATAATTTTTTTTTTTTTTTTTAAGGTCTCCTTTCTGTGCCCGCAACAATACAATACTTGTAATAGATTATGGCAGATGCTATATACTACATTCTCCAGTGAGTTCTCTCCCTACTTTCTCCTGTAGGTCTATTAGTCTTCCTTTACTCCTTTTGAAAGTTAAAATACACATTGACACAATAGTGGGCACTTCTGCAGACAGACATAAAACATGACTATTTCAGTAGTAACTGGAACTCACCAACAAAAGCTGTAATAGGCAGAAAAGGAATCAGGCTGAACTTTGACAGAATCACTTAATTATAAGTAATAGTCTTACTCAGAAAAATCATGGAAATGTAGGGCTTCAAGGGACCTCAAGAGGTCATCTAGTCCAGCCTCCTGCACTGAGGCAGAACCAAGTATACCTAGATCATCTCTAAGAGGCGTCTGTCTAGCCTGTTCTTGAAAACCTCCAATAATGGGGATTTCACAACCTCCCTTAGAAGCATTGGAATAGGCTTTTTAGGGAGGCTGTGGAATATCCCAAAACACTGGTTCATACAAGAAGTTTTAAAACTTGTTAAGGGATTTGTTAAGCAAGTGCACTCAAATTTGGAGGTTTTTAGTTGTGTTTTTTTCCAACTGCATCTTTCATCTGTAATCAGTCCCACAATTACTGCAATTTTGTGTGTACTGTGAAAGTAAAAAGCAATTCATGCAAGGCAGTGCACTATGAAGACCACAGATGAGCTCCTGCGTGCTTGCTTAGTCTTTCACAACTGAAGATGTAGCCCAAAATTCAATCTGTGTTCAGCAGAGTGAAAGGATATTCCCTACCTTTAGTAAGCAATTTAGTTTGCAGTAGTAAAGTTTAATTACACCATTGTAGTTTAACACCAGCCCAGAAGTGAGTAGGGATTTATTTGATCCTCAAATGGCCCAATGAGTTTCACTTAAAATTTAAATAGAAAATAGAAGTATTTTGACTCTTGATAATTGGAACTATTTATATATGAAATTAAGTATTTAAAAAAAGAAGAACTGATATTGTCTGATAAAACACAAAAGCATAATTTACTATAAAGCTTGACTTGTTCACATGACCACTGTGTACCAAAAAATGGAAATACTTTTTGGTTATTTTAGCTCAACTTCATGTACAACAAAACAAAGTCTGACAAGTAATACAAGATGAGCTTGTTTGTGTACTAAAGTTATCCTTGCCGGACACTTAACAATTCAGTATTTTTACTGAAAATCATTCTGGCACAATTGTCAAAGAAGATTGGGAATAAAGGATTGCTTTAGGAGGGTTTTTTATACATTATTTGGGTCAAGACTTTCAAAATTTAGTGCCTGAAGTTAGGCTCCTAGATAAGTGTCCTATTTACAGTAGTGCTAAGCAACCAGCAGCTCCCAGTCAGTTCAATGAGAACTGCTGGGCCCTCATAATTTTGAAACTCAGAACACATTTACTTTAGCTCTCAGTTCATCAAGAATTTAAACATGTGCCTAACACGCAAATAATACCATCCCTAGTCAACAAATTATTTAAGCATGTGCTTAACTTTAAAGACAAGTCCCAATGACTTCAATAGGACTTGAGCATACGCTTAAGTGCTTTGCTGAATAGGGATGGGCAGGGCCGGTGCTACTGTTAAGGCAAACTAGGCGGTTGCCTAGCGCGCCAAGATTTGGGGGCGCCAAAAAGCGGTGCCCCCAATTTTTTTTAATTTTTTTTTTTTTACAGCATTCCTGGGCTGGGCTGCTGGCGGCACGCTGACACATGCGGCTCAGACTCCCTCTCACAGCGCAGCAGCCGCTCCACTTCTCCCGCCTCCCAGGCTTGCGGCGTCAATCAGCTGTTTGGCGCTGCAAGCCTGGGAGGGGAGGAGAATTAGAGAGGGGGCGGCGTGCTCGGGGAGGAGGCGGAGCAGAGGTGAGCTGGGGTGGGGAGCTGCCGCACGGCTCCCCGGGCCGGGGGGGTGGGGAGCTGCCGCAGGGCTGGGGGGGTGGGCGCAAGGTGGAAGTTTCGCCTAGAGCGCGAAACTTCCTTGCACCGGCCCTGGGGATGGGATTACTCGTGTGCTTAAATATCTTGCTGATGTGGGGCCATAGGCACCAAAATGTGGATTAAGGACCCTACATTAGGATATTCATTTTTAAAAAAATCTTTACCTTGGCCTCTAGCAGACATTTTTCTCTGGACCAAGATTTTGCGCAACGTTACATGAGTGTAAAACCAGAGTAAACCTATTAATTTCACTGGAGTTACTCCTGGACTTACAGTGTAAGAGGCCCTCAGATTTGCAAGAAAAATGTAGCATACAAAAGAGTCCGGTCCTCTACTAATTTCTGATATTTTAAAATGTTATAAAAAGTAGTCCTTACTAGACTTCTGCCAACAAAATTGTAAAATGGACTAAATTCTACTAGCAGGTAGATGAAGACATCTGATAGTGCTTTTACAAGACCTAAGTTACACAAACTGAAATACATACATATGCAATAAAATTACAAGTCTGCTTATTACAGTTCCCTTACCAGATCATGCCTTCAAACAGATTTTGGATGACAAGATGAGACTGAGTTACAGTGATCAGCAAAGTGACATGAGTCCATGCGAACTGTTAACAGTGCAACAACATAATTAGTGAAAACACAGATCAATACACATAGTTAAAGACCGAATTTCAGCTAAAGAAGCTGCACAGGAGCTCAAAGGAAAGACCAGGCTGAGTGACAATGCAAGAGATGTATGCACACAATGTATAACAATTTAAATTAATTTCTGAAACACAGCAATAACAATCATGGAAAGCCTCTTGAAATTTATCTACAACATGCACCTAGAATTTTGCATCCTGTAGTTTAAACACTTGATTTATGGAAACAGAAGAATGGCCATACTGGGTCAGACCAATGGTCCATCTAGCCCAGTATCCTGTCTTCCAGCAGTGGCCAATGCCAGATGCTTCAGAGGGAGCAAACATGGCAATTATTAAGTGATCCATCCCCTTATGTCCAATCACAGCATCCGGCAGTCAGAGGTTTAAGGGCACCCAGAGCATTGGGTTGGGTCCCTGATCATCTTGGCTAATAGCCATTGATGGACCTGTCCTCCATGAACTGATCTAATTCTTTTTTGAACTTATACTTTTGGCCTTCACAACATCCCCTTGCAATGAGTTCCACAGATTGACTGTGCGTTGTGTGAAGTACTTCCTTTTGTTTGTTTTAAACCTGCTACCTATTAATTTCATTGGGTGACTCCTCGTTTTTGTATTACGTGAAGGGGTAAATAACACTTCCCTATTCACTTTCTCCACACCAGTCATAATTTTATAGACCTCTATCCCAACCCCCACTTAGCTGTCTCTCTTCTAAATTGAACAGTCCCAGACTTTTTAATCTATCCTTGTATGGAAGCTGTTCCACATCCCTAACCATTTTTGCTGCCCTTCTCTGTACCTTTTCCAATTCCAATATATCTTTTTTGAAATGGGGCAACTAGAACTGCACACAGTATTCAAGGTGTAGGCGTACCATAGATTTATATAGTGGCATTATGGTATTTCCTATTTCATTATCTATCACCTTCCTAACGGTACCTAGCATTATATTAGCTTTTTGATCACCACTGCACACTGAGTAATGTCTTCAGAGAACTATCCACAAATGACTCCAAAATCTCATTCTTGAGTGGTAAAGGTAATCTAGAACCCATCATTTTATAGGTATGGTTATGATTATTTTTCCCCATGTGCGCTACTTTGCATTTATCAGCACTAAATTTCACCAGCCATTTTGTTGTCCACTCACCCAGTTTTATGAGATCCCTCTCTAACTCTCTGCAGTCAACTTTGGACTTAACTATCTTGAGTAATTTTGTACCATCTGCAAACTTTGCCAGCTCACTGTTCACCCCTTTTTCCAGATCATTTATGAATATGTTGAACAGCACTAGCTCCAGTAAAGATCCTTTGGGAATCCCACTATTTACCACTCTCCATTATGAAAACTCACCATTTATTCCAACCCCTATCTTTTAACCAATTACTGATCCATGAGAGGCCCTTCCCTCTTATCCCATGACTGCTTACTATGCTTTAGAACCTTTGGTGATGGACCTTGTCAAAGGCTTTCTGAAAGTCTAAGTACAGTATATCAACTGAATCACCCTTGCCCACATGCTTGTTGACACCCTCAAAGAATTCTGGTAGATTGTGAGGCATGATTTCCCTTTATAAAAGCCATGTTGACTCTTCCTCACCATATTGTCTTTATCGTGCGTGTGATAATTCTGTTCTTTACTATCGTTTCAACCAATCAGCCTGGTAACTAAAGTTTAATTGCCAGGATTGTCTCTGGAGTCTTTTTTTAAAAATCAGCATTACATGAACTACCCTCCAGTCATCTGGTACAGGGGCTGATTTAAGCAATAGAGTATATTCCACAGTTAGTAGCTTTTCAATTTCATATTTGAGTTCCTTCATAACTCTTCAGTGAATACCATCTGGTCCTGGTGATTTATTACTGTTTAATCTAGCAATTTCTTCCACAACCTCCTCTACTGACACCTCAGTCTGGGACAGTTCCTCAAGATTTGTCACCCAAAAAGAAAGGCTTAGGTATGGGAATCTCCCTCACATCCTCTGCAGTGCACACCAGTACAAATATTTCATTTAGTTTCTCTGCAATGGCCTTGTCTTCCTTGAGTGCTCCTTTAGCACCTTAATTGTCCAGTGGCTCCACTGATTGTTTGACAGGCTTCCTGCTTCTGATTTACTTTTTTTTAAAGTGTCGTCATTTTTTGTGTCTTTTGCTAGTTGCTCTTCAAATTCTTTTTTGGTCTGCTTAATTATACTTTTACCCTTGACTTTCCAGAGGTTATGCACCTTTCCATTTTCTTCACTAGGATTTCACTTCCAGTTTTTAAAGAATGCCTTTTTGCCTCTAACCGCTTCATTTACTCAGTTGTTTACCCGTGGTGGCATTTTTTGTTTTTGTTTTTTAAATTGGAGTATTTAGTTTGAGCCTTAACATGGTGTTTTAAAATAACTTCCATGCAGTTTGCAGGCATTTCACTCTTCTCGCTGTTCCTTTTAATTTCCATTTAACTAGCTTCCTCATTTTTGTGTAGTTCCCTTATTTGAAGTTAAATGCTACTGTGGTGGGTTTCTTTGACATTTTATCCCCTTACAAGGATGTTAAATTTAATTATATTGTGGTCACTATTACTGAGTGGCTCAGTTATATTCACCTCTTGGACCAGATCCTGCATTCCATGTAGGATTAACTCAAGAATTGCCTCACCTCTTGTAGGTTCCAGGACTGACTATTCCAGGAAGCAGTCATTTAATCTGTCTACAAATTTTATTTCTGCATCCCCTTCCAAGGTGACATGTTCCCAGTCAATAGAAGGACAGTTGAAATAGCCCATTATTATTGTATATTCTGTCTTTGTAAGCCTCTTTAATCTCCTTGGGCACTTCACAGTCACCATCACCATCCTGGCCAGGTGGTTGGTAATATATTCCTACTCTTATGATTCAAGCATGGAATTTCTACCCAGAGAGATTCTATGGATCTACTTAATGTACTGTCCGGACTATGGTTGCGGGACTTTTGTTATGATTTATGGATACAGGACTTTTGTAATTAACCTGAAAGGGTTACATATACTTAAGGACTATTTTTGGGGTCTCTGAAGGGAAAACTGAGGCATCCATGCCTGTCATACCATGGCCTGGCACTGGAGGGCACCCAGGTGAGGTTGCCCTATGACATGCACTTAGGAGAATTTGAAAGTTGAGAGCAATTATCTCATAGGCATTGCTATAGCCCGTGCTGTAAGTATGAAAAATGTCCATATTTCTATTTGCAACTAGATACACGTATTTTAACGTGAATGAAACAAAGAATATGATACTGTGATATTCTGTATATACATATAATAGACAATTAAGGATTACAACATTACAATGGCAATGAAGAGTTAGTGCAGTGGTTCTCAAACGTTTGCATTGCTGACCCCTTTCACACAGTAAGCCTCTGAGTGCGATCCTCGCTTACAAAATTAAAAACACATTTTTTATGTTTAAACACTATTATAAATGCTGGAGGAGAAGTAATATTTAGGGGTGGAGGCAGACAGCTGGTGACCCCCCCATGTAATAACCTCACGACCCCCAGTTTGAGAACCCCTGAGTTAGAGGAAGTATCATGTTACATAGATATGGAAGTCTCATGACAAACTGTCAGCCCTCTTATTACAGACTATTGAAACTAAGTTTCTAAAGCTAGGACTAGTAAGAATGAGAAATGTGTTATTTTTTAGAGTATAATGTCATTTTGTTAAGCACACTGTAATTCATCTCCACTAGTATATTATATTAGCATGTATTTTGTAGCAACAGTACACATGCTCCTACCACACATAGATTTCAAGACAAGTTTACCAAAAGCAGCTGCTTTAAAGTTTTATTTATTGAAAAGGCCAGGGCTGACCAATTAAGCCTTTTTAATGTTATGCACTCTAGACACCTGGCACTAACAGGCTATTCAACTTTTAAAAACAGGTGTTTTTGTGGGGATTTTCTTCAGTTTCCCCTACCAGATGCTATTTCTTATTCTCCTGTGAGAGCGACCATGGTACCTCCTTAAAGGGCTCAACATTCAATGTTTTTTTCGTGAGACAGAGCAAGCAAGCAAGCATGTGTTTTGGGGTGAGTGATGGTGGGATCTTTCAAAGTGACTGGAAGCTTTGGAAAATATAATCTGTGGGTGTGATAGTCATCTAAATTACAGCACTCAAGTAACATCACACCCAAGAACTATGATCTCTCCCCCGTTTGATATCCAGTAAAAATTTTATTACTCTCTTGTTGTGTTATCAGAATACAGCCCAAGAGCAAATATTCCCCCCTCTAATTAAGATTGCTCCTTCCCACAGACAAATGCTACACTCCTCTTTCCAGACATGTCCAATTCCATTCTATTCAGGTTCTTAAACAGCCCTCACCACCAGAGCATCTGAACACTTTCCAGAAGGGCATAAGTGATATGATTATCATTTGTCACATGTTGCTCTTTCTTCCTTCCTCTTCCTAGGGAAAAGTAGTGTGAAATTATATGTATTCTTGAAGGAGTGCACTTTGCACTTAGAATGAAAAGCAGTGAGGTTTGTGATGGTTCTTTGATCCTGTGGGAATTTATTCCCCATTCTGGGATCGTCCCCAGAGAAAGCTCTGTTTCCTGTACCGATGAGCTTTACCCTTGCAGAAGACGTTCTATTGTGCTGGAGGACCAGAGTTGCTGACTGCAGTCCCAGAACTTTTTGTAATTGTTTAGGGAGTCTGGACCCAAAATACTGAGTACCTTGAAGATAAGGACAGGCTTTTATAAAGGCTATTTCTAAGCTTCCCTGTCTGACAGAGATGGAATTAAACCATTCTTGAAAATAATCTAAACAGCTCTGTGGGGATTGTTTGATTTTGGTTTTAAAACCAGCCTTTTGGATATTGTTTATTGTGTGGAAGTCTCAGATACTCAGTGATGGAAATAAAAACATAGGTTCATTTTTTTTTTTTTTAAAGTGATTGACAATCTAGTCTGGCAGAGCATACTCCCAGCTCGCCTTTAATTGCCACAAGAACCATCTTCTAGCCAACATATTGAGCTAAGCTTCCCCCATAGCACCACTACCCTTTGACTAGACCAGAGGCACACAGAGAGGCTTCTGGAGTTGCATGAATCGCCTTCCATTATAATCCAAGTATCTCGCAGCCTTAGGAGCCAAGGATAAAAGTGTACTACTTCCATGTTTTAATTAGTAACCCATTTTTAACTTTAAAAATCTGTCACTGAAAGGGAATAAATCAAACTTTATATCAACAATTCACCACAAATTACAGCCTTGTATTCACTGAGGCCATATGTTGCAATACAATATTAAGTTAGAGAGATGGAAAGGTCCTTAACTCAAACCCCGCCCCAAATATAGTTGCTCCAAACAATTATTCTGAGTATACTAGCCAAAGTTTTGTTTTTAAATATTTCTAACTTTCATGCAATACTACAAGACAGACATTTTAACATTGCTGATGATTTCTATGACAAAGTGAGTGACTATAAAGAAGTGGTTAATACACACCATGTAGAACTGCAGACGATAATGTCTCTTCACTAAGCTCAGTACAAACATGCAGAAACCTGTACAACAAAGAACAAACAAAAAAAAAAGGTGCATGTTGTGCAATCTTATATTCTAATTACACTGGATAAACAGAACCTTGATATACAACAATTAGTTTACTGTGAAGAGGCTTATTCTTCCATCAGGCTTTTAATTTAAAGGATTTCAGTATATCCAGTAAATGATATACTGAGATTTAATTTCATTAGCATAAAAATATTAATTATTTCATGTCTACTTTGTTACTTTCAATTATCAGCAAAAAACAGTCACCATATACATTAATTTTACACTACCTTTAAAATCAACTCCTCCAAAACAAGTGACAGCTATCTTATTCTGATGTTCGCTTCATTAGAGCTAATTTAAAGAAGAATGCCAGGTCTGAGGTCCCTTGCCCAAGAGACAGTGTTATATTTGTATGAAACAAATAGAAATAGTATTTTGTTTATTTATAGCGTAGCCCCACCACCAACCCATGGCCAAGGGATGTGGAGGACAGGAATTTGGCTTGATGGTCACGGGAATGATATCCCTCTGGTCCTGGCTGGTATGAGAAATGGCGGTACCTCTTCCTCCCACCGTGACAGCCTTGTGCATGACCTGAGTTTGGGCAGAGCTCGGGCCCTTAGTTCCCCACAAAGATACTTTAGTGGCCCCCATACAGCTCACATCTTGAGGATATTAAAGAAATTAAGGAGTCATGGATGAAAACTATGATCCATAATTGTTCTGTCTCTTAGACAAACTACTGAGTAACAGTGGGTCAATTTTCAACCTGGAAAACGGTTAAACCGTGAGGTGCCACAAGGTTCTATATTACGGCCAAGATTGCTTAATGTGTTTTTATGAAATATCTGAAACACAAGAGGAACAGTAAGTGGCAAAACAGGTAGATGACAAAATAAATCCAGGTGAAAGGTGACTGTGGTGTTTCAGAAGAAGGAAACAGATTAATGGGCAACACAATGCCAGATAAAATTCAGTGTTGACAAATGCAAGGTAATATATACATTGAAAGTAATAATCTGAACTACTCATACACCTTACTTCAAATAACTACTCAGGAATGGCTCTTCCTGTGGGCAGGTTATTCCATACTTGCCCTCTTCGGGGTTTCTTGCATGTTTTTCAGACAAATCTGGTACTGGCCCCTGTTGGAGTCAGGTTACTGGACTAGGTGGATCACTAGCCTGGTCCATTATTGCAATTTCTATGCTCCTAACTGAGAGCAAAATTAGAAGACAAAGGCTTCCCACAAGCAACTTTGCCACTGGAACTAGGTTAAAAATTCTGTTGATATGTAAGTCAAAACAGAACCCTGCCTTGGCAGCCAGTATTAGGTGTTCTAGAAGTGTTCCTCAACCAATTTATGTTCTTAAAGAGCCATAACACACTCTCCCTTCAGACTGTTTCAACTACCACTATGCCCCCACAGTATTTAGAAACATCACCCTTGACTTGACTAGCCAAACAGGAAAAAGTACAAAGCATGTAGTTTGACACCTCCAGCAGTAATAATAGATGTTCATTCATGAGAAGCCTTATTCCCTCTCCCCCACAATCTTCTGCTTTCTAAGCAACTCCCTTTTAGTCAGCAACCACCACCTGAAATCTGATGAAATGCAAAGCTTTATGTTCAATTTTTTCATTGGCAAAACAAATACAGACACCTGGTTTCCTTTAACAAGGGGGAGAGAAAGTAATGGAATGTGAGGAAAGCTACACGAAATTAAATGAACTTTTGAAGTGCAAACAAATATGTAAAAATGTGATCACCACCACTGAATAAGAATACATTAACCATTGATGGAATTGGGAATGGTTTCCCAAAAACTCACCTGTCAAGTAGAGTGTAAAAGATATAAACCTGTGGTAGCGAATTAGGAATTGAAGTTGCTCTCTTCTCTGAACAAACGTAGCGAAGTAGTCTGCCACTGTCTCTCCATAGAAAAAATAGTTCACACACAACAAAAAGTACCTATAACATATACAACAGGTACTGGTTATTTTTTCTGGATTATTAAAATCTCTCTCCTGTACTGTTAGATTCTTTCAACAAAAGAAAAATCATCAAAAAGTACAAATTGAGGCAAATAAAACAGATGCTAATGGGCAAATTAAATGCCAACAAAATTTCAATACTTCCACTGATTGAAATTCTTGCTTGTTACTTACCAGCTTAAGGTTCTAAACCATGGTAATTCATAGGAATGATAGACTCTGTAGCCTATAGTAATGATTTCATGGAAACACTTTACTTGAATGCTCAAGACCTGAAATTAAGATAGAAAGAATTATTATCTAAGTGCACAGTTCTCTAAAGGCACTAACCTAATACCTGCATTAAAAATGTCTGTTGCACAGTCATTGCATACGTGGTTTGGATAATTTCAAAAGGGATTACAGGATGAAACAAACATTCTGTTTTCAACAAATAAAAAATATGAGGCATTCTATACAATGAAACACTGGGGACTGATTTTAGTTGTTTTACCATGAAACCTACTGAGGCTATCAACATTTTTAGGAAAAGGGTTTGATAAATGCACTCACAAATGGCAAGTAAGAAGCCTTTCTTGATGAATAGGGTTTTCAACCCCCCCTTTTTTTTAAAAAAACAAATTTAATTTCGCATTTAAGGGGGAGATTTTCAAAGGCTCAGAGAAAAGTTAGGTGCCCATTTCCCACTGAAGAGCAACAGGAGTTGAACATCTGTGTCTATACTACACAGTTAACATGGGTTAGCCTAGCTCACATGCTAGCATCCCCATTGCAAAGCCCTACTAGAGTTACTTCTGTGTCCTCACTGTCTCTGCATCCACCCATGTGTGTCTGGGGGCATATCTTCTTTATGCAGAGGGACCTAGGGTCACTGTTTTTCCCAGTCAATTGCATCAGTTGCAAGAGACCTTCTCTGTCCTATAGGAAGAATCGCAGGAAGACACTGGAGGACTATCAGCACTTCAGTGATTTAGCCTGTGTACTCATTGCAAAGTAGGAGAGTTCCAGCCAGAGTTAAAGCGGATCCCGGTTGTAACCCATACCCCAACCAGATAAGCTAGCCTGGGCTTAAAGCACCTCCAAACCCAGATCAGAGTTTTTTCTATGTAGATAGCAGGAAGGCTAAGGCTAAAACCAGGAAAAGAGTCTAAGGGTATGTCTACACTACAGGATTAATCCGAATTTAGATAATTCGAATTTGGGAAACAGGTTGTATAAATTCGATTGTGCGTGGCCACACTAAGCACATTAATTCGGTTTTTAACCACATTAATTCGGTGGTGTGCGGCCACACTACCCCATTACTTTAACCACAGTAATTCGGTGGTGTGCGGCCACACTAACCCTAATTCGAATTAACAAAATCGATTTAGGCGCTACTCCGCTCGTCGAGGTGGAGTACAGAAATCGATTTTAAGTGCCCTTTAATTCGAATTAACTGGCTCTGTAGTGTGGACGGGTGAAGGGTTAATTCGGATTAACGCAGCTAAATCCGAATTAAGGTCGTAGTGTAGACCGGGCCTAAGTGTGCCGTGTAGACATTTGTGAGTGTAGACATATCCTACATTTCTAGGATTTTCCGGCTACTAAGAGAATATTACAAGCTGAACAGATCAGCGCTGTCTTCCTGAATGTGTAAACATACACCTTTGTTTACACTTGGCAAAAGCATAAATTGATAACACAAATATAACATTTTAATGAATACAACGTTATGTCTTAGTGTGGACACACTCATTTAAAGTGTGTTAGCTGGTCATTGCTAACATTTGTTGTTATATTTAACATTGTATTTGCCATAATGATAGTTAAAACATGTTAACTAACATATTACTTTTTCACAGTATAGCCAGGACCTCAATGTTGACCCTCTAAACTTTTAAATATTTAGATACCAGTCCTCACAAACCCTCCATGCACTTTAAGCCCTACTAAGCAGGTAAATTTTTTACCTCAGAACCTCTATCAAGATTTAAACATTTCTCTCCCTCCTCTGTTGGAAATAAAATTGTCAGTCTTTCCACTGCATGAGCCATTTTTCTTTATAAAACAGGTGCTAGAATATGTCGTCAATCAAATGTAGTATCTCTAGATACTTTATAATATTGTCAAAAGATCTGAGCCTTGAAACTTCTGCTGTGTGGTGTAACATGGGAATAAGTTTATACTGTTACTTTTTGCTTCAAGGCTTGACAGTTAAGGCTGTGTCATGCATCCTTCAAAAGGTAAATATACCAAACCACGTGGCAAAACAAACAGTTATTTTTCCTTCCTCATTATAACCCTATCAGCATAGAGCATGAATACTCAAAGGAAGAAATCAACATGTATGCAAAGATACTACTATACTCAAAGTAGTTATTACAAGAAAGAAACTCCATTCATTAAAAGAATGAATTACAGCATTTACAGATCCCCTTTCCTAGAAACTAGAGGAAAACAGTATCTACAAGATGTAAATATAGGATATGATAATACTAATAAAAAAAGCATTCCAATGGCTCACTACATGTCACACCTTCCGTAGATGTTTCAAAATAGGGTTCCCCCCCCCCTCCTCCCATGACCTATCTGGGCAGCTAGAGACATTTATTTAGGGTCAAATTCAAAAGAACTAATGGGTACAATTATTACCCCATTTCAATTGTTCAAAATGATATATCAGACTATTACATCTCAAGGCTGGAAAAGTTATATTTACCAATTTTTTCTAATGAATAATTTTTGTATCATATCAGGGGGAGGGATAGCTCAGTGGTTTGAGCACTGGCCTGCTAAACCCAGGGTTGTGAGTTCAATCCTTGAGGGGGCCACTTAGAGATCTGGGGCAAAAATCAGTACTTGGTCCTGCTAGTGAAGGCAGGGGGCTGGACTCGATGACCTTTCAAGGTCCCTTCCAGTTCTAGGAGATAGGATATCTCCATTATTTATTTATTTATGTATTTTATTTTATTTAAAAAACTGAAACACATATATACTGTTAAAGATTGTAGATAATTTGAAAGTTGAATATTTACACAGGGAAGCTGTCATTTGAACTATTAAATATCACTTTTAAACATTTGCCTGTAAAAGTACATAAGGCTCCTGCAACCAGACTCATCTTTAATTTACCTGATAGTAAAAATGGTTTTCAACAGATCACAGATAATTGCACTGTGTTAAAAATGCCATAAGCTGCTGGAATATTGTCTATTCTTGGGATACAGTAGTGCCAACACCCGGGTTAATTTCTTCAAAAGTCCATAGTATAGGATTTCAAGTGCATGCATCTCCAGGCTCTGTTATACACATTCCAAAAAAACACATTCCTCATGGACCCCCCCAAAAAAACTAATAGATAGCCACTGAGCATTACTTGTTTTCTTCCACTGTAAAGTAGAAAATTTCTTCTGACCAAAAACATTAGCATATTTGGATTCATTACTGATATACGTGGAACTTTTATTTTTTATTTTCCAGGCTTAATAAAAGATGTTTAAAAGAAAACTGCAGCTTTGGTGAGGGGAGGAGGGGGTTTTGAAAGACATTTTCCAAAGAGTTTTGTGGCATGACTGCTCAACTTAAATTGAGTTTGATAAGACAGAAAAGAAGCACTCAGTGTCTACTGCTTTATTGCAAGGTTGTATAGGACACTGATACAGCTTTGAGTAAGACTAGGCATGTTTCAAAGCTAGAGTAAAATGTATTTGTTTATATTAGGGGTGACTGTCATAACAGGCACACAGGCATGCCATGCCTATATAAAAAACTCTCTCAGGAGGCCCCACACCTGATGCTTCAAAAGAAAGTGAAAACCCATCACACACCTAACCAATTGTACAATGCTGTACAAAGAAGAAAAAAAAATTCCATGAGGAACAACTCTATGACCTGCATCAATAGATAATGGGTGAGTGTGTAGAGAAACAAAACGGTTCATCAGTACATGGAGCAAAGTTTTACCTGAATGATAATGGAGAAGAGAAAGATATTGGAAGTAAGAGATCAATGAAAACACTAACTTAACCACCTTGTCTTAGAAACTGATCCAATGCATTCTGCATTTTATAAAGTTTGACAACAGTTGTTAGAAAAAAGTTACTAACACAAGAAAAGCAAGCTTCCAAGTAAAATGATATTCAGACAAACTGAAAACCAGTTAGGTTTGCTAAGGGACAATAATTAAAAAAAAACCAACAACCCCAAACCCAAAATACAATGTAAAACTATATATCTGCATACATCAAAATCTCACCCACCTCCTCAGAAAGACTCTCAAATACATATTGTACATTCTCCTAGTGTGTCAACCCTACTCAGCCACAGTTACCTACGTGACATCCCAAGTAAATCTCTGATTTTTCAATAGAAGCTGAGGTAAGCCAACTCTGAGCCTGAAAATCCCACATGTTGATCTAAAGTAGTTCATTATGAAGAAGGTTTCAGACACCCTCAACATACAAATCCTTTAGAACTCTAAGTAGTCATGGTATGAAAAAGAAATTTCTACATGCAAATAACTGAAATTGCACTGAGATATCAAAGCTTCCTTCAGTTTCTAAAGATACTTACTTGACACATGCCAACAGTCTGGCTCATCGGTGCCCTTAGCAGACCTTCAGTAGCTGTACCACATATAAAAGTTTGAGACTGCTATCGCCTGCAAGCTAATGGATCTGTTCCTTTAGCTCAAGCTGTAGGGGCCCATGCTTTTAGACCCCAATGTACTGGGTTAAAGCCTTAAAGATGACCCATGGACATTGTTACATGTTTCCTGAAGAATAGTTAACAAAACTTAACCTTACAATAAGGCAGCTTTGAGAGGAGGACTAAACTGGGGGCACAATTCTCAACAGATAAGACTTAAAATCTCAAGAACTGAAGAGATACCACTTGCTGGTGAATCAGACCTTGATTTCAGGTAGCATCTTTGAATATCTAACCTTTCATACACAGCTGTCAAGGTCCTCTCCAAACTACTAACAACTGTTTATAAGTGACAGTGGTATTGTCCAGATGCACTTACAGCAGCTCTTGCAGCCATAGTAGAATATTTCAGGGATGTCTGACATAAAATAAATGAAAGGGAGTGGCAGGTAGAAGACACTCTAAGGTGAAAGAGAATGTAAAAATCTATTCTAAAAATATATTATGCACAACAATTAAAAAGATGCTGGAGCCTACAAGAGAAAAGGACAGGAAGAAATATAATATGAATGGTTAAAACAGAGCAACAGACTGAGGGCATGATACAATGGGAGATGAGAAAAACATTATCAGTTGGATTCTCTCTCAGCTGAGCCAAGTCCAAACTTGGTGCAGTTGAGGAGAGCGAAGAGGAAAGGTGGTTTTAATCCACCTTCTCACTTCTCTGACCTGGGGTCAAAATGTCTCCCGGCATAATTTAGAACAAACTAGGGGAGCTGCTTTAGACAATGCCAGCCACAGCCACCCACTGGGACTACTGTAACAGTCCAGGATCCGCACTTTGCCATCAGCACATCCCTTACACAGCGTAGAAAGGGTAATCACAAATGCAACTTTTAGGATGGCTAGTATGATTATTTGCACTGCTAAGGAAGCAAAAACTCAGCCTTAATTCAGGCCAAGAATATAGCTCTCTACAGAAAATTATTTCAAAAACTCCATGAATATACAATCCATTGATTATACCCATTGTATATATTCTATAAGGAGAAAAAAATGTGTTAGTGGAGTTATAAGGTCAAAACACTGAGACGTCAGAAATACCTAATTTAGGCTGAAGGCTCATCCTTAATCCTACCTGTTTGCACACATGATTTAAAATATGCTCTGCATATGGAGCAATGGCAGTCGCACCATAAATAAAGTTGCAAGTGAGTTTGTTATAATCCTGATACTGATCTCCCTATAACCTAAAGTATGTTACGTCTGAGGCAACAGTGAACTTTTTCTAGAAAATCTGAAGTGAACTGAACCAACAGTTTATTAATTATGACTCACTAAAAAGAGATGTTAAACACATTTCCACAAATCTAATTATTTTAGCACTTCACAGAAAAAAAATGAACCAGATAAATACTTTTTTGAACTATCCCAGCTGAGACAGTATCAAGGAACAAAAATCAGTTCATTAAAGTCAGATTTCAAAGTTAATGTTTTCTTTAGGATTGTCAGCTCTGGCAAGCTTAGTATAGGACATCCAATGACTGCTGAAAATCAGGCCACTATGTATGGAGAGATGGGAAATCAAATCATGTCAAAGGAGGGCTGAGAATGATCTATAAATTTTAGAAGTGGAAATTTACTGTAATAGTTTCAGTCCCATTTTCAAGGATCTCTACAGCAAAAAGGATAAATAAAAGAAGTCTTGAAATGTACAGTACATAAAAGTACCAACAAAGCCAGCAGTCCCTAAAAGCCATGTGTGAATGTCAATCCTGTATCTTTCACAAGTACTAATTCACTTAAATACAAGGTAAATTCCTCACCAATTTAAAAGTTCTATATAATTTGCCTTCATATTCATTCCTGACACAGGAAAATGTGTTTAGAAAAAACTTACAAGAAGCATCAGCATAAATGATCCAAGATATATGATCAGGAAAAATAAAGATATCATAGCTAGTGTTAAAATTCCACGAATCCACCAGTTTTTCCATCTACAAAGAAAACATATTAGGACAATTAAAGAAAACAGTACAGTTAACAGTCTCTTCATAGTAATAGATACCATTTATAGTACTTCCTTTAGTAACTGAACATTTAACAAGGCAATTTACAAATTGTGGCAACATGGGTAGCATGCTTACTGCTACAAGCTTTGAAGTGGTGCTGCATATGCTCCTCTTTGCAGAAGCCAGCTCTTGTTGGGTGATGTAGAAAGGACCCGAGGTAATAGTCCTGCCCCTTATGTGGAGTGGCTAGCACCACACACAGAGGCACTAGTAGGGAGCAATCCTGTGCTCATCTGAGCACTAGGACTGCAATATCAGCCCTGACATATATGCATGTGGGAGGAGATGGGATAGGCTATTTCTACCCTTCTCCTATTGCACATCCATACTGGATCTGGCCACAGTCTGGTCCATAAGGGGAAAGCTGCTGTTAGCATATAAACATTTTTCTCCAAACCTAAGATTCTTTTCTTAAAGGGGATTCAAACGGACTGGTCTAAGAAAAAAAAAAAAAAAATCAAGATTGCTTTTCATACAATTGTTCAGCAACTGGATTTAAAAACTACCATATATACTTGTTCATTAGCCCGTTCGTTTATAAGCCAACCCCACAAGATGGTTAGGTAAAAATAGCAAAAAACTGTAAGACCCTTTCATAAGCCGACCCTATATTTCAGGGGTTGGCAAACTTTGGCTCCTGGCCCAAAAGGGTAAGCCACTAGCGGGCCCGGACGTTTTGTTTACCTGGAGCGTTCACAGGCACAGAGCCCCTCAGCTCCCAGTGTCCGCACTTTGCCATTCCCAGCCAATGGGAGCTGCGGGAAGTGGCGTGCCACTTCCCGCAGCTTCCATTGGCTGGGAACAGCGAACCACAGCCACAGGGAGCTGAGGGGCTCCGTGCCTGCAGACACTCCAGGTAAACAAAACGACAATGTATTAGATATTCAATTCAATGATTCCATAGAGTTTAAAATCATCAAATTTTGGTGTAGACCCGTTTATAAGCCGACCCCCGCTCTTTGATGTGTCACTTTTTTACCAAAAATATTCAGTTTATGAACAAGTATATACGGTAGATAGTTGTAGGACATTCATTAAAAATTCATGTTTTGTTTACTCTTAAAACAGGCTCCAATTTATTTTTAAAGGACTACGGTCAACCTAAAATCCAGCTTATTTTTAACAATGAGTTAAAGTTTTCAGTACTATACCTACTCTCTAGTATCCCTGTAAAAAACTGTGGGTTTATAGTCCTATTTTCCGGTGCATTTGTCTTTTCCTTATGGTATGAAATACCCACAGGAAAAATAGGGGAAACTGGCTGTACAGGTTAAACCAAAAAAACCTGACTATTTACCCAGTGCAGGCACATTAGAAAGTAGAAAAAAAAAAAAAAAAAAAACTCTCTTGTTCATAATAATCTTACATGTACCTTGTAGAACGAGTAACGAAATGTCTAGACAAACATGACTAAACTTAAAGGGACACTGTCAATTTTAAAAATCTAATTTGAACTTAAGTTTGTGTTAGACATGTGTAATTTACTTTGAAAGGATTTTATTTATTGGCAAGTGAAGAGTACCCATTAAGGCCACCTAAATGAAGTTGCCATCAGTACTTACACAAAGGCAGAACCATTGCACTACAACAGACTTCAGTACCCTATGCAGCACTGACCTCAGCAAAGGACCTCTTTGCTCATATTAGTGGTATATCCTTATCACTATCAAAAGCTTTAAAAAAAAGAAAGAAGATTTTCCTAAGAATTCCCTCAAAGTGGATGGGACCAAAAAAACCCACAAAAAAAACAACCAATCCTCCAAATATTAATGATTAACCTGTTGAATTGGAGATAGTTCACCTCCCAATGACTTCATAAATATTTGCTTCAATTACCTTTGGTAAATGAAATAACCAATCAATCATTCATTTTCTGATATAGCTGTAAAACTAATCTGAAAAGTTTTCAAAATAAATCACTATAAAAATGTCTAGCGTGTACCTTCTAAAAATGAAACCTACATCTCTCTCTGAGTTATGAAGAATATGTATTAAGGTTATAACAACCAACAAGAATGCACTTTTATGTAGAAATCCATGATTAAATCAAGTGTTCCTGACTAGCGATTTAAATCATGATTTAAAACAAATCCACCCTGGTCGGCATATTAAACCAAAAGCTTCTTATTTCTCTCTCTCTCTCTCTCTCTAAAAATAAATAAATAAGGTCCTGCAACATCAGTCCCTATAAACTACTGACACTTGTGCTGTTGTACCAAGATAGGAAATAGTGAGCAACTGCAGATAATTGTTAAATATTGTAACTTAAAAGCTACCTTAGTCATTTAGAAATGGGTGCAGCTGGGCAACTTTTGGGTAGCATATTTTGAAAGCACAGTAGCTGTATGAAAATTGTTACACCAGCATGAATATAGCCCAGATACCATAATACTAAATCCAAAAAATAACTATTTTTGTGGCATACTGTTTTCCCTCATTAATTAAAAAAAATGACTTCAATTTTGTCTGTAATTATTTTTTAGTCAGCAGCTATCTCAACACTCTTATCCCAAATGGGCTAGGAATCTTGTTTTACCATACCTGGAAGACAAGCCGGACAGAGCCTTCTTGAGAATTTCTGGAGTGCTGTCTGTTGGTGGGGGCACTTCTGGAATATCTGAATCATTTCTGAGATCTAGATCTCCACACTTTTCACCCAAAACTACATCCTATGACAAAGCACATAAAAGAATATTGTTTAACCTTCCAGAAGGTAGTATATGCTTAGTCTCAAAGATTCATTTGGCTGGTGACATGGAAATACCTGCTTCTAAGAAAATGTAAATGGCAGATCAGCAAAACTATAGACTTTTAGGCAGAGTGAAACTTGGCTTACTGACTATGTGCTTATACAGTTCATAAGAAGGTAAATTATTCACTTGCTGTGATGGTACCTGCCACCTTCAAGTAGTCTCACCCTCAAGGCTCATTCTCTGTATCCATAAATTTCTCAGACACATCTACATAGACTGAAAAATTTGCAATCTAACTCTCTAGCTGTGACCAATAATCAGCTTCTTACAAGATGACAGGGTAGCTTTCTAAAGACAATATTCTTCCCAAAAGAAATCAGTAGTAGCAGTGGCTTATTTATTTTGATTTATATACAAGAACACCCACATCTTTATCCAAGGCTCTGAGGATCAAGGTGCCTTACTTCCCTGGAGCAAGTTCCACTTCAACAGCAAAAACAGAAGGCACGCGGTCAGTCTCTAGCTCAGCATGTCCGCTATCTTTCTGACCTCGTCCTCTCACGTCAGCTACACACAATTTTGATTCCATCTTGCCAGCTAGGGTTTGTTCCAATGCCATAAACAGAAGGATCAAACAAGCATAGTTCAGTTTAGCTACGCTTTCTTAAAACTCCACTCTAGTCCCCACCTTCCCTATCCATCTCTTCATTTTCCCTTCTCTCCCCCACCTCATAACTCCACCAATCTTAGGCCTGGTCTACACTAGGCTTTTATGTCGAATTTAGCGCCGTTATATCGAATTAACCCTGCACCCGTCCACACCAGGAAGCCATTTAGTTCGACATAGAGCTCTCTTTAAATCAATTTCTGTAATCCTCCCCAACGAGAGGAGTAGCGCTAAATTCGAAATGGCCATATCGAATTAGGCTAGGTGTGGATGGAAATCGACGCTAATAGCTCCGGGAGCTATCCCACAGTGCAACACTCTGTTGACGCTCTGGACAGCAGTCCGAGCTCGGATGCTCTGACCGGCCACACCCCGGGAAAATTTGAATTCCTTTTCCTGTCTGGGCAGTTTGAAGCGCAGTTTCTGTTTGGACACCGTGGCGAGCTCAGCAGCAGTGGCAGCAGTGGCAACGATGCAGAGCTCTCCAGCAGAGATGGCCGTGCAATCCAATAGAAAGAGGGCCCCAGCATGGACGGATCGGGAAGTCTTGGATCTCATCGCTGTGTGGGGAGATGAGTCCGTGCTTTCCGAGCTGCGCTCCAAAAGACGGAATGCAAAGACCTATGAGAAGATCTCTAAAGCCATGGCAGAGAGAGGCTACAGCCGGGATGCAACGCAGTGCCGCGTGAAAATCAAGGAGCTGAGACAAGGCTACCAGAAGACCAAAGAGGCAAACGGACGCTCTGGATCCCAGCCCCACACATCCCGTTTCTACGAGGCACTGCATTCCATCCTAGGTGCGGCCGCCACCACTACCCCACCCCTGACCGTGGACTCTGAGGATGGGATATTGTCCGCGGCCGGTTCCTCCGACATGTTAGCGGACGGGGAAGATGAAGAAGGAGATGAGGAGGACGAGGCAGTCGACAGCGCTGGCACCGCTGATTTCCCCGACAGCCAGGAGCTCTTCATCACCCTGACCGAGATCCCCTACCAACCGTCCCCCGCCGTTACCCCAGACACAGATTCAGGGGAAGGATCAATCAGTAAGTGTTTTAAATATCTAAACATTTATTTACAACATAACTGGCATATTTAAAATATTAACAGTAGCTAAAGTGCTTTAAAACATGTAAACATTTATTTGCAACAAAACAGGAAGATTGAAAATATTAACAGTGGGTAAAGTGCTTCAAAACATGTAAACAGGAAAGTCAAACAAAAGGGGAATCAGTGCAAAGTGTGTCATGATTAGTCTGTCTTTGGGCGCCTCAATATATAGTCCGAACCATTTCCAAAAAATTGCACAATGTCCGCTTCATGATTATAGTGCCCAAAACCCTGCAGTCATTTGTCCCTCCAAGGGCACCTAAGCCAAGAACTGGTCAATGTAACCGGGGATAGAGGCGACATCCTCCGGGGAGAACTCCTCATACACCTCCTGCAGGTGTTTTTCCAGCCTCATCAGCAGGTTCCTGGGCAGGGAGAGCTTATTAGGCCCCCCGTGGTAGGACACGTTTCCCTGCCACAACGCCAGCAGGTACTCCGGGATCATGGCCTTGCAGAGCAGCGCAGCAAATGGCCCCGGTTTCTGCAGGCTGTCACGAAGCATGCGCTCCTTCTGGCTCGCAGAGACCTTCAGGAGGGTGATGTCTGGCATGACTCCCTGCTGTGAATTAGGTAGGGGAAAGTTAGTATTGGGACTGCTTGCCCGTCCCTTTACAGAACTGCAACCGCCGGTTTACAGCCACGCGGTTTACAGCCGCGAGGGGGTGGGACAGGGCCAGAGTTCATGCTTGCAGGATCGCTGCCAGCAGAGACTCGCATTGCTTTCTATGTGAAAGGAGGCCAGTGCCACTCTTAAAGTTTTAAGCGGCCACAAGTCTACGGCTTACCATGTTTGCCAGCTAGACAAAGTCCGGTGTCCAGCCCTGCTCCTCAGCTCGCCACAGCAAGACCGCAGGCACTGTAGGCGAGGGCCGAAAATTCGACCTTGTCCTCAGTGCGCGTGTGATAGGTGCTCTGCATGGTCTTGTTCACAGAGAAAGACTATGTTCTCTGTTCACAGATACATTGCTCTGTCTCAGGAATTCACTCCCTTTTTCCAATTCCCACAGCCACATCTGCCCAGAGGCTAGCGCACATTAGGAGGAGGAAGAAGAGGACACGGGAAGACATGTTTGCTGAACTAATGGGATGCTCCCGAGCACAGGCAGCCCAGCAGACACAGTGGAGGGAGAACTTGTCCCAAATGCACCGGGCAAACATTGAACGGGAGGAGAGGTGGCGACAGGAGGACAGGCAGGCTACTCAAACGCTGCTTGGACTAATGAGGGAGCAAACGGACACGCTCCGCCGCCTTGTGGATGTTCTGCAGGACCGGAGGCAGGAGGAGAGAGCCCCGCTGCAGTCTCTCTGTAACTGCCCTGCCCCGCCACCAAGTCCCATACCCCCCTCACCCAAAGTCCAAACACGGAGGGGTGGAAGGGGCCGTGAAAAATTTCACTCCACCCCTGCAGACTGCTCTACCACTAGAAGGCTCTCATTCCCCAAAATTTGAAAAGTCCTTTCCTACCCGCCTCACACAAGACCCCGTCCAAGTTTCACCCCCCCGTTCCATGTGCGGTTGTTAATAAAGAATACGTTTCTGTTCATTTCTGTTTCCATCCTCTTCTTTTGGAGGGGAGTCTGTCTGAAGGGGGGGAAGGGGCTTGGTCATTGGACAGGACAGTCACCTTTAGCAGGGGGCAGGTGCAGCAGCAGGGCACATATACAGTGCAGTGACTAGTTATCCTGGTCAGTCTGGGAGGTGGTTTTCATGTTCTGTGTGGTGGGGGGGGTGGTGTTGGTCTGTGACTTGGTGGCGGGGGAGGGCAGTTACAGATCTTATGCAGCGGTCCTTACCCTGGATCACAGAGCCGCGCAGCAGGGGATCTGTAACCCTCCTCCCCCTGCAAGACAGTCACATAGCCGACACATACACGCAGTCCCGGCCAGGAGGGCTGGCAGGCTCCGTTGAAACAACCAGTCCACCACCGCGGAGCCTGTCATTCCTGGAGTTTAGAAGCATCATTTGCATCACAACACTAAACCCGCCCCCCGCCACAGTCTGCGTCCCAGGTTTAAAGCATTCCCGCGAAAACAGTAATAAAGACAATGGTGTCCATTAACAAAACAGAACAGATTTTATTTTTTGGGAAGGGGGTGAAGGGGGTATGTGATTGGAGAGGACAGTCGACGGCAACTGGGTAAAGAAACGGGGGCAAGTTCTGCTTCTGTGTCCACAAACTTAAAAGTCACTGGGTACCCTGCTCAGCCTTGAAACTGGCTTTCAAAGCCTCCCGTATGCACAGCGCGTCCCGCTGGGCTCTTCTAATCGCCCGGCTGTCTGGCTGGGCGTAATCAGCAGCCAGGCTATTTGCCTCTAGCTCCCACCCCGCCATAAAGGTCTCCCCCTTGCTCTCACACAGATTGTGGAGCACACAGCAAGCTGCAATAACGATGGGGATATTGGTTTCGCTGAGATCACAGCGAGTCAGTAAGCTTCTCCATCTCCCCTTGAGACGGCCAAAAGCACACTCCACCACCATTCTGCACTTGCTCAGCCGGTAGTTGAAGAGTTCTTTTTCAGTGTCCAGGGCGCCAGTATAGGGCTTCATGAGCCAGGGCATTAGCGGGTAGGCTGGGTCCCCGAGGATCACTGTAGGCATCTCCACATCCCCAACAGTTATCTTGTGGTCCGGGAAGTAAATACCTTCCTGCAGCCGTCTAAACAGACCAGAGTTCCTGAACACGCGAGCGTCATGAACCTTGCCCGGCCATCCGACGTAGATGTTTGTAAACCGTCCCCGATGGTCCACCAGTGCTTGCAGCACCATTGAAAAGTAGCCCTTTCGGTTGATGTACTGGCTGGCCTGGTGGCCCGGTCCCAGGATAGGGATGTGAGTCCCATCTATAGCCCCACCGCAGTTTGGGAATCCCATCGCGGCGAAGCCATCTATGATGGGCTGCGCATTTCCCAGGGTCACTACCTTTGACAGCAGTACCTTGACGATTGCCTTGGCTACTTGCAGGACAACAACCCCCACGGTAGATTTGCCCACGCCAAAGTGGTTCGCGACTGACCGGTAGCTGTCCGGCGTTGCAAGCTTCCAGAGGGCTATGGCCACTCGCTTCTGGACAGTCAGGGCTGCTCGCATGCGGGTGTCCTTGCGCTTCAGGGCAGGGGACAGCAAGTCACAAAGTTCCAGGAAAGTCCCCTTCCGCATGCGAAAGTTTCGCAGCCACTGGGATTCATCCCAGACCTGAA